TCTTCAAGATCGACCCGCAGTGCGAAGAATATCAACGGCTTGTTGCTGGTCACGTAGTCGCGGGGAGCCCGCTCTGCCCCGCTACCGTCTACATTGAGGTGGCGGCGAGAGCATGGAAGCTACTCTTCCCCGCAAAGATGGCGTCCTTGCTGGGAATTTCCGACCTCCGCATCGATTCCCCATTGGGCATGGCGCTTGATCAGACATTGACCATGACTCTACGTCTCCGAAGCGGCAAAGACAACTGTTGGGACTTCAGTGTCGCGAGCCAGCAAAAAGGAACAGCGCCAGCGACACAAGTCTCCCATGCTGTCGGAGTAGTAGAGGTTCCGACGGAGAGTGCACTTATTGACCTGGAGTTTGCGCGCTTCGAGCGACTCACGGGGCCTGATGCAATCGAGGCTCTGTACCAGGACTCCGAGAGCGAGTCTATCCGAGGACCCCTCCTATACAAGCTTTTCTCCCGGGTGGTGGAGTATGGCGGGCCGTATCGAGGGCTCAAGAGCGTTGCCGCTCGGAACGGTTGTGCGGCTGGGACAGTTGTTTTCCAGCCAGAGCATGAGGATGAGACTTTTGCTAGTCTTACACGACCGCCCACTCTGGACAGCTTCATGCAGGTTGCTGGCATCCATGCCAACAGCATCTACCCATGTCCGGAAAACGAGGTGTATGTGTTTACAAAGCTAGACCGTCTGCAATTCGGCCCGGAATTCATGGCCACTCCACCGTCATCATGGATCATATTCCCCAACTTGACAGCCATCGGGCCAAAGGAACTTGCAAATGACATATTTGTTTTTGATTCGCGTTCGAAGCGTCTGGTGGTGCTGATTCTGGGTGCGTGTTTTCACAATGTACGCTTGGCATCACTGACAAAGGTGTTGTCACGGGTAAATGCCGGAGCGAGTGTGGATCACGTGCAAGCCCCTGAACGCTTGCTGCAACCACCTTCTGAGAGTATCAAACCCCCCAGCCGGCTTCCTCTTCTCCCAGAACCTATCCCCACACCAATTTCTGCGCCGAAGGCACAATCTACTGTACATGCACCGGCTACCCAAGATGCCTATGCCTCGGTTTTCAATGACGTCTGCCTACTCTTTGAGAGAGTCGCCGACGTCCCGCGCAACAATGTGAAGGGCAACATGTCAGTGGAGGATCTGGGCGTGGACTCACTTATGATGCTTGAAGTCATCAGCGAGCTCTCCACCCAGTTCTCTCTCGAAATTCCCATCGAAGATATGGTAGCGCTCTCCGACGTCAATTCTCTCGTCAGCTATTTGCTAAAAAGGCAGCATGGAAGCTCACTTTCATCTTCGACTTCGGCGACCTCATTAGTTATATCGTCAGCGCCTTCATTTTCACCAACGCCAGCATCATCAGAAAGCTCTTCCTCGTCCCCAATCCGGCCAAGCTCGCCTGGAGGAAACAACAGCGATTTGTTGCAGCAACAGCAAGTCGATCAACTGGCCAAGCTGCTACAAGAGCATCTTGAGCTAGAATCTGCTCCCAGCTTGGACGCCAATCTGGCCGCACTGGGCTTGGACTCACTACTCGCTATTGAATTGGCAAGTGACATCGAGAAGCTGTTCGCAGTCTCTGTAGACCTGTACCAACTTGATGACAAGTCGTCCTTCAAAGACCTTTTACACCTGGCTGGGATGGACCGAGGCTCAGTTTCAAACGCAACTAATTCTACCTCGCATGACACGAACAGTGTGACCATGTTAGACCATCTTCCGAACCCAAGCGCAAACATCCCTCAGGTCGTGTCTCCCATTGCGAGTCTACCTGATGTGCACGAAGCATTTGAGGCGGTTCGTTTGACATTCGACAGTATCTCCCAAGAAGAGGGATTTACTGATTTTTGGCGTGTCGTATACCCCGATCAAGAACGTCTGGTAATTTCGTATATCACAGAAGCCTTCAAACAACTGGGTTGTGACCTTGCAGCCCTTCCAGCAAATACTCCGTTACCAAAATTGGTCGTCTTAGATAAGCACAAGCACTTGCTTGAGCGATTGCATAAAATACTGGCTGATGGAGGTTATGTTGATGGATATGAAACCTCAGGTTACAAGCGATCGAGTAAGCCGCTCGAGCTTGCAGCTTCGGAGGTCCTACTCAAGGAAATCATCGCCAAGTTTCCACTCCACGCTTCTGAGCACCGTCTAGTAGATGTCACGGGCTCACGGCTCGCTGAGTGTCTCACGGGGAAATCTAACCCGCTTTCTCTTCTGTTGCGAACAAGACAAACAGACGAGTACTGGCGGACGTGTACGACCTGGCGCCCATGTGTCGATCAGCGACACGGCTCCTGGCAAACTTTCTACTGCGAGCTTTCTCTTCAAGCAACAAAAATGAGACCTTCCATATTCTCGAAGTGGGAGGTGGCACTGGTAAGTCTCGCATCTTTCTCAATCTCTGTCGTAAGATGAAGTTATGCTGACTCTCGCTCCCTTTGTTCCTTGTGATAGGAGGCACTAGTAAATTTCTGGTCGATTTTCTTACACGCTCCGGTATCAATTTTACTTATACCTTTACCGACATCTCCTCGGCGCTTGTAAGTGGTGTCAAGAAGGATTTTGCAGGCTTGGACTGTATGCGCTATGCGACCCTTGACTGTGACGAGCCACCTCCACCTGAGTTCATTGGCAAATTTCACGCACTCGTCTCGACTAATTGTATCCACGCAACTCACAACGCTACCACGTCTCTAGCTAACATACGTCAAATGCTGCGGCCGGATAATGGCTTCCTTGCCCTGGTTGAATTCACCAACGGAATGTACTGGTTTGACTTAGTCTACGGACTACTTGACGGTTGGTGGCTGTTCAGTGATGGCCGTCGCCACGCTCTTGGTGACATTCCATTCTGGGAACGAAGTCTATTGGCAGCTGGTTACAAGAGTGCAAATTGGACTAGTGGATACACGCCCGAGGCAAAAACGCTGCAACTAATCTGCGGTTTCAACTCAACTGGTGGCAGTGATGGACACAAGCCGGAACGTCAGGAGTCGCGTCTGTTTAAGCGAGGGGGTGTCCCGGTCGAGACCCTCGTATGGAAGCGAGTCGATGATCTCGAGTTGAGTGCAGACGTGTACTACCCTTCCGAGGTAGAAAATACCACAGCACTCAAGAGACCAATAGGTGAGCTGCATCGAGGGTCATAAGGGTATGGAGAACTTGATTAACTTTGTCCTTACTAGCTCTTCTTTTCCATGGCGGTGGGCACGTTTTGTTTACGCGCAAAGACATCCATACAAAGCATGTTAAGACATTACTCGCGCGAGGATTTCTTCCAGTCAGTGTCGACTATCGGCTCTGCCCTGAAGTCAATCTTGCTGAAGGGCCTGTAACGGATGCGCGCGATGCTCTTTTGTGGGCGAGACAAAAGCTTCCCCAGCTTCAGCTTGAACGCACCGATATTCGGGTAGATGGCGATCGAGTTGTAGCTGTGGGCTGGTCTGCTGGTGGCCATTTGGCCATGACCCTTGCATACTCATCCAAAGCACATAACATACCACCCCCTGAAGCTATTTTAGCTTTCTATTGCCCTTCAAATCTCGAAGATGAATGTAAGCAAGCTTCCCAATGCAGATTCGTGCCACTTCACCCAAGTTTGTAATGTTAACATGGAGAAATTATTTAGGGTGGAAGCATCCCATATATCCCAAGTCTATTCAGGAATCGCCAAACACGGAGTATGATCTGCTAGAAGGAGTTGGTGCAAAGCCGGTACGCGTCTCCCTTAGCACAATGAATATAACATTTGCATAGCTAATAAACTTCGACCAGATCTCTGGATATATTCCCAACACCCCGCTTGGCGCACCAATGTCGCTTAAAGACCCACGCTGGCGCATTATTATCCACTACAATTGGAAAGCGCAGCTTGTTCCAGTCCTTGTAGGCGGCCTGCCAAGCAAGAGCAAGGCCAGCGCCGGCAAATTTAATGAGGACTCCTGGACATCGCTGCCCATACCGAAGCTGGAGGACATTCAAGCTGTCAGTCCATACGCTCAAATCGTGCAAGGCAGTTACCGTACCCCTACATTCATGGTACACGGCGAACGCGATGACCTCATCCCGTGGCAGCAGACTCAGAGTACAGTCGAAGCGCTGCAAAATCAGGGCGTCGAGGCCGGCTTTGCGATTCCCAGGGATGCTGGGCATGCGTTTGGTTTGTGGGTTGGTGAGGATCCTAGGGGGGTTGGATGGGCGGCGATGATTGAAGGGTATGATTTTATATGTCGTTATGTTTAGCGATGATGTTATAATTATGTGTTATATAAATCTCATTTGTTTGTTGTTTGCCGATGCAATATGTTCGATGTATCGGATTATAGAATCTAGATAGAAGACCTATATGCAGGTTATTTTTGCTATTCAGTTCTGCCATTACTTGGGTACTCGGTAGTATTAGCATTAAAACACGCTAGCCGCGCATGTGGAACTGATTTCTCAAGGCCGCGACTACCCGGACCTGCTGGCTCTCTAATGTAATAGACAACTCTTGATGTCGAATTCAGAGACTGAATTATCCAATGACATACCGATATTAAACAAGTCTGAGCAGTGCCCCAGTATAGTGTCAAGAACTTGAGTAAACAAACGGATAGTAAATCCTAGCAGCTTGAATTCCGCCTGGGTAGCAACAAAAACATCAGCGACTTTGCTGCGAATAGACTTGACTGAATAGGTAGGCTTAGAGATGCTTCCCCGCGAACGACCATTAAAAGACTGATACTCAGTATTGCGTGTACTGGGCAGGCGCCATTCATACGGCATGGCGGCATGGTCAAATCGATTCAAGGCCTTGCGTATCGTAGAAAAATTGTGATTTCTGTGTTATACAGTACATTCTTTATGTACACAAACTGCCCATCCGACTCCTAGAATGCTGTATGTGGTGTATGTGCCCATCGGTACATCCGTACATCGCAAACTCCGTATTATACATGTCCCGTCTGTCTCTGACCCCGGTATAGTATATCCTTCAATTTACACAAGCTTCTTGACGACATCGATCGCGAATGGAGCTGTGTTATAGCCTGTCAGATAGACCCCCGGATAGTAAGGCATGCGGTGCGAGACTTACACAAGTACAGCAGTACCGCTCCGACAATAACCTTCTGCATCGTGAGGTTTGCCTCGTCCTCCTGGGCCCTGATCTCTGCGGCGCTGAGTTGTGGTGGTGCTATAGCCGTGTTAATAAGTATGCATATTAATATGAGGATATACTCACGTCCTCCGAACATGTTTGCGGTGTTGGTGATGGAAAGGAGTAATTTGTGTTGTGTTGTGTTGTGCTTTGACTTGACTTTCGAGGATCTGACCTCAGACCTGAATAATAATTTTGACATCTGCATCTGATAAGCCAAGACATCGTTGGCGGGTCTCGGAATACTAGTACTAGCCTAGCCTAGCTTAGGGTCTTGTGCTTGTGCAGCAGCGATAGAAGCTCCGCTCCGATACTAGGACCATTTTGATAATTTATTTTACAGCCCACTTTAAGTGCAAGAGCTCCCCTCCCATCAACCATCCTTCAACTTCTCTTATTCTTTTCTTCTCTGCAAATTCTCTCTGGTTCTGCTACTTACACTTTGAGCATTTACACCCGCAAACTCCTTGACTCTCAATTGCAACGAGACAATGCACGATTGTTGATATCAGTTGCCCTGTTCCTAAAACTCCCGCGTTGACCCCGCCACCCCCGGATACATACTGTTTCACCGACTTTTGGCTTCAAATCCCAAGCTTCAACCTCTCCAAACGATGGCAATGTCGAGTTTGGCTCTCAGAGCCCAGCTCAGGATAGCAACAAGTCAAACCAAAGCTTTAATACCCAGAAGTACCCTCCGAATCACACGACCATGGGCTTGTCGCCAACAGTCACGCCATATTACCGGGTCTATAACCAGACCCATTGGCAGACGTACCTTCTATACTAGCTCTGCTAGCGATGAGACGAATAGCTTGCCCACGGCTCCAGACTCCCGTGGAGCCTATCTCCCTCTCGATACCTTCCCACGCCGACATATTGGCCCCGATGCGGAGTCCACCGAGCAGATGCTGGAAGCCCTGGATCCTCCAGTCAAGAGCTTGGATGAATTCATCAAGCAAGTTCTTCCAGGAGATATTTTGTCCTCCGCGGACCTCGAAATCGACACTGTGCAAGCTGGTGGAGAGGAGGGATTTACGGAATCACAATTGTTAGCGAGACTTCGATCAATCGCTGGGAACAACACGATTATGCGGAGTTATATTGGCTGTGGATACGCAGGAACAAGAGTACCCGAAGTTATAAAGCGAAATGTCCTGGAAGGGCCAGGATGGTACACAAGTTATACTCCGTACCAGCCAGAGATCAGTCAAGGACGATTGGAGTCTTTATTGAACTACCAAACACTTGTCTCCGACCTCACAGCCCTCCCGATTTCGAATGCCTCACTCCTCGACGAAGGAACTGCTGCGGCGGAAGCCATGACTTTGTCTCTGAATGCTCTTCCGGCATCAAGACAGAAGAGCAAGGACAAGACATTCTTCGTCAGTCATTTGGTACACCCGCAAACGAAAGCTGTCCTGCAGAGTCGAGCAGATGGATTTGATATCAAGATTGAGATAGGAGATGTGCTTGCGGACGAAGGCAAGCGTATAAAGGAGCTCGGCAAAGATCTCGTTGGAGTTCTTGTCCAGTATCCAGATACCGAGGGAGGGGTGGAAGATTTTAAAGCTTTGGGGGATCTGATTCACGAGCAAGGAGCCACTTTCAGCGTTGCTACAGATCTTCTTGCTTTGACAGTCCTAACACCTCCCGGAGAGTTTGGTGCTGATATTGCATTTGGAAATGCCCAGCGATTTGGTGTACCATTTGGATATGGCGGCCCTCACGCAGCTTTCTTCGCTGTTAGCGATAAATACAAGCGAAAGATGCCCGGACGATTGATTGGAGTTTCCAAGGACAGATCAGGAGATAGGGCTATGAGGTTGGCTCTGCAAACTAGAGAGCAGCATATCAGACGAGAGAAGGCTACTAGCAATGTTTGTACAGCACAAGCATTGCTGGCTAATATGAGCGCTTTCTATGCAGTTTATCACGGTCCGCAAGGACTGAAGCAGATTGCTGAAAGGGCCATTCAAGGAGCCAGAATCATCGAAGCAGGTGTAAACGCGATGGGCTTCGAGACCGGATCTAGAGGAAAGGGGGAAGATGGTAGAGTCCTGTTTGACACTGTAGTTGTCAATGTAGGTCAAGGAAAGGTCGATGACGTGCTGGAGTTCGGCATAAAGTCTTTCGGTATCAATTTGAGAAAATTCGACGATAGCCGAGTTGGTATCACCGTCGACGAGACGGTGGACTATAAAGATCTTGTGGACATCCTGGCCATATTCGAGCCTTCGGCATCCAAGAAGGATGTCAAGATTGACCAGGTCATTGAATCCTTACCTGACAATGGCGCTCTTTCGATCCCCGCAGGATTCAAGAGAACGTCCGATTATCTCACCCACCCGGTCTTCAACACGCACCACTCAGAGACCGAACTTCTTCGTTACATCCATCATCTCCAATCGAAAGATTTATCCCTTACTCACTCCATGATACCCTTGGGATCTTGCACGATGAAGCTTAACGCTACGACTGAGATGGCACCCATCACATGGCCAGAGTTCGCCTCAATCCATCCATTTGCCCCTGTCGACCAGGCTAAAGGCTACAAGATCATGATCGATGAACTGGAAGTTGACTTAGCTAAAATAACTGGCTTTGATGCTGTATCTTTGCAGCCCAACTCAGGAGCCCAGGGCGAGTTCACTGGCCTTCGAGTTATTCGAAAGTATCAGGAACAACAGCCAGGAAAGAAGCGTGATATTTGTCTGATCCCTGTTTCCGCTCATGGCACGAACCCTGCTTCTGCTGCCATGGCTGGAATGCGTGTTGTCACTGTCAAGTGCGACACTAAGACCGGCAACCTTGATATGGCGGATTTGAAGGCGAAGTGTCAGAAGTATAGCGAGGAACTAGGTGCAATCATGATCACATACCCTAGCACTTTTGGCGTCTTCGAGCCCCAGATCAAGGAAGTGTGTGACGTGGTTCATCAGCATGGCGGCCAAGTGTACATGGATGGCGCGAACATGAACGCTCAGATTGGATTATGCTCCCCTGGAGAAATTGGTGCCGATGTTTGCCATCTCAACCTCCACAAGACTTTCTGTATTCCCCATGGTGGCGGAGGTCCAGGAGTAGGTCCGATTGGTGTCAAGTCTCACTTGGCCCCTTTCCTTCCAGGTCACCCTCTGGTTCAGACTGGCGGTGAGAAGGCTATCGCACCTGTAAGTGCAGCTCCTTGGGGAAGTGCGAACATCCTGCCCATCAGTTGGGCCTACATCAAGATGATGGGTGGACGAGGCCTAACCCACGCCACCAAAATCACCCTCCTCAACGCCAACTACATCATGTCCCGCCTACGCCCTCATTACCCTATCCTCTACACCAACTCCGCCTCCCGCTGTGCCCACGAATTCATCCTCGACGTACGCGGTTTCAAAGAAACAGCCGGCATCGAAGCTATCGACGTCGCGAAACGCCTGCAAGACTACGGATTCCACGCCCCGACCATGAGCTGGCCCGTCGCTAACACGCTTATGATCGAGCCCACGGAGTCTGAAAGCAAGGAAGAGCTTGATCGCTTCATCGACGCTTTGATTTCCATAAGAAAAGAGATCCGAGCTGTGGAAGAGGGCGAGGTGCCCAGGGATGGCAATGTGTTGAAGCTGGCGCCACATTCGATGAAGGATCTATTGAGTAGCGAGTGGGCGAGGCCATATACAAGGGAGGAGGCTGCGTATCCATTAAGCTGGTTAAGGGAGAAGAAGTTTTGGCCCAGTGTTACTCGTTTGGATGATGGTATGTTCCCTTTTACTCCATAAATCATATTCTACCCAATCTAATATATCCTAGCATATGGCGACATGAACCTCTTCTGTACCTGCGGCCCCGTTGAACCAGTCGATGAGACGGAAGATGGAATCACAGGCGTTTCGGCCCCCAATCCTACATAATTTACATATTATAAGGGTGTATAATCGGAGGGAATTTGATTTAATTTCAACATTAAGCAAGCGCTGCGAGGTGTTGGCATGGCGTTTCTTAGATATGGGAACATGGCTTCAACTGCCACAGCTCTTATGATTCTGTTTTTAGACTTTGGAGAAATTGGACATGGGATGTGAGCACCTGATTGCCTCGACTGTCTTGTGGGTGGGCGAGCTAGCTTTAATGTTTAGCAGACCAGACAGAGTCTAGGTAATTCGCAGTTGAAATATAAGTTTCGGCTTGAGAATTCTTTTTCGTTAGTCTTCATCAGAGAATTTGTGAGACTCCGATAGTGTAACGTGACCATCATCAAAGAGAGACTTGCGAAAATTTCCTAAAGCCACATCAATCACACCGGTGTCTATAGAAACGAGACTTCGATATTAGCAAACTCAAATTGAGGTACCTGTATTGGAGCTTGTTACTAGAACGAGACCGGAGATGTTAACCATCGAATAACATGAGGCCACCAGGTCAGCACCATACTTCAATCAGGACTATTTTACAGTGCGACAAGCTGTATAAAATGACTTTTTGCCAATAGTTTAGCACATTAACAGGAGAAAAGATTGCGAAAAGACCTTTAAGCTAGTCTCTGAATAGATACCAGGTCAGAGGATTACCGCGTGCTTCATGCCCGTGTTAAAGATACCGGTTGTCAGCACGCTTTGTCTGGATGAAAGCTTCAAATTAACTAAACAAAGCGAGGTAAATTCTGCGTGAAAGCCTATTCTTCCATAACACTATGTACATACAACCCCGCAAACACCTCATTCTCAACTGCGAATATTTTAAGGTCCGTGGTGCGAGTAGAGTTGGCGTTCTCGGAGGTGTACAGGGGTTTCATTCGCTGGTGCGTCGGGGATGGTTTTCTCGAGTTTCTGTCATACGTTCCAGATTAGTAAAAGGAATACTGTAGGAGTAAGAGGGAAGGTCTAACCAGGTTATCGAAAACACATTTGTTGAGCTTCCATTCAAGTGGTCGGCATTGCCAGAGCTGTTGATTGTTGTTGTCGAGGCAGGTCCAGTGTTTGCGGAATTCGACGAGGCAGTGCTTGTTCACGTCATCTAGACTGTCGAACATTGGAATGTTAGCATTTGATCTTCCAAGCTTTCAAAATGCCTCTCCGAATGTCCAGCAACCGTCGGAGAGCGGTTCTTCTCCCACTGCCATTTCTCCTTCTATCCTATCCACTCCATATCATGGATTTCGCTGTCTCGGGCAGAACTTACACGCTCTTCGCACATCTCGTAACCCTTCTCCCCTCCTTCAAACAATCCATCTCCGCTGTTCCCGGCTTCTCTGTCTTGCATTGCATAAAATCATCATTATACGCCTTGCATCTCGCACCAATAAAGAAACTCGCTGACAGTAGAGGCGCAGAACTGCTTCCAACCTCCTCGACCGGTGGGATGCTCGCTGGTAAAGGAGCTGTGTCGATCAGAGTGGTTTGAGAGAACCTATTGCAGCAATCAATTAGCATTTGCACGCAGAACTTGTGTAGATTAAGGACATAGTACTGACCTTGCCTGTCGTCCGGACATTTTGAGAGCTCTCCTGGTAGATTCAAAGGTTCGTGGTGGAGTCAATTGATAGCTTTGATGTTTGTCGGCAGCTTGAAGTGAGGTTCGAGGTCACAAGGAACGTGGAAATTGATTGGGCGGCCAAGCGACGTAGTGAGGCTCGCATCGCGCCGCCTCGAGAAGCTCAGCTCTGCTCAGCTTTCGCGACAACAAAAGAAAGTCAACGAGGCATTTGAACTTTTACATACAGTACGCTACATTCCGCGACTCCAAAGCAATAGCAGCAAATACCTGCGCTGCATCTTCAGCTTCTTGCGATCGTCATCTCGAATCCCAGAGATCATCTCTTTTTTCTTTTTTTTGGACCCTCGCTTTCTCAGCATAAATAATAATACCCCATTCACTTCTTCCATCTTCGAACGCGCTCTCGAATCCGCGACTTGCATACAGCGATACTTCTGCTACACGAATCTCTCACATCGAACCACACATTCCTTGCAGCCTTCTTGCTACACCATACCTTAAATGTCGATATTTGGGTCGACGACGGGCCAGACGGGCGGAGGAGGATTGTTTGGGTCAAGCACGCAGACTGGAGGAGGGTTATTTGGACAAAGCACGCAGCAAAGTCAGCCACAACAAACCGGAGGCCTGTTTGGGCAGAGCACGCAGCAAAGTCAGCCTCAACAAACAGGGGGTTTATTTGGCCAAAGTTCACAGCAAACCCAACCGGCGCAAACTGGCGGCTTGTTCAGCGGTTTAAATAAACCTCAACCGCAGCAGCAGACCGGAGGACTCTTTGGTCAAGGCACTCAACAGCAACAGCAACCACAACAAGCTGGGGGGCTGTTCGGAAGTTTGGGTCAGAATACACAGCAGACTCAACAGCAACCGCAGCAGCAGCAAGCTAGTAGCTTATTTGGTGGATTCGGCCAGAGTACACAGCAGAATCAGCAACAGAGCGGAGGTTTATTTAGTGGTCTGGGACAGAGTCAAAACCAGCAACAACGGCCGGGGCTCTTCTCTTCATCGACACAACAGCAGCAGCCTCAATTAGGGCAAAGCCAACTTGGTGGATCATTATGGCAGCCGAACAGTGGAATGAATCCTCGTAGGTCTTCTTGAACCTTTGTTTGTGTTCGATGCTAATCAGTACTTAATAGGTGAAAAGAGCGTTCCCGAGCAAATCGCAACTGTCCTCCAAAAATGGGATATCGGCAGCCCCAACTGTGTATTTCAGCACTATTTCTACAACAAGGTGGATGAAAACATGGCGCCATTTTACAAGCCTGGGCCGACTGAAGATCCAAAAGCCTGGGATGAGGCCCTTTCAAAGAAGCCTGGTCCTGGATTTATTCCAGTTCTGTGTGTTGGATTCGAGCAGTTAGGGAAGAGGATCGAACTTCAACAACGGAATCTCGCGCACTACAACGCTCGCCTCCATGAGATCAACAATTCTCTATCGTTGATGTTGTCAAACCACGATACAAAGACAAGTATCAGGGCTATGGAAGCGAGGAGGAGACACGTCCAACTCAAGCAAAGATGTTTATCGTTAGCCACCAAGGTTCAGATTCTGAGGAATAGAGGATATGCGTTAGGTGCTGATGAAGAGGACTTGAAGACGAAATTACAAGCCTTAGAAAGAGGTGTTACGGATCCTGGCCTTGGCGCAAGAGGGGAAGAAATATGGGCTCGGATGCTCACAGTACAGGAGCGGGCAAAACTATTGAAGGCGGAGATAGAAAATAGTGGTTCAGAGGACCCTGTTGGATTGGACGAGGGCATGACCCAACAGGCAAAGAAGGTATGTATTCGGTCTGTATTTGAGGATGTGGCTAATGTTGTTAGATTCTTGAGGACTACCAAACCCAACTGGACCATTTGAAGAAGGAAATAGAATCCATTCAAAACGATTATGTCAATTGGGTCAAGGAGCAGGGGCCTGAGCCTCTACGGGTAAAGAAAGAAGATAGGAGGGCGAAAGCAGAGGCAGACTTTTCTGAAAAGTCAGCTTTCATGAGGCATAAGATGAGCACGACACCTGCTAGCTATATGCCCTATTCATGAGCAGGAGCGGTTTTGTAAAATGGACGAGTAATTATGTTGTCAGAGTCACGTGGGCCGGCGCCGTAGAGTTGTGCGCCTACGGAGAAGAATCAGGTTTGCGGAAGATTCACCATCTTCTCATATATCAGAGAAATTTGAGACCTTACAAGATGGACCATTTTGGAATCTCACGCCCTGTGACTCACATGATGTCCCCACTTATCGTGTCTTTAGCTTCAAGAGTCATAACTTCAAATATGCAAGGATTTACTAAATATATAACAGAGCTCCGTAAGGAATTGGCAAGTGCTAATCCAAAGTTCTTACTTAAGTCACGTTTATGAGGATATAAACTCTCATTTTTTGGACTTTTCCTCATATCTCTCCAAACCTCACTCTCACAAACATGGCGGCTCACGAACCGGAGGGCGATCCCGTCTCAACGATCCCTTCTATAACCCCTTCCATAGACTCCCCCCTCTCAACTCTCCATGGCCAATACATAACCCTCCGACCCCTCCAACTTTCCGACGCCCCTCTCCTCTACCACTCCCTCGGCGGCCCCTCCAATGCCTCCCTCTGGACCTACCTCCCCACCGACCCGTTCCTCGACCTCGAGTCTTTCACCGCACACATAGAATTCCTGTGCACAGGCACCGTCTTCATCCCATTCGTCCTCCTCTCGCACAACCCCGCCCACATCCCCCCCGCCCTCTCCTCTGCCATCCCGTCAGAAGGAGTCCCAGTCGGCGTCACAGCACTATTGTCCATCGTCCCCGCGCACCACACCATAGAAATCGGCCACGTGTTATATTCACCTCTCCTGCAACGCAGCACCGCGTCAACCGAGACCAGTTTTCTACTTATGAAGCTTTGTTTTGAGGAGCTGCGCTATGAGCGGGTCGAGTGGAAATGTAATGATCGTAATAAACCGAGTATGAACGCGGCGAAAAGGTTGGGGTTTAGGTATGAGGGTACGTTTCGGAGGCATCTGGTTGTTAAGGGGCGTAGGAGGGATACGGCTTGGTTTTCGGTGGTAGTAGAGGAGTGGGGGTCGGTCAAAAGGGTGTTGGAGAGTTGGTTGGGGGGAGGGTAATTTTGAGGGGGGGTAACAGAGGGAGAGGATTGAAGATGTAAGGGAGAGATTAGCAGACAAGAGGAAATGAGGCCTGAGCAGGGGGTTGGAGAATCTTCTGTTTGTCGTTATTAGGGGAGGAGAAAGGTAATGGGACAATTTGATTGATTTAATACGTTGCTCTTACCTGCTATATATTACCCCCCTTCATTCCAAAACGAATAAAACTAGCAAGTGCTAGATTACTAAAGTATATCTTCTCCCATTCATCTACTCTTGAATTCATTAGCGAGCTATGCAAGCACAAAGATACAATTACATAGGTAGGGAGTTATTTCATAACGTTTATACACAATCGAGGAAGCAGCGCGGCGATGATGGAGTGGCAGAGTCTTGCCCTAAGTTGTTGGAGTGAATATATGTGTTTCTGTTTTTGCCGCATTTTCATTCATCGTCTGAGTTGCCGTCATTTGAAAATCCACTGTTGTTTGTACTTGCCAAGTTAGAAAGAAAGAAAAAGAAAATTCATATATATTCTTTTAACAATTTAGTATTTTGGTTTACTTTACATGAACAGACATCTATAGAGTTCGAAAAGGACTAGGTGAGTGCAGGCTCCACATGTACCATATGTGCTAGAACGTCTCTTGTGATTGAAACCTAGAAATACTCACTCCTATAGTTTATATATTCGGATCCTAAAGGCACACAGCTATACGTTCCCGACCAGGTTCGTTTGCTTTCAAGTCTGCCGAAGATCTCAGAAGACTTTGCAATTTCCAAATAAGGAAGTTCTAGGCTAGTATATGAAAACCACCACCGCAATAATATTATATATATGTTAATTGATCTAAAATACACCAAGCGTAAGAGACGATCATAGGAACTGTTTTGCCGATTACATAGGAGAGATTCAGCTTGGGCAATTGATAGCATACTTCGTATAAAACCCCGGGGTTCTCGGGCAGTTCAAAAATGGTTGCTGCATGATAATTTACTCACGTTGATTCTTTACTGTAAGAAGTTGTGCTTTTTTTTTGGTTCTGCATTAGGTGGATGATGTAAGGGTTTGCTGTTAATATATCTTTCACTATCACATTGAAGACTTCGGTCACTGCTTTGTTTGCTGAGAACAATTCTACTATGGTTAGTAAATAATCCGCTCTAAAAATACCATTAACTACAAGTTTCGTATTCAGAGACATCTGATTATCGAATCATAATCCGCATTACTGCGAGTCTAGTTGTGATTGCCTATTGCTAAGATGAGCCAAAATAGAAAAGAATTAAAGTTGCGAGATAGGAATACTTGACACGGTATTCTTAGTAGAGTTGATTAAAAGTGGATAATTGTAGGTAGGTGGATATTATGCCTATAGGTACAGAAGTCGAGATCTAGGGGACATAATTCTTACTCGTCTATATATTGTAAACCTTAACTTTGGTCTCCATCTGTTTTCACACCTGCACCTGCGACCTTTCAAGTTCTTAAAGAATAAGTCCTAGATAACCGACTAAAACAGAATTTATACAATAGTATAAAAAAGAATCAGCTTCCTATTATAGTTAGCGGTTCATATTGGAATACGCTTAGCGACATACACTTATATTTAGAATATTACCCCACCATTGGAAAGGACATCGAAGCTCGCCCTAACCCCCAAAAATACGACCTGCCTAATAAAATGGAAAGGGTCGACTTAAATAAATGAGGAGCAAGCTATATATATGACAACTAGGCTTGCCTTCCCCTATTCAATATCACCTTGTTAATAGACCGCACCGGGTCTCTTGTCTCCCATGGCACTTCCCGACTCAACAACATATCCCAAGCCTCCGGGCCAAGAACGATCGTATCCAAAGCCGACTAAAACAGGCAGGGCTCCCTTCAAAATCCCCAACCATGACCTCCACGGTGAGACTGCCTTTGAGATCTATGGCGATCTCGAATCTGGCAAAGTCCCACTTATTGCACTGCACGGCGGGCCCGGCATACCCCACGGCTACTTGCTCCCATTATCGCTCGTGCTGACCGACTATGGCGTCCCGGTTATTATGTATGACCAGATTGGCTGCGGCGAAAGTACTCGTTTTCCGGATCACATAGGCGACACGGGTCTGTGGACCCCAGAGCTCTTCATGGCCGAGCTCGACAATCTTAGGCAGACACTGGAAATACAGAAATTTGACCTCCTCGGGCAGAGCTGGGGCGGGATGCTGGCAGCATTATACACTGTGACAGTGCAGCCGGTAGGGCTGCGAAAACTCATCATCAGCAACAGCCCAGCTTCGATGAGGACGTGGATGACGGTGGCGAATAAGCTGCGCATGGCCATGCCGCTTGATATACAGAACATCTTGACCCGGTGTGAAAAGGAGGGCAAGATGGATACGCCAGAATATGAAGCGGCTACGAATGAGTTTAACAAGCGGCACTCGTGTCGATTAGACACTCTTCCTAAAGAACTTGTCGAGCCGTTTCAGGCCTGGGTGAGTGATCCCACCGTATGCATGACCATGTTCGGGGCGAGCGATTTCGAAATAAGTGGCTCCCTCAAGTCCTTTAGTATTGAGGAGGATTTGAAAAAGTTGACAGTTGAGGTGGTACCAGGCGGGATTCTTCTGATGAATGGCTATTTTGATGTGGCGCAGGACGAATGTATGCAGCCGTTCTTTAATGAACCTTCGGCTAAAGTCAAATGGGTGCGGTTTGGACTTAGTTCTCATTGTCCGCAGTTAGAAGAGACCGAGAAATTCATTCAGGCCTTAGGTAGCTTTTTGAAAAACTGAACAGATGCAGTCTTATTCGTGTATATAAGGTTAGATGTAGCATTTGCTTCATGGCCGGGAAGTAGGAGGACTTTAGGGAGTTGGAATGTTAAGCGAGGAAGCTTGATGCTTAAGGTAGAGGTCCTAATAAAACTTTAAGAAGTTGGGATTTGGTGTTAATATTGGTGAAGTGCGGTTGAGAGATACGGAAGAAAATATTTATACTTCCTTGATCAAATGATACCCCTAAATATCTCCGCAGATGATCAAGTCGACAATATCATTGTGAATTCCCCAAAACGCCTGCACACCCCGCTCCGCAACTTTAGCGTTCTTCTAATCCTTCAAGTCCAAGCTTGAAGAAGTTGCTTGGCAGTTATATGGATATAGACTGTAAAACCAGTCTTTCTTCGTGGCTTCTTCTGTAAACTTATTCTCCATTCATTCTCACCGCGAGTCGGTACCTCGGATCGAAGCAATTGACATTTTAGCGCACGTCCCCGGGATTTTTACGCCGTAATTTCTGTTTTTGGAGCCTTAGGCATAATGGCCAAAATCGGCTGGCATGGTGGTGCACCAGGTGCGCTGCATTCGGCTTAGTAATAGCTTTTATCAAGTAATTGATCTACGGTACATACACACGAATACCGACGATCTTATCTATTATTAAGTGTTGATGACTTGTACACTACGGAGTAGGTAAGCTCGCATAAGTGCGGGAGCGCGGGGTAATGTATTGATCTCTTAGGGACGTGCACGTCGATATCGCCTCCATTTCATTTCATTTACAACCTCATCGCCCTTATAAAGACAAACATTCAAGAAACTCTCTTGGTACATCACAATATCATTGAGTATTCATCACCTGCCGTTCTCCAGCAGAATGCTTTTACGCTCAGGGAAGATTACCACGCCGTTGATCATGCCTGCTGCGGCGACCGCGAAATCATTTAGTTGCCTCCATTGCAGCCTCCAATTCCCCGAGGAAAAGACAGTTCTCAAGCATAATCGGGAGAAGCATCCAAAGTGCAAGCAATGTAAAGAAAGATTTCTTGGTCTAGCAGAATTGCAAAACCATCGAAAAATCACAGAACATTTCTATTGTCGCGAGTGTGATCTTCACTTCCCGAATCTTGAAAAGCACCTCACGCATGCACGAGGTACTACGCATACGACTCCACATCACTGCTGTGACTGCGATCGAGAATATACCAACCAAGAAACCTTGAGCTACCATTGCTGCGACTGCGATCAAGTGCTTCGAAATGAAAAGTCCCTGCGAAAACATTTCTCCGGGAAGAAGCATATTCTCAAAGTCGGAGTTCCAACGTCAAGGAGCTCTCGCGATCTCCCACACAAGTGCAGCAAGTGCGACGAGACATTCCATCGCAAGAAACAGCTAAATGGGCATATGTTAAGCCATAGACCTCCTCGTAACATTCCTTGCCCAACCGGTGGAAAATGCAACAAGAAGTTCGCGGTACCGTCTGCCCTCCTGAACCATCTTGAGAGCGGCTGCTGTAGCTCGGGATTGACTCGAGCCAAGATGCACGAACTCGTTTTCGCCCACGATCCGAATCGTTATATTACATCGGTTGAGGCAGTCAAATCGATTCGTTCTTCTGAATATATATCTGCTAGGTACTACTTCTTCAATCTCAAAGCATTGGGTTGAAGCTAATAATTAAAGTCAAACTTTACACCTCTTAGATTTGGTCGAGTCTTCATCCGAAAATCCACCTAGAGACCAATCCACACCACTTCCTCTAGTTTCTAACGACGACAGCCTCAGCGAGTGGTCCGCTGATAGTTGCGGACCATTAACGCCTACTACTAGCGACAGCGACTGGTCAATCATCGGGGGGGCTGTCTTAACTCCTACATATAGTGATAATGCCAGTGAATGGTCGTTCGTGAGCGAAGATCTCGTACATGTATCGTCGAATGCGTTTCCGTTTGATACAGATCTCGATGCTAGTTCATATAGAGGCACCGTGTCTCAGGAACGGCGCTGTATACTCTGTGGGCCCAACCGAAAGTCATTCCGCAGCATGAGAGCCTACCAAGCGCACGTAAATTCAACAGCTCACGCTCCGAAGATCTTCCATTGCCCCTTATCATTCATTCCACAGGTCAAACCACTAGACCTATCAAAAGCTAGAAGTTTCTCGACTTTGGGTGGATTGACTCAACATCTAGAGAGCGGGAAGTGTGAAGGCGGGCTTGAAATGTATGGCAAAGCGATTACCTTCGTGGAGGAGCAGTTGAAACTCCTCGGGCTTAGTGGTTTCATGCTATCGTCGAATTAAAATGTTATTGCTAATGGTGGAATCTTAATTCCATTTTGAGTGTTGCAACTACTGCAACTGGTTTGAGTCGTTCGACTAGGAGGTATACTACCCGACTCATCATTTGATCCAGTCACGGTGCCACTTTTTTTAGTATCCAAGAGATTGTACTCCTTGGCTGCAACGCAATTTTCTAGTTCTAGAAGAAGTATTAGAGGCTTGATTTTGATAACTATGGCAATATCGGAACATGAGAACGTGGATCTAGATAGCAATGACCGAAACTTTTTATACACCAGAATGCTCTATCTATAGTACCAGGAACACTTTTTTAAAACTTTCCACCCACGGAAACTTCTTACCCTTCTCACCAACCTGCCAAGCCTCCAAATCGTGCGGCGGGAGGTAATGTACGGCTCTATGTATGACAGACGATAATGAGGTTTGCTTGCAAAGTCCCCTGAACAGTGTCCCTGATAATGTGATGCGATGCAGAGAGGTCTAAGCAGATAAGACCGAGGAGTTATTCTAGGCTAAAGTGGAAAAAAATGCGGTAACGGGAGGGGTAGGGTTTCAAAACTCAGGCGAACCTTATGTTCATTAGTATTAAAACGTAGGGATAATAACCTCAATTGAATGTTCACAGACTGTCGACGGCACAGAGACTATAGGCCCTCAAATCTGTCGTCATCAAAAGCAATATCATTATTTGCATTGATATCATGCATCCTTCTAAATAGCGAGTTCCTCCCCTTTATGCCCAAGGCGAAAAAGGAGGGACAAGGTCATAGAATAGAGGAGACCTGTAAACAGAGAAGATAATAGCCAATTCAAGCCTTGATTGTGGAAGCTTTTAAATGATATTGCCCGCTCGACCCTAGTCGACTCCTGTGTACGAAGTTTGTCACTTCTCATCCGACTGAATCATACTGGAAGGTCCAGCATCATGTGACTCTGTCGTGCGAATCAAATCACGACGGCGAACATAGTCTTGAAGCTGTCTTAGACCTCCTTGACCTTTGGACCTAATCACAAAAGCGTTGTTGAAATGATCTCTAACGTTAACTAACATCTGTATTGGCACCTCGTAGTATGAATCGATCTTTAAGTATGAATACTTCTGCAATACCGGAAAGAATCGCAGAGTTTCTCGATGATGCCATACAAGGTAGTTTCGAAGTTGTAGTTGAATTGTATAGCCGTTCTTTAGTGTTGGCGCAATAGGGACGTAGTCGCCGTCTTCCTTCAACGTCGAGGTGATCTAAAAGAGTGAGCAGATGACTATTTGGATTTTCAATCACTCACTGTCATAACTTTCACATAATCTAACTTTCTTGGCACACCACCGAGGACAAGGACCATGTGGCCGCGCACTTTCTCTGGGAGAACAGGAGTAGGTATGCCCAAATCCAAGCATTCTGAATTACTCTTGAATGTATAAACCCCGCCTTCGAAATCTCTTAGCAGTACCATTTTTTAACAGCCGATTGATGAGGTTGCAGGTCTAATCTGTCAGTAGGGGAAAGAATGAAGTTGATGACGGATTCAGGGAGCCCAATTACGGTGCTGTCACGATGACAAGTGCACACGCGATCTCATTCCAATCCAAAAGCGTCGATTAAATTTACAGCCATACGACTTCCGGCACGTACCTAGGTAGGGATGGACGTTAGTAGTGCTTTCGCTTAAGTAGAGGTGTCATAGGTACCAGATTGGTATATATGCTAGCGTTAGATTTTTACAGATTAGAAAAATAATATATGAGGACCTTATAATTATACATACTTGTAAAAAACATAGAAAGGTATATCTAGTAAAGCTAAGCTATATCAGGACTTGATTCTCGTTCTAAAGTAGGACTAGTGGATGAGCTATTATATTACTAATTTCAACGCCTTACCACCAGGTTTTGTATAGGTATATTGTAAAATAGCCAAGAAAGACTCAAAAATCATTACGAGCCCTCGTAGCTCAATGGTAGAGCGCGTCACTAGTAGCGATCAATTACAGACGTACATGACGAGGTTGCCGGGTAAGTTTATCATTACTCCATTACGTCTTACAATTTACTAATATGCCTACGATAGTTCGATTCCGTCCGAGGGCAGTTTACTGTTATTCACTTTTTTGATTTTTTGACTATCATTGTTTTATATTGTTTTGTTTCATTTTGGGTGGTGGTGTCTCGCTTATTAGCCCCTATCCCGAACCTTTCTTTTTGGCACAAGCCTGACAGGCTTGACCTACCTACTACTTGCGGGGACATTACTCGTGAAGTCAAAAGATGGTGGCTACTATTTAGGAGGCCGGATATCTTGGCTCTAGATTTCTACCCGTGAAGACATCGATTCACTCACTCCAATGAGGATGTGACGAAAGATTATGATTGCCTCTGGCTTTATTATTAGGCTTCTCCGCTGCGCGTTTAGTTGCTGGTTTTATTTTAGATACTTATCTTCTTAATACAATTACAATCCCGACAATAAAGTGAATACCGAGAAGCTCTACTTGATAGTGTCAGACGAATCTGGGTCCGAATACAAAGCGCATTGTTGAGATGCAGGTACAAAGTCTGGGATTCTATCATTCCACGCTAATAATTACACGTGACTGTGACTCGATTCTGTTCTCAAAGCCTCGCGAATCGCGATGCTCTACGCGTGTCCATTTCAACTCAAACTTTCAAGATGCCTTCAAGATCTCCATCCAGAGGAAGACCGCGCAGTCGCTCCCCTTATTCGGAGCATTCTCGACCCGAATCAAGATCTGTCTCAAGACCTCATCGCACAATCTCTCCGCGTTCGCAAAGTCGCAGCCCTCACAGGAATGGCAGATACAGAAGTGAGAGTCGCAGCGTCAGTCGCGGAAGGAGCCCAAGCCCGATCAGAAGCACAAAGGTGAGCTCAAATCATCTTGCGCAATATGTCGCTAACTTTCTGCAGGTTGTCATTGAGAAGCTTACGAAAAATGTCAATGAAGAGCATCTGCGAGAAATCTTTGGTGCCTATGGCCAAATTCGAGACTTGGACATGCCAATGAACAGACATTGTGAGACGCCTTTTTTTCTCATTCTGATCGCTATTGCTAACCTTGTAGTCGGTACAAACCGTGGAACAGCTTACATCCTCTACACGTCCGAAGCCGATGCCGAAGCAGCAATTGCACACATGCATGAATCTCAAATCGATGGGGCAGTCATCAATGTATCAATCGTTCTCCCGCGCCGAAAGTTCTCCCCATCCCCACCTCTCGCCAGACGCGGCGCAAATATTGATCCCCGAGGACCTCCATCGGCAAGCTTTCGAGGACCACCAGCTCCCCACCGCCGCTCCCCACCACCAAGCTATGGACGACCCGACAGGAACTTCGATACGTACAGGCCCAGAACCCTCTCTCGATCCCGGTCACCGAGACGGCATAGAACGCGTTCAAGATCGCTCTCGTCTCGATCTCGCTCTCCACCAAGAAGACGGGGAGGCAGACGTGATAGCCCTGGTCGCAATGCAGGTAGAAGGAGGAGAAGCCCGAGTTATAGCAGCTATAGTAGTTATGATGATAGAAGTAGGAGCAGAAGTCGGGGTCGTGGAGGACGGGGAAGACGCTAAGACGTTGGGGATTTTGAATTTCTAGCGCAGGAGTTTAGGTTAAACGGAAAATAGTGAGATTGACTTTATGATACCAATGAAAGCTGCTATATGATTTCAATCGCCTGTGGATGTTGATAAACTTTCATTGTGAAGGTACAGCCTAGTGAAATGGACGTTTATTTTGCCTCAATTGGGTGACTTGTCCTTATCTCCTATCCTTCCGCCTACCCAAGCTACTCTTCTGTTGAATCATTTCACAGACCTAATATAATGCGGCAAAAAGCGTTCATCGACGTGAGTAATGCAAACCTTTCGATCTGAACAATCCACAGATACGGACATTATTCTAGACATTACCGATCGCACAAGGAATCCCTCAAGTCGTCAAATCCCCTTCACAAATAAAACTGTCCGATGGGCATAATCACAAGCCGCAGAATATCGCTCCCGTTACCCCAATAACGAGGACTCCAGATGGAAACGAAGGAGAGGAGAACCCAGACCAGATTGTCGGCATTCCTCACGGACTCAGGTCATATGTCGTGAGAAAACAATTTGAAACCCTATATTCAAATCCCTCGATTATTTTGTGGCATATGGAATACAAGAGGCCATGTGGGAGAGATCTTATGGTGCTTAGAAAAGTTGTTGCCTCCAATCTCGCTATTGCTTGCACATGCCGTGGAAAGGAATATACGTATATGATGTCCGATAGGAATTCTCTTGGCTTGCTCAAAAGAGTCTGTCATGCATCCAGATATAGCTACAAAAGAGAAGTTTAATCTTAACTTCATAGACCTGTTCCATACTCGCCATGCATGCAATGTTGCACGTAAGTTATAGATTTACAAGCAGGTTCTTGCTCCTAGATCTCTTCCAGAAGTAAATATGTTCACCGTTTCTTTTCCCCGATTCTTCCCTAGACCGTAGAGTAAAGAAGATATGCTGACTCCGGATTTCTGAACCTTATTAAATGAATGTCTCGTTTTCAGCTTGACACTTACCTATAGTGCCATGTCGTTCAGACTTTACTACCTAGGTAGGTATATGAACAATGCAGATTATTTCAGCTAAAACAAGTCTAAAAGGAATATTCCCATTTATTGCCCGGTTCGGCATATTCATTGCTCTTGGATATATATAGCTTGCCGCTAGACTAGGTTCTTGACACGAACCTTCGTCATCACTATCAGCTTCCAAATCCAGTCGCAATCGCAAGTAAACCACCACTCAAACTAAAGGTATATCCCTCGACTATGGCGCAAGCCGGCCTCCTCAATTCATTCCTCGCAGCTGTGCAGGCAAGCTTATCAGTCCTGCTCGTCATATTCTACGGAGCTCTCTCAGCGCGCCTATCGCTCCTAAACAGCGCCAACGCGAAATCCATCTCCAAAATATGCGTCAAGTTGTTCCTCCCGGCCCTGCTGCTCACGCAAATCGGCTCGGAGCTGCACTCAGGGTCTGCGTATCGATATGTAGTGATTCTCGTCTGGGCGCTGCTGGCGCATCTCGTATCGTTTCTGATTGGAGTTGGTGCGCATTTGCTCTTGGGCATGCCGGATTGGATCACGGCTGCTATTATGTTCAATAATACGACGAGTTACCCGCTGCTGCTTATTCAGAGTCTGGATGAGACGGGCATTCTGGGGAGTCTGATTATTACGGATGAGTCGACTAGGGATGCGATTGAAAGGGCCAAATCGTACTTTTTGGTCTTTGCTACTGTGTCGAGTTGCTTGACGTTTGCGGTGGGGCCGAGACTTATTGATTCAGAGCATGCTCCTGCTAAACCGAATGATAAATCAGGCGAGGATGAAAGCGATAATGAGGATGAAGAGAACGGGAATGTGATTGGAAATGGGAATGGAAATGGCGAAGGATGGGATGATAGTAATGATGATGAGGATCTCTCGCCTACTGATCAGAGCCACCTTCTTCCTCGGAATCTCCCAAGGCTATCTGTGGTGTCTAAATCCTTCTTCCCGTCCAAACCCCGCGAGCCCTCCAACACACCCACCACCCCCGACCACCGCCCCTCATTCATCACCAAGAAACGCTGGCGGAAAGCCAGCGACCGCGCTCGCTGGTGGGTCCTCTTCCTCTACGACTTTCTGAACATGCCTCTCCTCGGCGCCGTGCTCGGCGCCATCATCGGTCTCATCCCCGCTCTCCACCGAGCATTCTTTAATGACACGCAAGACGGCGGCATCTTCACAGCATGGCTCACCGCGTCCCTGAACAACATCGGCGGGCTCTTCGTCGCGTTACCCGTCCTGGTAGCAGGCGTATCGCTCTACACGGCCATGAAAAAGTCCCAAGCTCAAAGCGCGGAAGAATTATCAGCGAGCGCTACGCCATGGCTGACTACCGTTTTCGTACTTGTGGTCCGGTTTGTGGTGTGGCCTGTGATTTCAATTGCTGTTGTGTACGGATTGGCGAACAAGACGGATGTGCTGGGCACGGATCCGATGTTGTGGTTTGCGATGATGCTGATGCCGACTGGACCGCCGGCTATGAAGCTTATTACGATGGTGGAGGTTAGTGATTGTGACGCCGCGGATGAGGATAAGATTGCGAAGTTGTTGACTGTGAGTTTCTCCCCTTCTCTCCTTTTTTGCTGTAAGTTTTAGTTGAGGCATATTGACAAGGGTTGTGCTGTAGATATCGTATATCATTTCTCCGGTCCTGGCGTTTACTGTTGTGGGAAGTTTGCGTGCTTCTCAGGCTGCGATTGGAGTGTAACAAAGTGACAATAGGTAGCGTTCTTTTGAAAACTTTTGGATTTACGTCGAATTAGCGTGTAATATCAGGTTTAATTCGGCACCGAAGTCTCATTGCTGTGCATCTTGTTCCGAGGAGTACTAGTATTGTGCCTACAACTTGTGTACAAAACAAGAGTACCTTTAAGCAACACTCGATTCAGGGGACAGCTTCGCCTCGCCCCAATTTAAATGATTAGACGATTAGACGATTAGACGTAAGACTTGGCGGCTTTCAGGTCCCAGTACTGATATAGTTAGTGAAGGTGGTTAGCAAAGGGGAGAGGGCGGATCGATATATGGGTATCTGGGAACTGTTTGAGGGGCATACTTTAGTAGTTGACTCCAAGATGCCAGTTGTAAACGCAGTCATAACTCAAGACGCGTAGGAAAAAACTCATAGTATTTAAGAGTAAATAGTAATTACGTGTCTTAACTTCTCTTATTTAGAGTGCGCAGAATGAGAAGGCCAAAGAAAATAAACCTGAGTGTCAAGTAGCAGCTACACATTTAAAAAGACATGATATGCCCAGGTTGCCTTTCACGCTTTATTGTGATCCTAAAGTACGAGAAGCCGTTGGACATTTACATATAGAGAGCTGGACTGCTGAAAGAGACACTTTCAAAGTCATCTTGACTCCTATTCGACTCTTCTTTGAGACCAACTTGTCTTGGCGGCAGAATGATCAGCTAGCGAAGTGTGCAACCACCATAATGCCTCAATGGCCTGCGTGAACTAAAATAGTATGCCTTACTTGAGGACCTTTAGTACTTACCAGAGAGCATCAGTACAAGTAGAATGATTCTTTAAAGGTTGATACCGAACGTTAGGAAGTTGCATATCGCATTGCTGCGGCTAAAGTGTGCAAGAGCTGCGCCACAACGCCCCGGACTCCTCTGAACCCCTCCTCCCCGCCAACTCAGCACTTCGAACTATGCCCTCCACCTGCTCCAGAATTCATGGCAAGTAATGTGCCATCGCCGGGCAGTAATGCCAACGGCTTTGGCAGTCAAGAAGATCTATTTGGCCACGGCAACGGGCATGGAGGATGGGATCCGAATGTTCCCCCACCTCCCGAACTTTCGGCCCTCGAAGACATCTACATCGATGGCCTCTTCGACTTTGAGGCCATAAATAACCATGACGTACTTTTTGATCAGCAAGAAAGTCAGGAAGCTCGGGAGATTGACAGCGTGGCCGTGAAAGAAGTGGCAGATATACAACAGGACGATCCGCTACAAAACCTAGCCTCGTGGGACCAAGTACCTTGAAACCCGTCCTATGTCAGCGAGCGACGAAAGCTAACATGTACAAGGCTGCGGCGACTGCGGATGAAGAATTACGGCCACTGCTCGGTATCCCTAAAGCTGGTATAACTACATACCCTCTCGTGGAAACGGAAGAACGACCGAGAAAGCGCACGCGATTCACGGGGGTGGAGGATGAAATACACGAAAGACGAGATGAGGATTTCTAGAGGTGTACGGCAGCTTTAGAACATTGGACCCTTCGTATCAGGAAAAGACAAAACTAGCAGACTTTCTGGACGTTGGCTTCGAGAAAATAGACGATTGGTTTCGAGGGCGCCGCTCAGGAATGGGACCCGCGCCCGGACCCGCCTCACGACTTCAAATCGGTAGTAGGGAAGATACTCTAGATATTGATCGCGAGTCAACAATAACAAGGTCCAATTTTCAAGATCCGGATTGTTTTACAGAAGCAGGAGTGCCTTCAGGTACCAACCCAACAAAGGCGAGTACGTCAATGCAGGAACCGCCTTGCCATTGCACATACACAGGCTGCTCCGAAACCTTCGCATCGCCATCTTCGTGGGAAAGACACGAGAAAGACGTCCACTGGGCGCAAAACAAATTCCTGTGCTTACTCTGCGCAGTGGTGTCTGAAGCTGACAATCAAAGTCAAAGACAACTTTCCTGCGCATCTTGTTCCAAGACACATTCTGCCCTAGCAACTTGCATAGAGCACGTCCTGCAATGCGAAGAGTCCAGAAGCCAGCATAGCGTCCGGCGAAAACGACATACCGGGTTGAAGCATCATCTAAAAAATAAGCATCCCGGGGGTCCGGAGCTGCAACGGAAAGCAGCCCTCGAGACTGCAAGGAAGACAGAGGAATGGCACTACCCCATCGATTCCAACTGGCCGAGAGTTTGCACATATATAAATTGCTCGAAAAGCTTCCAGAACTGGAAGGAGCGTGTGGGTCATTATACTAGCAATCACTTCCCAAAGTCCAAGAGATCGTCAAGGAGGAGCTTCGTCGGTTTCCAACAAGAGGATTCCATTCCACCGACTCCCGGGTGATTCAAGTCGCTGAAAGAGACGGACTCATAGAACAAAAGACCGAGCTCGTAAGTTCCAGATGAAAACAGCTCAGTAGATTTGGGTATTCAGATAGTGCCTAGAAAAGACGACACAATCATGTTGTAAGATGCTCTTATCTCACCCGCAAAGGCCACTTGTAGTGATTGCCCTAGAGGTGTGGCACTGTAATTGCTGACAATCGCCAGGACCCTGCGAATTTGACGATTAGTGAGAATTTAAAAGCTGTTATTTTTCTTTGGGAATATGGTATATAATGTAAATTGAGCAATAATCAAACCTTTACACAAAACACAAGGAGTAGATAAGACGGCTGTTGTTTGGCAAAACGTGCAAATAATAAAAAGGGGCTGGGGACTTTAGCTTTGATCCAGGGAAACTCACACTCCATTACTTTAATGGAATTAGTAATAGCCTCTTCTTGGTTCAACGATCTTCGCTGTATGGCATTAGCTATCTTCTAGGCAAATACAAGTATCCATGAAGAGTTCCATGCAGCGTATATCTCCGCCTGGATAATCTGAAGAGACATGCAGGGCGTTAGGAAGCTACCCATAAGCGATTTACGGTCTGAAGTGACATGTCCCAAAATTGATAGCTGGCCTGAGATATTCTGTGCTTCCCTCGTCTTCCCCGTTCGACCCATGGCCTACGCTATGGTGGCGGGGGCACTCTCCTCGTCGATATTCAATCGATGCACTGCAAACAACCATCTTGTCAGCTCCAAAGACCACCCACCCACATAATCATGAGGAAAACACTTCTTCAATTGCATCTCGCATCGTTCCGTCTTGCATTGGGATGTATTTCGAGATCTAGTTTTAATGAGGGGAAGAAAGAAGGTTGGAAGACAGAGACAGAGTAGACGTCGCATCACATCTTAAAGGTGTCCAGCTTGCTCACATAGGAAGTGTCAACACAGATTCATTCACCACTTCCTCTCCCCTCCCATGTCAACGGAGAACCAAACCAAACATCTAATTTCTCATCTTAGGTACAAGTATCAAGCCATTCTACTCAACTCACCAACAGGTAAGAAACTTCCAGTTCAACTCAAAGCAGATAGAGGGATGGATAGACAGAGGAAACAACAGCCATAGGTAGTCTAACTATATGTTCGCCAGGATTAAAGATGGTGTGACATAAGCGATTGATTCCAGAAATCAAACCGAATATACGAGGCATAAAGGCCATCCATACCGGGCACATCTACAACCCCAATTGTTGTAATTAAAGCAAGAGCAAGAGCAAGAGCAAATCAGAAAGAAGCAGCCACCTCACCTCATGTCAACCAATAAATAAACCGAAGTTCACCCAGAAAAGCAATTTCATATTCTTACTAGGCTTTACTTTTGTATTCACAAGATATTCTGCTCCCCAAAGCATAGGCAAGCATATGATGAAGTACTCCCGCACTCTTGTTCCAGCCCATCCTGTCCAGTCTAGTCCGAATTAACGCCACTCCACTTTCCTTCCAGGGTATCATAAGCCAGCCCATTTTCCAGTTTCATTTTGCTTGCGCAAATAATCTATCCACCTAGTAAACGCACCAATTGAAAATATCAAACTTTTATATACACTCGCAGCCTCCCTCTAACGTAGCAAACTCGATATCTGTCTGTGTACAGAAATGAGGAGCGAAAATAAAAGCAGTAAGGGGTATATGTGTGGAAAGTGGAATCAAAGAGGAATTACCGTCCGACACCAAACAAATACGCCAACTGCGCCACATCAAGTCTTCCAAGACTCTTATTAGCACCCTCGTCTAGCGCAGCATTGACCAGCTTCTCCTTTTGCTTCTGCATCTCAATAATTCGATCCTCAACGGTACCCTCGATCAAAATCCTATGGACCTGAACTGGTTTCTGCTGACCAATACGATATGCTCGGTCAACGGCCTGGTATTCGATATACGGGTTCCAAAATGGATCGAGGATAATGACGCGAGAAGCGGCAACAAGGTTAAGGCCAGCATTCCCGGCTTTGAGGGAGATAAGCATGATCTTGCATTTCGGGTCGTCGGTAAAGCGGACAATGGCATCGTTACGGGCGTCGCTATTCATACCGCCGTCGTAGCGTTCCATTGTCCAGCCCCGCTCGTCGATTGGGACTTGGAGGAGATCCAGTAGGGAAACGAATTGACTAAATACAATAGTCTTTTCGCCTTCTTTTTGAAATTGTTCCAGAAGATCTACGCACTTGTCGACTTTGGCAGAGGGTTGCCAGTTCTTGCGAAGATAGCGCAAGTATTGGCGTTTGCCCTTGGCGGATCTCGAGGCTTCCTTCTTCAACATCGCGAGCGACAAATGTGGTTTCTCCTTCTCTTTTCCCTTGCCCTTCTTGTCCTTTTTCTCCTTCTTGCTACGCTTCGAGGATTTCTTGGTCTTGGATCTGGATTTTGCCTTGGGCTCAACCTCAACCTCATCGTCGCCTTCATTAACACACTCGCCATCAGCTTCTTCCTCATCCTCGGTATCAACAATGTCATCAGGGACAATGAAATCCCTTAGATCTCCATCACTATCGGCATCATCCTCATCCTCTGTTTCGGAACCTGAGTCGGTGCTATCATCGTCGCTAACGCCAGGGGCAGCAGCCTTATCATCATCACCGGCTGCATTAGGGTCATGGACCTTTTTGAACGTGCGGTAGTCAATAATCTTATTCGAGTCAAGGTCGCCACGGCACTCGGGACATTTTGCGTGGGCTACGCCTTCATTCCCGTCAGCGATATTCTGCTGCGCTGCTGCGGTCGATATCGAAGCGAGGCATTCAGGGCACGTATTGTGACCACAAGGAATAATGATACTCGGGTTTAGTACTCCATCGTAACAGATGGGGCACTGGCATATCGTCAGTAGATACAGAGAATAGGGGACTGGACGACTTACCTCGAATCCATCCGCCCCAAGTAGCCTGGTAACAACATCCGGCAAAAGACTTCGAGCTAGTTCTTGCATTATCTCTGCCGTGAGATGGTCTGCAGTAGGAGGCGCATCGTCGAAATCTGTGATTAGATGCGGATGGCAACAGGCTTGTCGAAGACGCAATAAAAGGACCAGAATATTCGAGTAGTTCTTGCCAACTGTGTTTTGTCTCAGATACTTGTTAAACTGGATTTGTGTCTTGGACTCCAGGGCTTGATAGAACGATAGCTCATCATCGCTAAACACAACGTGCTGGGTCTCGATTGTTTTGGGGGGCAAATTTATGATTGGCTTGCCATCAATCTGTGATTGTTTCGTACGACGAAGAAGGATCGCCTTTAAAACAGTCTGCAGTCTTTGCATCGCTCGATCGGCGTCATACTTTCTTGTGGAGCCTTTTGTCAACATACCGAACTCCTGTGGTTTGTCAGACAATTGTCCGCAGCAGGTGAGAAAGGGAAGGGCCACAAACCTTACTAAACCTCTGCCACTCGTTGTAAGGCTTGATCCTCAGGAAGTGTATCAAAGAGTATAGCTCCCCAACATTATTCATCATAGGAGTTCCAGTAAGGCAGAGTCTGAACATAGATTTGAGAGTACAAGCAGCTCGAGCCGATCGTGTACTCTTGTTCTTGATGCACTGAGCCTCGTCGAGAATGATACGGTAGAATAAACTCTTCGGCCCTAACATAGGGAAGAGCTTCTTCATCGGCGTCTGATCAACGTCGCGGTTGCCGGACTTTTTTTCTTTTTCGAGGTAAACTTCCAGGCGTTTGTGCTCAGCGCCTAGAGTGCCGTAACTCGTCAAAACAACATCGAAATTTCGAAGGTCGTCCCAACTGATCTTCCTATTTTGTCCGTGAACTAGTTTAGTACTCAATCTATGACTGCCGTTAATTTTCTGTCGAATCTCGCGCTCCCATTGACGAAGTAGTGCGACCGGGCCGACAATAAGGGTGGTCTACGAGCAATTAGTTTATTCTCTAGTCATGAGAGACACGAATGCGTACCTTGCGAGCCCGATCAGCGGATGGCCTAGTCAAAATCAAAGCCAAAGCGCTAAGAGTCTTTCCCAATCCCATATCATCAGCGAGAATACCGCCTTTGTTAGTTCCCTGCTCCATTGACTTGAGCCAAGTTAAGGCGACCTTTTGGTGTTCATACTGATACGTTGTTAGCTTTGAGCTACAATTCAACTCAAGCTCAATGACCTACCAAGGGATATTTGAGACCCTCGGGTGTTCCTTCCCTACTCTCAGCAGGTAGATCAACATCCGCACAAATATTCTGTAGTAACGACTTGATTTCTTCGTGGTTCTTGCGAGGATCATTGACAATGTAGTCGTACTGCTCTTTCATCTCCCCGCTAAAGTCATACCCGGAAATACTATCTAGGCCGTAGAGATCATCGGAACTTTGCGTGTTTGAACGACCAATGACACCCAGCCGTGGATTATATTGTGGGAAATCGTAGCCAGTGCTTAAGCCGTTCAAATGGTATCCCAATCCAGGTTCTTGCTTTGGCATACCGGTTCCTATAGGTGTGTAAGCAGAGTGAGGATACACAAAATCTCCCGAGTAACCACCGGGCATTCCCATGCCCACTCCCATGTCCAAATGTTGAGATGGATATCCACCAGATCTAGACGAGCCCATGGAGCCTAGTGGTGCAGGGTAGGATTGAGTGTGCATCCAGCTTGGACGTTTCTGCTTACCATACATTGCTCGCTGCAAGGCAGTATTGGGGGCAGATTGCTCGAGACGACTAAGAGCAGCATTACCAGCCGCTATTTCTTCAGGTGAAAGGTTTGGGAGCTGGCGCTGTGTTCCCAATGTTCCACTAGATGTTGTAGGGTGTCGTCCATTGTCACGAAACGCCGATGGGGGAATGATCTCTATGTCGGAATCACTACCAACAGAGGAGTCATCTTGGAAGGCACCAGGGATCGAGTACTTCTGCTCTGCCTTGACGGGCGCAAAGGAATTCATACTTAAAGGATTGCTTGACTCTGTCTTGAACGGCGAGACGAAGTTCGTACCGAAATAATTACCGCTGGATACTGCACTATTGTTCCAGCCAGGTGGAAGCTTCCTGGCTGAAGCTGTATGTGCGTTTTCGCGATTGTTTGATGCTATGGTAGATGAGCTCGACCCATGGCGTACTCCCGACATTCGATGAAACGCATTTTGTGCAGAGCTGGAAAGTGTATTCGTAGGTGAAGAGCTCGACGCCTGGAGATATCCAGCATTTCGATCAAAGCCCGAAGGTCCCGAGGTGGAGGGTGGATTGATTACTGCAAAGCCATCACTCTGTAGACTACGAGCAAAGTCTTCGTCTAGCTTCTGTTGTTTAGCCTGATCCTCCGCAACCTTCTGGCTTTGGAAGAACTCCTTATCGAAAGCGGCAAATTCGTCATCCCTAAGTAGAATGGTTAGCTTTACATGTTAAAGCAAGAATATGGATCGAATTAGGAAGTTTAAGAGCAAGAGCTAAAGGCTGAAACTCGAGGGGAAAGTGAAGTTGTGAACAAACATAGTGAGGTCGGGAAAACCATCACCAATCATAGGGTATCCATACCCTGAACTTTCACCTGGCGTTGCTGGACTTGTGTATGGGCTCGGAGAAGTACGTCGAGATTTGTTGCCTCCGTAAAAAGGAGGTGCAAGCCCTCCATCGACGTGTTTGCTGTGTGTTCGTTTGCGAGATACGAGGTTCATCGAGGAAGGTGTGGTCATTTCTGGAATCGAGTTCGCAGAGTGCGAGTTCGGGGTAGAAGCTGTTGAATCAACTCCCGACTGGCGTTGTGATTGCTCCTGATCTGCCATGAAGTATTAGATAGATATTATGAGACAAGTAGAAAGGAAGATTGAAGAGGCGATATGCAAATGTATTATAGATTTGCGGCTTCGTGCATAGAAAGCAAAAAGGAAGCAGTGGACTTACTCATATAACCATCCATACTGTCAACGGCTCCCTCGGCGATAGGATTCTTAGAAGGTGTCTTGTTTGAAGATGAGGCTTGAGAAGATACAAGGGATGATATGTCGCGAGAAGAATTCGAGGCTGTAGGCTGAGTGGCGCGCTTCAAGTCCCTCAACCTTTTCTCCAATACAGCTATCTCTAGCTTCACTTGCTGTGTTGCATCCTCCTTGTCCTGTACATTATGATCGATAGACTGAAGAAGAACTCTCTGAAAGCACAGTTCGTCCATGATTGCCTGTTTCTGTGATGCGGCTACGGCCTGCTGCGAGTCCCCCATGTTGTACAAACCGGGCCACGCCCAACTGCGGCGAGGCGACAGACGAGGCTGCGGGAGTTCGTTGGTGATAAATTTATCGGTTAAAATGACAGATTATCCTCTTGCTTTCGTTCTCCAAAGTGTCAGGTGGTTATCGGGACGTTCGGGACGTCTGGGACGTTGGAAGTGGAACAGAGCGGCAGGTTGAATATCAAGGGTCCATACCTAGTGCCATAGATCGCGATATTTCTCGAAGATTTGATGCGCGTCTTCTACCGGGCGGTACTTAAAATCTTGCTTTAGCGACCCCACAGTCTTATCAAAAAGGGAAAGGCCAACGAACTAAGTACTGCACGTGATGACTAGGGCCTCAATGTAGTAGCGTCTTGTAACAACTTAACTTGTCTTGTAAACCATTGATGTATTCAATAATAATGTCTACACCTTCTGGACTCGTCTCAAAGGATTTAATCTAGAACGCAATTCTACCTTTATTACTTTCTCGAATGATTTCAGCCTACCGAAATCCAAGTTCAAACTCAACTCGACTCAAATTATGCATTATTCCATATAATTAGCCAACTGAAGTCCAAGTCTAGCCTTGCACTTAAGTAAGCCTTAGTGAGAAAGGTAAATGATTTCGATCATAAGGCTGATACCACATATATTTAAGCTGCTTGGTGGAACCATTCCATTCCATTCCGGATTTGAATAGCTCCCCCCATAGCTATCCAACCTCTCAACAACGCATTCATGGTAGGATAAGTCAATGTCAATAAACGCAAGATTAGTATTATACAAATCCCCACCCCAAACACCCCATAACTACTGACCAAGGAGCCATTCCACCCAGATTCAACGCCAAACACCTAACGCTTCAAGCATATATATATATATACAAGCTCACAAATTTTATTCCCCACTCTCCCCCTCAGCATCCTTCTCACCACCACCACCACCCAGTTCCTTGAACCAATCCTTAACCTCCCCCAACTTCCCCTTAATCCAGTCCAAAAACTTTTTATCCTCCGCCGCAATCTCAGTCTCATCCCCAACGACCGGTCTGTCAACACTGACCTCCTCTGGCTGATCCACGCCGATCATGGTTGGAGGAACGACGTTTGGATCTGCGGCCGAGCTGGCTTCGACAGGCGAAATGGAGATGATGGCGTCTGAACCGGCATCTGAGCCCGCGTCTGAGGCTGGGGAGGGAGAAGGCTCGGGATCGCTGGGATCTTCGGAGGCGGTTTCAGGGGTGTGTATGCCGACGGTCTTGAGTGGAAGACGTAAGGTCCCGTTGTTGGCTTTTGGGTCTAGGCCGAGGGAGTCGCAGATTATGTTGTACACTTCTATGTTTTCTATTTTTTCCATTAATACATGTATTCGGGAATTTTGGGGGTGTGGTGCTTACGGAAAGGCTCCACACGACTATTCGGAGCATGAGGGAACGCTGGGCCTCTAGCAATAAAAATAGCTCTCATCAAGGGATGTTCATGATCGTATCCATGGAGCCCTTTGGGATGATATGCAAGGCCCTGCTCTTTCGCATCTGCGACATTGAACTCCTCCTTGGTGACGATTGCCCATCCAGTCTTGGGCACAATCCATAGAGGTGCAATGCGCTCGTTGTTACTGAAATGATAGCGTTCTGGCATATTCTGGTCTCGAAGGTATACTTCAAAATTATGATTCTGGGCTGACGATTCTGCAAGTGTATCGTACAGACCTTGAAGATCCGCCGGGTTTTTGGGACGAAGACCGTAAAGGGGCCACCCGTCTGCATGTTCGATTAAGTTAATATCTATGAGATCGTCCAGCTGGATCAGTCGATTCGTGTCAGTAGTTGCCATTCCGTGGTCAGAGACCACTACCACATTGACAATACTGGTTAGATTCCTCTCTTCTAGACCTTGGAAAAGCTGATCTAGCATAATATCGACATCGTTGATCGTAGTCTTGATTTCAGTGCTGTTGGGGCCATAAAGATGGCCATCGGCATCGACGTTTGGTACGTAAGCGGCGATTAACTGAGGCCGCATATCGACCACTTCTGCCACCTCATCTTCTTCTCCAGGTTTATCGAGGAGTTCGAGCACTCTGCTGACCTTATTGACTAATAGCTCCTCTCCGTTGAAAGCATCCAGAAATGCAGGCTCGACGCCCATTATATGAGCTTCACTCCCAGGCCACATGTGTATAGCAGTCCGAATGCCTTGGTTTTCTGCAGTAACCCACAAGGGTTCACCGCCCCACCATTTTGGCTGCATGGCCAAGACATCTGTGTAAAAGAACTCTTCTTTTAGTTCCGCATCCCAAAATGTGTTCCCGACAACTCCATGGGACTCTGGATATAGGCCAGTAACCAGTGTGTAGTGATTCGGAAATGTGACTGAGGGAAAACTCGGGTTCATATATACCGGAGAGATACCTTCTTTGACAAAGGCATTCAACCTTGGCGTGAGACCCCGATTCAAGAAGTCCGCCCTGAACCCATCCAAACTTATCAAAATCGTCGTAGGCGCGAACAAGGCTGTTCCATTGCTCACAATCTTCTGATTGTACTTTATACCCTTGCGATTCAAGGAGAGTTTCCAGGCTACGAGTACCAGTATCGAGAACCCGACCGCGATCAACAGGTGTATAAAGCACCACCTCCGCCATTTCCTTCTCCTTGATGATTTATCGTCGTGTAGTCCCAGAAGACCGCGTCGATCAATCTCATCACTGCCCTCCGCATCACTGCTACTGCCAGTCGAACTGCCCTCCTTCAATCCTCCCTCCTCCATCTCATACATCAACTCCCTTCTTTCCCCATGTTCTGCCTCCCCGATCAACTTCCCCTTCTTCTTACTCCTCCTCTCTCTCCGCCGTCTCCTTCGATCCCGCTTTCCGCTCCCATCCCCTTTAATCTCATTAATGTGCTCGGAAGATCCAATCCCCGGCAAATGTGTATAGCTCTGCGAAAACAGCTTCTTCAACGGCTTCGGCAATGACATCGCGCTTCCCCTTCGCTCGCGCCTCCTACTATCCTCTAGTAATTTATCCCTTTCCTCCTCTTCTGTAAATACACTGCGATCATGTTCCCTGATTTCTGCGCTTGTTCGCGCGCCCATCAGAACTTCATCGTCTTCGCTATCCGTGTCTTGATCGCTGCGCTCGCTGTGGAGACTCGAGGCATCATCGTCGTAATTTGCGGGGGAGAGGAAAGATCCTGGCGGCATGATGAATAACAATTCAGAGCATTGGAATAGGGGATGGGATGTTTCTTGTGGGAAGTTGACAATTGGATTGGAGTCGGCTTGGAATGAAGCGTTGCGAACTTGCGATTGCGATCCCTGTTATTCGGGGACTTTCAAGGATTCAGGCTGAAAATAGAAATCCCCTACCTATAGAAATAGTCAGCCTCGTCACGTGCTATCCATATAAAGTACCGGTATCTCATACTTAGAAAAAATAACTTGTGAAAACAACTGCTTTTATGGACAGAATCAAGCACATTCGATCTTTATGTCTTTATTCACAATGTATGAGTACCGAGTGGTTTGTCATCTGATCGTGATGCGCTCTACCAAACATTTCAAACTGCGTGGTGAGTCAACACCACGTCCATTCTCCAAATTCATTCTACAGACATCCGCGAAACAGCTCTACAACTCTACAGATGTCTGACGAGATCGGTTTGCCGTACTATTCTTTCCGATGTTTATCAAGATCGTTCACCAGATGAATCCGTCACTCCAAGCCGGAAGTCTGGCGAACTTCACAAGTTCTTCCTCTTTCTCCTGCAGGCTCCATCCATCTGTCCGTCTTCGGTGTTCATTATCCCCTCTTGCCCTCCCTATCCCTTTATATATCGCATGGCTCAATCCCATGCTGCCAAGTAGCATCCCCTCTCTTATTGTCACGCTTCCTCACGAGTCTGAAGCATTCAAATCATCTTCATGTAACAAAAATGCCTCAAACAGCTCTTCTCACGGAGTAGTACATGCCGAACCTTATTTTGAAGGCGCATAAGAGCTCCTAAGTGGTACGATTCATGAGATAATCCTCATTCCAAATATCATTATTGCTATCTTAAAACTGCATTTGTTATACTTCTATTGTTTGTAAAGATCACCATCAGCGCTCATTATCATGGAGATGATTGCATGTATCACTATGGGAACCGGGGTTTGCATCAGCATGATCATCCTATAGTTGGTTAGACGAAGGAATCCAGTGTAAATCGACTCCTCCGTGTGCGGGGGTAGAGCACGAGCACGAGCAAGTTTCAAATTTCTAACAGACGTTGAGTAGCCTTTCGATTGGTAGGACTTAGCTATGCGAACGGGTATTTTCTTCCTTCCTGATTTCATGGAATTTAAACATCGCTAATATATGCACAGAACCGGAAATCTAAACCTATCACTTGACAGCCACGACCGGCGCCAACCCTGTTTCAGCCTTCTTGTCAGGTATACTCGGCGTATCACTATCTGATAGGCCTTCAACACCATGGACAACCGCATTATCTCTACCCAGCATATGATGCTCGACGTTGATAACGGGACCTTTGAACCACTTGTGTGCAGAGATAAACCACCACGCGAGTACCATCGCCATTCTGCAATTCGTTAGCAAGTTCATTGTTCCCTGGAATCGGGGTTACTTACGGTCCTCCATACACAACAATAGTCCAGTTCATTAACTCGGCTGTCAGATCATTACCTCGCACTGAGGGGAAGCAGAGCATAGGCATCATGACAAGAATGAATGAGCAGGCCAATATGCCAATGGGTTTGCTGAATTTACCCAGATGCCACGGTCCACGTCGAAATCGATCTCCAACGAAGAACACTCGGATAAATATAGGGATCGTGAAGGCGATCATCGCAGCGATAGCTCCCACCGAGAAAATAGCACCAATAGCAACGCTGCCGCCGAAGATCAAGAGACATAGGAGGCAACCGATGACAGTATTAAACCAAACTGCATTCACAGGCGTGAGAGTATGCTTGTTCACCTTCTTCATCCAGAAAGAGCATGGGAAGCAGTCGTCACGGGCATATGCAAATGTCACTCTAGACGCGGCCACCATGCAGCCTTGTCCCATGGAGAAACCGCACATGATGGTAATGGCGAGAATGGCAAGCGCAGTGTTTTGAGGCATTACCTGGATGAGATAAGATGCCCAGGGTTGACCTAGATCTGAGTCGAGGACAGATGGGATGTCAATGACTGTATAGGCAACGACTAGCTGCAGAGCCCAGCCTGCGAGCCCTCCTATTCCACTGGTCATAACGATAGCACGAGGAGACGCAATATTAGCGTTGCTGCACTCCTCAGACAGATGGAACGGCGCATCATAACCAGACATCGTCCATATGATAGCTAGGAAACTCATCAACACTGCTATGCCGTCTGGCCAATCTGTTCCATTCTGGATCGACCAGACCTGACTCGAAGGGAAGAACTTCGGGCTCGTATCAGAGCCGGTAACGGCCGCTGGAATCATGATGATAACGACAACCAAGCCTATCATGTTCAGCGTTGAACCAAACGAGTTAAATCTTGCAATCCAGAGAGTTGGCATGCTGGATATGCAGCCGTGGATCAGCATGATGAAGACGGTGAGGAGGTAGGTGTGCCAATCTTGCGGCACATAACTCGGATTTGTGATTGAGGCTGCGGCGAGCACCATTGCACTAAGAGCATAGTCCACTGAAGGCGCACCGGTGATTTGCACCATCCAATTCGACCAGCCTGTAACCCAAGCCGCAAAAGGGCCCCACCCAGGAGGCGCGAGCACAGCTGCCGCATAATAAAGTCCACCACTATCGAAATATCAGTTTCTTTTTCGGAATTTTCATGCAGAAGACGACATACCTCGTAGGCATACTCGAGCAGAGTTCTGCCATACCCATCGCTACACACTGGATGAAAAACCAACTTATCAACCAACCCCACACCATTCCACCCGTCCCCGCATATCCCATGCCATAGTACAGCGTACTCGCAAAACTGGGCAGCAAACCCAGCACCGCGAACGAAACGCAAAACGTCGTCCATAGCGAGAACTCTCGTTTGAACTCTTGTTTGTAACCCAGCGCCGTGAGCGCAGCTTCATCCGCAGAAAGACCCTCGTAATTTGGTACGTCGCCGTCGGGCATGATTGACGTCACAGAGGGACGATGGGGATCGTATGGAGAGCCATTGCTCTTTTCCTTCTTGAAGAAGTTCATTTTGGTCGCCAAATGCCGTTCCTCCTAACGTTAGCGATTGAGGTGGCGGACAATTTACATCCAAGCGACTTGGGAAAGGTGCTACTCTATACTTATATCAACGCACAAAACGGTAACATCGAGGTGTATGAGGTAGCAGGAGCAGGGTAGAACGGCAGCTATCTCTGCCCTACGACGGAATCGGCATGTCCAACCGTGAAATATTCCCCGGGTTAACTTGTGTATCTCGGTCATCCACCCCCACAACCATACAAAATTGCACATGCAGTAGAGGTCAGTTCCGTCGTTACATCAAACCCCAAAAATGCTTATCTCTCGTCTACCGCCCCGTTACGGTGGGACCAATTACAAGTAGCGAGCATGATTGAAAATCATCAGCCAATGAAGTTAGGTGTCGATCCAAAGGCCTTATCAACTCCCCGATGTGGCATCAAGCTTTCTAGACCTTGCCAAAATCGCAGACTCTTTGCCCCGACCGGAGGACGCGAGTAAACAGCTCACTCTTTCTGATCTATAAGAATAACATGCTTGTTTCCAGTACCTTAGTATCCCCCTATTCTTTTTGTCTTCTAATCAGTTTTAGAAATTCGTCTTTCAGAGAAGCGGTTTAGAGATTTGGCTGCGGGCACTAAAGCCACTAAGGCTGCGAATCCCAGCAATCGGATTGGCGAGTTTGTGGGGAAGATTCTCTTACGTAACTTAAACGTCACATTGCAACAGGGGAGGCTCGGCGGCCGGGTGCCGTTTTGTGCGCGCGCTCCGTAAACGGGACCTCTATCAATATATCAAGCCTCGCAAGCACATACGAATACTCTGTGAAGCATATGGCTGAAAAGCTGACGTCAAGGGGCCACAAGCACCTGGGTGTGCGAGGTGTTTACCTAAATTTACTAGGAAATGGTGGGTGCGATATTGATATGCATTTCTTGAAATTGCAAGGGAAGTTGCGATGGGATGGGACCAAATCAGCACGCAGTAAAGATAACTCAAGTTGCGAGAACCCTTTCCGTTTCTTTTGCTTACTTATATGTTCCGCTTCATTCGTGAATATAAGCGATTCAGTAAATCTTAGTATATTCACGTGTACCCTAGGTCACTCGCGAATTTAGAGTCATTTACCAATAAACCAGTCTACTCGTGAATCCAGTTTACTTGTGAAGCTGCAAGTAAGAGTTGATTTTTAAGGCCATCGCATACTAAACAAACTCCTTTCTCCTTCCGCAACATCAACCAGAAACATGACCACCTTATACTAGCTAGTACGAAGTAATCTCATCGGTACCCTGTGATACCAACAGCTATTTAGTTGCGGGAGTCACGAGATTTTTAGTATTACTCTAGCTGTTGCTTGCACCTCCGCATTACCGGGGCTAGTGATCTCTCAACCTCCTTCCTCCTATCAATTCTTCTTTATCCTACGCGATTCCCTCGCCGAATCCCCAGAAGCTATGATTTGTCCGCCAGCTTCTCTCGCACCAGCTGCTATCCTTTCTGAAGGGAGAGTAGTGTCGTCGTCCACCCTTTTCCCTCTTTCCCTCCTAGCTGAATCACCAGAGGTTTGTGCCATCTGTAATTGTTTATTGTGATCGGCCACTTCTTGAGTTCTAGAAGAGGTTTGGATTTAGCTCGTCTGTTGTAGGGAGACACTTTAGCTTACCGCTCAGAGGCATAGAAACCTTCAGGATACCCCTCCGCTGGCTGCTTCAACCTATAGTAGGTTCCATAAGTTGTTTCCTCTTGTTTCCTCAGAACAGTAGTAGTAGCTCAAGTTCGCATCGTTGATCTGCCAAAGGGCATATGAACCAGCCATTGCGTATAACTTTGAAGTGGCATATCTTTCAGTGAGATGGCCAGAGTTACTTATACCTGTGACTAGAACAGGCGCAGAGCCTTGTTTTACTTTGCACAGCCCATGCAATAACACCCCGCTCTGATGCAAGGCCCGGCATGGCCCATCTGCACGCAACTCTGGACGTGGGTCTCTTATGTGATTCCAAAGAGTAAAACCGCATAATTACCCAGCCCTTTCGGACAAGGAAGAAACTCGTTGGCTCTGTCAGTTTAGCGCGCGTGCAGCCCAGAACATCTAAGGGCATCACAGACCTGTTATTGCCAAAAACTTCCATCGGCTTAAGCCGATAGTCCCTCTAAGAAGCCGGCGACCAGCCAAAGCTAGCCTGGCTATTTAGTAGGTTTTGGTCTCGTTCGTTATCGCAATTAAGCAGACAAATCACTCCACCAACTAAGAACGGCCATGCACAACTTTCCTGGTTTCAATTTCCAACTCCCTGCCGGTACATCCGCCGAAGAACCCAAGACACCCTAAATACTGGCTATATTATCATAAGTAGGGTTTCACAGGGGGAAATGCTCTCCGACACCTGGGAGACCCTCCGCCACGACAAGACTCGCCGTTCAAACCTTTTCCATAGCTTGGCTCGGATCAACCTATCGCTGAACAAATCTCCTTTAGCAGCTATCGGATCTTTGAATTTAAATGATCAAGGCTTTATAGCCTTGACCAACCGTCCTCTGACCCTACAACTTCAATCCTTGGAGAATGAAGGTGTCCCGACTCCACTCAGCAGAATTCTACCTATTCAGCTGTGGAACCTTACCTTCTTGACCTATTGAGTTGTCACGATAATCGCATTTTCTTTCAGCCGAATTCTATCCATGACCAGGATGATGGTCAGCAGCAAATGGCCGCTCTAACTATGATGCGTGCGGTCCTTCATCACTTTTGTCCGCCCAATTCTCGTGGCGGGCCTTTAGTTTTCACCCTTACGGATCTACATCAGAGCAATGTCTTTGTTGATGATGAGGGACACGTTACCTCTCTAATCGACTTGGAATGGGCATGCTCCCTGCCGATTCAACTACAATGCCCTCCGTACTGGCTTTCTGGGCGGGCTATAGATCAGATGGAACCGGGTGAACATCTCGAGACATTTCATCAGCTCATTTTGGAATACTTCGAAGCTTTCGAACAAGAAGAGAGGGGTATAGTTGGAGAGGCGTTACGTCAAGCACCAATACTAAGGAATTGTTGGGAGACTGGAAGCTTTTGGTACTTTCATGCGATAAACAGTCCCAAAGGATTGTGTCGAGTCTTTACCGACCATATTCAGCGACTGTTTTGTCCACAACACTGTGAAATGCGGATATTTGATCAAGTTATAGCCCCGTATTGGTGTGTTGGCGCAGCACAAGAGATCAAGAGGAAGATCGAGGAAGAAGAAAGGTACAAGGGCCATTTGAGAGAAGTGTTCGGTATTGAGGTGATTCTACCAAAGGCATAACCTCAGCTTACCTCACATCACTCGATGTGACAGATATAAACATGGTCGTGCAAGACAGGAGAAAGGGAATTTGGGGGCGCAAGGCCCGGAATAATTTGAAGAATGTGTTGGCTAGACGAAGAGCATTAGTGGGGAACCCCAATGTAATTGTTTCATCTTGATATTTCCGAAAACGATAGTATAGTTACCAATGCTGCCACTGAAAGAGAACCGAAAGGATGTTGATTGATCTGGACTTGGAAGGGTTTGAATACTGAGCACAGTTGTTGCGCCTCATCGTCCGATGTCAACCTGCAAGTGAATTTCTTCTCAAATTTTGAAACTCTATCTACTGTTGATAGAGCAAGAAGAGGTCCACGTTGCAGCCATTGCCGAACTCCTTGAAGCCTATAATGAGGTTCCTATTCCGCCTTGCAACTATCCCTTCCTAGTCAAGTCTATAGAGCAATTTATTAAGCTTGCCGAAACTATTACCTCAGTAGGCATCGGCGCTACTATTAGCCTTGCTGAACTTCTCGCAATCACACACCATATGCCAGTCAACTCAGTATCTTCAATGCTCTTAATTGAGTCTAGCCACAACGCATTTTCCCGACATACCAAGGGTGGAGTACCAAACCCATCTCCGTTTGATACCGGTATGAGCGGCATATGGGCATACAACTGTGCCCTCTCTTTCATTATGCCCGGATCTTGCTCTGTCAAAGTCCCCCCACCTATTCTTCCTGCATTGACTGTTACAAACACATCTTGTTCCGGACCTGCAAAATCTACGGTGAACGGGCCTATGCGAGAGTTCGCATGGGACACCCTGCACAAATGCCCTTGTTGCTGAGGCGGGCAAGCAATTGCTCGTCGGGTGAGTTCATCAGCTAATTGTGACGCTGGAAACACCATCTCACACAGACGCTAGTATAGTACACTCACACTTGAAGAGAAGAGTCGGAAACGAAGCCTAGGCTACGGAGGTTAGTGTATTTCAAATCCCTCTAACGTGTATCTACCCTTCTCCAGCAAAGCCATGGCCTCTCCATTCATAAGACCATCAACGTAGGCCTCTCCCACTAACTTATACTTCCCCTCGACCGGTCTCAAAATTACGGGGAATCTACACCCAAGCAAAACGCAAATAACGTCCCCTACAGCAGCGTTCCACGGGCATAGGCCAACTATACCAGTCTGCGATATAAATAGACGCCTGCGATTCATGGTAATAGATGCATTGATAATCACTGCCCTTTGTTCTTTATCACTTCTCGCATCATCAAACTCCCCAATCTCATTCTCGCTCATCAAAGAGGTCACTGAACCAGAAAGCGATGGAATCTGCGGTGCATCCATCGGCAGCACATCTTCGTCTGCCAAAATGCTTCCCGAAAGCTCAAAAATGGCTCGTAACTTGTTTTCGTACACCCCTTCATCTTCAAACATCCAGTTCCCGCATGATATGGCACGGGAAAACGCTGCTTGTGCAGGAAGTGAACTGGACTCGGGGAGCGCGGATGCGAATAGATTCCACCATTCGTTAAAAGCGTGCAGAGCAGGTTCGATGAACCTCGGATGTACCTTCTGCTTGAATGGCATGCCGAGGATAGCAATGGTACTTACGATGAGACCTGCGGCTTTCAAAACGTATCCGTCGTTAAGAAATTCGAACTGTGCGAGACTGTTTCCAGCTGCTGCGAACTCGGGCTCATGGTGTTGTAAGCCAACGACCGAGGAGCCGCTGTTCGCAGGCGGTCTTGTCCAATCCGGAGCCCATGATGGAAGGTTGAATCGTGAGACATCGTGCTGCTTTACGCAGATCACGTCGAGTTTCCTAGACGTGGAGATAATGTGCCGGGCTGTGTGCGTATAGACGTCGCGCATGGAGAGGGAATAATCTAGAGCACCAAACGTATCGTGAGAGCTGCATATCCCTATCAAAGCATACACTTTGTCCTTTGGGTCCGTAGACATCTTACTCTTGTGCGAGAGTAAGAGCTCCAAGAGTGGCGGCGCAACCAGATCCGGCGAATATCTTGATAGTTGCAAGCTTCGTGGGCCCCCACGAATAAGGGTCAGACCGTACGAAGGCCTATTGTAAAAGAAGTCCCGAAGGTGTCCTTCTTCCTTTTTGAAAATATCACAGACGCTATTCAGCTCTCTCCACTCAATAGCATCAGCACCACAGTAAACCGTCGTGCTCCTTCCACACGCAACTTCTTGTATAACCCAAATCCGCCACCAATACTGTCTCCGAAATAACGTCACAAGAGCCTCTAGGTGTTCCTCACGAGCTGGATCTCGCACAAGAGCACTGGCCGCCCCCTCGTCACAAGCAGCCAGATCACGTGCAAACTGAATCGCCTCGGAGCTCTTACGATACTCCAGTCCTAGCCACACAGCGACGCTCTCAGCACTTTTATAAACGCTTCTCATATTTGAAGTCTGGATGCTCCGTTCGTGGATATCCGATTGGTTGATGCATATTGCGTCAACCCACAGAACCAGATCTTCTCCTGAAGGAGGACGGAGACGCTGCAGCGCCTGCTTGAGATTCGGCGTTACGGTAATGAGCTCGTCCTCGAGATATACCTGCTGTGCACCAGCTCGTTCACCCCAACAGTACGAGAGCGCCACGTACGGTGGCGCCTCTGAGAGGCTGGTGTGAAAGAGCGAGCAGTGGATAAGCGAGTTGGGATTTGCAGCGGGCTTCAGCCGCAGGAGACGGATGGAGTCTTGGGCTCTGCTAAGAGGCTTGTATGTGAATTTTTGTGTGCCGACATCGGTGTTGAAAGTGCTTTTCCTTGAGGTCTTCTTCATGTTGTGAGAACTCGGATAAAAATGCACGTGAGTAGGGGAAGAGTCAACGCGGCGGATTAGTTGAGGTGACGATTCGCTTGTCACGAGACGTCGGATGCGGATAAATGGGCTGGCAGCCCTCCATGTCTAGCCCAAGGAGAGCATTGATCAAATTGGGCGAGACATTAGCCCTTGTCTTTCAAAGGACGACGGGGTATGTATATTATATTTACGGATCACGGTGGTGCCAACAACCGTGAAATTTATTGAGGCTACGGAGCGGAGGTACAGCGGTTAAGTATTGTTACAATTCCCCCCCCCAAAAAAACAGGGGTTTAAGGGCGTCCTCTAAGCCTCCTGGGGTAGTTCTTACAGAGCTTCAAGCCTATCAAGGCTGTGCTTACAGGGGCTGTATTTATTAGGAGTTCCCATTAGGAATAGAGGGTGAAAATACCAACTTAGAATTACAACAATACTTAACCGCTGTACCTCCATATGCACGGACCGTGGAGGTTTCAGGGGCACGTTGTTGGGACCGTTGTGGCCGAGGGGTTCTTACATCAACTTCCAAACTAAAAAAATTCTCTCTATAAGTTTTCACGACCGAGTAACAAAATCGGTCTGATTAACTGCATTGCAAGTTCATTCTCCTGTATTAACTAACTGACTCCAAATAATATAATCTCTACCTATGTATACAGGTCGCCTGGCTAGAAGCTTTAATTACAGTTAGTTAGGTACATAGGTACAGGGTATCAGTATGAAAACTGCAACTTCTTATAAATTATGCTTTTATAAGGCTTATATAGAGTCCCGCTGCTGGAAACGCCCTTTTCCCAGTAGAAAGTGGGGGGTTTTAGCAGTTTAATTACTAAATAAGGCATAAACGATCTATCTAGGGGGGTTTTCAGCTAATAGAAACCCTCTATTATCCTGGTTACATCCTGGTTCTAAGTGGAAGTTGCAGTATTTATGAAAACACCCTATAGCTATTACATATATCACACTACTTAATTAGTTAAGTCATATAAATAAACCTTTCAGATTCATCAAATCTGGCTTTCTCATTGGTGTGAAATACCCGTAGCGAGCAAAAGGGGGCAAAAGGTATAAGCCTAAGGTACTAAGGATTCCCTACTCGGTAGATTTTCACTGCTAACCGCACCCGCAACCCAATGATATATAGACATCCTTGCTCCGTATTCCCTTATAACATAAAAGCATGCGTTCCGTAGCTCTATAGTATTTTATGGCGGTCTAAAAAAAAGCAGCCTTGCAGTCTGAATTATCAAGTAAAGGAAGGGAAGGGAAGCAAGCTTATACATCTAATCATTAATATTATGACTAACATCAATCTATATGTGGTTGCACTTGGTTAGATTATATAGCTATACTGATCTGGTGTAATAAATGATATAGTAAGAATTATCGAGACATGGTATAGTAGGGATATATGCGATACCTATAGGTATTAGTACTTGCTAGGCGTGCACGCTGTTTGAAGCTCTAGTGTAAATATATCACAGCCCCCTCACTTGAAATATTACTCGTGGTTCTGAAAAGCGATCGCAATCATGATTATCGTGACGAGTTATCTATATGCCCAGGTTTATCTATCCATCCGAAGCGCCTTTAGTGAAGACCAGTATTTATACCCCGCTCTATGCAAGCGCTACCGCACTCGCTCTCAATCTATTGTATTAGGCTCATTACCCATTACCCATTATCCCTTGAAGCAGAACACCGTTCTATGCACCGCATCCCTCCCAACCCAGCCATCTATTACCCATACCTATACCCATATCCCATATCCCATTACCCCAATCTCCAGCACCCACTCATTCACTTATTACTCATCCGCCGTAACAACATAACACAACACCGAGCTGACATCCACCAGATTCGTACTTAAGAGCGCGGGCTCCGTAGCATTGAACGGCGCGCTGCCCGGCTGCACACCCGCTGCATCCTTGTACGCCCGGCATTGCACGCTGTTGATATCGAGGGTGGGGGTGGATGTGGAGTTGGAGAAGGCGATGGATGATGCAGAGAGCGCTTGGCCGGCGTTGAGGAGCGTGAGTTGGTCTAGGGTGGCGGTGACGGGGACGGTGGTTGGGTCTCGCCAGTTTAGACCGGCTGAGGTTGTGACTGTGGGGTGGGGGTTAGTGATGCTGTTTTGAATTTGGTTTTGGGTGTAGAGGAGACAGGAGACAGGAGATAAGAAGAGAGGCTTACTGGTTAGGCCGATGCTATAGGTAGTGGTGGTATTGCGGGGCTGTATTGGTGATGAGGCTGCGAGACTGACGATGGCGAGGAGAGCGGTGAAGAGGGTTGTAGAATGCATTGTGATTGATTGTTGTAGTAGACGAGTATTATCAATTTGAGATAATTTAAGAGATGTGGTTGTGGTTGTGGTTGTGGTTGTAAGATAGCTTGGTTGAATTTCAAAGCTGGTTGTGGGATTTATATATACGGAGCAAGTGTGAATTGGAGCGAGGTTGGAGAACCCACCAAATGACTGGGTTTAGCTGGCCATGAAAGACAGAAAGACCGTCATCAGTGCTCAGCCGCCTTTACCGGTAATACGAGCATCTTAACATATAGTTATTGCCCAAAGGCCAACCTGGACTTTTGATTCGCATATATGATTTTGTTTACCTAAGTAGGCTAGGAGCTTGTTGGATAGGATCCATTTAATCCCCGAGCGGCAGTCCGGGACATGCCACGATCCCGGGAGATGCGCTGTTATGACCTAAAGATGGGGACGCCGAAACAGGCATCCCCTGCTCCTTACCCCGTGTTCCCAGCCACCCGCCCACAGGCTAAATACAATACGTCGATCAACCAACCACCTGGGAACTCAAGCAAGAAATGATACACAAGATGACATGATGTTTATCAACTTATGATAGTTACCTACCACCACCGACTTAGGTCCCTTATGCAAAAAATAAAAACTTGTAAACTTATTATAGGATGCTCGAAGGATGCAGAGAATAGATTCGGACGAGCTAGGGAAAGCCCGTGAGTGGAGAACTTTTCTGAGGAGGATCTTTGCCATGAACGGCTTGTCCGAGTTAATTTCCAGTAAATAGGACATCTTAAAAAGGGAAGAAGAAGATATCAAAAGCAAATATTTGTTAGGGAAGCATAACATCTCAATCGACGACTCGAACCGGGTTCCTTATCAAGGTACTTCGTTATAATTTGCAATATACTATTGTATGTTAGGCAATCCGAAGCTTGTGCATATCATTTAATCTTGCTCTAAAACGTCCTTACTATATATCAAGAGGCATACCTTTCTAGAACTTCACGCTGACTGTCTGTTACGAATGAATATAATAGTGAACTACAAGAGACGTTTCTGTTAACTGATAGGGGAATGGCAAGAATCGAGGGCATTCTCAAAGCACATTACTATAGAGGCAAAACCGTCCCTGAACCTGTCAAGTATCATTCCATCCCTTTGAACTTATATCTAGAACCCCCTCCCCTACCAAGGAACGGCTCTCGGCCCCTGCACATCCCTCCACTGCCCATCCACATCCACCCCACCACCCTCTTTCCTATCCTCCACCTCCTTCTCCCCATCCCCTCTCCTCATCCGCCTAAACCCCCACTTCCCAGCCGCCCACACCAGTCCAATCCCCACACTCGTCACCAGCGTCGGCGGCGCCAACAAAAACGCCGCCCCACTAACTGCACCCCCAAACGCAGACGCGCCCACAGCCGCTACAAGGGACCCCACCAGCGCGTACCGCGCATACCGGACCACGCGCCAGAAGACAAATATGCCAATGTAGCGCAGGGATCGCAGCAAGGCGCGTGTGCGTAGGTGCGCGGGTCGGGGAGAGGAAGGCGAGTTGGGTGAGAAGAGGAAGTGGATGTTTCGTTTCGCCGAGGCGAGGGCGGAGGAGGAGCGGAGGTTCGCTTTGGTGTCTGTGTTGACGCTCGATGATGGAGGGGCAATTGGCTCTGTGGGGAGGCCTCTGGAGGGAGACATGGTTCTGTGTTTGTTGCCAGTGATGTGTTGGCGTGTAGAGGAGCAGAATGGTGTTTGTATAGAGTGAAGACAGAAAGGGAGATCAAGACTGGACTGGACTGGTTTGCTTAGGGAAGCTAGCCCGGGGCAGATGACATCACCTATTTATTTACCTTGCATCTTTCTCTTAAAACTCCAACCACCGTTGTGTCTTATCAGAATTATCGCCAACCCTCATATCAAGGTCATTATTCGGTGTTTTCACAAAGGTATTGCTTCTTCTTCTGATTCCCTAGTATTGGTCTTGACTCAAGTCCAAGAGGTAGACGTCTCGTCTTTATCGCGTTTCCAGGGATCATCGTCTCTGTGGGGTATGATATGATGGGCTTCTGGACCAGTGGCTCGTGGATGCCGCCTTTGAGAGTATACTCATCCAGTGTGGTTCATGATATTTTGCCTTTCTGAATCCGAAGAACCCCTTCCTGGCAAAACCATCATTTCCGTACAGCGGTGCCGAAAATGGTCGCGAGTGACCAATATCTTGAGGCCGCAAAGATTTACAACATCGGGAGGTGGGACATATTTTTGGCTTTCGAGAAGACATTCTTCGTAGAGCCATGTGTCATTAGTGAAAGAGTGAGAAGATATAGCAAACATCAGGAAGGCTAGAGTACCTAGAACCGACATCATTATACTGAAGGCCTTTCGTGTCCCCAATGTAATTATCGGATTGATCCTCATCCAGCAAATGCCTTCCAGATTTAGTACTGGCTATATCTTTCAAGTTGGAGGGCCGAGTAACATACTTGCTGCTCCATATTTTGAAAACCGAGAGATTGATTAGGTATAAAAGCAGCTGAAAAGTCGATCTCGAAGTGTCAATGGAAGTAATGAGACTTGATTATTAGACAAATAATTCCCCTTGGCTTACCAATCTTCATCCTATTAAGGATTCGGCTATTTGGACGGAAGAGAATAGAGAATAGATAAGTTCATGAGACAGAACATGAGAATGAGATGGAGGGAAGACAGCCGGGCAGGCGTTGAAGGTTGAAGAGTGACAGAAATTGGGGGCTACATAGTATCTCGCTCATTGTTACAAGTACTTGGATATTACCAGGTCTCATGAATAGATTGAGATCTTGAATTTGAATTTGAATTTGCTATAAGAAAATAGTTTCCTAGATACAGTATTCCGGTGAAAGTGGATTCAGAGCTTCCTCTTCTGTTAAGCCCACTACTCCGCAAGAACGTGTCCGTGCCGTGCGTGTCTCATGATCTGACCCCGCGATAAGGATCCGCAATCGCAACATTACCACCCTTCACTCCATTCCTCTTCCTTGTCCTCTTCTACAAAGACATCTACATTCCGAGTTCAGTCTCTCTTATCCCAGAAGACTACTTAATCAAATCCAATATGGGCGCATATCAATCCAAACAACCCATCTCCAACGAGAAACTCGTTATCGAGCGTCTTCGTGCTCTGGAGCTTAAGGATCAAGCTGATAACGAATACATACAAGTTGGAGAGAAAGATGTTGCACATCCAGCACGAAACTCGCAGTTCAGAGCTCCTTGGACCACCCTGAGCATCTCTGATGTTGGAGAGTGGGAGAGTGAGCTTATGCAAGATCCCAAGAACCGGTCAGTCCTCCATTCCAAGATGTACTGGGTCTAATTAGACGACTAACAACTGTCAGACTCGCACTCTCAGCTCTGAGCTCCGCAGATCCCAAGACGGTCCTCACATCCCGATCAACGACCATTAAAGACCAGCAGATCTTCTCTGTCAAGATTCCATTCGAAGGGGCTCCTATCACAAACCAGAGATCTTCAGGTCGATGCTGGCTATTTGGTACATCCTAACTCCTAAACAAACCCAAGGCTCTTCCTAACAATCTATAGCATCAACCAACGTTTTTCGAGTCGCTCTCATGAAGCGTCACAATCTCGACAAATTCGAACTCTCCCAGGCATACCTCTTCTTCTACGATAAGCTTGAAAAGGCGAACTTCTTCCTCGAGCAGATTTGCGATACCGTGGACGAAGATCTGGACAGTCGGCTCGTTCAAACTTTACTTTCTCAACCTGTTTCTGATGGCGGACAATGGGATATGGTATACAATTTGGTCAACAAGTACGGTCTTGCGCCACAAGTATTATATCCAGACAGCTTCAATGCCCAATCTTCAGGAGCTATCAACCAGTTGATCACTACCAAACTCCGCGAAGATGGACTTAAGCTCAGAGCTTTGGCAACCTCTGGCACAAAGTCGAGCCGGGATATTACTGTTGCCAAAGAGAAGATGATGCGCGAAATCCATCTTATCCTCACTCTTACTCTAGGCCCACCACCGGCCCCAACAACCGAGTTCACATGGAACTACTTGGATAAGGATGGTGCAACACATGAATTGAAGACTACCCCTCTAGCATTTGCAAAAGAACTCGATTCTCCCAAGTCAGTTCGAATTACCAACTCTAAGGTTTCCGGCATGTTCTCCCTTGTCAACGATCCAAGACACGAATACAATAGCCTTCTTTCTGTGAACAGACTCGGAAACATTGTTGGAGGTCGTGGCATCACATATGTCAACGTCTCCATGGATGTCTTGAAAACTGCTTGTATCAAGATGTTGCAAGCTGGTCTTCCCATCTTCTTCGGCTCTGATGTTGGAAAGTACAGCAACTCGAGCTCTGGTATCATGGACACTGCTCTCATTGACTACGAACTTGGCTTTAATGTCAGACTTGGCATGTCAAAAGCGCAGCGTTTAATGACTGGTGAAAGTGCCATGACTCACGCCATGGTCCTCACTGCAGTGCATTTGGATGAGCAAGGAAACAGCATTAGATGGAGAGTGCAGAACAGCTGGGGAGAAGGTGCTGGAACCGATGGTTGGTTTGTGATGAGCGATAAGTGGATGGATGAGTTCGTATACCAAGCGGTTGTAGAACCTAGATTCGTGGACAAGAGTGTGAGGGATGTCTTGAAGACGGAGCCTAAGATCTTGAATCTGTGGGATCCCATGGGTGCTTTGGCTTAGTTGCGCGCTGAGTGGAACGACAAGGATACGACTGCTATGATTTTATTTTAAATGCTGGAGCGTTGATTTATCGGATCTTATGTGCCATATCCTCTGAGGCTTTATGAGACGCAAAAGACTCCCCAACTACGCGAATTTCTCTCGTCTGTTCGAGCATCCCAGACATTTATCCCTCAAGCTGGCTCTATTATTTTGTCCCACCCCATATCCAAGACCCTAGCTCTGAAGTCTCGGATTACCGCGGCTTTATTCCTCATAGTTGCATATACCCGGCGTGCCGCACTAGAAAGTAGACATTGTCGGTCGTCATCGCTTCTTTTTCAACCCGCATTGTGTCCCCACGAACATAAAGCTACATAGTGGTGTCTTACTGCATCTCGATAGTTTTCCTTTCTCCCCTCCTTTGTTTCTTTGAACCCTCGCCCTGAGGTCTTGTTAGTGGAAATGACTTCAGATTCAGATGAAGCCAGAGCTCTCCAACCTCCCTTTATTCCCATCGACGGCCTGACTAACTTCCGCGACATAGGCGGCTGGCCAATTCCATCTCCCTCCTCTGCCCCATCTTCTGCGTCCATAAGAGTCCGCACCGGTATCCTCTACCGCGGCCCCGATCTAACTCCTCTCACCCCCACCGGCACAAGCCACCTGAAATCCCTACACATAACTACTATATTTGACCTCCGCAGCACGCCGCAAATATCCCGCGCCGGCGGCATAAAACAAATCGAAGGCATAAGCCGTGTCTGGTGCCCCGTATTTGGCGAAGACGAGTACACGCCCGAGAAGGCTGGAATGAGGTATATGCAATACTGTAGCCCTGGAACCGAAGTACTTCCTTCATCTTCTCCCCATTTGAATAATACGACTACACTACACTACACTACATCTACCCGATGAGTTGAGATTTATTCTTATAAATAACAGGGCATCGTAACCGCATTCCTCGAAATCCTCTCCCGCGGCGCCCTACCGGCCTTCCGCCCCATCCTCCTCCACCTCGCCTCGCCCTCCCCAGAACCGTGCCTCATCCATTGCACGACAGGCAATAACCGCTCCGGCGTATTCACCGGGATCCTGCTCTCTCTGCTCGGCGTCAGCGCCGAGGTCGTGGCGCGGGAATATGCGTTGAGCGAGCTTGAGTTGCGGGGGAGTCGGGAGGCGGTTGTGGAGCGGTTGTTGGGGAATCCGAGGTTTAGGGACGTGGTGGGGGGTTCGAGGGAGAGCGCGAGGCGCATGGTGGGCGCGAGGGGGGAGAGTATGCTGCATCTGCTGGGGAGGGTGGAGGGGGAGTGGGGTGGCGCGGAGGGGTGGGTTAGGGAGGTGGTGGGGTTGAGTGGGGAGGAGATTCAGAGAGTGAGAGATGGGTTGACGGTTCGTATGTAGTGTGGAGTGGAAGGGGATGGGAGTTGGAATGGAAAGCGGAAGTGTGGGGAGGGGAGGGAGGGTTGGTACAGGCTAGTAGTATTTAGGTGTTCTTGCACCCCCTTTCTCTTTCTCTACCGAATGATACATCGTGAGAACGAAATAACAGCCCAATTCTAATGTTTTGCTTAAACTGCATAACCTACAAGTTCATAGAGATACTACTCGACATAAGCATGAAGTTTTAAAAGGGAGTTCAAAGTCCGAACTTGAGGACCACGATGAAAGAAATGCAAACTCAGATAGTACGGGCGGTTACAGAATCAGATCCACGGACGTTTACCCGTCAAGTTGCGAGGAAATGACCTTGCACCAGTGCACATGGCCTATATTCAACGTTGTGATTTATTTATACCTAGAATCTATCGTCCTTTCTTACTCCCCTTCCCACTCCCCCCCTTATTCCCCTTCTTCCCTCCCTGCCCACCCTTCGCCGCCGCCGCCTGGGCTCCCCCAGCCATCATAACCCTCACCTTGCTAACCGGCACCGTATTTGTAACCTCCTCAACCTTCCACCCCTTTAACAATTCCATCTCCCTCGGCCAAACCCTCTCACGATCCTCACTCTTCTCATCCACCTTCCCCTTCCCGTCAGCCACCCACCTCGCCACAATCTCCTTGACAGCCTTCCCCTTCTTCTGCGCCCCAGGCTGCAACTTCGCTTTGTACTTAAACGTTCCTAGAGCAGCCCATGGCGCACAGATAGGAATGGCTTCCAGGATCTCATCGCCGCGGAGCGGCATGCCGACTAACGTATCCAAGATATTCATCTTATCTTCCTCGCCGTCGTCGAGTTCGTTAGCACCCTGCTCTAGCATCGCTTTCCGCATCTCTTCATTCGCAGCTGTTTCTTGCTGCGTTCGTTGATGCTGAGCTCTTCGTCGCTCTTTCTGGAATGCGAGTTCGGCTTCTCGTGTGGCTTTTGCTGCGGCTTCGGCACGTGCTTTTTCTTGGCCGGTGGAGGCACCAATTAGTTGTTGGGCTGCGAGGCGGTCTTCTTCATCTTGGTCTTTGTATTTAGTGGCGATTTTCTTGGCTTTGGCTTTTTTGCCCCGCTTAGGGGGAGGTGCGTTTTTCTGAGGGTTTTTAGGGTTTTGGGTGGGAATATCGGTCATCTCGGTTTCGGCAATGGACTCTGCGTCGTCTCCATCATGAGCGTCCAAGTCCTTAATTTCGAGATCCTCTATCTCTTGTGTAAGAGGATCCTCATCGCCGTCTGAGATAACGGTTTCTGTTGCAAGTTGAGTTTGGAGTGGGTTCAACTGTGGTTCTTGCTCTACCTCCTCATCAGATTCCTGAACATCGTCGTCCTCGCTGCCTTCATCGTCGTCAAGTTCAGGAACAGCTGACTCCCTGTCTGTATCCAAGTTCTCATTTGGTCCATCAGTTACTGAAAGCGTATCTGCAACACCCTGAACCCTGTGCTTGACGTGTCTCGCCTTGCTTGCCTCGCTGATATGAAAGATGACCCCGAATCCAAGCAACAATATAGCCGGTGGTAGGAAATTCTTCTTCCCCCTGACATTGAAGCTCCCTACTGGAAGGAAATCTCCACCAGGAGCTGATTTCGAGACCTGGTCAGCATTGGCCCAAAAGGCGGACATTCCAGCCTTCGAATCCCACGCACTAGAGCAGGATACCACCAAGCTTCCAGCCTGAGATAATGTTGAGGGTGGGATTGGCGCATCTGGTGTTTTCGGATTGTTCCTTATGATTACTGATGCCGCCCCCGGGATATCTGCATTAAGATAGACATCGCCTTTCTTCAAATACCTCTTGTAAAGAATCTCACTTTGTTGGGAGTCCTTCCCACCCAGAACTAGATAGCCATCTGACGAAATAAACCATGTGAACTTCTCGAACCATAATTGTTTCCGTACTGGACGTAGGATTGCCTTTTCTTGCTTCAGCCCCTTTTTCAGATCCTGAGCTATCCTCGCCTCTTGACTCTTTAGTGCTTTCCTAGACGACTCCATTGTTTTTATTTCCTTCGTGGCAGCAGTTCGTTTTTGGTCGTAATATTGTCGTGCATTGCTCCATGGCGACAGTGCAAGATCGATATCAATTGTCAGCCGCCTCTCTGCGGCTTTCTGTTTTGGCTCTTTCTTCTCGGGAGACTCGTCCTCACTGTCCGAAACGTCGCTGTCCGTCTCGTAATGAGACTCGAGATCATCGTCATCATCGAACTGCTCCTCGTCCAGCAGCAATGAGATGGTATTTTCATGTAATTTCAACGGCAACTTGATGATCGATGCAACCGGATTATTGCGTTTCTGTTCAATCTCAACAAGCTTCCCGATCTCCACCCAATCCATACCCTGTCCGATTAGACCATTAACAGCATCCATAGCTTCTTGCACTCTCTCCACATTGGCTTGAAGAGCTCCAGCTTTCCGCTCATTGAGAGACTGGACTTCCTGTAAGCCACCTAACCGCTTCGCTTGGTCTTGTCGTGCAGCTTCAATCTTCCTTTGGGCTGTCTTCTCCCTTTCCTCAAGCTTAGATTCCAATTTCTGACCTTCGATTGAGGAGAAGAATTCATCGGCAGTTTTGTTGAAGCCTTCAAATTCGAGGAAGACTATGGACTCGTCGCCTTCGAACTGACGAGGTCGGAATGGATGGAAATCATCATAGATCAGCCCTTTACGGGAACCATCTGCTTCAGAGCCTTCTTGATATCCGTCTTTCTTCTTCGCTAGAATGTAACCTTTTGACACTTCGGAGCTCGTAATCTCCTGAACGACCCTCTGAGCTTCTTGCAGGGTCCGCATTAAGTGGTCTAAGAGAGGCTCACTTTGTAAGACCTCTGCGGGCTTAAGGGAAGAATCAAAACCAGTGATTTGCATAGCATGATCGACAAGCATAGGTGGATATTCTGTGATAGAAACAGCCAAAGCCTTCCGCAATGCATCGGCACCCTTCTTCTTTGCCTTCCTTCCTGCGACTAGCTCGCCCTCTCCCCGTTCTACAGCCCTCTCCAAGCCTTTCCGTAACCGCTCATCAGTCAGAGGAGGGATTCCCCCATAATTCTGCCTATTCTCTAGCGAATATTTCAACCCCACCCTCAACTCTTCCTGCGCCTCTCCCTCTTTCACAATCCTCAGCAGTGCCAATATATTCAGCTCCTTATCCGTAAGAATAACATTGCCCGACGCATAGAACTCCAAAAACAGCTTATACTGTCCATCGCTAAATTGGAACTCGATAATTCGGTCCGTGCCGACTTGGGAAACGGAGGTGACTCTTCGCGTCTTGAGGTACTTTCGCAAGCGCTTAACGAAATCCGAGGGTTCGGCCGCGGTTGCGCGAGAGTATTCTGTGAGGTGGCATCGGAAACCGGAGTCTATTATGATCTGCTGCTTGTGCTCGGGCTTTGCGAATTTGACGAGGAAGATTTTGGAGGAGAGGTCGTAGATATTGGAGACTCGTAGCGTTGTGAGGGCATTTGCCAGCTCATGTGCAATGACCTGGGGGAATTCAGCAAGTCTAATAAGGGTATGCTAGGGAGGCATATACTTTGACATCTATTGAAGAGAACCTTTGCTTCATGTTGTGAGTTTGAAGCTTGTTGATGTTGCAAGGTGGGATGATGTCGTAGGCGCGGGGCAAAGTTTGTCTCAAATAAGCATATTTGGGCCACCGTAGTTAATTTTCTCTTCTTCAGAATGCTGACAGCTTCTTCACTCCGTTGTAATCATGCGGAGAAGAAAAGGTGTCTGGTACTTGTTGAGCTTGTCAGCATCTCTTTAATTTGCTAATCTACGTTAAATCTAAATATGTTCTGCGTATACGTATAAAAGCACCGGGCGAGTAACCCCTGAGCCGTGCCAAAGTTGCCAGTACATTCTCACAAGCGATCAGAAGCGACCGTCCCTCTCTCGAGTGATGTGAGACAATTGCAGTTTTGTATACAGAGTAGTGTTTTGTCCAGATGTACGAAGTTCTAGAAACTCTGCCAAAAAGCGTGTCTAAACATCTGCATAGCAGCTCTCAGTTGTGGCTCTGCAAAAAAGAGCTGCTCATCACTCAGCTCTTCTTGTCTTTAACTCACCCAGTCTAAAAGCTGCTGCACTATTCTTGCTCCAATCTCTTTGTCCTTCACTGCTTGAATTTCTCCAACACCATTTCTCGCCTCCTTGGCCCTTGCTTCGTTCAGAAACAAACATTGTACATGCAGCGACTCACGAGCCATGCCAAAACATCCTCTCTCCGCTTGCTTATATTGTGACCTGGTAGCGCGCAACCTCGACTTGTTCATCATGACTAAGATAATGGCGCCTATATTTGACGAAATTTAACAATTCTTTCGCAAAATCATCTTGTCCAAGTCTCAAAGCTGTACGGGAACCACCAAGGAACGTGCGAAGGAGCAACTGTTGATGTTCCGGCGTAATCCTACTCCAATCAATACGGTCCTCCATGTGGTCCCTAGGGCCTAGTATTCTGAACCAGAGGTTCTCTCCTAGAAGATACGCGGTAATTCCATATTCTGCTCGAGCTGCCAAGTAATCTCCGATTTGGAACAGTGCATCTCCGTTATCCTTGGTGGCTTTGGCGACAACTATAGACTCCTCCGTTGTCATAGGAGGCAAGACTGAGGACATGATATTTGCCGTTTGGATGGTGGTAAAGTCTCCTCCAAGAACAATCTTCATCTTGACGTCCTCGCCTCTGGACAACTGTACAGGAGCCTGCCGGAAGCCCTTGAGACCATTCTCAATGCATGAAGCCACTTTGATATTTCCTTGGTAATACTGCAAGTTCTTGGAGTCAGCGACCGCCTCACAGCTCCAAAGACGTTGAAAGGCGACCTTGAAACTCGATGATTTGTCCTAAGAGTGACAAGACGAAAAGAACTTGAAGAATTTGCTCACCTTATTCTTCGTCTTGCAGATCAGATATATCTCCCCATTCGATGTCGCCGAATTCATCTGGCCAAACGTCCTCGGATGCAGCACATAAGACGCATTAAAATACTGTACCAAGTTCGGTAGGTTTTTGCTGGTCAAGACCGCAACGAGCGGAAATCGTGCTTGGTTATCATGCTGCTCAATGTTGATCCTTAGGGCGCAATTATCAACTAAGCTGGTAGTGCGTGGGTTCGTGAAGACCACCGGGATGCCATAGTTCCAGGGAGAATCAAAGAGCGGATTCAGTGGAAACCAGAAATTCGTTTCGACTGCCACAAAGACATTTTGAGAGTGGAAATAGGATAAGCTCTCGTAAGAGATTTGCTTGTTGACAGAGAATAGGCCAATGTCGTATTTAAATCCCAGTCTTCCGTCTGCTCGAATGAACACTGCGTCTTTCTCGAGGAGGATGTTGGAATAAATTTGGTTTCGTACCTCGAGTGGAATGGCTATGAGTGGCGAAGGTTTGTCGTTTGTGGTTCCAGGGACGAGGTTTTTGCCTCTTAGTTCGCTGTTTGTGAATCTGAGGACAAGGTCTTTACTTTCTGGCTTGTCGTTTGTGGTGCTGGAGACTAGCTCTCCGGTTTCTGGCATGTGTTGGTTGTCGGCTGCGGCGATACTTGTTAGCAAGGCTCCTGAGTATAATTTCGCGCGTTCAAAGGTCCATTCTAGTACTGCTAAGAAGCTGTACAGCTCCAAGCCTGACCGTGTGGATGGTATCAAAAGGGCACTAGAGCAATACTCACCTGAAAAGAGCTGGCGGACGGTAGCTAATTTAGCTGAATTCTTCTTAAGCCTACTTGTCATCGACCGAAGACTCATATTGGATTTGTTTTATTGTCTTTATTTGGAGGGGAACATCAGTAGATTATAAAGATGTCTTCAACTCTTCGAGAGGAAGGTGAATTCCAGCTTGTTCCAGTTTTGGGCGGTGAATCCACGTAGAACTGTCTGTAGCAGTCCAGTGACTACCAAGCGTCCAACGTTTGCTATCCGAGGCAGACATGCTTGAATGAAGGCGTTTTTACTTTGGTTAATGTTCACCATTGACATTTGCTGACTGGACAACTTGCTTGCAGGTCACCACCTTCCAATCTTCATGCAGCTCTTGAACGCGGTTCAAATCTCGGATCCCAATTGAGCCTCCAAGGGCCCAATGAAAAAAATCACCTTCTTCCCCGCTACCGAGAGCAAGTATTACCAGGGAAACGCAAAAGTAGCAACGTGTGTTCAAAATGCAATCGCGGCGTGTCGACAGGGTGTCTTGATGCCAAATGGCAGGTACAAAATTGATATCAAAATAATCAGTGGAGATGGAACCGGCCTCACTGCTTCTCAAGCTGCCAACATGAAAAAAGCATTTCTCCCTACTATAACGCGGGAAGAATGTCTGACTTTCGCAAGTGCTGTCAAGGATAAAGGTGATGCTTTTTTCGAATCCAAAAAGTACATGGCCGCTCGGCAAGAGTACGCACTTACCGTATGTCAGCTTGGACACAACTTTTGGGATCTTGGTAGGTTTAGGGAAACACCGATAACGGAAAGGAGAGAGTCTAGAACATTGCTTCTTCCTATACTCATGGAAGGAGCTCGTTTGGCTTGGAAGCTTGGACAGCAAGCTTTAGCACAAGCTGTGGTAGGTTACGCCAAAGGAAGTTTCGATGTTTATCTTGTGGATGAGAACTTTGCGATCGACATGTTGATTGCCTGTGGGCTAATGTGGGCTGATAGAGGGCATTTGAAGGTGGCACGTGGCAGCTTGCAGGATAAATTTGAGTACTTTCCGAATAATAAAAGACTCGAAGCTGCGGTTTCGAGCGTCCTGAAAATGCAGTCGCGACAGGCGGCCGGAGGGAATGTTGCCACAACATCCGAGGCATTGCAGAACTGGCTATTCGATTGATAGAAGGAACGATGGAAGAATGGCAGATGGTTCACTTACGTATTTTTCTTGAAGGTTCTGGTGCTGTCACATAGCGAATACTAGAGCACTATTGTCTGTAAGACGAACCTATTATCTGTTGGGTAGAACTTGAGGTTGGCCGACATATCCCACACGAAAAGAGAAGAATTGTTTCTATCAAAATCCCAGTTCAAGTACTAAATGAAAAATGAAACGTTGCTTCCAAATATTAGAATACTATCTTAGTTATTAAGCTCTTCAGAACAACTCAGTAGACTTCCCCGGCCGTACCTAATCCACCCCTCGCAAAAAATGATATGAAATCGAAACTGAAACTTTAGCAGGAAGACTCGACCATTTCCTAAACCAAATCATTGTGTAAACGCATTGATTGTTCTCATTAAAATCAATGCAGACCGATTTGAGTTGTCCTTCTACACCTTTTCTTTCTCGCCGGCACCGCTACCCACCGTATACCCAGCTTTCGTATCAACCACAAGCTTTTGGCGCTCAGGCCGAAGCTCAAGCCTAACCCTATGTTCATCAACATGTCTATCAACAAAGGCGGCATAAAGATTATCACCAGTCTCCAGATATTGCGCCCACACAACCTTCAAGTCCAACTTCGACTCCACCTAGCCACCAGCTTCGGCCTTTTCACAGTTACTACTTCCCCTCTACCCGGAACTATCGACAAACACCTGAGCTTTTAATTTGGGAGTTGCCAACGAAGACCCATCTCCATATCCTGTGCCAACACAGCATTTTAGATTTCACGGGTGCGGTTTCAGGTATTTGACGGAGTCAATAACAAGTGGACTGTATTCACAGACTTGGTCGCGGAGAAGAAAGCATGTACAGACGGATCATTAAGCTATGAAAGTTTAATCGATTTGAACCGAGTTGACCGTAATATGTTGCCCACCCAAGTAGCCCCATTGTGTATCTATCTATACTATCTATTCATTATTTTCTCGCAACCTACAAGTCATCATAAACAGCAAGCATAAGTGCTCGCATCCCCATCGTTAAACAAATGCGTCCTCGCATTCCCGTCATCGTAGACCGTAAATGAACTCCCCCTATACCTTCCCGTCACATCCCTCGCATTTCCAACAGTAGACGAGAAGGCACTTCCCTGAATACCCAAGAAAAAGTGGCTCTTTATCATGATTCCCATGTCCACAGCCCCCTGGAAATCAAACGCGAGGTCATTGATCATCTTCAGAACCTCTGCGTTCCCTTGAGCTAGCTTCCACTTGTGCGTCACGTCCCAGCCTTTCGCCTTCCCGGCTGTCGCGAACATTTCTACCTGGTCTTGATCTCCACAGGCTAGATAGACTAGAGGCTTCTGTCCAGTCGGCGTCCCGTATTTAGCCCACGCGGTATCCAGAGCCTCGAGATCAAGTTTGAGTTGGCTTTCGGGCGAGCTCCAAATGGTATCATTCTCAGCCCTGAAATGAACGCCGTAGAAAGGCCGTTCCATAAGCGGGAGCAGTTTGCTGATAATCTTGCGCGGCGCATCGCGGAATCGGATCAGCTGTCCGAGATCATTCCACAGTCTCAGATCCTGGCCCGTGGGATCGTCGGTGATCCTGAAGAGCAGGAACGAGGACGCGATGGAGATGACCGTGATGCCTTTCCTCGTCTCGTCCCGGTCTGGGCTCAAGGATGCCATGCCTTCCAAATCGCTGTACTGCTGTTCAAAAAAGGCCTTGAAGGGTCGCCCGGCCCAGAAATAGCTCGAGAATACCTGGAACCCGGGAGCTTTCCCAAGATCAATCGACCATTTGTTCTTCACCGCAACACCGCTGGCCCCTTGACCATCCAGCTGAATGGGGTGCAGAATTTTCATCTTCGGGCAGTAATGCCCGATTTGTTCCACAAGATGCGATGCGTCGAACCATTCTTCATAGGTCAAGTACGCATCACCGTTCATGAAGTTGAAGTTTTGCAAGTCTTTCGAGTCACGGAGAGGCATTGATGGTAAGACAATGCTAGTCCCTGCCTCAACAGCCATTTTCAGACAGACTTTGATTTGCGACATGATGGATGTCAAACCGGCCGACATGCCCCCGCATTGAAGGTAAACCTCGTCTTCAGCCCATTTCGTCTGCTCGCACGCGGCTTTGAGGGCGGGAAAGTCGTACGCTTTGGGCTTGTCGGCTGAGAAGACCTGGTCAAAATAAGTTAAGACCTCAGGTGAAAGGACCTCGGTGCTCGAGGTCTCTTTCTCAGATGTAGGCCGCGGCAATGGGGGTTTTCCTTTCTCCGTCGTGGGCGTTGACGTTATCGCTTTCTCTACTGTTTCTTGTCCCACTACGGCGGTCGATGCTGATCCCGGCACGTTGGAGACATGATACAAGGCGAATATGAAGATCAAGCATATGGCAGCGAGGATAGCGCTGCGACGACTACTCATAATGGATATTGTGAGGCATAAGTGGGTGAGCGAGTGAGTGAGTGAGTGAGTATCCAACTTTTGTCGTCGAAATACCTTTGTTAGGGTTTTGGGGGAATCGTGGGGAGAGGTTGGGGTTTTCATGTGACATGCACCTCGGTCGTATTCCCGTCTGGGCACGAGAACCGGCGCGAATTAGCTAGCATGTTGATGAGGCGCTCTTGGATGCGTATCACGTTGATATAATTGGAGGGTCGAACTGCATGCTAACGGCGTATACGGAATATGCGGGGGCGGGGCGGGATTGTCCCCCTGAATTATCACTCTAGGCACTAGTTGCATTTAATGGCGTGGTGTTTTCGCCCAACCCTCTAGCCTCTGCGAAGGTAACATCAGTTTTGATTGTTATGATAAATAAGAAGCAGATCCACACTCTCCAGAACTTTGGATTTCGGTCTCTCTTTATAAATTCTGCTCTACCTATACCCTCGATAAAACGTGTCGCGATCCAGATCAAAAAGATATTGGTCGCGTGACCAACTGAATACTTCATTGGCCGCCCCTGAATCTCTTTAATGCCTTGAGATAGCAATGTGGATAGTGTTGGTTTTTATCTCGATTTTTGCGTCTTCTTCTCTTTGCTTTCTTAATATTTGGTCAAGTCTTTGTTTCTGCCTGTTGGTTGTGTATGGGTAATATTGTGGGAGCCTTTCTAGTCATGTGACTTTAAGCTAGCTGACTAAGCAATGGGGATAACCTCTTCGCATTGCAACCTCTGTATCTTAGCTAGCTAGCCAGCAACCAATGAAACCACCAGTACCATCAAATACCGACCTACACGTGTAGTGAAGTGATCACCTTGTGAAACCAACAGATTGTTTACAGGGTTTTACCAATTCCAGTACAAGAATGATTGGAAGTAACATCTCTGTCAAAGGCTTTTTGAATATTAGTCTGTCACATGTATTGAGAAGCATGGATAGGCTAGACTTGAAATCGGGACAAGGGAACGAGAGGAAGAGACATTATGATTATGCGTATTCAATGTAATCACGAACCATCACCCATTCACGACTTGCAGCTCTGTCATGCTTTGCGCTACTTGAAAGCCCCTCTTAGTCTGATTCACCGCTTTGAGACTCTATTTAAGAGCCAACTCCTTTACCCGCCCATGACTTGAGTTTCCTTTCCTCAGCACGTCGAATTGCCTCGCAAAGAATATAAAAACCACAAATCCGACAAACTCTCATTCAGCACCAAACGAAACGATGAGCTACGAAGACACGCCACCCACCTCTTACAATGGCCTCCCCAAGGAGCTCAAGCTCGGTATCTGGGAACAGGCGAGCAACGACACTGGAAGAGTCATCGCCCTCAAGTATCGCCCTCGAGAACCACCAAACAAAAAGCTGGGGAAGTTGAAAGCCTACAGACGGATTCTCCATGGCCCTGTCGAAGTTCAGCAGCTCGGTGGTATCGATGTCCGCGACGAAGCCCAGATGAGCAAATACACGTACTACTCGTTTTCGGCTCCACATTCTCGTTTATACTATGTGGATGATGCCGCCAGGGAGACAATTCTCAAGAGATCTGACCGCATGTTCCCTGAAGATAGTCATCACGAGTACATTACCGCAGATTTAACCAAAGATGTCCTCCTCCTTGCGACTTTGGGTAGGCAGATAAGGCCTGTCTTTGACCACTACATGTTTATGGCTTCCCCGGAGTAGAGAACCCGCTTGAGATATGTCGCTGTTGAAGGAAACTTCTCACTACCACATGTCTCATGGAGACGACCGTGGGGCCGGGGCTTCCAATTTCCCCTATTGCTTTCTCGTAGAAGAGTTAGATGGAATAGAAGATTTGTTCGAAACATGTTTGTAAAACTCAGGGACAGTCTAGAGATGCTGATGCTGATGGATTGGAGCATGGTTGGCTTGAGCGTTGGGACGGATTACGAGTGGGAGTTGATTAGCATCCAGGCGGAACCTTTCGGTACGCCGACAAGATTCTTCGACAATTTCTGGATCAAAAGTGGAATGATTGGGAGCACTCCGTGGCGCATTGACTTTGCTCGTAGGACGCCATCAGGACAATCAGTTGTCACGCTTATCGTCTACCAATATTACAAGTGCGCTGGTGGAGAGTTGAAGGTCTGGGATGCTGAGAAGAGAGAATACATCGAGGAGGTGATTGGAGAGGATCAACCGCAGAGAGCGCTAGCTCAAGTGGAAAGACTTGCTAGGCATTGTGTAGCTACTGCTAACAGAGCTTCAACGTCTTACAAGGGCTAGACTGTGTGCGATTGTCTCAATTTGGCGGGGAGACGCGGAAACAGGGGGGGGGGGGAATATCATTATTGGACTGTCGATATGGAGATCCATGCTGAGAACATCAAAGTGGCAGAGCTTTCTCTGAGAGGCAATCACAGGTCGACGAAAATTATACGCGAAATGGTTTGGAAGCTGGATACACAGGCTAACTTACATGGCGACGGATCAAGATATACTAATCTGTGAGTCTCGATTCAGGGAAGATTGATTCTGGTTCTGGATCATTGAAGATCACTTTTGTTATGCACATGGGGGACAATACAATGGTAGAATAGAACTTGATCAGACTCAGTTTAACCTGGGTGAGATCATACTGTAATACCATCTAAATGATACTACTTTGTCCCTTCTATCACCAAGGATTTAAGCTCCAATTTCAGAGAACGCTCCTTAGTTGCTCCAGTCCTATATTCGAATTCAAGATTTTGTTTATGCATTATCCAAGATGTCTCATATACAGTGAATATGCAGCCACCCTGTCTTTTCTTCAAGAGATATAATAACACAAGTCTCATCGCCATTCATACATTATTTTGTTGAAACGAGTCAAAATGGAAGAGGGGGTTATTGGAAAGGGGTTAACGACTTTTTTGGACTAGCGTCTCGCCTGGATCTCGAAATATTTTCCCTTCGTTTCAAAGCGCGACGTCAACCTAAATAAGACGAAGACAGATGCTTCTTGCACCGAGGATATCTCTTCAACCTACGAAGAGTGCACTGACCCAAGCTTTGTTTGCCTCTAAGACGTGGAATAGCTGGCTTTGCCGGTCACGAGATCTGGCAAGACATCACATGATGATGGAAGAATCGAATGGTGTGAGTCGCGAAGCAATCTACACAGTAATACGAAGATCTAATGAAATGTAGAAACACCATGATACACATGCAATACCTCCTCAGGCAATATGCAATACGTATAAGAAATACCAGAAAATGAGTGATGCGGCTGTGGACCAGGATCTTGAGGTTGTGGATTTCCGGCGAGGGTTGACGGATGTTCAAAAACAGAAAATCATCCCAGTGGATACCGTAAAGTCAGAATTGATCGCTTCGGCACAGAAAGCATTCAGAGCATGTGGTGACAAAGGAGCAGAAGACGGGGTAGATGTGGAGATCGAGCCGGAGTCCTGTACTATTTATGAGCATCAAGACTTCCCAGGTTGGTCATATATCCGCAACATATATCTGTGTCTGCTTGCCTAATACATGGTAGGATTACGCCTACTTCCAAACTTATTACCACCAGAGGTTCAGATCATGCTTGTAGATCGACTTCTGCATCGAGACCTCTCGAACCCATTACACAAAACCAACATCCATCATGACTACAACATCCCTTACCCACCAACGCCATCAGACGGTTCTAGCCCGCTTTCATTCTTCACTTACCATCCGTCATCTAGAAAACACACCTTCACGCCTCTGGACCCGCTGTCAAAACACAAGCCTCTCAACACAACACAACTCCTTCAAAAGAAACTCCGCTGGCTAACCCTCGGCACGCAATACGACTGGCCGACGCGGTCCTATGCTGCCAGCTCTCCGATCCCTTTCCCGTCTGACATTTCCGCACTTGCTACAACGCTCTTCCGCAACTCATTCACTCCCGAATCGGGCGTCGTGTTGCTGTACAGCCCGAAAGACTACATGCCCGTCCACCGTGACGTATCTGAAGAATGCCAACGCGGACTAGCGAGTTTCAGTCTCGGCTGTGATGGACTATTTGTTATTGCGAGAGACAAGTATGAGGGTGAGGATGAGAAGAATGAGGAGAGGGAACAGGAGATGGTCGTTATTAGGGTGAGGAGTGGTGATGTGGTGCAGATGGATGGGGAGACAAGGTGGGCTTGGCATGCTATGCCGAAGGTTATGGCTGGGACATGTGCAGAATGGCTGGAAGATTGGCCCGTTAGGAAAGGTGACAGGAAGGAGTTTGAGAAGTGGAAGGGGTACATGAAAGGGAAGAGGCTGAATATTAGTTGTAGACAGGTTTGGGGATGAGGTTTTACACATGCGAGGTAATGGGTAGAGTTCTTTTCTATTAATTAAGAGACAGCTAGTCTATTGCCCCTTTCCCTAGCGAGTAGAAGTCTGCCATCACTTATTGCGAACGCGCTCCCTGCATTACCCTTTGCTAACACTGGCTCGTAAGTTTCAGTAATATTTTCCTCTTGCTATACGTCGGTTTTATAAAGGGATAAGTAAATCCCACATTACTACGGTGACGAACGTTAGCAAGACATAACCATCTTATATTGTGTTAAGTCCCGATTCAATTGTCTAAATTTGATATACGTTACAGTTACTTGAGGTTTGGGGTCATTTACTTTCCATTTGCCAAATTCACAATGCCATTGTTTAGTCTGGGGTCGTGGACTATGGCTAATAGTAGCCACCTCCAGAAACCCTATTCACACACCAATTCACATCAATACCTTGACATACACAACTGAGAGTCCTGTTTGTGAATCCACACTCTCAGCATAATGCACCATAATGTCTGGCACCCCACACCCCTCACTATCTAGCTCGGTAGGTTTGTTTACAAAAGGAGAGCGATTCCCCTCTGCTTGACGACTTTCCACTCTCGATACCTCTATTTCGAACATCGTCTTTACAAACTCCCCTTACAATTACGAAGACAACTTTCCTTCCGCATTTCTTGCATCATCCATCCACCGCCAATATGCAATTGACAACCATGACCAAGAGCCTAGCTCTTTTGCTCACTTCGGTATGTATCCACCAATTCCAACTACCAATTCGATCCAAACCTCCCACTAATATACATACTCTCAGACTATTGTCGCTGGATCAGATTTGCCCCTTACTGCTACTGCTGCTACCTTTGAAGGCTATGAGCTTGTTCCTGCCGTCTTCTCCGGTACCTACAATGGCCATGAATATAGTCTGCATGGTGATATCCAGGTATGCATGCCCCTTACTGCCCTACAACCTTGCAACTCTGTTCATTCTTTCTAATTATCCATAGGCTGTCTCTGCGCAACTCGAGGCTCTCTATGGTCCATCCACTGATGGCAACGTAGCCCGCTCCGATGTCATTCTCGACCGTGCTACTAACAGCAAGGTGAGAAGTCCAAGTCCCCTTAGCCTGCCTTCAGTCCCACTGCTTCTATTCCCCTCTTCGAGACGAAGAAGAGTTCAGGAAAAAGAGAAGGAAGATATTCTACTCGAGGGCTAATTGCTAATCAAACATGCCACAGACCGGCCTCCAATGCATTCCAATCGGAAACCAACACTGGCAATACGCAAACTCTGCAGCTATCGCACAGAGTGTCTCGGCACTGCAACGACGAGGTGGAAGCACCCACGTCAATGGCCACTCGTGCTCTCGTCTCTCCTGTGTGACCTCCTCGGCTATCTACCTCTGCAACGACGTAAGTTTCTTCCCTGTACTGTATTTTCTTGAAAGACGACTTTCTAATCACTCGTGTTACGCCAGAACAATGGTGGCATCGACCCGCAACTTAACTACATTGCCTCCTACGCCTCAGACATCATCAACCGCTGTGGTGTTGCTCCTCCCTTCAGCCCCGCTCTTGCCGCCGGACAGGAGTTTGACACCGACAATTACAATGTCATCGTTCGCGAGGATGGATGTTAGATGGTGTCGGCGTCGGTTAGGCCTAACTCAAATTTCCGGCATTACTTTAAAGCGTGGGCTTAGAGTTGTTCTGGGGTTTTGCTGCATGAGTGCTTGGGATTTCGACATTGATGATTGAATGGAGGGAGAGTTCACTGGTTGACCTTTTCGGCCGTTTTGGACAGCTGCAATTCATAGCTTTGAGTTTGCAATGCAGTCTTCTTGGACAAGTTATGAATTGAATGCCGTGTGTGAAATGTTAAACGGCAGATAGTACGCGGAGAAATAATCATCTCCGCCGAGTCTTTGCGTGTAACGCAAGAACGAGTATGCTACCCACTAGGCAGGTGATCGAATGGCCACCGCCCCGAAATCGAAACCGAGTCTATGTGTGTTTTCTTCTCCCTTGTTTGAATGTAGAGGCGCCTAGGATTCCTTGTAAGATGGTTGTCCTGAACATTATCGGCACACAGAACTTGACCATTTCTCACCCCGCGTTGCTAGGTATAGGAGTTGACCTTTTAGCGGGTTTCTTTGAGAGCGTCATGCAAACTCCATTGTGATAGCCACAATCTAGATCTTTGATTAACCTCTCGCGAGGCTGAACAGATGGGTTAATAAAGCGTTACATGCAGAATCATGGTAGAACTGGAGACACGATCAAATATGTGAATAAAGTGCATTCTATTTATAGCAAAACCTCCTTCATTGCGAGTTCTGAAGCCTATGAAAGCTTTTCACTTGAGAAGAGTTAAGTTTCAACTCATTGTAACAGCCAGTCATCAAACAGCCTCGTCCATATACACTGCAAATTCCTCCTTCCACCAGTGAGGGGGCGGCAATACGTCGGGTTGGACCACTATTCCAGCATGGCGTATGACTATGTGGTCTGGCCATCTGCTTTTGACCCCTCCGAATGAACCAAGTAGACAGGCTAACCACCGGCCATAATTTTTTGCCGCACTACCAAGATTTTCCAAATAGAAACATAGATTCTCGACTTTTGCCAATTCCTCGGGGTTAAAATGGTCTAACCCATTTACACTCATCCTCGCACCATCGGATATTACAATGCGTTCGCTGAAGGAGTCGAGATTAAGGTATAAAGTGTCGAGCTGATAATTGAACCAAATGGTAGGACACCCGCCGAGGGAGGGGAAACAGCGTGTATAGACCTTGGCACCAACTTCGTATGATTCCCTACAGACAAAGAGCACCACCGGAGCAGGGCATTTTGTTCTGAACCCCCAAAGCGTTTCTGGGCCGTCGAGGTTTTGCTCGTCGGGATCGGTATCATCGTCGGTATTCCAGCCACGGTCTTCATTGTCTGCTTATTGACTTGTTAGTCATTGTAATCTTCACGGCTGAAAGCAGTTATGATTTAACTATAGACCCTTGAATATTTACCCATTTTCAATCAAGAATAAATGCAGCAAGCCAGATGAAGTTGCACACCAGGAGGTACTCTTAAGCATAGAGATTTGCACATATTTCTTTGAGTCTCATCCCACGAGGTAGACTTCCAGTCATTCGATCTCTCTGCTCAGACGCGGCTTCCTAAAACACGCAATGCCCAATCACTGCACCTTCTATCCTAAACATCCTCGCCCAGAACGCACTCTTATGCCTTCCTCGGAATCCCGAGTCTCCCAGGCACCTCCCACTTTTTCAGTTCCTCCCTCCCGTTCCTTTCCTTTCCACCTCCATCTCATTCTCGCAAACCGATGCATCCTCATAAAGCAACCGCTCCAGCCCGGGTTTGAAACGCAGACCTCTAAGAAAGCAGTGCTATCGCTGGTTAGGTTAACCTCGGACATTGTCCCTTAGTATGAGGCCTCAGGAAAAGCCGCGAAGTGGTCTCCTAAGTAGATAAATGCCTGCTCAACTAGGCCTATGCTCAACTTCATTCAGCAAGCGTGATGCCTTTAAGGTAAACATTACAAGTTTCAAAAACTATTACATTTGTCCTCCCTAACTATATGCCACATGAGGGATCGATCCAAGACAAAGAAGCTCAAGGCGCTGAAATCGCAACCAGAATATCATCATCATCCGAAAAGTCGGTGTCGCTGGGCTCAATAGCGGCTTGGATATGGTCGTCATCTGAGAAGTCCTCCTCGGTAAAGTGGACTGCTACATTACTCTCTTGGGCCTGGTGCTTCGAGGCCAAAAGCTTCTTCTGTAAGACTGGCTGCAAAATTTTGCCAGTGGCTCTTTGCTTATTAGCAATGAACGTAGCATGCTTGTCGGCGTCCCTTGCTTCCCTTGCTTCCCTTGCTTCCCTTGCTTCCCTTGATTCCCATTTTCTCTCCTGTTCTTCGTAAAGATAGCATAGAAAAGTTGATTCCTCTTCATTTTCGTACATCTCCTTGGCTTCCTCCGTGACGCAGATTTGATAGTCAATGGCTGGAGCGCTCTGAGGCCTTTTGCTTTTCCGAGTCAGGTCAGTTAAGTGTGACTGTAGCCTCTTCTCTTTAACTGCAGTGTAATAGCGATCGGGTATATGGGGTCCGAATCCATAATCTTCGCCATAATCTTCAGTGTACAATGAGGAATGCTGAAATACTTCGTCCATGTCGATCGGGTCCATCAGTAGAAGAGTTGACTGGTCATCATGGTCCTCAAACTTGTAATGACGGACCACAAGTGTGAGCTTACTCACTGCACCAAAGTAAGTGAGTATATGAGCTACCAAATGCGTCAGATGGCTCCTCGTAGTATAAAAGTCGTTAAGTCCGTTGTCGGTAGCTCCTGGATCGATAAGAATAGCCAAATTTGTGACCTTTTCTAGATTGGTGACATCGCTTAGTGCGGGAAAAAGATCATCAAAAGTGCGAAGATCATCTAAAATATTCACAGAATACGGCGAGACGAACGTCAGCGTGTCGTAGCGCAGATATAAGATATCGCGTTTAAAGTCGAAGTAGATTTCCCCAAATGATCCTTCCGTGGCAAATGCTGGCTGATAGAACTTCGATGCAACACGATAGGACTCTTTGCAGACAAACAGAATCTGCGGAGGCTTGCAATAAGATGTGATGCCCAGCACATCATCATCCTTCACAGGGGCTCCCCTTTCGTCAATGTGCCATTCTTCGATACACCCTCCACGCATTCTACCTATTGCCTTCTGCTGGATAGTAACAATTCGTGGCCCTGGTATCGCAGCTTCCCATATCGTATCTCGTATCTCGGCAGGCAAGCTCGGGAATTTGGCGAAGGCCGGTTCGACGGATAGTTCTGCCATGGCTTTGGGTGTTGTCGGGCCAGGTCTCGAGGAAGGATTTGGGGTTGCGGACGACTCGTGCGGAAGGTCGTACGCGTTCTTGGCGTATAGAGATCGGTGCAGGTTCTAATGAGAGATCAGGGAATCAATTGCTGGTAGCAAGTGTGGAATATTTTTTGGTGGTGGATTCGAAATATGGTCAATAAAATATTGACGTTGCTCGGAGGACGCGGGTTTCAGTTGAACCAGTGTAGAAATCGACATCCGATGCGAGGTCTATGCTTCTCTACACTGGAATTTGGATGAGCTTTAGCGAGAGTGATCTCTACACTGGATCAGCTATAGAGGGGGAGGGGGCGCTGCCTACTGGATAAGCGAATGATAATAAAGCTATTCCTAATCTAGCTAGGCATATGCTTATAAGAAAAAGAGAAGCATAATCGTGTCTCCCTAAGTTAAAGTTTGACAGCTGAATAAGCCTCCTAAGATGGCCGTTCTCTCCCAGCGACGGGGAAGACCCAAGGGTTGCACGAAGCGTATGATTGAATGGCCACCGTCGGTGTTGTCATGGTGCTGAAGCACTAGGGTAAGAGCCTTGAGTCCGAGAAACATGCTCAAGATATGTACCAGCCAGCGTTCAAGCCCTCCCATCGGCCAATAGTTCTGCTCTCTCACAAGAGCCAGATTCTGGACACTCCGTAAATCTTTGGGGTCTTCGATAAATCCGACGTCCGCTAGAAGTCCATATGCACCCCCTTTTCCCCAAACCTTATTTTTAGCTACATTGAAGACATCGTACCGAAGGAATAGAGTGTCGACCTGGAAGTTGAAGTGGAATTCAGGATACGAATCTGGAGTCTTAAAGACCTGCGGATAGAACTTTGAAGCCGCCTTGGATGATTATTGGCAGGTAAGCATAATCGGTGGCGGTTCGCAAGACGAGTAACAGCCATAGAAAATTTCGTGCTCGGTAGCGTTTTCTGTTGCGTGCCAGAAATTGAGATCACTATGATTTGGAGTTGGTTCATGTGCGAACTGACTTAAAGGATATCCATCCTTTTCAGGTAAAAAATTAGCAAATAATTATTCGCTAAGGCTTTTGTATCAACAGTATATTTTTACATATTTTTTGCAGAAACGGTCACCTCAAAGTCTCTGCGCTCACAGGATGAACGCGGTCAACGAAGCAAGAATAACAAGAACGAACGAAGCAACAACAGAACTCGAAGCACTATTGGCTATATCTCTGCGCGCAATAGTCTTACTAGGACCCGAGAAAGTGCTAGTCTTGTTTGCTCGCTTGAGTAGCAAAAGGTCATCTCCATCAGCGCCATCTCCGCGAATAAAGGACCACGTCAGCGCTGTAGCATTGAGAACAGTGAGCTTGCTGAATCCGTAATGAGATTGATCAAGGACGGCAGTGATGTTTGAGATCGCTTGGCCGGGTTCTAGAACGCTGTGGCTTTCGACGTTTCCCGCCATGCCGTTGATGATGTGGGTCATGGATAGACCTGGATTGGTGTAATACGTGTTGTTGTTCACGATGGATGTCTTATCAATCGTGCTGTTGGCTCCCATGGGGTAGAGACGCTCGTACCAATGGATGTGACTAATGAGTGTCAGAATTCGAGAGCTAACTGATGACGATGGAAAATAAATACCCAGATAAATAAACGTCGACCTTGTATTCCAGCATGAGACTTTCCCAAGCAGCGCGTAAATGGGCTTGATAGGATGATACTTGTGTGCTGTACATGGGACGATGGCTCATCGCTATGATCCAAGGTGTCTTCGCACGGTCGACGCTGGCGAGATCTTGCGCCAACCACTTGTACTGCGCATAGGCCTTGTTGTCTTTGTAGCTGCCGTCGATGGCACCAAATGGCCCACTGTCAGTGACATAGGTCTCGTTAGCCACGGGTAGCGTTTCATTTCCCGTGACATCGGCGGCGAAGGTTTTAGAGGGGCTATTCGCAAGGTCTGTTTCACTATCCAGAGTAATAAAGTGGGCAAGGCCATAGTCAAAAGAGTACCAGAAGTTGCCAACACCACCAGTCTCGTTTCCTGGCATCCGGAAACGGTTTTGAAACGCAGTGAAGTTTCTGATACTGTTAGAAAGGGACTCGTTTGTTTTGCGAAATTATAAGGGGTTCTAAACACTTACCTTTGGGAGGGTGGGCAACTATAGTAAGTCAGTTCAGACTCAGGTGCTGTGCTGTTGGCTTCATCGTTGTTCAGCCAAGCTGTCAAAATGTTGCCTGGGCCATCAAACTCGCTGCAAGTTGCTTCATGGTTTCCAGGGAGAACCATGTAGGGAATCTTAGAAGTGATATTGACCATCCATTGTTGCCAAAGATCCCAGTTGGATTCGTAGAGAACACTCATATCGCCACCTAAAGGTCCACCTTGATTGGCAATTTCTCCATCTGGGAGAGGAACTTCGTATTCGGCAGGAATCGGATCCCCACCAGGAAGCTCAGTAGATGTTCCATTGTAGCAAACGGGCCAATCATCTTCGCAAGGAAGAATCCCAGAATACCAATCGTCGGCGTAACTAAGATCACCCCCGTGCCAAGCAAAGGCAACACCCTCATCTACTGCCTTTATTAGCTGCTTGTGTGTACCGCCAGCGTTTGTATATCCCATGTCATTTAACACGGCAACTGTAAACCCCTTTGGATCACCGGCCGCACGTGCCGTGGTGAAGCTCAAAACCTCTGAGGCAGTCGTACCGTTCGAAGCCGAGATCCTGTAGCTGTACGTAGTATCAGATTGCAAACCAGCGATTTGAACCTCATGAAAGAACTGGCTGCACTGAGTCACCACTACCTCGGAGCAAGATGGGGTGCGGTCATATCTACAAAGCGATTCGGATCAGCACCTGACAAATCGTTCCTCATAACAGTGTGTTTAATGAGCATTATTACATACGTGTGAGAAACTCCACTGGCCTTGTTACACAAGTCGGTGGGGCTACTACCCCAGGTCACAAGAGGGGACTCATCTAAACCAAATGGTGTCTGGTAGTGGATATTGACGCCCGTGGGAAGATACGATAATGAGATGACATTTATATTGTTCGTTGGGTTACTCGATGCAGGTACAACGGCTGGGGCTTCAACGAGACGTGGGAATCCCTTGCCATTACCATTGATACTCGGATCAACCCCTTGGACAAAACGTCAGTCAATTTTCGATTCGAGAACGATAATGGAGAAAGCAAACGAGACTTAAATGTTAAGAATATAAAATTTCGAGGGGATTTGACTCGAGTCGGGAAATCGCGAACAAATGGGTTGGATTATCTTACAATCTGCAACTGGAACAGCTGGACCATTGTAGGGATACCGAGTGTCAACATCTCGTGTATCAAGATCATCCACAGGTATGGCATGCACGAAGATGGGCGAAAGCGCGCCCAACAGCGCCGGGGCCGTGGTAATCTTCATGCTGTGAAGCAAGGTTACTTACAGAACTACCGAGTTTAAAGGATAAGTTTCCAGGGATCGGAGCACATATGATGACTGCAAATACGCAGGTGAAGGCTTCCAAATCCGAACAAGAAGGATGCAGGTCTCGACGCATTATTATACTCTGAGGCTCCCACCCGGGAGACAAATTAAACAAGCTGGACCCAATTCAGGACCTGCCTTATTACTTAGCTGAAGGCAAAGCAGACAAGCTTTCCGTCCTTGCCTCCACTCTTGGCAGGCACCGCATCTTGCCAGGAACAAATGGGAAGCTGCAAGCAGAGGCAAATGTATGTGGCTTGCTTGCGATGCCATTTGCAGCAGGTAGTCAAATCGGCTATTATTCGGTAACAGCTCAACCATCACTTCTTATCGCATTCGAAGGAAGATCGATCAATTCCACATCCCGTTATTCAGCGGACCTTACGAATTCAACACGGTTGATTGGTGTGTACGGAGTAAATCAACGGATGAACTGCTTCATTTCAGCTTAACTAGATACCAATCATGAAGACACGTCAACCAGCCTTTAGCTTTATGATTGGTCTTAAGTGACACGTCGCGGGTACCCTTGTAGGAAGCATTTCCGTAGTCCTGAAACATCTATGTCATTTATCTTTCTCCTAAAATCTCTAAATGTCAAGATTAGCCGTGACATCAAACAACTTTAAAGGAACAAGTATTTCTGGCGGTTTTCTATCGCGTTCTATAGCTTTATAAGCACTGCTTGCTTGACGTTAACCCCACTACCTATACGGCTGATGCGGGGAAACACAGTGTCAGTTGCAGTGGCGGAAGTGAAGAGTATCAGTATCCAGGTTTACACATTTGGCCTCGAAGGCATAGGCTTCGACAGCACAGCAGACACGATTTCCTTGCGCGCGTGGATGGAAGGTGGCTTCAGTGATGGGAATTTAAGGAGCTGGAGCAGTTGCAAGATTGCTGAGGTTGACATCTTATACTCGAGTAGCTCTGCGTCCGTCTGAGCCGTAAGTTGATGCTCGACCAGCATTTTCGATCTTTAGTACTGCGAATTATCTGGATGAGCATGAACTTCGATAGCGGAACCGTTGGAGGGGCGGTTAGGAAGTGCAAAGCAAGCTGGCTTGGTATGTGTGGTTGGTCCTTCGGGAGAAACGGAAGTAGATGGATTAAGTAAAGAGATGCTTATATACAGTATGGGGGGATTGAAGGAACCAGAAGAATTATGGGGGGTAGAGGTTGGATAGTAAGTGTTTGGAATGTCGATTATGAGGTTTAGAGGAACGAACGAGGGTTGAGTAAGTGAAAGCTCTATATTTGAGAGAAATGAAATATCCCTGCATAAAGGTCAGCTCTCGAATCATACATAATAAAGTCTACGCACGTACTTGAAGAACACCAGAATATTCCTCGTGTTCCCCACCCCCCGCCCCCTCCCTTTTGAAACGCATAACAATGTTAAACAAATTTCAAACGTCATCAACGCTCAAAAGATATTGGTATAAACGCGAATTCCTACTTATACAGTGACAGACCCCACACCATCTAAACTCCCAAGATGCCATCCATACCTCTATCTTACACAACACCCCCTTCCACCCCTCCCTTACTTACTCTGGCCTTCCACCCCCTGCATCTCCGCATGTTGGATCTCCACCAAATCCCCCTCATCCTTCTCGCTCGTCTTCGGCTCCGCCTCCTCCGCCATCCCAACATGCACAACCTCATCCTCATCATCATCCTCAAGACTCGTCCTCCGCTTCGCCTCCGTCGTAACACTCAGCCTCCTCTTCCCCTGTCCATCACCCCCAAACTCTCTCCCAGACCCTCCATACCCATCCTCATCGCTGTCGCTATCGTCATCCAAGCTCTGCAAGTTCTCGTCAGCACCTCTGAAATGGCTCCTGTCGTCCTCTTCGCCATTTCCGACAGCGAAGCTCTTGACGACGCCAGTACCAGTAAAATTTGAATTGGTACTGAGAATGTTGTTGCCAAATGGCCACATGGAGGGAAAGCTGGCTCTGGTCGCCTTGTGGGAGGGGAAGGTGTGTATATCATCGCTAGGGTTACCCACTGTGATTTTGCTCGGTTCAGCTACTATTGTTTCTTCATTACCAACCAGTCCAGTGCCTGCTGGCATGTGACCCTTGCCTTCCTCCTCCACCTCCAAGTCACCGATGGTAAAATCCCCGTCATCATCATTATCGGAATCGTCATCCTCGTCTGCAGCAAAGGGATTCAAGTTCTTGTGATGTTGCTTCTCGCTCAGTTCTCCATTCTCTGCGACATTTTCAGCATTCTGTTTTGAGTGAAGGGCAAGGCGAGCTGCTAGTTGGCGACGTGCTCTTGAAGGGGGGATATTCAAGGGCGGTGGAGGTGGTGGGGGAGCAGACGGGGGCTCCATTTCAGATCCGGAAGTCGCAGTCGTGGTTGATGGATTTGAGATGTACCGTGAGAACTATGTGGTGGGTATGTGTTAGTCGATATATTTCCATAAATGTTTGTCACACAAGTAATGAGAAGCACACGATGAGTGCCAAAGCTCAATGGAGCAAAGCCATAATGTTGAAATTCGAGCTCCAAAAGAATAATGTCCGGGAACAATAATTTTCTGGAACCCATCTCCCAACACAACCTCCAAATGCGCCCACTGGTAAGTATTTTACAAGAAAAACAAATGATTAAGGCTTAGAGACTTCGCCTTCAGGAAACAAAGGGGTCTCTCGATCCAATTGCTCCAAATATTCGTATTCCACTTCTTCATCGTCGAATTTGTCAAGGTTGGGAGCAGGAGGAACAGAATGACCCACTTCAGCCGCGCCGCTATTATTCCTTGATCCATCTTCATCGTTGTCTTCGTCCATTTCATCATCTTCTTCGTCGCTGGAGCTTCCAAATCCGCTAAGCAATGTTCCGCCGAGAGAGAAACCTGGTGTGCCATTCCCGTTTGCAAGATCAATGCTGTCGAGTCCGGTGGATCCATTGAGACCTGCTTCTGTCAAGGCCGACGACGCCCCACCAAAGTTATTGGCAGCGTTGACTGCATTCATGACTGCTTGTCTTGGGCCAACAGACATATCCGGTCTTACCCCACCCAAGATAGCGTTGTCTCGCTCGCGAGTTTCCGCTAATGTTACTTCTACATATGTGCTCCATTCATTATTCATAACCTTCTCCATCACTGACTCTGCGAGTAGCTCTGGTGGATGTCGCTCAGTAAACTTAACGACTTCCTCTGCAATAAGAGTCAGGTGGCCCATGTAACCCAGGCGCATCTTGCTCTTCTCTTGTGCTTCGTCGCTCTTCCTTTGCCCATCGACGATACGCATGGTGATATTTCCAGTTTCGAAGAGATCGACAGCGAGTGAACGGTTGTATCCACGATCCATTGGTCCATTGAAGACCTGTTGTACAACGTCATAGACGACATTATGAAGAAAGTTATTCCAAGGAAATCGGAAAAAGAAATCCTGAGCTGGTTAGTTTCCGAGTCAATCTTGTGGCTTCAGAACTCGGGACTTACTAAAATTGTTGGAACAACCTTATGCTCAACAAATTGCATTTTCAAGAAGTCTCCGACAACAGGCGCAGTTGGGGTATCTATCAGCGGTTGCTGGGTATGTTCCTCGGTGTTGCCCATCAAGACCGAGTTTGAGCTATCACCAGCTTCTCCCATGGTCGTATCCGAGCTTTCCGTGCCAGTGAGTTGGTTTTCGGGTGCTTGACCCGTGATGTCTTGTGGGGACTCAACCTTCTTTACAAACAATGGCGCCGGCTTATCTTCAGGGTGCAGAACTTCATCCATAGGTTCCGGTGGCGGGACAGCTTCAGCCGCAGCAGGTGTCTTCTCAGTGGACTTGTCTTCTGTCGCAGGAGGGCTTTCAGTCGACTCTTCCGAGGACCCTGGCGAGTTCTTGCTAGATTCTGCGGTTGAACGATCACTGTCTTCAATGTTGGTATCCACCATATGTGTATCCGTTTCAAGACCGATCGCCTGTACTTCCTGGGCGAGCTCTACGGTTGGTGATAATGGTGTCAATGTCGATTCGAGTTCTGACTCCGGCGAGTCTCTCTCCGTGTTGAGTCGCGGAGAACTCAGTGGTTCATCAACAAACTCGTCATCATCCTTGTCGAGAAATGATAGTGGCGTTTCAGATTTTGTAGACGCAAGCAAATCATCAGCCTCTGGTTTCTCGTCAAAATCGTCTTTCGCGTCGTCTCCCAGATCAGCTGCATGGGTCACTTCTTCAAATCCGTCATCGTCAGTAGCATTTTGAACCTCAAGTTTCCTCGAACTCCCCGGCGATGATCCCAGTCTCGTTTGCGTTGAGGATTTCATTGTTAGATCATCATCCGAGTTTGTTTGGTGTGACGAAACGCCAAGTTTTCCTTCGGCCCTTAGCCGTTCGCGCTCACCATCTCGTGTTTTGACAAACTCCTCACTGCCAACCTCATTTAAGAGGCCCATGTTACTGCAGTGCAGAAGTTCGGCCATCAATTCGCAGGTCTTGAATCTATCAAAGCCCAACGGTTCGATTTTCCCGCCAAACGCTGCCCTGAGTTCCTTCCTCCTGATTGTCACGGGACCATCACCTCCGCCAATCGTATGATTTGGACTGAGAATAAGCTCCATGAAATCCGGAACTCGTTGAGCGAACATTCTTAGGAGCGTTCCCAGGTATATTGGGTCTCGACTTGAAGGGACAGAGTTCGCTTCCGCACCAACATCTGGGTCATAGTCCGAATTGTTCTTCCGAATGACTTCGATCACAATGCCAACACCCACTGTCAGGGGATTCCCACCCTTCAGCATATCGGAAATTAGCTTCTCGATGCATGATTGTGACACAAGTTGGCGCGTTAATTCGTTCGGTCCAATGCAGGACTGCTCATTTTGTGAAGCGTTTGCGGAAATCGTAATTATGGCTTTCAAGAAGTCGCCAGCTGATGTCTGCGTCGCCCATGAATGCTCAGAAGATAGAAACGATAGGAGGATTGGCATCAGATCTTGGGAATGGAGCCACTAGATTTCGACCGTTAGCATTATACGAAAGCCAGAAACAATGATTCATACATCAACGATGCCTTGTCCACCCTCCACTTTTTCAAGACTAATAATCTTGAGGAGCAAATCCATCACCATAGGAGAGTCAACATGCTGCAGCATATTCTTGACCGCTCCTTCGAGGGATTTGAAAAGGTCCAGCATCTCCTCGGTCTTCTTGTCGAGGAGCGCTTCATTGACCTTTGTAAAATAACTGGCTTGTAGAGGATCGAGGGGTGGGGGAAGCTTGAGGAAGTCCCAGAATTTGCGCAGCAAAGGCTGATTCTCCATCAAAGCCTCACATATTGACCAGTTGTCAGAAGAAAGGATTTCCGCGGCAACATACGCGTATCGATTGCGCTTCTTCTCTCGCTCATCTTCGCCGTCTTCCGAGGGGCTTGCTCTCGAGAATGAAACTTTGGTATCTGTTGGTTCTGCTTCTTTCCCTTTACCCTCAGTCTCATCCGAGGCTTCTTCCGTAGCAATCTCTAGCTTTGGGGCTACAACGTATTCAAGCAAGCACTCCAAGATCTTATCCTCGCGCAGGTACTCTATCAGCTTCGTATTATGCTGCTTCAGCTCTTGTATCAAATCACTCTCGTCGAGGAGTTCTTCGAGGGTAATATCGGATTTCTCGAGGAGGTTGTCAATCGCAGAAACACTGGCATACCCGCCAAATCTCCAAAACATCTTGAATTATGTAACAGCGCTCGTCTGCCGCCGACGGCTCGGAGGCGGATCGAAATGGGTTTGGTATTTGCAGAGAGGTAGAGTGTGGAGGGTGGTCATGTATTGGGGGTCGGTAAAGGAGCTGCAAAATAATCGTGTATGTAATGCCGAAAAATGCGCCGTGTCAGAAGTTATGAACGAGGAGTATGTATCTATGCCCTGATCGTGAGGCGTTAAGAGATATGAATCTGTCACAAAGACACTAAATAGCGGTCTGTCAGCTTTTCGCTCGAGTCGATGCGCAGAGGTTGGTTGTTCTGGGGCTGCAAGTGTCACATTTGATCAGGCGCAGATCTGCCCTGCGAGAAGCATTCTGCAGAGAGGGGATGCGGGGAGGGGCAACGTACAGATATGGACCCAGATAGTAATGGTATTGTACAATCGCAAGAGTCGATGCGTTGGTGGGGGAGGAGGGGGGTTGAAGTTGAAGTTGAGGTTGAGTCGTGTGGGTAGGCTAAGAACCGGATGGATCTGGGTCTGAGGCTCTTGCTTGACGTTGAGCTGGCAGGTGCGTGCAACGCCGCTTTGAGTGTGGGTCGGCGGATGAATTATCTAAAGAGAGGAGGTGACGGGCCTAAAAACGTCGTCGGGTATCATGTATCGAGTATCAAAATACAATAGAGAGAATAGAAGACAAGTGAGGTTGAAGTAGGAGGAAGTAGAAGTACAATAAGGCCGAGTGTGAGAGAGTTAAGTTGCAGTCGTGATTGATGCCAAGGTGCATCGATCGAGCCAGGTCCAGGTCGTAAAACCCCGTAATTAATTAATCGGCCCCTTTTCTGGGCATGCGATACATTCCGGAGTACAGTACGGGGGTGGGTATACAGTCAGCAAAGAATGAAGTGAGGTTATTCATGGACTTTATAATGAATAGGTACTGCAGGTCTTTGTATAGAAACATGGCATGGCACCATCCACAATTTGTAATGCCACGTCGTGCATGGATTACTTATAACCATCATATGTTCTTGATGAGCCTTCCCTGCAGGTTCATCTTGTCATGTAAACAAGCTATTCTAGTAAGTCCTTTCTTTTCAGTACATAATTACATTCATAGGTGCTTTACCAGTAGTCTTCACCAAGGAGATACGGTATTAACTTCGAAATCAACCTAGTAGTAACAGGACCAAAAAACGTTTTAGCCACGTGATTCTCTCCGATGTTCCGCCCTTTAGCCTCGTCTTGGCGTTGCGTGGCGTGGCATGCGACGCATGGCATCGCATAGCATGAAAGGGAGTATCGCAACAACCCAGAGATCATATTGAAACTCAGCCTTACCATACCAATCCACCCACCATAAAGACTAGAGAAACCAAGAGACACCCCCTCTCGTCTCGAATCTCACCTCGGCTCCCTCCTACTATTCCTCTCATCACTTAGTCTAGCGAAGTAGCAACTTGCTACCCCTCCCATCCGCCAACACCTCGAGGCAGCCTTGTGGTGAAACGAGCCTTGCAGATATACTTGCACTTGGCCTGCACTTGGCCACCTGCATTTAGTCTCCTGCTCCTATACCCGGTCCTACACCTGCACCTGTACTCATGGTAGCCTAAACACGGGCAGAAAAAGTATCAAACCCCACCTATCTCCCCCCGAGGAGAAACCTCCACCAGAAACCCGAATCTACAACTAGCCGTCAACATGAACCGCCTTTTCGGGGCGAAAAGCTCAACTCCTAAGCCAAATCTAGGTTCTGCAATCAAAAATGTACGCTCCCTTCCCTCCAAACCCAACCCAACTAACCCCATCCAGGTCGACGAACGCGTAGAATCCATCGACGTAAAACTCGCCGCCATAAACGCCGAACTCCAAGGCTACCAAACCAAACTCTCCAAAATGCGCGACGGCCCCGGCAAAACTGCCATCAAGCAAAAAGCCCTCAAAGTGCTGCAGCGCCGCAAAATGTACGAAGGTCAGCGCGACCAGCTGCAACAACAGTCCTGGAACATGGAGCAAGCAGGCATGATGCAAGACAACCTCAAGAACGTCATGACGACCGTCGACGCCATGAAGACGACGAATAAAAGCCTGAAGCAGCAGTATGGCAAGATCAACATCGATAAGATTGAGCGCATGCAGGACGAGATGGCCGATCTAATGGAGGTAGGGAATGATATCCAGGAGAGCATTAGTCGCAGTTATGATATTCCGGAGGATGTGGATGAGGCTGAGTTGGATGCTGAGTTGGAGGCGTTGGGGGATGAGGCTGAGTTTGAGAATATGGGTGCGGAGAGCACGCCGAGTTTCATGGTCGATGAAGTGCCGCAGTTTATTGACGAGCCGCCGCAGCAGACGGGACAGGTCAAGGAGGCTGCTGGATGATGGCATGTTGGTTTATTGGCATTGTATGGAGTTTGGGGATTTGGCGTTAAGGAGCGTTCTGTCAGTGTCACTTGAATGCATATATCCATTACGAGTATTTCGTTCTCCCAAATCCAACTATAAGTGCACTCAAGCACATTTCCAGCCCCTCTTTAATTCATTCATTGAATGCATTAAGTCCAGTACAAGATACCTTCACGCGGGGGTATCACTAAAGGTCACATACAAGTACATCACGTATCTCTAGGTGTCGAAACGAACCACAGATAGAAGTAGTACACGAAAGTCTTCTCGAAACATGAATAGAAGTACGTCAATACTCGCCTTATACTGTAATAAGGTCATCTTGCTCCTTACCCTTATCCCGATATCAAAAAGTCTTTTTATTCATTCCTGCTTAATACAAGTAGCCCATCCATCCATCCATCTATCTCTCTCTGTCGAAAAGAAAGACCACATCATGGCCCTCGGTAGGTAGGCTTCCATCCACACCAGTAAGTACAGTACCTGAACACACCCCCCGCGTATCATCGTCAGCCCTTCGGAGGCTGAAGACTCAACACCTCCACCAAGTACATGAAACTGATTGATGTATATTTGGTGGGATTCCATGGAGGATGGTCCATTTCTACACTACACTATCATAGCAACGTAATCTGAGAGAGAGAGAGAGAGTTCCTTTCCATGTTGCGACAGCTTGACAGACTAGCTTTCATACATGAACTTGGTTCACTGGAAGCTTGAACAATGCGAAAGAATTCCCTTTCCCCTCTCAAGCTCCGCCTCGTCAGGCGTACAACAGAGTGCATACTCAATAGTCATTTCTCCTTGAGAAACCACACCGCGTCCCCATAAGTTTGCAACCAACAGCCTCCCTGTAAAGAGTTTTGCTGATTGCTGCGCCAAAGACCACCAAGCCGTCCGCCCCCTTTTCTCGCATCGGCTTGAGCGTGTTCTGGGCGCGGTTCGAGTTAAGATCAAAAGTCAGCATAGCAAGGCGTTTGCTAAAATCCATCCCGCCGACTTTGAGTAGTTGTGCTCCTCTCCTGCTGTACCCCGCGTGACACGATGGATCTTCATCAGGTCCTGGCACCAAGATCAAGATTCGAGGAAAGATTCACACATATCGTTACCCTGATTAACCCTTCCGCGGATGAATTCATGTCCAACCCACCCACGTTCTACTCCCGGACGCTGCAAGAAAAGCTCATAGCTCCATAGCACGCCAAACTACGCGATTCCTTACTTTGAAATCAAAGGCATTATTCCCAACGACCGGAGCCGTGCCGTCATATCAGACATCTCGTTCGCCGGGCGATAGATAGCCCCGAGAGCGAGCTCGGTGGATTGGAAGAGAGGACGGGGAAAGGAAACAAGCTGGGGACGGGGAGAGCTAGTGAGAGTTCCACTTTATATCACTGGGAAATAAGCACCAACGCTCCATGTCACGGAACAAGATAGCAAGAATCCTTCCTTCTGGTTCTAGCGCTGACTCTGGTGAAGGGTTTCGTTTTGCGCATCACGTAGTTGGCCTGAGCGTATACAGTGCGGCATGGTCTCGGTATCTAGATTTCGATACCATAGCGGAGCGTGATGATCTCGCCATGCACTCTGTAGAGGACTACCCCGATCGCGTTTGGCTCCGTGACATGCACTGTGCAGAGAATGCTGGTATAGATTTTCTTTCGGGTCTCACTTAGGAGGAGCTCAGAGAATCGAAAGGGATTGTTCAACATCGGCTGTGAAGGCCGGTTTGTTACTAATAAAAGCCACGGCTTTATGAAAGCTGACTGTAGGACGTATCGTTGAAGTTCTTATTATCACCATACTGTTGTAAGACGTTTTGGAGGCTGGAAGGCATTTGCCAACGTCTCGCTTTCGATAGTCCGTGCAAGATGCAGACGTCTAGCTAAGACTAGATCATATATAGAACTAACAGAACGCTGCTTACAATCAAGCGTTAAAAGGTTTTAAATTTCACAGCCATAAAACAAATGCTTAAAACTGGCTTTTTCCCCCATCACCGCAGTGAATTCCTAAAGTTTATTTCAAGTCGTTTGAAACGGCATAGTCTTGATTCAATAACCTTCTACTAAAACATTCGAGATCTAAGATTGTTTCTTCATCTGCTTTGCTATAGGTAATTAATTCATCACCATAGCGTAAAAGAAAGCCTCGCTTAAAAAGGGGTCGTCAACTCTACCCCAGCCAGAAAGAACACCTGCGAATAAAAGAGTACTGTAAAACACCCATCACAAACTCGCAAAAAGAGGTTCGAAAAAGAAGCAACCGTCAGTCAAGCTTTACTTTACGATGCGAGCTTATCATGCACCTTGATAGAACCGGGGAAATCATCAGCCATCAAGGGTCTTATTGACGTGAGTTGCTTGCTGTGTTCCGTTAAGCCTGTGCCGTAAAGTCTACGCATGAATGACATTTACCGTACCAACGAGTTGGGGGAATCCAATAACAGATGCGCGCAAAGCAAGCATTGCTCATAATGATGTTGAGGCCTACTAGTGAGCGAAAGCTCTGGCGAATCCCGGACGCACGCGAGAATAAGGTACTATACGTTGGATCCCAATCCCTCTCTTACACGTTTCCCTGCCCTTGATCGAGGCTTCCAAGGACACATTGCGAGCTCTACCTAAGTCATGTGACATGTTATGTGACAGTGGTATGGTACCCGCTGGACCACGAGTGAGTTAACTCAACGGCCAGTACGCCTGTAGCTTCCGGGTCCACGAGCACGGCCGTTGCACCGATATGATGCACCGCGAGGAGCCAGGCCAGGCCAGGCTACTGTTCGGGCGTGAGCGTTGATTAGGAGAGAGGTAGCGGTGAGGGCAAGGAGAAGGAGAAGGAGAAGAAGACTGCGAAGATGCAGATGGCGGGGTGATTCCGAGATGGATGATACGAAGCCGTCGCAGCTGGCTGGTCTGGATATCGGAGAGCCCGAGAGAGCCTATGGATGAGTCTTGAGCTCGTATCATACTACAAGCATAACGTATCTTCTATAAGTGATAAAGATTCTATCAGCATAACCAAAGAGTACTTTCCAGACTGCGACTTTAGCTAGACGACATTTATTAAGTGTCCACAATTCCAAACCTGACAATGTCTCAACTTTATATGAGACATTCAACTAGCACGCTTGCTTTAACCAGATGACTGGAGCATAATAATGTAACATACCCACTTCACAGAAATCAGAAAACAAGAAGAGGGTAAGGTCAAGATCTTCGTATTCCATAATTTATCGATATCGTATACCTGGTATTCCTTAAACGCCAATGAAATGCAGCAATACCCAACGCGATTGCAATAATAAAACCAAACCAAATCCAACCCATGTCTACTTATCAAATAACCCTGCAATGCAATACCATACCATCCCATCCATACTCCCTCCACCTCTACCTCACCAATCCCTCTCCACCCTCCAAGCATCCCCAGGCCGCATGCCAATCCGCACAATATCACAATCCTTATGCCCCCACTTCTCCGCAAACACCGCCCGTCCATGATCAATTGTCATGACGATCGCGCGTTCAAAACCCTCGCTGTCTCTGTAGAACGGTTCGCCGATCCCACCCGTCTGCCGCCCCTGCCAGGTATTGCGGCCGCCCCGGGACGCGTGCTTGGAGTTCTGCATGCGGTCGAGCGTGCTGAGGAGGGGGGCAAAATAGGTGGGTGAGTTGGGCGTGTCGGATAATGATGTAGATGTGTGGGGTGGGGAGGAGGGAGAGGGAGAGGGAGGCAGGAATTCGTAGTGGATTTCTTCGTCTTGGAGATCGATTTCGTTTTTACCCAGGATGCCACCGACATCATCTCTTTCCCTAGTCGGTATTTCGCGCTTTTGCTTTTCCTTCTCTACTCCTCCTTTCTCCAACCTCTCGACCTCCAATCTAGATTCCTCGGCCTTCCGCTCCGCTTCCTCCGCAATAGCCCTCATCTCGTCGTCTAGCACATTCGGATCCGTCCACTCTGGTAAGACGCCTACTTTGCGATACAATACTAGTAAGTCGTCAAGAGCACTCGCTACGTCGTAGATTAAACCTGCAGGCCCATCTGTGATACCGAGACCTGCCATCTCGATGCGTGCGTGCATGTCGCAATCTCCCATGTAAAATGGAATCATCGTACTGTGTCAAACCGAGTTAGCCTTGCTCACATTTCAGTAAACTTTGAAAATGGAAAAGGGAGCAGAGATAACATTGTAAGAGTAGTCGAGTGGACCTCCAACGCTACTCCTGAGATATATCCAAACTTCCCTTGAAGAAATGATTACTTACTCCCAACCGCCTACTTCAATAAACGCGGCTACGTTGACCAGCGCCAGATTATCGTACGCGAAGAATCGCATGGCCCAACGTTTCGCAGCCCCTGTTTCTGGATCGGGCAATGCGACGTCCCGGAGAGCAGAAACACAATGTGTGTAGATGGATTTGGACTCTGGAATAGAATCCGGGGGCGAATCTTCATAAGATACAGCCACAACATCCATATGTGACCAGAAATAATGCTTCCACTCATTTTGAATACTCGTATACAGATAAAAATTCTGCAGCTGCGCGAACGTGAAAAGCGTAGGGGTGACGAGCACGTTTACACCGAGCATGTTGAGGCGTGTGTGGTTTAGGAAAAATGGGTTTTGCAGTGACAGTTCCCCGTTCTTGTTGCTGTTCATGACGCCCGTGTTTTCGACGACGTATATGTCTTCCGGGGGCCAGCCGGAAGTTATGTACGATACTACTACTTGTTGGAGGAGTCGCCAGTTTCGTGTAAAACCGATGAAGAGAGGAGTGCTTTCTGGTACGTGGGGAGATGGTGGGGCGTTCCATGGTGCGATGGTGGGGAGTTCGGAGGCTGAATGGGCGGCTGCTGCGACGGGGAAGTTGTCGATGATGGGGGGACTGATCGAAGCTTTCTCTGGCTTGTATTTTGGCTTCTGTGGTATGGCGTGTTCTTCTTTGATTGGGTTTTTTTCAGTTTGAGTTTTTTCCACTGTGGGACTTGCGCCTGTAGCTATCTCAGTGCGCAGATAGAAGGCGATACAGAATATGAATATGATACATGTTGTGGCCAAGTAGTATGTTCGCTGCCGAAGGTTAACAAGCATATTGAGGTTGGTGGAAGCTATGCGCTTCTGACCGAACACGCGGGATCCAGCATGCAAATCGTGAGGGTGATAAGAATTCCAAAGTGTAGATGAAAGAAGAGAGTTTCTTGCAACACGAGTAGGGAGAGGGAGGGAATAGAACTGCAAGTACACATTGGACCTACATAAAACACACAAAAGCATCTAGACTGCTTAGCCTTTAGTTCCAGGTAAAAACTGTTTGCGGCAATGGGGGAAAAAAAAAAACAAAAAACGATGAAGTCATTGAAAAAGTTGACGTGGTGGGTCTTCCAAGGAACACACGCGGCGGTTTGTTGTTGTGCAATTCAAAATCAATGCAATGGAGCCACAGTAGTGCGTACACATGGCCATGGCGGTGTGGATGCTTCCAGGTTTTGTTGACGGGTACAGCATCAAAACAGGTGGCGGTGATAGGTCAGTAATGGTTTACGATCAACTATCTGCTTGATGGTGTACGGTAGTGAAGTGAGTGAACAGGGAAACCTAGCTCCCGTTGATCAAAGAACCTTGATGCCGGTGGTAACGTGACCTGGTATACCAGAGATATGGGACTTTGGCCAAGCACAATACATGCACCATCGCGCCCTTCCCGCCGCTAAACGACGATCATTCCAAAACCGGATTATATGTCAACGCATTGAGGACGTAGAAAGGAAAGCTAGGTTGCATTCGACCTCACAGATACCTGTTTCAGAAAGGGTGCTAGAGAAAAGAAATCAACCAATTGGGAGAAAGTTATAAAACGACGACATCATAGTTGCGCGCAAGAAAACATAAAATCGGAAAGAGAAGGAAAAGAAAAGAAAAGAAAAGAAAAGAAAAGGAAAGGAAAGGAAACGGGCGATTTGAAGTTTCTATATAAAGTCTTAACCCCTAGCATGCAAACTCGGTTTCACTCTTTCACTCTTTGTTTTGATGTCTCAGCCTCTCCATCCACGCTACCGGAAAGAAACGTGACTAACTAGCATGAACGCCCGAAGTTGTTGTTGAATAGTTTCATGAAAGCATTCAAAGACAGATTATGTTCATGAGATAAGAGATTACGGGAGAAAGAGTTAAGACTTATACCTACCTTACTTCCAGTTGATGACTTCTAGTCCTGGTCACCTGATCGCCCTCCTATTTCGAGACACAGCGAAACGTCTGCCTCCTCATGCAAAGAACTGCATTACCTGGCTACACCTAAGTCCAAACCAGAACCAGGGATTTTATCGGGAAGAGCCTCATTCGTATGTTATTACTGTAGTGGCGCCGTACTGTGGGATATCCGTCACCGCCTCTGCAAGACATTGGAAAAAGCGGGTTGACGGCAACGCAATCGGCCAGGAAGTGCTTGGAGGTTGTACCGGTCCGGTACTATACTATCAAGTATTATAGGTATGAATACAGTACCTCCTGGTACCTGGTACCGGGTCCCTGGAAAGAAAGAGAAAGCCGTGCGCCCAGATCCATATCCTGTGGAAAGAAAAGAAAAGTCGTGAGGCGCCTCATACAAGAGTCGACAGTCATGCCTCTTCTTGTTCAAAAGTAAGATTTCCTCTCACTGACCAGCGCCAGAGGAAAGAATCAGAAGCAAAGCAAAGCAAAGTACGTACCGAGGAAGACAAGACTAGAAGTTCGCCGCCCCTCGGCTCTGTTATATAATCTTACGAGATGGAAATTAGGTTCTCGGCTGCTGTGAGCAATTGAGACGATCAATCGCACATGTCCCGTAAATAAATCAAATGTCGAGGAGAAATTAAAATTTGCTGCATGTTTTGTCTGCTGGACGTTCAATGGGGATTTCACATGCTGGGGACTAGAGATGTAACGTGTGGCTGATGGAGCTCGATTGACGTCGAGACTTGGCGCCGGCTTAGAAGCCGATGTTCCTCAGATTAATATGTATAGAATAGGTATAGTAATATAATGTACCTTAGCCAGCTTCCTATATATCCTGGGAAAATAATCATTAATAAAGTAAAAGAATAATACAGAAAGAAGGTAGGTGGATGGATTCAAGAAGTCAAGAGATAGATTTGAAGGATTGCTATATATAACAGTCGAGGCTAAGTGTTAAGCCGCATTACTAGGTCCCTCTACCTAGTACCAGTATAGTATAGACCCTAAAAGCCATACCTCCGTAGAGGACCCTCAGATAGATGTCGATCTCGATTTGATCCTCAACATAAAGAGTACCTCATGTACTCTTTTCCGGTTTGAGAGAGTTCAAAGTTCTGTCAAGTTTTGGCCTGTCGAAAAGGGAAGGAGAGAGTCGATCGGGAACAGCAGCCTCCTTAGACCATGTTCTGACACACGGAGAAATAGCGAGGATAGATGCGATGCCCCCCCTCCAGCCTGAAGATAAGCCCGATAAGGAATTTTTATAGTGCAAGTAGATGGTCAGACGTGATAGAGTTAATTGAAGCGCAAAAGCGCATAAGAAGTTGTATTTTTATATGGAATAAATAGCTGAGAGTGCATAGGACTATACACGGCGAGAGAATTCCAATCCGTTTCGAATTCTGATTTTCAATGAGAAAAGGTTGAGACGAGATGACGAAAAAGTGCCTTTCACATGCAAATGCAAATGCACTAGATACTCTTCTCATCCCTGCATGGATTGTGGCGCACCACTCGCTCTGCACCAACACAACATTCTGTCCCGCATCACAGACGGCGAATGGTATGATACAGTACGTACGATGTGATATGATATGATACGGTATGGTATGGTATGGTATGGTATGGTATGGTATGTGGGATGCAGTACGCACTCGAATCACAGCAGGTAGAAGTGCTTCCAAGATGTTCTGTTGCAGCAATGGCACAGGTAGCTACCTACTCGAGTGAGACAGACAGGACAAGACAAGACAGCCATCTCATTCGCCATTGCACACACCACCACCCACCCCACTTCACTCTAGGTACATGTTCCTCACTGGGCGACTTGTTGTTACACGTCATGCGAATTGTGAGAATCTGGGAACCAAAGCACATGCAAATGTTGAAGCTGTGCTGTTCTGTGCTGTGGCGCATGAGATGGCAGGGCAGGGCTGGATGGCATGGCATGGCATGGCATGGCATGGCATGGCATACAGTAGCACCAGTGGAATTGCATGAGGTAGTCCCTCCTCCTCCTAATCCCAAGGCAGCCTGGCCTGGTAGTAACAGTGGAATGGGAGTGATAAAGCTCGACACCACCTCCATCCCTCCCGTTGAACTTGACCTTCTGACCAACATATACGAACCTCACACCTCTACCGTACCACATACACCCTCACACACTTACATTCTCAACTCTCACTTGAACACACCCACACACTTCGAGCATATCTAAGACAAGACCTCACAATCTATCAACACGACTAGTAAGTATACTTCCTCCTCAGCCCTATGCAAGGCACGCCCGTCTTATCACACCCACCATCCCACCATATCTGATCCATCAGACTGACTCAACCCTCAGAAGAGAACAAAACTACATGCCACATTCAGAAACCGACATCAACAGCTACAGTACAACCGCAGACATGGCACCCCAAGTAAACGGCGACTCCAGCCCCTCCTCCGCCTTCCTCTCCGTAAGTCCCACGTCTCGTCCCTCCCTTCCCCTCCACCCCTCCACCCCGAGAACAACCGCTAACAACCCCTCGCCCAGCACCTAACCTCCTACCCCGTAATCCACGACTCAATCGACACATTCAAAGCCAACCCCTACGCCGCAAAATCCATCACCCTCACCACATCTACCTACAACAAGCTCAGCACGCCCGTAGCCCCCTACCTCAGCAAACCCTACGCCTACCTCTCGCCCTACCTCACACGCGCCGATTCCATCCTCGACTCCAGCCTCTCCACCATCGACACCAAGCTCCCGGCCCTCAAGAAACCCACCTCGGATCTCTACGCCGACGGCAAGAGCATCGTGTTCTACCCGCTCAAGGGCAGGGACTACGTGCTGGATACCTACCAGAAGGAAGTGAAGAAGGTTGGGGGCGCGAGCGGGGGCGTGGTGGGCTATGGGAAGGCGGCGGTGGGCACGGGGTTCGTGGTGTTGGGCGATAGTCTGGGTTGGCTGGGTGGGTTTCTGAGGGAGAAGAAGAAGGAGGGGAAGGAGGTTGTGAGTGAGAAGACAGGGTGATTGGATTTACATTGCATTGGCATTTGGAGATGGAGGGGAGATGAAACGGACGATACCCACGCTACTCTTTTCTACTGCTTGATCTAGGGAATGTGGGCAAGAGATGGATGGACAGGGAGGCCATGTTGAAGTACCATAGTATACCGGTGGAAAATAGCGTTTCCTTCTCTACCTTCTTGGTCTTGTTTCCCTGTTACGGATCGCTTGGTTATTCGGCGGTTGCATGTCCCCATTCTCCTACTGCACTTTCTTGAGCACGAGCTGGCACAGATGCGAGGTTGAGGACGGTGCATACCGTGCATATTGAGCCATTGGAGGAATATACTTTAAATAAATGCATGCGAATCATAGACTTCTATTCTCTTCTCCGATCCCGCTTCTCGAAACTCTGTATTCGATCAGTCTGAGTTGTCACCCCACTTCCACTTCCACTTCCACTCCGCATTTCAAATCGCATCTTTCCTTAACAATCCAGTCTAGGGGTTCACTTTCCCAATTCCTTAATCTACATCGATCAAATTCCTAGTCCTACCGCAGCACCATCATTCCACTTTCTCTCATCTCTACTTCCATGCACGGCACAGCACAGCACCTTCCCAAATCACCCAGCTATCTATTCCCTTCCTTTCACCCTACTCCTACTCCTACTCCTACTCCCACTCCTGCGAAGGGGTGGGGTGTAGTAAGGTAGATAGATAGTAGGAGAGAAAGAGGGGAGAAAGAGGGGAGAAAGAGAGAAAGGGAGAAAGGGAATAGAGCATTGGATGGATGCATAGATCGCTCGCTTACTTGATTGATTAGTTACGGGATACTATACTATAGCTTCTACCTAGAATGGTCTGAACATGTACAGCGAGCGTAAAGAAAGAATTTCCTTCCTTTTTTCTTGTAATTCTTTCTGTTCGGGCCGGGCTAGATTGGGCGGGGCGTAATTAACGTCGTTGGGTAAATAACTATATATAGGCACGTGAAGTAGAAGTATTCTGTATAATACTTTATATATTCTTTTCTTATTATGAGAGTTTTTATTGATATATTTCAAGTCGGGTCTTATTATTACTCTTATCAGCTATGATTATTCAGTACCCTCTCAATATACTCGCCGATACTGGCTCGAGAATATTCAGCACCTAGTAGCTTCCATGGCACAATGTTCCAATAGTCACCAGGAACTTCGGATGACATTTCTTTGAGTATAGCAAACATACTATCGTAGGTGGTCAATGGCCGTTCTGTCAAACGGTAAAACACATTATTCGCACTGCCCTCTGCAGGATTATATCTGCTCTGGTATACAAACTCCAAGATTAGAGCAGCAACACCTGCAGCAATAGGAGTTGCTACTGATGTCCCAGACATACGTTTGGTGGACTTGGTTGAGACCTTTTGGTTTGTGGCTCTTGGTCCGCAAAGCCAAGCCGACTCGACGTGTTCGCCAAGTATAGTCAGATTCTTCCCATCTCGTTTCGCCTTGTCGGGGTTGAAGGTGGATGTATTACCATTCCCACCAGCTGAATTGACACAAATGATACTGGAGCGCGAAGCCGGGTACGCCATCCTTTTCCTAGTGCCGTTGTTTGACGCAGCAGCAAGCACTATCTTTCTGCGATAGACAGCTTCATCAAGTGCTTTGTCAATAACGTCTACTCGCTTGTTGAATCCGAATGACATGGTAATAATGTCCACATCCCAGTCATTACAAGCCCTGTAGATAGCCTGCTGGAGATGAGCTGAGGCCTGTGTACAATTATTGTCTTCCACATACCTTAGCAACGACTTCCGGCTTGATACTACTTTTGCGATCTTTGGCAACACGTGCGACATAGATGACAGATTCCGGGGCCACCTTGCGTAGAATTCCTGCGCAATGCGTCCCGTGCCCATGCTCATCATACCCCTTCCCTTCTAGGTCTAGAAAGTCCTCCATCGCTCCTATCTGCGCAAGCTTACCGTCAACTGCAAACGCTTCGTTTCGCTCGTCAATTCCAGTATCAAGTATAGCAATCTTAACTCGATCCTTTGAAGCCATACGCCTTCGTCGAAATGGCTCTAGTAATAGTTGGGTGCTGCTTTTGAGCTCGGTAAACCAATCCTCTGTTGGCTGAGAACTACTCATACGTTTAGCTCACGTCTATGAACTTTACCATGGTTACCTACCTCTCTTCGTCATATTCTTCTTCCTTAGAATCAAAGAGGATGCCCATCAGACGAGAAATACCCTTTTGAAGAAGACCTTCCATCGAATCATTCTTCTCACCATACTGAAATCCGGTAGTTGAATCTTGAATTTCAGCAGGAATGGGTCCTATTAGATTCCCTGGTTGGTGTAGTTCGCCCAACCCTGAACTTGGGCGTAATTTCTCTATTGGCTGAACCTCATCGTCATTCCCACCTAAAGACTTCGAGGGCTTCGTAGAGGCAACAGGGCGCAATGGAGGTTCTGAATGTTCCCCGCTTACCGGGCGAGGCGAGATCTTTCGGGTGGGAAGCTCTACCGAAGTCAGGGTATCTGAAGTGTTCATGATACTTTGGAAAGTTTGTCGTGGGGTAATGATCCCTTCTTTCCTATAGTGAGCACCAGAACACCGTTTTCGAAATGATGCTTGGTACATCTTCTGTACACATACCGATATTGCCCAGCTCAGTGACATCCAGGGAACCGCTATGGAGGCCCCCAACACGATACCACTTCGTGCCTCCAATAAACTTTCTAGGGCTGGGGAGCTTCATATCTTCCATATATTCCCAGCCTGATGAGTTGTGAGAAGTAGAATGAACCAAGGAGCGCGCCTCGGAGTGCTGTGCAGTATGTCAGATTAATAGAGATTTTCACTTGGTTTGAAGAAGTGTTACTGCACGATATACTTACCGTTTCTCCCCCAGCATTGGTCTTATCGCTCTGGTCTGGTTGAGCTGGCCTTCTAGGAGGAGGACCCTGTGGTAGGCCCTTTGGGCGAACCGATGATAGAGATAGCCTTTCTATGTCTTCCATTTTATCCGAGATGGAAGCAGCCATTTATTACACAGAAAATAAACAGGATTCCGATGCTTTCACAAACCTACTTGAAATAAAACTTCCTGTATGAGCTCTGCGTCCATCTTGACCTGGGCATGCATCCTGTAAACAAGCTAAGCCGAGATCGCACTAGTCATAAGTCAGCCCCTCGATCATTACAACTCGCATTGAAACAATAAGACAGCCTAGTATGATGACTTGCAATCCACTCTAGATATTCTATTTCACCCGTTCGGCTGCAATCGTTCAATTGTTGAAATGTTAGAGGGCCGTTTCCAACCAGCTTTATATCTGCTATCCTATAAAACCTGATCACGATGCCGTCGATCCTTAACGACAGTCAGAAAACCTTTGTCAAATTGACGATTCCTAAGTCTTCAAATCATATAATCGCAGTAGCCGGTGCTCGCCTCTATGTTGCGTATCCCAATCGCTCGGAATGGAAATCTGCGGGACTCGAAGGCGCTGTGGTGTTAGCAGAGGACAGGGTTGAGAGTACCTTTCGGCTTAAACTAGTGGATATGTCTGTAGGTTGCCCCCCCAGGAAATACTTTGCCCCATTCTAATCTTCTGATATAGGACGAACGTCGGGGGGTGATATGGGAACAAGAGATTTACGAAACGTGGAACTATAACATGGACGATGTTCGCTTTCATACATTCGAAATAGAGCAGTGTCTGGCCGGCCTCTCTTTTGCGGACATGCACGAAGCGAAGACGTTCTATAGAAAGATGCATCAAAGGGGCGATCGTATGCAGGAGGATACCAGAACCAAACCGTTCATGCGCCGAGCGTTTGAGTTCCCAATACTAGATGCATACGATATCACCTGGCGAGAGCGTTTTGGGAACGACCTTCTTAAAATGGGCTTCACGGAAAAGTTTCTTACGGAGAATCAAGAGTTTATTATTGGATATTTTAAGGAAAGAATCGAGAAAGATGATGGTGGATCTACACACTAGTTATAGTAGTCTAAAGAACAGGGTTCTGCGGAACATATATAATTGAGAGCAGAAGTAGAAGGAAAACCCTCGCTAGTTCAACGGCTAGTTAAAAGACAAGCCACAGGTGTTCTTGACAATCGTTAGACCTAGGTATCAACAACTCGGCACTCTGTACCATCCATATCAATAGCATATGCGGAGATTAATTCCCACATCTCTGGCAGCTCAGGATCCTCATCTTTTAGCGAGTACAAATCTGCCGTGTAGTTGGAAGGGTCACCTTCCGTCTCGGGATCCCCCTTCCCACCTTCAATTCCCATTAGATCCCCATTATTGACATCCTTATGCTCTCGTACTGCCGCACGTCTATAGATAATCTCCCTCAGGCGATATGCCAATACGAACGGTGTTTTCTCCGAGATATGCGATGATAACATTTGCCCATGCTGATTCGAGGCCTCTGCCGTTGCACCCACATTGACTGGTGCGTCGGTAGGCGTTAAATCAGCTCTGAAATGAAGGAATCCACCTTGTTCTCGAATTGTCGATGCAATAAAATCAGCGCCGTATGCTATCTGGACGCCTGTGATCATGTATACATTATCTCTGAACCGACTATCCTTGATATTCTCCTGAACTGCGGGCTCGTTGAAAATCTCTTTGATATCGCTGAGGCTGGGGTATATGGATTGTGTCGTCAGCTTGTCAAATCTGTAGGCAGTTGAAGCGTCATTTCCCCATTTGGCACCGGTACCCAAGTTAAAGCCCGCGAGGAATTTAGCAAATATTTCTCCGCGAAAGAATGTCTCTTGAGTTAGGTATTTCGAGGAATGCGATTCATCGACGTCGATATGCTTTGCAGCGAGCTTGAGCACGGCCTCCGAATTTGCGTTGTTAAGCGTGATCTCCGGCGATCGTGGATCCTTGATAATATTCCCGAGTGCGATCGGGCCGTCCGGCGGCGTGTGTCTCGTGGGAGCAAGGAAGTATATTTTATTTATCTTCATAATGACTTCTCTGAGGCTGGTTAGCCTGATGGGGTTTAATAAGTCTAATCAAAGTAGTTAAGAGACTACCTAGGTAGAGAATCACCCGTAGAATACAACTAAGCAGCTACCGCCTTGGCCTAAGGCAACTATCTACTAATCATGTCCCCCTGCCCTGCAGGAGTGGTGGTCCAAGTATTTCCCCAACTCCCTCTACGGAGTAGGAGTGTCACTGTTCAAACTTTGATACGTAGCAAGATTTTACAGCTGACTTCCCATCGGCAACACAGTCTCGAAAGTACTATATGCTTCTCGATACCCACAAGACCACCCGCAATTACAGACCAGCCACAGTACAGTTGCGAGGTTATAATTGGTTAAAGAGAAAAGACCGATGGGCAGGTGACGAAATACTACTATACTGTACCATATAAAAACGTACAATCGATCGATCATCTATATAAAGAATGAAAGACCCACTTAATTTATCAGATATCAAACTCTACTTCACTCCACATCTCTTCACCTACAAAATACAATCTAGTAAACACAAATTCAGTTACAGAAATGCCGGTTATCTCAATACCATCTTCTGGAGTAACCCTTGCAGCGGCTGTTTTAGATAGATACCTTGGTCCTTGGATGGAGAACAGGGAGTCCACGGTAACTTGATTCCCAAACAAAAGACGAAGAGTTTGATAACAGTCCATACAAGGAATTTCTTCAGCTATCAAATTGGTATCTTCCCACTAATCCTATTCATCATTTCACATTCGTCCACGCAGCCCCCAGAAGCGCATCCCTCGCCTGTTCATTCTCCCACACAATGCCCAACTCCCCCTTCTTACTCACACTGACAAGACTATCGCCCTTGAAAAACACCAACGTGCCATTCTTGCCGTTCCCCGCTGCAGTGATACGGTACAGCGGTTGTCCGCGATCGTGCATGACTTTCTTTTCCGGCAGGAACTGCAGGTCGTTGTCAATGCACCAGTCTTCGACTCTGTGTCTGAAAGTAACCTCCTCGATAACTGGCTCTGGTGCAGGTCTGGGAGGAGCGACGGGTGCATGTTTGGGGGGAGAGGTGGCGCGGGGGGCGGGGAGATGAGTTGAGGCTCTGAAGCCGAGATCGAGGGCTTGGTTGATCATCTCGTGACCTTTTTCAAACTCGTCTTGTATACTCTTCAGGTTCTTGATGTCAGCTGGGAATACATCGTCGCGCCACCACTCGAACCATTGGCCGATCTCCTCGTTCGGGCCGGTGGATGTAAGCCATTGGTGTAGCACGTCGTGCCACATAGGGAACACGGCGTCGACGATGACCTGTGCTACGGTGCGGGGTTTCAGTATATCTTGCCAAGCGAAGATGCCTTGTAGGGCGCCCATGTACGGTTCTTGGTCTTGTGGTGAGACCACGAAGTATTGTGGATTTTTGAGGAATCGGCCCATGGATGGTAGGACGTGGTTCATAATCAATGGGGTCCATTGGTCGTTCCTGGGGCTTGGACACAAGACTTCTTTCCACTGGCGTAGACCGGGAACAACGCCTTTGCGGTAATCCCAGGAGTCGACGAGGTGCCGAAATTTGCGTTTCACGTCGCTGACAAGACCGTGGGAGCTTTTTGGGTCTGCGTGGTGGGGTTGAAGGTATTGGAGCCAGGGGAACAGCCAGAGATGGGGGAGCTCGTGGGAGCGTCGTTTGCGGGGGTTCCAAGATGAGACTGCTTCGTTCAATTTCCCGACTAGTGCTTGGTCGAGAAGCAAGGAACGGACAAAGGGTGGTAGAAGACCTTCCCAGGCATCGAGGAGAGCTTGCAATGGAGCTGGGTTGTGTACATCCCAGGATTGATTGATTGCTGAGACGATCTTGGGAAATACGATTTTGTATATCATGCTTTCGTAGCAAGTCGTTGATTTGCCCTTTCGGTGGCCGTTGAGCTGATGACTCTGTTTCGTAATTGCACTGTTTTGCGTAGCTCCTAAGATGTGTCGTATTTCAAATAATTGAGGCGCCATGCCGTTCAATTTTGGGTCTTGAAGTGGGTGCCAACCTTCACTTGCCTGACTTAAGAACGGATGTACCGCAGCCACTGAAGTGTTTGATAATTCTTCACTGACCCCAGAAACTTGAAGTTTATCCGCAGTCGTAAGGGCTTCAATGATAGGATCCCACTGCCCATCTTTTGAAGCCTGTAAAATATCTTGAGCAGCATCCACAAAAAGTTTGAATTGATCCACGGCTGCCTGTAACTCATCAATACCCTGCTGTTCTTGTAGAGTTTCCATCGCAACATAGGCCTTCCGCTCATCGAGATTCTTCCATTCCTCCACATGAGCCGAAAGTTCATTCTGAGCCCGTCGAACCAACTTCCTAGACTCTGTCTGTTCAACAGTTTCGAACGAAACAGCAGTTGGTGTCAAAAGTCCCGATGTAGAAGTAAGCAATCGCTGCCCAGGCCCTGACATATCCAAAATAGGCGCAAACACATCCGGAATTTTCAGACCAGGAGCAGCCTTCTGCACCTCCTCCAACGTGCGAAACTTGGGCTTTTGAACCCTTCTCGGTGTGTTCATCCCGCTCGTCCCACTATCCGCACCGCTACCCTTCGGCTTCCTACGACGCTTCTTTCTCTCCTCATCAGAATCCTCAATCGTCTCGCCTCTCATTTCCGCCTGTCTTTTCTCCTCTGCAATTTCTTGCTTTGATTTCTCCTTGACAGCACCAAGACCAGCTCCCTGAGGACGCTGCACAACCTCAATGACCCCACTTCGACCCTGGCCCTCCTTTCCAAGACCCTGCCCTTCTTTATAACCCATCTTTGCCATCATCCGGGCTGCGAACGAACCTGGGTTAGGTCCGGCTACAGCAGCTTTCCCTTTCCCCTTTCCCGTTGCTGGCGTCGAAAAAGCGCTGGGCATCGACATCCTGGGTGTCGAAACTTCTTCATCCGCTACATTGAGGATAGGTATATTGGCTGAAGTAGGCGTGAAGCCCATTCCAAGAGGTGTACCGAAACTTGGTGTCTTTGACTTCGAGGGCGCGGGACTCTGGAATCCTAATCCTCTTGCACCAAAACCCAAGCCCTTCCCTAATCCTTTCGGCTTTTCGCTTTCCTCTTCTGATTCAGCTTTGGCAGGTTGAAATCCCAATCCCTTAGCGCCAAGGCCCAGGCCCCTCGGTCTTTCTTCCTGTTCATCATCGTCCACATCATCCATATCCTCGTCCTCGTCTTCATCATCATCCAAAGTTTTCTGCCCCGTCGAAACAAAACTCATGCCCTTCCCTCTCAGATTCTTCTTCTTCCATCGCTTCCCAGGTCCATCGTCCTCGCTTTCGGATCCGAATACGCCAAGAGCTGCGCTCTCTTTCGTGGTGCGACGACGCTTGCGAGGATTGTAGTCTGCGAATTCTGTTTCTTCGGCGTTGGGGTCATCATTGTCAGAGGATTCGGAGGAGGAATTGCGGGCAAAGGCATGCATGGAGGACATTGTCACGATGTCTGTGACTTGAAATCGAGAAAAGAGGGGAGTGGTGTGGTGGAAGTGTATAGTGGTCGAAATAGTTTTGGGCTGAGGTTTGAAGATTCTGTAGCCTTGCGCAAGCGTGACTCAAAATGGATGAGGCTCTTGCAAGGCTGTTGCCACATTGCTTCTTTGGGAATAGTTTCTACCTAGGATATAGGAAATGCATTCACATTTAACCATGATCTATTTACTGTATAAAAATCTCTTGCTTAACCTTATCAAATTCCAACTCTAGCATTGCATCACGTATCACTTGGCGAGAAGCACATTGACTTGAGAGGTGGATTGTTTTATTACCACAACTCTACGAGTAGTCCTTATCTTTCAATTCGGCATCGAAGAAACAACTCTTCCTATACATGCTAAGCATAACGTTCGTGATATGTCCGTAGCCAACCCAAAGTAAGCATCATGTCTCAAACAATCTGCAATGAGCCATGCCTATCAACGCCTCGACTCCTCAAATGCTCTCGGTAATCACCTCGCCTCCCTTCATCATGATGCAAAGACTCTAACACTCTTATCGACGCTCCCCGTGGCAATGACACACCGTATGGCGATCTTGCTGGGATCTTCCTTCTTCGGCGCTCCATTTGTTGTGGCGCCATTTTCCCCATTCACAGCAGGGGCATCTTTACTAACACTCGGAGCCCATCGAATGCAGGTAACAAAATGCTCATGTGCATCGTCCAGCTTCTTCACTTGTTTCCCTTCTTGCGTAAGGTCCCAACATCGCAATGTCTTATCGTCAGCAACACTGAGTAGATACTTTCCGCCTGGGTGGAACACCAGTCCTTTCACCCAGTTGTCATGGCCGACAAGAGTCTTGATCAAAGTCCCCCGAGCATCCCATATCTTGATCATCTTATCTCTCCCTGCTGTTGCAACATATTCGGCCGAGCTGGTTGCAGCTGGTGGTTTTTTCAACCCAGCCATTGTCGCCAAGTGCCCGTAACTCGATGGTGGCGCAAATACGCAGCATTCCACGTAATGCTCATGCCCGAGCAGGGTAGCTTTTAATTCTCCAGAAGCAGCATCCCATATTCGTGCTGTCTGGTCATGTCCAGCTGATACTAGCCATCGTCCATCGAAGGAAGGCGAAACATCCCGAACCCATTCCGCGTGCCCACGGATCGTTTTCACGCAGTATCCTGTTGAAACATCCCATATTCGCAACGTCTTATCTCGACTTGCTGACACAAGGAGGTTGCCAGAGGCCGGCGAACCCGCTGCACCGCTCGGTATGAAGCGTACGGCGGAGACTGAATGGTCGTGTCCAGGAAGGGTCCTTATATTTTTGTACTCGTCGCTGGGATCCCATAGCTTAATTGTAAGATCGCTGGAACAAGATGCCAGTAATGTCCCTCCTCGTGGTCCGCCAAAATCAACGTCTAGCACAGCCCTTGTGTGCCCCTTTACCGTCCTCTCCAACTCTCCTAATTCCCAATCCCAAATCTTGATACTATAATCTTCTGAACCGGATGCGAGTGATGAGAAAACGGGGTGAAATGCAACACAGGTGATGGGCTCTCGGTGCGATTCTAGCCTATGCCTTGCGGGTGACCTTGGGAGCCAACTTGCGGGGTCTTGATTCCGCCTCGACAGAGAGGTAGGTGTCGCAGAGTCAAGCTCACTTTGTAGACTCAGATTTCTTGCTTCGAGATCCATTATCTGGGCATTTATTAGCATCCGTCATTGAAACCATAGATCGAGCATTCCCACCTTCCTCTGCAACCGCACCACACTGTTCCACTTCTTCTCTAATAATCCCTCATACTTCTTGCTGGTCGCGGCATCGAAGGTGTCGCCAATACTAAGTTCTTCTCGTAACGCCGCGGCACTATTAGGTAGGTTTATCGAGGTGAGGTATGCTATCATAGACTTGTGTCTGTCTCTAATCAGCGGATGCTTTGCGAATTCTTGCAGATTCAACCTACAGCTCCTCGGCCTGCCGCGACGTCAAGATCTGGCTCATGGTGTTTGTGGGAGTCGATACATGAAGCTCGAGGGGAATATGGTTGCGCTGTTGCTAGAGGCAATGCGCCTGACCGCTGGGGTTGGAGTGTTTGCCTCTGTTTATTGCGGACGGTGAACTTAATATCTCGGTGCGGATGAGCGTTATCTTGGGCGAACTTTGGCGCGTTCTGTCAAATAAGCAAGTTTCAAGTATGGGGATCTGGTGATAATTGTACAGAATCTCTTTTTATGTGTTGTAATGAGACTGCAATATTTCATGGTGGGGAGTTGCGATTGGCTTGGTGGCATTCAACTTTTGTGAGGGAGCAGCGCAGCCCAGCACAGCACGCGGGTCCATGCAGGGGAAATCATTGACCGCATTGCCGTAGAGACGAGCGAGAATCTGGTCCGATCAACAACACATCCGCCCGCAAAACACGCATCTACCCAAACCAAACACCTTCCCACGAGAATAAAATATTCCTCCAAACTTGGACGACGGCTTCTTTGTTAATACCAACTATCTGTTTACCCTGCGAAAACCCCACGCGCATATCCTCCGATACGACGAAACAACAAAACTACTCCCCTCCCTCACTGAGAGACATTCCCTTTAAACAAGGCGGTAGGAATAACCTCAAACTTTGCGCCTTCGTCTCGAGGTATGCCACACATTCTTTTATTGAATTTTCAAGCCATTGGAAGGCTGGCTACACTCTTCTGCCTCTTTACACCATCACTCCTGCTGCGAATAGCCTCAAAGTCACAGCTGAGGGGATGGAGGGGCGTCCATCAACATCTCTGCGCAAGCTAACCCAACACGTGTCAGACTTCCGATAAGGCTCGCGAACTTCCTCGAGTAATACGATAGCCAATATGGCTGAGAAAGAAGAAGATTTCTCCTCTTTGCCGTTGCCAGACAGATTTCAACACAAGGTATGCCCGCATTCCTCTCAGTCAATGTCTCAAGCGCATGGACCTGACTGAACCCCTCCACCAGATATGGAAAGTGCGAAAGGCAGGCTACGAAGATGCTGCCAAACAATTTGAAATAACGCCAGACGAGCACGATCCGGCATTCAAACCGTTCCTACATGAGCCAAGTCTATGGAAGGGCGCAGTAGCAGACTCCAATGTTGCGGCCCAGCAAGATGGTATTGCGGCGCTGTGTGCTTTTCTCAAATTCGGTGGACGTGAAGGTTGCACAAGGTATGTCACAAGGTCGTGCATGAGGCATGTCACTGACCCAGCTATTCAGAACGAGAAGTCATACTGTGACATCTATAGTCGAAAAGGGACTTTCTTCTACAAGAGCAGCAACAAAGGCATCATCTCTCGAGGCCATTTTACTTTACATCGAATTGGATACCGCTGCACCTATTATAGAAGACCTCCTTCCCGGGGTTTCCAACAAGCAGCCCAAGGTCATCGCAGCTACATTAGCAGCATTGACAGCTGTAATCCACAACTATGGCTGCAAAACAGTCGATCCAAAACCTATCCTCAAGATCTTACCAAAAGCCTTCGGTCATGCCGATAAAAATGTACGAGCAGAGGCTACAAATCTTGCAGTGGAGTTCTACAGATGGTTAAGGGAGGCCATGAAACCCATGTTCTGGGGAGATCTCAAACCGACACAACAAACGGATATGGATGCCCAATTTGAGAAGATCAAGGCGGAGCCAACACCAAAGCAAGAACGATTCTTACGATCCCAGCAAGCCGCAATGTCACGAGCTCCTCCACCAGGTGCAGAGCCCGAAGAAGAGGACGAGCTCGAAGAGGAAGCAGTTGTAATCGACGCATTTGATTTAGCGGAACCTCAAGAAGTTCTGTCCAAGGTACCAGCCGATTTCCACGACAACTTGGCTTCATCCAAATGGAAAGAGCGGAAGGACGCCGTTGAAGCGCTTTACACGGTTCTAAATGTCCCGAGAATCAAAGATGGTGATTATGGTGACATTGTGAGAGGATTAGCGAAAAGCATGAAGGATGCCAATGTTGCCGTTGTTACACAAGCAGCACAGTGTATCGAAGTTCTAGCCAAAGGAATGAGGAAATCATTCTCTAAGTACCGTGCCATGGTTACTGGCCCAATTATGGAGAGGCTAAAGGAGAAGAAGGCATCTGTTTCCGATGCTCTCGGCGCTGCTCTAGATCAAGTCTTCCTTGCAACAAACCTATCGGACAATTTGGAAGAAATGCTTGAATTTTTGAAGCACAAAAACCCACAGGTGAAGGAAGGGACCATGAAATACTTGATTAGATGTTTGAAGACGACGCGCGAAGCACCAACGAAGCAAGAGGTCGCGTCGATATCAGAGGCAGCGAAGAAGTTGCTGTCCGAATCGGGAGAAGTATTGCGATCTGGAGGAGCAGAGATAATAGGTACAGTCATGAAGATAATGGGGGAGCGAGCCATGGGACCACATCTTGAAGGACTTGATGATATCAGAAAGACAAAAATCAAGGAGTTCTTTGACACTGCGGAAGTCAAAGCAAAAGATAAACCAAAGCCCCCACCAGCTGCTGCTGCTGCTCCTCGTGCCGCTCCTGCAGCCGCGCCTCGAAAGGTTGTCGGGAAGAAGGCAGCACCGAAAAAGGCCGTTGCTCCAAGTATATATGCCCAAGAAGCTCCATTAGCTCCTCAACCAACAGCAAGGAGTAAACTCGGGGCGCCGAAAGTTGGTGGTCTGAAAGCACCAATAAAACGCGTACTCCCTGGACCCGGAGGAGCACCGTCAACAGCGTCCCCTCGACGTCCTGCTGCTCAACCACCCCCACCTGAAGAAGAGGCACCTCCTCCGCCACGCCTCGGCTTGGGCCGTGGTCTCGCTGGTCGTCCTCTTGCAAAGGCACCTGTAGTGAATCCTCCTTCACCTGTCCCAATGTCACCACCTCCAAACCCAGGCATGAGTCCTGTCGAACGAGCCGAGTTAGAAGAGCTCCGATTAGACAAAGACCGTTTACTGCGGCAAGCCGACGATTTCCGCCAAGAACGCTCACGTCTCAACTCCGAGGTGCAAGAACTGAAGAACCAAAACGCCCAACTAATCGAAGATCACACCCGAGACGTCCTCTCCATCAAAGCCAAAGAAACCCAACTTGTGCGCGCTCGATCAGATTGTGAAGCTGCGGAAGCTATGTGCGGACAGCTGCGTAGAGAAATGGAGAGACTGAAGCGCGCCCTGACAACTGCAGAACGGGTCAACAGTCCTCCCGTCGGCCTCCCTAGCCCGGGTCGCGATGTCTTCAATGACGAAGCGGGTATCTACCGTGACACAGGCATGTACGGCGCGGCGCAAGACACCAGCTCTCGCGCCGGCTTCAATAGTCGAGGTCGCATGTCCTACACCTCTACCCTCTCTGAAGAAAAAGAAAATACTGGCGACGGCTTATCTGGTACTTATGGTCGCAGTAAATTCAGTCCCGAGTTACGGAATGGCAGGACCAGCGCGGCGAGCGGGAGTGGAGGGAGGAGTAGTCCCGCTCCGCCGCCGGCTTACCAGAGTCGAATTGCTAGAGATACGGGCAGTAACTATAGTGGGGACAGTGGTGGGCGCGGAGAGGCGGGTGGGAATAATGGACAGGGTGTTGAAAGTTGGAAGCGTGCTGCGGAGGTTACAAGTGCGCTGAAGTTGAAGATTGAGCAGATGAAGGTACGTCTTTTTCCGTCACATTGCCTCATCCCTTCAAACCAAATATTGCACATACTAATTGGAACTTTGTATAGGCAAGACAGGGCATTTCGCGGCCTTGATTTTTTATGGAGTAGAACAGCATTTCCGGCGAAGGGAGCAAGCAGGTCTTTTTTCAATGTTTTCTATCGGGCAATAGGGGCATGATGACGGATGAACTTTTCTGTGTATATGTATAGAATAATGTATCCATTGTTCTAATTAATACATTGATCATACTTCACTAAGTATTGTCCTGGGGCATTGGAGGGGTGTGTGTTCTCGGGTTCTCGCTTATTATGATGATTCCTTTTTTCGGTTAAACGCGGAAGAGCCCCCTAGCCCCTGGACTCGAGTTTGGGGGGTCGTGGTGTTGATGTGAAGTCTTGTGACCCTCGGAGGAAGTGGGAGGTGGGTAAGTTCGGCGAAAATGTGACCGTGGTATGGTCTCATAGGCGTTTAGGATCAAGGGTATATGAGGGTAGCTTGTACACGTTGTTTGGCGTGCTCCTCTTCGTAACAATCCAGCTTGTTTTTTTTTTTTTTTTTTTGATTGGGTGCTGATAGGATCATGGTTCGGACCGTTTTTGTGTGTGGTCGAGATGTATGTAGCTTGGTGGTGAGTGGAAATGGAAGGCGGATAGGTTGTATGTATCATAAGTGGGAAAGTCTCTTTTCCCATTGGTGGTCCGCGGTAAGTCTTTCTTCCAGACGTACTCTAGCTCACTCTGGTTTTCGTTGGAGTCTAGATCTAGGCAGGGAGATCGAAGATGATGCTTTGGAAATGAGGTGGGGTTGCTTGCTTCCTGTCTTGTTCTCATACATACATACGGAGCAGGTTCGGAGTTCATGGCTGTCCAGTTTGCTTTTTGCACAACCTTAGGTAGGGACTTGGGGATCCTCTTTCTTGCTTGAGGAGAGGGTTTCTGACAGGCTGGCGCCAGCTGCGGCTTTGGATGCCCGGTCTGCTAGGGTCCAGACTCCTCTGGTGGTCTGGTGAAGAAAAAGCATTTGCTACTACGCTGAGGGAAAAGAGGTCGTGGGTGGTTGGACAACGGCTGTCTGTCAGTCGTTACCCGTGGACGGAGGAAGAATTAGAAGCATCAGCCAAGCAGAGTTTTCTCATGAATCTTGGGATCCTATCCACAGATGCCTGTCGTAACGTGCGCTCGCTGGTCATACAGTGTCATTCAAAAACAGTAACCCGGTCTACCCTCGTTTAGGAAGACACTTTAGGGAGACCTTTTGACTGGTGTTTTCATTACGTTGCTTTGGTCGCTTTTGCTGTTTTCTCTTCCTGTCTATGTTCTTGCTTATGTCGTACATGGCATGATTTACGTATGGAGTATATTGTCGACGTGACACATCGATATGAAAACATGGAAGGATTGGATTAACACTTGTTACTCGCACGTTGAAATTTGTGAATGGACGTCATCGGATGTTTTGGTATAATAGTAGCGGAGTCATGCTCATGCCATCCAATCCAGAGGTGCCATGTTGAACGAATGCCCAGGGCCCGCGTTCGGCACGGGTATGGTGTGCATTGGTATCCGATCTGTGAGGTTCCTGAGTGGCTGCGGGATCGAGCTTTGACATGTCGTAAGAGGTGGACCATGGGAAAACGGCTGTGATCCCGGTGGTGGGAATTATACAGGTGTTTTGGCGCTTTCCTTCTGATTGGGTTTTGGATATCAATCATACCAGTCTTCCTCTTAATTGGACTCTAATGGGCAGTCTGCCCGCGTATTGTGTCTGCAGCGTCTCTTAAAGAGGCTGTTTAGTTGCCCAAGCAATATTTTAGAGTAGACTCCCTGTACGAAAGGGGGTTTGAGCGTTGACCTCGACTGCTGGGTTATGATGCTACTATCGTGGTGGTTGCCTAACACTCTAAGTTGTGGGATGATTCAGAGGTAACATCACCTCAAAACTATATATTTGACCTGTACAATATAATTCGAGCATATTTGATACGGGGTTTGCGCGGGTCTGTTAATAGGAGCCGAGCTGAGGGATTTATGTTGAAGTTCTTGGTGGGGCTGGGTGCATTGGAAGTCAACGGGCAGTTCCCCACGTATTTATTTAGAAGCCTAGAATGTCAGAAAGAGCTTTAGTAGAGGTTTTCTATAATGTGATCAAATTAAGTAACTAGCCACTGGTCATTTTCCTCGGGCAGCTGTCTTGTCAAAAAACATGGAAGTGCGACCGGGAAAAGGAGTTTCGCATCCAGGTTTTTCCAAAAAGGAGGAACAATGTAGGAAATGTTTTATCAAGCTACACGCTTTATAGTATCAACAAACTAGTTGATACCTTGAAAAATCTTAGCGTACTCTGTAGACTTAGCTAAAATACGTCAAAGCATGTCTTAGAAACAAGTCGAAAGAGCAAAGTGATGAGTACAGCCGCCATGTTCCAATAGGAAGATTTAAACGCCAAATTTGCGCTGATTTTATAGAGATGTGATACGGGGAATCTACCCCGTAGGACTTGAACTTCAAGGCACGCAATTGTCAATAAGGAATCTAAAACTCGTTGATGTTCATGTTGACTCTCGGCAGCCCCCTTTTGCCGGAATATACGTTGGCAAGAACTCGTCTAAATTGACCGCAAGACACACCACCTACAACATTCTTTGCTTCAAGCTCCTTACGAGATTACACAGATACTAATACTAGATTCTAATCTACCTGACTCCATCGCTCGAAGTGCTGAATACGCCTGAACGTTGCAGCATATGCAGCTAGCTGCCCTTAGAGCCACTTTCGTATTTCATGATCCACACTTTTTATCCCAAGGAGTGCAACATATCGGCATGGAAACAGTTATCAAAAGGACTCGTTTTATCATAAGATGCCACCAGTAGAGGGGTTGCGATGAGTGGAAGACCTGAACGGATATATGCATATTTGATAATGTGAATGACTCAAGAGATATATCGGACTTCAAACCAAACAGAGAACGCTCGTCCATGGAATTTGCCAGCAACGTCTCTTCGTGGGTGGAAAAACTGTCGGAATAGACAAGCGAGTTTTGGTGCCTTAATCCCGACAGTTTGCATATCCACGAAGAGAACGTGAAGCCTATTTCCTAGTCCGTAGTGCTAGTCTGTGTGGCATCTGCGGCATGCACAATTCCAAATATCAGGGTGCCCCGAGGTCACATCCCCCACCATTGAAGTGATCGCGGCAAGCAGCGGTATAAAGTCCAACACTCGGTCGAAGTTATGTCAAGCAAACAACCCGTGGGGGAGTTTTGATCACATTGTAGTTTTTGCCGCAACAGTGCGGAGTGGGGGCTTACTTGCTACCTTGTGAGCATTTTGGTCTTGACTTCCTTCTGGTGGTTCACTGCTCCGGAGAACGGCTGTTTTGAAGGATCCTGATCTTTTATTAAACCTACTTCGAAGTAGAAGAGAATCTTTCATTATCAAGAAGTTTAAGAAGGTGTCTCTTGCCCTGGGGCACCAATGGACCATTCATATGGTATGGGACTCGAAGAATGTAAAATGCCTCACCTCCTGTTCATCGTTTTATTTCTTTCTTCTTAAGCCGCGCCCAGATGATCTCTTTCTACCCCAAGCTTAAAGCTCCCGATTGTAGATCATTCTTTGGGCTTGACCTTCGCTTGCATCATCGGGTGCCCCGAAGGAATTCCTCCCTGGAGAAAAGCCCAACTGGGGATACGCTCTGATCATGTTCCACGATGAAATTTCAACTAGTACCAAGTAATTGTAAAACCACAGAAGTATAACGCGTATTACGTACGTTGATTGTCCAGCTATTTGAGGTTTGATAGTCTCAAGGGTTTGAGGTCTTATCCGGAGCTACTGGAATAGGTAATCTTCCACGAAGCTTCTTTATCAAGTTCCGTCAAGATCGTCATCGTCTCTCCCTGATTGCCGGGTGTGATTCCACCAGCATGGGTCAAGACCTAGGTACTTCGGTAGAATGGAACGGACTCCATACTCCGTAAGTACAGTAACGGCCGAAACCCGCCCGTCTCGACTATCCAATCAACGATTCTGGAGTAAGAGGAACTTGTAGGAATTTGGGAAGTTATACTTCTACAACTTGGTCATGGTTGAACATCTCCAGATTACAGTATCAAGGCCATTTTTTATGTAGACTGTATGCGGTGTACTATATTGTCTCGTAGAATTGCGGACCGGCGCGTTCCAGTCTCACTTCGTAGAATTATACAAAGCCACTGTGGCGATGCGTTGGAGGGGAGATATTGGTTCTTGAAATTCGGGTCGGTGAGTGATCTCTCAGTGAAATCATAGCGAGCGAGCTCGGGCCAGCGCTGATGGAAAGTGTCATGAGTGCCTGCCTCGGTTTGTCTGTCGTTCACGGTCACTTTTCACGGTTCACCGCTTGCCCATCCGTCAGCAAACGAGCCTGATCCGGCCTCAGCTCGCTGAGGGTTGCGTGAGGTCTCGAAATATATCTCACCATCCTGTCATCTGAGACAAGAGGCACAGCTTGCTGGAGGAATGACATGTTCACGCAATAACTTGCTTTGTGTATTGAATTTCTGATTTCCTAACCTAATATTTGTTAATGCAATGCCTTTGACCTTTCTTCGGACTCATATATACCTCGTTTATTTACAATGCAGTACTCAAACCATCTCCTAGCGCGTAGGATTACTATTCTTGACCAAGGAATATATTCAAATGTACAGAGTTACATGAAACCTGCATACGTGGACGACATAACATGTAACTAGTAAGATACCTTTATAGGTGTCTACACCGAGTTTTTCTTTTACTTGCTAGAGAATTTTTCGATATCATAAGTAATCCATACCGTAGACAGGCCGGGTCGGAAGAATGTGATAGGAAGTCCATGCATTTAATCCATGAAAAGACGTTAGGAATTCGGTAGCAGCACGAATCCGGTAACTCCTAATGCAGGTGATTTGGAAGAACCTTGGTACTGAAGCACCTCATGCAGAGAATACGCATTCGAGGGGCAGAGACATGAGAATGGAGGGGTCGCTAGAATGTTACCAAACTTTATCCAGCCTATTCCGGTACCCGGGACAATCATCCCGCCACCCATAGTCCAAATAAACGTGGACTTGGGATGAGAATGATGGTAAATAGAGGCAAAAATAGACAGGCAATTTAATTCTACGTGATGGGACAAGGTTAAGAAGCATGCGGCGTAGACATACTGGACCCGGCCCCTGAGTTCATACAGATTAGGTTAGACGACCCGACACCCCCCCAATAGCTGTCAGATCGTGTGTAACAAGACCGTGCCACCTGGCACCTCTCAATGAACTTCATGACGGAAAGTACTCTATTTAAATTTTACCTCTCGTCAAGGATGAAGAGCTCGCCATGTCTATGTTCTCCCATGTCCATGGTTACTTTGAAATATTCCATCCACCCTTGCGTTTTACGTCCAGATATAAAAGCGAGCAGTCATATTCCTAGCCCTTGAAGGATTGGCGACGTGGGACACCCGTCATTTACCAGCATATCCGTACAGAGGTACGAAGTACAGTACCATCGGTCGCTCACCCTAGAGCCCGGAGGTCGTGCGAAGCCTATCCCACAGACGCGCCATGTATCATTTCCCGGGCTGATGTTCATTAGCCGTGCCAAAGCAAAGCTTGGTATAGTACTATGCCCATCCTCGTTCCGTGGTGAGTGCGAGTAGTCCTCCAAGAGAAGCTTGTCATGGTAAGATTCCACATACCAGCCGTCCAGTATCAACACGAATAAGCATTTGTTGGCACAACGCACGCACGCACGCACGTACGCAGGCAGGCGGGGGTTGCATAAGCCTTCGGCAATCTGACAGCGGCATTTCATGCCTCAAGAGTCCCAGGCTGGCTTCTTCAGCAGCTTCTTACAGGCTAAATCCGAACAACGTCCCGAACGTCTGGAGTTTGGCGAGACGCTGTGTAACCTGCTCGATGTAACTCCTGAAATTCTGCAATTATGTGCTGCCATTTTTTGATTCGATTCGACAAAGTTTTTTTTCCCCTTCGTTGCATTCTTCTCGTCTACCTTGTCCTTGTTTGCATGCTGTATTTTGGATGGTCGAGGCCTACTGCATAAGTGGGTGATAATGACGGCGAGAGTAATTGCTTGAATGTGGAAGCAATTGGTGGAGTGTCTCCTTTGAAAGCTCCAAGACTTGCCTCGACATGTGCTGGCTCGTAGTATACAGCACCAAGGCTGGTGATTGCGGGTGATTGCTGCAGTGACTGTTCTGAACCGGGTTCTCGGGTTCCTACTCAATCTCGGGATCAGAGTACGGCTTGCACGGGATGTAGCAGCTGAAGTCTCGGGCCAGGCAAGATCGCGCATGCATCTATCCTTGAATGCCATGCGGGGCCTCGAGTCCGGGAGGGCTCTTTCGTTGGTTTAAGAGCCATATGCGCTTCAAGCGCGTAGTATGATGCAGTGACATGGAAGGTTTTGAAATGGTTCGTAGGAAATCCCTTGTCAGTAGCACATTGTACTGCCACACGGCCTTGGTGATAGGACGAAGAAAGCCTTTTGCCAACGTGAATAATACAACTGACTGATGTATGTACAACCAACGGGCTTGTGCCGTTGATTCCAAGCCATTCCCAACGTACCTTCCATTCCGAGGACTGTTGTTCCCCCTTCCCAAACGCCTCCCTTTGATCATCCATTTCATGGGATATTAGTCCTGAAGACGCCGTTCCCAACTAAAGGAATGTACTCAAACCAAAACCGCCTGTCGCCCTATAATGACCTGAGAACATACCAAAACCGACCCATTTGTACAACACCCATTTGTACAACAACACTGACGATCATATCTTGAGCCATGTTGGGTTGATGGCAGGAGCTCGGCAGTCGCCTGTTTTATTAGATTAATATCCTGTTCCTATAAAATTGAATGGATCATAACACACCACATTGTTCATCCAACCTACAATATCTCGTCAGAGCTTTCGGCCAACAGAGCAACGGATACTGTGAACAACTCACCTGAATTCGATAGCTACCACGGAGGGTGGACAACGCTTATGTGTCGTCTCATAATTGGTACACCAAGCTCTGACGGTATAACGAACGTGGCCACAGCGGTACTCGACCTGAGTATAGTTACACATAGTGTCTCTAGTGCTGTGATATTGGGCGAGTAACAAATGGGGGTGTAAATTAGGTGGGATGTTCTGTGCTGGATAACGTTTTGCTATAGCGGGGCAGTTTCGTATAATCGTTGTAACGAGAGTAATATGACGAGGGGTCTTTCGTGGGATGTACTGGTGTAATCCCTTCTGCCGTGACGAGATAAGATGCGAGTAGCCGTTCTAATAAACAGCGAGATCGATCTTTTGCTTCAAAGTAGAAGCAAGAGTTGGGGAAGTTGTAATGGTCTGAGGAAGAAAATGATAATGGAGGATGTGCATGAATATATGTAACCGACGTGTGTACGTAGTAGTCCAGAACAAAAAGGATGTGAGCACTACATATGTACGAATGATGCACCCCTCGATCTAGGTCCCACACGGGTGATTTCGGGCTATCCGGGATATTTGGAGTAATATTGCCATCTGGGGGTTAGGTTGTAAACGCATTTCCAACCATATTGCTCTGTGTACAGTACTAGTATGGTGAAGGAAGAAGAAACAAGGAAGGCCTCCTTGAGAGCACAGGCAGGACAAGGACAGGACAGGACAGAATACTGTAATGCCCCGACTGCAGCTGCGCGGGTCCACAGCGGCTGGCTTCACTGGCTGCAGACAACCACCGCACGTGGGAACGTGGGAGTTGGGTGCCAATGAGCCCTAAACAAGCAAGGGTTGTCCCTTCTGGACTTCCTTGACAGGACATGCGGGCCTCGAGTAGTTAATCGTGCGACCCCTAGGCCGGGGTGAGTGTACTATTCGGTACCTTCGTACCTAGTCAGTACGGAGGAACGCACCTCTTACCTCTATACGGGCGCCAGGAATCTACCGACTACGCGGTGCACTGACTTGGTCCGTCTACGTCGTTAGCGAAAGTATAATAGAGAGATGAATGTCTAAAAACGAGCAGGATTTTGCGGCTTTTGACATTCGGACTGTTGTAGACTCCATTAGAGTTTAGAGCGGTTCCGCTCAGAGAGTCAGAGTCTCAGAGAGCTGCCGTGTTGGTTACAAGTCGGAGGCCGGAAGATTGTGATAGCAGCCTTTAGAGGCATAAGACGGTGCCCGCATTGCATTGCATGTTCAGACCACCAGGCTTGCAGCCTTGCATATAGTTTGCATATAACTCTTCCTAGGGCTCTATGAATTCTTACTGCCGGCTACTCAATCTGCATAAATAGCATTTAAATGATAGTAAGGATCCAGGATCCAGATGCTTATAGATACTTTGTTTTACCCTTATCACAACCCTCGATCTCGAAATTTTGGCAAGTTTAATAGTACTACCCAGTACGGAGTATGGGGATAATGCTGGACATCTGGTCTGGTTTGATCGATGGGACCAGCTGATGCCGGCAAGCGAGTACCCATCGACCCCCAAAGTGGAACGCGGAACGTAAGCTTCCTCCTTTCTATCAGAAATACGATGCGAGCTCGATAGAGCAAAGGCGAGAGAGCATGAGGTTGTATAGTATGACCTGGTTATTATAATCACTGGTATCAGTTAGCAATTACGAGAACCGAAACAGCAGATAGGGAGGTCCATGGGTTTATAGTCGAGTAAATTGTCCTATAAATACCTGCAATTTATAAAGTACAAGCTCCACTCTGTCTGCACGCTGCAGACATGCGTCAGTCATAATATGGATATTATAAAAATACTCTAAAAGTGCCTCAGCCGCAAGATTATTATGTTAGCGGTTCCTTTATAATAGCCTGCATATATAGGCGATTTTATTAGGGCTGAAGGGCCGCTAACCAATACCCTACATATAAAAGGCTATGGACATTCTGAATATATCTTTGACACCGTATAATTATAAGCTCTATTTTATGTATGTATTGTCGACACTTTGATTCGTACCCAAGACTCAAGCGTAGTCAAGTCATCGCTATGAAATCTACCTATCACAACTGCAACATCAAGGGCCAAGACAGGCTTGTAAGTCAAGCTGAATCTAGGGCTTCGGCAAGTAAAGCGAGGCCTAGAGAACGTACTCCTGCCGGCATTCATTCGCTCATCACTTACTCCACGCCGGCATTCGCAATAATCCTAGACCCCGTAGCCTTTTGCAAATGTTCTAAACTAGTAGTGTTCTGTTTAAGATTGTGGACGCCTTATTAGCTTCAATTTATATGATTCAGATAGGCCAGAGCTATGCCGTGCCGTATTATACGGCGAAAAGGTTCGTCCACCGAGTGGCAGCGTCCACCTAGCAACAATCGAGCCTGTCAAGGAGTCGAGGACACGATTTGGTCTCAAGGCGATTGCAAGATGAGAGATTTATGTACTTCATATCATCTACTTGGTACTCCTATGAAGTGTTTACACGGTCCCAGGCCAAACAAACCCATCGCAGGGGCCCCCGAAGTTTATAAAACATTTCTACGAAGTACGTACCACTAAGCCCTACGCAGTATGCTCTAGCTACTTCGTATAAGATGACTATGTAAGGATTCATAGTTTTGTTAAGTCGCAGCCACCCAACAGTAACAGGCAAAACCCGCCCTAAAGCCCGCCGCCCAGATCCCGGCAAAAACCCCTTACTAGCCACGCTAAGAGTTACACCATTGGGAGTCCCCTCCCACGGCGGGATTCCGACAGGTGGAAGCACGGATGGCTTAGGCACAACCTCGGCCGAGATAACAGTAGGAGCGGGATTCCAGTATTACTGTGTACGGAGTAGGGCTTGCTATGGGATAGGGGTGGCTTCTTGAGCTTGCAACTCTACCAGAAAACTATGGTGGAGGTGGCATTCCCATGACCGCGGCCTTGGTTCGGGGCGGGGGTACCGTACTTTGTAGATTGCAAGTAGCGATCATCTTTCTACTTAATACTTGGTAGCAGCACAACATACAGTGGATGTTAGAAGTACTCTGTACTTTCTAACTGTACCTTTAAATGCTTGGAACTAGCTTCTCAAATGCCACGACTCTTTTAGAATGGTTATCCACTAGACAAGGACAAGCTCTCTAAACATTATCGAGTACGAGCCGAGGGAAGCAAAACGTGCCAAAAGTCGGTACAGGGTACAAGTATCATCATCAATTTTCTATGAGGCCAGGATGCGACAAGGATAAGATCTTCGGACTTGACGGAGTAGGCTGCGATGTGTATGCAGAAACGTATTCAGATAGTAAATTTACGGAGGTAGAAGAACGCTTCCGGCTACTAGAACCCCGTAACAGCATATGCCGGTATGGACAAATATGCACTTTAGGGGAGCACCTGGTACATTACTTCGAAGTACTTCGTATGACATTGAGGTTCTCAATTCGAGGAGCAAACCATCTGTCCTCTCTGGACTTCTGATTGGGTATACCGGTATCCTAATAATTGCTTAAAGGAAGGATTTTAATCATATGCCGGAAGCAAGCGTAAGAAAAGCTTTTTAGATAGGATTATCATGATTTTCACCTTGGTGATATCTATATGTAGAGAACGAATGAATGTTTATTATGCTATGCGAGTTAAGGAGTATATGTATAGACTTTGTATATAGATATATAATATAAAACGTATATTTCTTGTTTTACTATCTATCAACTTGAACACTAATCGATGCATTCCTCAAAAGGCAGCAGATGAAGATTGTAGGAGTACAAAATAAGCGTTCAACTGTTTCTCTTTCAGCCTCCAATACAAAAACGTTACGGAGGTACAAGCAAACATATGAATTTCCTTATCAATAAACATCCACTCTCTACCCACACATTCTAAAAGCACGCCATGAACCTTGCCATTTCAAGCGAGCTCGGAGGACTCTACTGTACCAAGGTACTTCGTACATCCCAAAGCTATGGACACGAGAAGATCGTCGATCCAGTAGACTAATTTACAGTTCATACTCGAGTACAGATTGTACAGTACCCCGTCTAGTAAGTAGTACTTGTACAGTACGCTGTACAAAATACATAATACAGCTGTTTCATGCCGATGCCGATCCGAAACTCACCACTGCTCGCAGAGTCGCAACCTCAACGCAGCAGCTTACCGTATAAGGAAGCTGGCGACCAGATTAACACTCCTCAGAACATCACATCCATCGCAAATCGCAATCACGAAACCCCCACCAACCACTACTGTAAAAGCACTGTCCGAACGAGTACTGTACCTACTGACTGGACTGGCCGTCGGCGGTCCGTTGCGTAGCGTGGGGTACATTAGACAAACGATAGTTCAAGCAGGCGAACTAGGCAGGGATAGATAGGATAGTGCTGTACGTACCAGTCTTAGCCCACACACGACTCAGCCGAATCAAGGGAACTAGGTAGTTCACGTCAAGAAGAGATTTGATTTGGAAGGTCTCGAAATAAATCTGTCTAGTGTCCCGCGACCTCGCAGCAAAAAGGACCCTTGTATGATATCGTCGGTTTTGGAACAGACGAGCACTTATTTCTTGGCGTAGAAACCTAGAAAGGAATCCTTTATAACTAGCTATACCCCCCCGTATAAGTGCCGAGAACCGCGAGCGAAACTTATCTTCAAAAAGATGGGGTTCCTCTAACGCACGTACGAGTAAACGTAATACGGTGATATTTCGTAGTATAAAATTAAACCGGTCCCAAGTCCATGGTAAGCCAGTCAAGTCCAGTCCAGGGCAGGGCGGATAAGAACCCACCTGACCCAAGCCTTCCATCTAGTGTACGGAGTACGGAGGTACATGCACTATTCAAGCATATCAGAGTAGTACAACCCAAAGGTACCCAAGCCAAGTACCGACGAATACAGTAGACAGATGAACAAAATCCGAGACAGTGGTACCGGGGATGCGGATCGTCATAACGGTTAATCTGCCTGCATTTGACGATGATCATTCTAACATCCAACTTCTAACTTCCAACAAGTACGTATACTTACTTCGTCAGAGGCCAAACTGTTGCGCCAAGAAATCTATAGCATAGGGGTTAAGAAGGGTGGTAAACGCACCAAAGCAAGGCCCCCTTTCCCTGGTCTTCTTGGCGTAACAGTTTGGCCTGTGACGAAGTAAGTAGCGCGGCAGTGCAGCGGCGTCGGCAGCAGTGAGTTGGTTGTCGTTCGATTAATCGTAAGGTTTAGCGATATGTTGTAACAGTTCGTTCGCAACGATGCGATGCTGCATGAGGCAGGTTTGCGTAATTAACTGGTTTTAATTCGATTTGGATATCAATAACGATAAAGCACGGTAATTCTATGTACAAAACACCAATAACATCCAATGCTCCAAACTCCAACTCCCACAAGTAAACACTGTCAGTCCTTATCACATCATGAACGTGCACCCCTCTTCCTTTTAGGAGCTGGGGTGCCATTCGCAGCCATTCCAAGCGCGATTTTGCTTCTCATTTTCGGAGGCACAATGCTCTTCTTCTTCTCCTTCTCCTCACTCGTCGCTGTCTCTTTTTCCTTCTCCGGATCTGCTACTATTGGAAGCTTATCAACAGCAGCGACCTTCTTCCCATCCGCCATTTGGTATTGTGCTAATTCCTCTGCCCAAATGACATTCTTCCCTTTCTTCCCCTTACTCTGCTTCTTCTCATTTTCATCAAAGGCCTCTTTCAAAGCACGCTGTCTGGAAGCAGGATCATCTTTTTCTTCCGCCTTCTTGACTAGGACATCAGCAGGGGCAAGGGCACCGCCTTTATTCTTGCGCGTATTAAGGCGAGTTACTGCCGCGAGATCTTTCTCCTTGGATCTTTGTTGAACAGCAATGGTGTTGTCGCCACCTTCTTGGCCTAGTCTTCGGACTGGAATGAAGCTTGGAGCTGCGGGGGGTGTCTTGACAGGTAGTCTAGTCCTGCCACTGCGTCTGATGGATCTTGGCTCGGTGATATCTTCCTCTGTCGTAGGCCCATTTCGTTTCCGGCGTTTGGCTGGTGACTCTGTTGGGTGACTCACGTCAAACTCGTCTTTCTCTTTGGGAGATGGGGATAGGTTTGTTTCGTCCGCATCTGCGTTGTCAAGGGGTATTCTAAGAGGTGAGTGGGGTAGTGAACGTTTCCTCTTGGGAGTTGCGGTTTCGGCCTTGGCTGCTTTATTTGCTTTGACCCGCGTGAGGAAGTTTCGGAGCATATCTGTATCATCATGGTCGTACGTAACCGGTGGAGCATTCTCTGAAATCGCTTCAACTAGTTCCGTGGTTGTTGGATCGGGGGTACTAGTTTCGGGAAGCTCTTCAACAGGTTCATTCGGACTATGTTCGCGTTGCGCCTCTGGATTCGATAACAAGACATCAATTGGCTCAAGAACTTCGAGGACATCTACCGTTGTACGGTCCGAATCGAGACTATGTGGGGTGGTGATGTTGTCTTCTGGAGCATGCAAAAAAAATTCGGATAGCCCGGCGATGTTACGTACTGAATCTATGATGGGCTCTAATTTGGGCGTATTGTTGTCATCGTGAATGGCAGATTCTGATCCGAGCTTCTCGAGAGTCTGAGTGGGCTCTTGTGAAACTTCCATATTCGTTTCCTCGGCCATTGATCCCTGTGCCACTGATGAAGCAGCCACTGATGAAGCAGTTTCAGGATCGATTTGGAATTTCGTATCTGATCCAGCCACCCGTTGATCTTCGTTCAGCGATGTGGTTTCGTCTCTGTGGGGCTGAGCTTCTTCATGATCAATTGCACTCTCTTCGACCTGCTCAGACATCTCATCCTCGGGTAGGGTTGACGCGGCCTCGAATGAACGATGGGCTTCCATTCTTGGTGGAGGAGACTGGGCTTGTTTCTTTGGAGAAACCTTTCTTGGTGATGCCGAGCGATCTGAACTCAAGATGAGAGTCGAAAGTTCTGGTCCTTCAAAGGTAAAACTCTCTTTGGGCTGTGGTAAGCTGGCACGCGATGGAGCCTGCTTCTTCGCAGAGGATTTCCTGGGAGATACCGAGCGTCTTGAGGATGGCATTGCGAGATTGTTGACTACGGGTGCTTCTTGGATAGTTGGGTCTTCTGAGTGCACTGAGCTGGCTCGCGTTCTGGTGCTTCGTCGAGCACCGCGTCTTTGAGGGGTGCGCTTTGTTGATTTCGGAGTGGCTGGGATTTTTGAAGGTAGAGGTTCATTAGAACTTTCACGCTCATTTTCTTTGAGTACCGAATGTTCTTGCCCATCTGCTTTCTGCATAGCGGTCGGTTCAGGCAGCTCTGATTCACCCTTTGAAAGAACAGAATCGCGCCCAGCAAACAATTGCTCAAGTCCTTGTCCTTGCAACTGTTCTAGGCTGGATGGTTGAGGAAAGAGCTCGGTCTCTTGCTGCATAACCTCCGTATCTGATGTTGCGAAACCTTTTCCATGCTCCTCAGTAGATTGCACCAACTTTTTATCATCTGGAGAATGAGATGAGGTTTCAGCGTCGCTCGAGTCTGTTGATGTATCAACAGCGCTTTCCTCAAGTCTTTCCGATTCCTCATCGATCAAAGCAAAAGATGAGCTTTCGCCCTCGCTCAAGTCCGTTGAAGTATTTGCAGGGCTAGGGCTTTGCTCTGGTCTTTCCGAATGCTCATCATCGAGCATAGTGGAATATGAGTTATCAGCATCTTCGCTGGATCCGTCCCGAGGATAATCGGATGTAAAGGGTCGTTCAAGTTCTCCACTGGAGTTCACTGATAGACTAGTAGACATAGTATCATCCTCGCTTAACTCCCAAGCAAGCTGTAAAGTGCCTTCTTGCTCGTCATCCTCCATGGCCTCGGTGGCCTCTTCCGTAACAACGCTTACTTCCATATGCTCGGGCTCTTGTGATAGTACATATTCCAAGGAAGACTCGAATCTAGGCGTAATTTCACGCGCGACCGGCTGAGGTATGGGAGAGGTTTGGTAGGCAGCAGTAGCGGATGCTTGAACAAAAACCGGCTGGGCGAAACCTATACCGCCGCTGAAGACCCGAACAGCATTGTCAGGCTGAGAGGTTGAAGGTTGCTCGCTCATATTCTGTTCCTCCAAAGCAAGCGAAACCCTCCTGGAACTCCTCCTCAAAGACATCCTCCTCCTCGGTTTATCCTCCGCAGATTCAGCATCTAGGTCATTGAGCGGGACTTTCTTCGCAGGACTTTGCTTCAGACCGATCTTCAGAGTACTCTGAATCTTCACGGGACTCATAGTCTGTCGTGTAACTCTCCTCAAGGGCTTCCGCGGCGTAATAACACGATCTGTATTCGTTCTCTTCCTCGCGGTTCTTTCCCCCTTAACAGGCGACATCACTCCTTTCACTGGCGATGCTCTCGTGCCCTTTTCTACTTCATTGACAGCCATCCACCCCGCATCACCAATATTCGTTTTCTCGCCCAGCACCCTCTGCTTCTTACGCATGCCAGCCCCGCCTCTCTCTAACTCCTTCTGGCTCTCTCCAGGATCAAGCTCCTTATTTTTGGAGCGCAGATTCGGTTTCTTCCATATCTTTTGACCAGCGAGGCGAGGCGCTGAGGCGGGCACTGGGGCGCGGTGCCATGGTTTTTGATGGGTTGTGGGTGGGGGAAGGAGGGCGTCTTTGTAGACCAACCTTTTTTATAATCAGTACAAGATATAGCAAGTAAGAAGGGACGGAAAGGGAGGAAGAACATACCAATTTTGTCCCTCCAAATTCGAAGAAAAGTCTTCCAGTGGTGCGTCCTCCATTGTGTCAAGACGCGATGCTTAAACAACAAGACCCGCGTCAATCAAAAAAGAATTCTTATGTCAATACTGTGAAAACTATAGACATGAACTTTAATTAACTGCCGTAAATGGAGTCTCTCAAGGTCTGCGCGTCGTAGTAAGGATGTCGAAAACTAAAGTTGTGGTGGGATACGGTACTGTACGGCTTTGTTTACATTACATTCAAGCAACGGCACGGCCCCTATTTAACACACACTAGTCCTGAAACAAACTAGCGCCAAAATATTTTGAAGCTCCCGGCAGCAGCTCGATATCAAACAGCATTGCACGATTGCACCACTACTTCTTCAATCAATTGTCCAAGTACACAGAACCAACAGACACAATGCCACCAAAGCCCACAACCTCGGTGCCAATGCGCCTGCCTCCGCTCCCTAAACTGCGCGTCCGCAGACCGAATCAAACCGATGCGAATCCGTGTCTGGCCTTGATGTCTTCCGTGCTCAGTATGTTGCCACCCCCCCCCCCATCTACATCCCCTCTCTACCTCTCTCGAATATCAAGACCTGAGGGCTAATGATGAGAAAAATAGCTTGCTGGGCATCATCTGGGTACACCGCAGCAGGATGTCAGGCTCTGGAGACGTCATTGAGGACTTGTATGGATACACCAGTACGTTATTTCCTCGCTTGTATTCCCATCCTGCCATTTCAACAGGAAACGATATAAAAGCGGTTGTGGATTTATATCAAGATTGTCATTAGAATTTCCCACAACTTTGAGTCCTAGAATGGCAAAATATACATGCAATGGCAAACGCTTTTGTGTTTCAATGGACCCTGGGTTCGAGGATGGGAGGGATGTGGTTAGATGTGTGCTAATATGTGAGAGGTAGAGACCAAAGAACTTGAAAAAGAATACAATTAATCACCATTTGTCGCGGATGTATCCTCAGATTGTTGGACCTAGGAAGAGGAAGTGAAGGGTTGATTGATGGAATGATGGAGGACCAACGTGGGAAGGACAAGAGAAGAGAGGGATAGGGAGATGAATGTATATCTAGGAGACAAGGAAGGGGAGCGGACAAGGATGTATGTTGCATAGATGGAGAGAGAAAGATGCTGTACTTTTGAGGGTTATGGGCATGGCGTATAGGTGGTGCATTGCATATACTGTACAATACAAAGTGTATTGAATGACAGGCTTGTTACGAGTATGATGTTCTGCGATTCCAGAACCTCCACTGCGAAATGGCTTAGATTTAAATCACTACAACATCAAGACATACATACCACGGGTCTCCATTTCATTGTCTACCACCATGCCTATCCCCACGCCTATTTATCACCACCAGCTCACCACGAAGTCATTGCACCCCCCCCCAAATGCTCAATCAAAATCATCGCACCGCAGAAGCCACGCCTTCCGCCCAAGTAATAAGGCGCTAATAAACACCAATCGTCAAGAAGCAAAACCAACCCCTGCACTGCATATCATGATAAAAGCCATCCATCCATCACTCCAAAAATTTCATCTCAAACGTAACAAGTCATAATGTTCCCCAGTTTCGCTTCAAAGTCTCAGAAGTTGATAATAAATAAAGGCCATGCAAAAAATGATTCCAGCAAAGTCCGTTAATGTGTCTATCCATGCAATAAGTTAGTAAGTTGAGCTCAGTTTCTTCCCCCCAAAAAATATCCTTCTAGTTGTCCACACCGAGGCAGAAAAGCTCGATCTCGCCAAGCTGCCCAGCATGGTATTGGGCTTTCTGTGCCTCCCTCCATTCCTGGAAGGCGATTTGAACGTCGTCATCTGATTCGATGGTGACAAAGTCACCGTCTTCGTCTCGGTAGCGTAGTTTCATTGTGCCTCTCGCTATGGCATTGTTGGAGAAACGGCCGACTTTGGCGTCGATGCGGTCGATAAGAGATTGGTATGTGATGTTAAATGCTACTACAAGCGTCACGTAGTTGCCGTCGCAATTCACCTTGACTTTCAGCTGAGTGGGCAAATTGTCACTGTCACCAGACAAGGCGCTTCCGAGTGGCGGTGACATGGCCCGACTATCTGCAGAACTGGTGGGTATCCCTATCGAATTGTTCCTGGCATATTGAGGTGCACCGTTCGGGTACTGACCTATTGGCATCCGCTCTCTCTGCGCCCCTGGTGACTGAGTGTTTGTCCTTATCGGCATCCCATTGGGAGAAGAATTCTGCGATCTGGGAATCCCAGAGTCGTACGCTGGGTGCAAATGCGCTGGAATACCAGGTACTGCCGGTACTTGACTACTCGGGGTGCCGTTGATTCGTTGTCGACCTCCTCCCTGACCGTTGATGTCAGGAGTACTGTAAGACCGACTTCGTTGCGCTGCTGCACTCGCCTGGGCCGATTGTGATGCCATGGCCGGAAGCGAAGGTCGTTGAGGTGTGCGCCCATTCATCTGGTAAGTATCCAAAGGCGTTTGGCTTCCTCTCGAAGGGGCGCGTGGCCCCGCCGGCGCTGTGTAGCGATTTTGATCCTCCCACGAGCCTAGTGGTGTTCCTTGGCGGGGGAACGGGAACATCGATGAGGCAGTACTTGTCCTCGAGGAAGCAGGCGATTCGCCAACTGGTGAGAAATAAGAATCACAACCACGTTGAGTTGGTGAGGGCATTGAAGTGTTTGAAGTTTGTAAACTAAGAGGAGGGTTTTGAAAGCCCATGGGAAATCGTGGAGGTGGAGCTCGCGCAATTCCGGCTAGTGATTGACTACTATCCCCCGTGGTTGATCTGGACCGTAAACTTGTGCTGGATGCATTTCGAGGCATTGGTTGGTTGGCGTATCCAAAGATTTGCTGGACGTTTTCATCCTCGTCTTCTTCATCTTCCTGCTGCGCGTATGGATTGGGCATGGCTGCCGTCTGGTCTCTCATCCAAGCAAAATCGGTGGCTAACGAATCAGGACTATTTCCTCTTTGCGCCGAGTTGGCGTGTGCGGTTCTTTGGTCGTGAACACCTGCGTACCACTTCTTCATTGTATCCTCATTGGAGAACCGAATGATAAAATTCTCTACTCCAGGATCGCCTTTCCAGAAGATCTGGATCGCATACGAGCCTACTGAAGTTAGCTGGGTTTCCTGCAAGGAAGCACAAGCCAAACCTTGTTTCGCCTGTGAGACAACATCAGTCACATTGGTCATGAAGATTCGGCCCTTCAGCTGCAGCTTGGCGTTCTTGTTGTGTTCCTTATTCTTGTTCTTATCCTTCTTGTCTTTTTGAGTTCCCATAAGCTTGTTTGGGTTTAATTCTTTGCAACACAAAAGTATTCTCTCGAAAAGGTATATCGTATACTGTTGATGGAAGGGGCAAGCAAGACCCAACTCGTTAGCAAATTTGAAAGCAAGAAATGGTTCATTGGTCTGGGGGTTAACGCCATTGAACTCATTGAGATAGATATTTGACGGAGCAAAGCTTGGCGATGGGTATCAACGCTGGTCATAACCCTCATCCTGAGTGCCAACAGATATTACTGGCGTCTCTGGTGATGCCGAGGATGAATAAGCCGGATCGGCTTCTAGCGCCTTGCGCCAGAAGGCCGGAGCTCCCGTATTTCGAACTGAAAGACGTCGGAGTGATTGAAGAGATTGAGGTCCTACTTCTTTTTGGACATCACTCTTCCCTGTGACTACCATAAATTGACCATGCATAAGGAGGTCTCCGAAATGATCGATCTGATGGTTCTTCCAGTCATCCACCCGACTTTCCAAGTCTTCTCGTGCTTCTCGCCTCAGCTCCTGGTCAACAGCATCGTTGGCTTCCCTCAGTACTCGATTGGATGCTTCGATACCGGCTGTTAGATCGGTTTTCATCGTTTCGTCTAGACCTCCTTTGTCGCGCAAGTCCTAGGAATGTTAATAACAGAACCGATACATCGCAAGTGGAAAATCACCTTCAAGAGTAAAGGGTACTTGACCAAACGTTGCATCGGCTTGAGAAGGAATCCATCTAGAGTATTGAAGTCCACGACAATAGCATGTTTAGCCTGTGATAACTTGGAGAAATCCCGCTTAGCAATGGCCGCGGCCTTTCGCTGGTTTGCAATGAATGGCCTATATATATTGAAAGATTCCTCGTAGTTGACAAAGGGCAAGCCCCATTGTTGCTGGTCCTTGGATTGAGAATTTGTAGTTTCGATTTTAATGAGAAATCGACGTTGAAAATCTAAAATGGCGTTGATGTTCAGAAAAATTTCGTGGACCACATCCCCCGGGACTACGCCATTTTGCTCAATTTGTTTCTTTAGATCATGAAGATTCTCGAGATCCTGGACGTATTTCCGTTCTGTATTAACCATTTCCGCAACCACATGGTCTCTGTAGCTCATCTTTTCCGAAACGGTCATAGCAGCCGGGTCTACACTCTTTTCTTCAACAGACAAGAGTTGACCGCGTTGTTGAGCTACATCGAGGACGAGGTTGATCACCTGTGTGACCTGATAATTGACATGTATAAGCATTTTCCTGGTATTTTTCTGGTTCGGTAGAAAGCAGGAAGCAAAGGTAAGTGGGGAAATGAGGGCAGTGGAGGATATGGGGCAAGTGTGCAAAGTTCTGGAAGAAAAGGACGCATTCCCACTAGCCACCAAGGGAAGAAATCAACGCACCTTGACGAAACCCGTTGTATCATCTCCAAAGAGATCTGAAAGAGCAAAACACTCCCCCGGCGGTACACCCAACTCGCCCTTTAGACATGCTTCAACGAATTTGAATGTTGCACGCTTCGCCCTTTTAAGTGGCGTTTCTATCTTCTCATCAAGATGTAAGGGTATAGGGGGTTGAATCGCGTTATATATGGTCATCAGAGGCGTTCCTTTCCGCAAACACCGCCATAGTGACGAGACTGGGTCCATATCCTCCTCATCCTCCTCGTTCTCTGAATCGTGTAAATGTACATCAAAGCCTGGGACTTGGGCCAGTCGCTGCCTAAGCTGTACGCAGATTTGGTATAGGGATCGGGACGCGTCGGCTTGTTGGTTAATGATATTGTTTGTTGCAACTACTGATCCGCTAGTTGGCGGCGGGAGCATGGTAGCGGAGCTGGCGAGAGACGAGAGGGACGTCGACGAAGAAGAGGTAAATGCGGTGGAGCCTGAGAGCTGGGACGATCTCGAGCTGTGGCTCATAGTTTGACTCAAGCCAGAGAGGCCGTTGGTATTTCTGGTGGGAAACACAGGCGCTGTGTTTGTCCTGGAGAGTGGTCCATGAGCATGAGCCATGTGGATGGCAACGCCGCCAGAGGACATGAACAGGGTAGTAGGATAGACTCCGGTTCCTTCATTAATTAATGAACGGGCGCAACCAACCAACCCCGCGAAGTGGACAGATTAGGGGTGTGCGATGAATGTAGTCAGACTATGCGATATGGCGGATGTTTGTTGCTGCCAGGACTGGAAGGAGAAGAAGATGGAGATGTATGCGTTTCTCGGTATCTAGGGCGGAGGAGAAGGTGGTAGTCGTGATGGAGGTGGTGGTGTGGTGTGGTTTGCGGTTGTGGATGCGTAGGATTGTGCCTTGGGCGATTAGGATTGATTGTCTGGTGGGTGTCGAGGTTTGGCGGCAGTTCTGTCTCAGAATTGGACTTAGCGGCTGAGGAGGAGAGGAGGGCGACTTCTTAGAGGTGGACGTGACAAGAGACTGAGTTATGCACATGCGCTCAATGGAAAGCGGTGAACAATGGGCGGAAGGGGCAGAGGGCAGAATGCAGAATACATAATCAATACCAACACTCCTGCTCTTTGATACATAGAACTCTCCATATAGGACGCTATTCCTTACCGTAATATCTCATACCAAGTAATACTGTATGTAATGCGGAGGCAAATGATCACCCTCCCGCCATTTTGTCTCATCTCGTCTTGTCTCTATCCATCCATCCCATCTCCCAAGGCCCAACGACACAGTAGAGTCTTGTTGTGGTTGTGACCCTGTGTGCTGGCCCATCTTGCCCTCATTCTACGGTCCTTCCTTCACCTCCATTGCATGGGCCCAAAACAAACAAGCGGTGCCTGATCCAGCAACAGGAACCGCAACTTCAGCCTCGTCCCGGCCCTGAATTAGGTCGCAGATAAACATTCACGCGTATCTACAAAGAGCAAGAATAACGGAAGCTTCCCTTCCCTAGTCCTAGTCCTAGGTACAACTGAACAACGGTGTACGGGTCCAAGGGCATCATCCCGCTTTCAAAACAGGTCAACAATCAACACCAAACGTCACTCGTTTCTCGATTTGGATTAGACAATCTTCGTGATGGCAACATATGAACAATCCCCTCAAGACGAGGGCTACAGCGAGGATCCATTGACGCTGGGCACCGCATCAACACCTGTTCCTCCATGGCTGGCTTCGATGAACATATCGGAGCGTACAGGTACGAATGGCATTGATTGACGAGGGAAATGCTGAGGCTAACTCTTCTAGAATACGTAATGTCCATCATCGATCATCTCCCTACTTCCAAAGTCTGCGAGATAGTCCAACGTCTTCGACCCCGGATCTATATAGATTTCTTTCAATACCTACCTACCGAGGTAAATCTGAAGATACTTGGCTTTCTGGACCCGGTCTCCTTGATACATACAGCCCAAGCTTCTCGCGAATGGATGCTGCTGGCTGTGGACCGGAAATTATGGGAACATCTTTATATACTAGAAGGCTTCCGAGTAATTCGCCCAGAAGTGTTGCATTTCGAAGCCGCCATCAATTCCGACAAATCAAGATCCAGCGGGTCGGGTGAGGAGGAACATGCGAGCAAGAGGAGGGCTACACCTCAGCGAATATTACCCAACCTACAGGCAGACGATGACTTTGAAATGGTGGATGCGGACATGGTTGCGCCTACACAATCCTCAATATTTGGGCCTTTAACAAGTGAACCAAAGGACTCATCGGTGAAAGAAAGCAGTTTGGATCCTGACGTACAAATGGCATCCCCCAGACCCATGTCCTCACCGAAAGCAAGCAAAATTTCCATCCCCAACTATCCTAGTAGACCTGCGAATGCTTCACATAGTCATCGAAACCACCGATTATCCACTGCTTCGACTCTAAATTATCCTCACGTCCCGACCCCCGCGTCTCCGATGTCGTCATTAGTGGTGGTGGATCGAAGTGATGGCAGGAAGAAGCTCAACTGGCAGTATCTCTATTCGCAGAGGAGAAAGTTGGAGGCCAACTGGGAGATGGAGAAATACACGAATTTTCAATTACCACACCCAAATCATCCACAAGAAGCTCACGAAGAATGCATCTATACCATCCAACATGCCGGCAAATATCTTGTCAGTGGCAGCAGGGATAGAACACTGCGTATTTGGAATTTGAATACCCAGCGCCTTGTCAAACCGCCATTGCGTGCGCATACTGGTTCTGTTTTATGTCTTCAATTCGATGCTGATCCGGAGGAGGACTTAATAGTATCAGGAAGTAGTGACGCTACCGTGGTATTGTGGAGATTCTCAACTGGTCAAATCATCCAGAGGCTGCGGAAAGCCCACCGAGAATCAGTTTTGAATGTCAGATTTGACAAGCGTGTTTTGGTCACCTGTTCCAAGGACAAGACCATCAAGATCTTTAACAGACGACCAATGGAACCTGGGGAATCTGGGTATCCAGATCCAAATCAAGGTGTCAATCCAGTCCCTATACACTTGAACAATTACGGCTTGAACCCCACACCCCTTTCTCGCCTACCAACCCTACCCGCCTACAGTATGCTTGGATGTTTATATGGGCATGGTGCAGCTGTCAATGCTGTTCAGATCTTTGGTGATGAAGTAGTATCGGCCTCTGGAGATCGTACTGTGAAAGTTTGGAATTGGCCAGAACGAACATGTACACGAACCTTGATTGGGCACTCAAAGGGCATTGCTTGTGTTCAATATGATGGTCGTCGCATTGTTAGTGGCAGTAGCGATAATGAAGTCAAGGTCTTTGACAAAGAATCTGGTCTCGAAGTGGCAAGCTTGAGAGCTCATTCAAACCTTGTACGAACCGTACAAGCAGGCTTTGGCGATTTGCCATACAGCTCCGAAGAGGACCAGGTAGAAGCTAAGCAGATCGACTATGAATATTTCAAAGCTATCGATTCAGGGACTCTTTCGGCACAGCAAGGATATCAGCGGGGTCGCCCCAAGAATGCGGGGTCAAAGAAGCCAGAGGATATCACTGCTTATGGTGCTAAGCTACCACCCGGTGGTGGGGGTGGTAGATTCGGTCGAATTGTTTCTGGGTCATACGACGAGACTATCATCATCTGGCGCAGAGACAAAGAAGGAGTCTGGCGGGCACAACACACCTTGAGACAAGAAGAAGCTGCACACATGGCATCAAACGCCGTAGCAAGAGAAGCCGTGGAAAAAGAAGCCTTGGCAAGGTCGGCCGGGAATCCACCCAGCGAGGATGAACCATACTTATCCATTCTCCCTAAGATTCCCAATACTCCAAATAGCGATGCAATCTATCGTCAAATAATCGAAATGACAGTCTCTCAAGGCCCGACCGCACTGCGCACAGCCCTACGAGATTATCCCCCAACGATGACGTTTAAACATCTTGGGGACACAATTTCGGCTTTGGAAGAAGGGACTACGAAACATGTCATGAAGTCGGTGGCGTTGACTGCCATTCATGAGTACCGGCAACAACAGGCACAACAAGCCACTGTTGCTGGCCCAAGTGAACAGACTTCGGGTTCGGATGATTCTATTGAGAGTGCGGCAGTGCAAGGTTTGACTGAAATGGCTCAAGATACTAGTCCTCGGTCAGCTACTCAAGCTCAAGCCTCGTCTTCTCAGCAACCTGTAACGACGCCCATGGATACAACGACAATTACAAGCACGGCCACTGCGACTACCACCACGCCTGCACCTCAAACTCAACCTCCAACCGCTGCTGCCATTGTACCCCCAACTGCACACCACCATCACCACCACCTCACCAACAACATGGCACGCGTCTTCAAGCTGCAATTTGATGCCCGGCGCATCATATGCTGTAGCCAAACGACTGTTATCGTGGGATGGGATTTTGCAAATGGTGACGAGTCAATTATAGAAGCTAGTCGATTTTTTGCTCCTGTAGAGTAATCGGTCCGCTTTTCTGGGACGAATGAAGAAGAAGAATTGAGCATTTCAAGTTAGATGAGAAGAGAAAACGGAAAGGAAAGGAAGGGGGTGTAGAGAGAATATTTATACAAGATGCTGTGAGGGTTTTTTAGCGTAGCGCATGGGTTGCATTGTATTGCATTGCGATGGATGGACTTGGAATGGGACTGGGGAGGAGATTGGGGATGAGCATAGCATTTAGCAAAGCTTTGGGTATTAGCAAGCTAGCAAGCATAGTCGCTCACTTAATTAATGTCTATACGGTACGGTACGGATATGATTGTATGTATGGGTTGGAGTTATGATGTTGGGTCGGCAGGCATGAATCGATGAATCAATATATAAAAAATGAAGAGAATTAATGTCATGCGCTGGCTGGGTTTTTGAATCCCTGAGTATCATTCAGAGCTCATGTTCGCTCCTTACTACGTGCTTGCTTCAATGCTTGCTATTTTTCCTCCTGTATTCATGCCCCGTTGCTCTGCATACCTCCATCTCTGCTTGCTTGAACATCATGTAGACAGCTGTGACCTGTTGATTGTGTTGAGGACTGGATGAGATGGGATGGAACAAGAAGCACTTACTCGCATCCCATTCTCATCCGCATATCTATCCCTCAAACACCATCATCGTCCCGAACCGATATTCTGTTTCCCTCCTTTCTTTCTTTCTCATCGTGTTCCTTACTTGCTATCAGTTACCATCTCTGCCTCCGTCTCCGTAATTCCGCTTGTATTTACTACGGGTAGTGGTAGAGGCGGGGGTAAAGCTGTCATTCTCTTGATAGTTATTTTTGTTCCGTTCTATTCCTAGGCTTATATTTAGGTTTCATCTTGTTGACTTGATGCATATAGCTGGTTGGTTGGTTATTGCTTTGTTTTTCGACCAGAGGTGCGGGTGCATGCATGGAGATGTGTATATGGTTCGTGATACCTCATGATCTCTCCATCTTTTATATTATGTACAAGTACTGTACGCTAGCTGGCTATCATGAATGATACTACTCTATAGATACAGCCTGTATTCCCATCGATCGATCTTTCGCCTTGCATTATGAATATGACTGTTCCTGGCTTTCTGGGGAAGGCCTACCTACTCTCTTTCCTTTGGTGTACAGTACTCGTATGCGTTCCACGTGAGTTGCCCTCGAAACCAATGCAAGTGCCGAGTCTGAGATCATGGAAGACTTCTCTCTTCAAATCAACCTCTGATTGATATCCTAACTAACTCCGTAATCCACGTATGATCACCTTGTGATATTGAAATATCATATGATGCTCTCGTATTGTCGTCGGCGACATCCGAGGCTTGGCTTGCTCGCTTCTTAGGTTCCGGGCCTCGGTAGTGTGGGGCCGAGGGTTCGCGTTCTTTGGGAGCCTCGGGAGCGAACCGAACTGAATCAAGAGCCGGAGGGAGGTCTGAATAACACTTTAGGGTTTGAGAGGTTGTCGATCAAGTAGACGAGAGGACGCTGTTAAGAGGGGAGGGATGGTAAATAATAGCAAGATTAATATTTGATATATCTTCTCTCATCTCATCTCATCATTACACATAATTAGACATTTACGTCCACAAAACACCCATTCCATCCCATCTCCATCTCCAACTGCTTCATCTAAGTCCCCTCTCAAAATTATACCACTCCAAGTAAGTCTAAGCAGAAGGACTCTTACACCCAAAACTCGTCGCCTGACTCGCCCCATCAAACGCACTCATCAGCCCCAAACAACTGCTGTAAATTCCCAACGCAGCCGTACAGAGCGCACCAAGAAAGTAAAACATATTAAAGCTGTTCAAATGCCACTTGACCTTAAAGCCCCGCACCCACCTCTTGTACCCCCGATCCACATAACTATACGTGCGCGTGGCCGGATCAAACTGCTCCTCGGCCGTCATGGCATCCTTCTGGATCTGGAATCCAAACGCCAGGATCGCGGGGAACGTGTACGTGAATTGCAAGATGCATAATGCGCCCACCAGCCCGGAAATATACGAGAATGACGGGATGGCTGCGCAGACTACAAATGCGAGTGCCCAGTATGCTGGCACCATGGCGACCCACAGCCACTTGCCAGCTGTGCTCGTAAGAGGTGGTGCGTTCAGCAGCTCTTGGAATACCTCGACGTACGCGACCTTGATTCCAATATTCCCATACAGCGCCGCGGCAATCAGCCCCGTGACGATATTCATGATATTCGTCGCTGTCTGCCAGGCGTATGGCGAGAGAGATTGCGGCGCGGGATTATACGTGTACTGGCCCTGGTACGAGTAGACGAAGATGCCGAAGAACATGTAGCACACGTAGATGAAGATATCAGCCACAATCACGCCTTTCCAGAAGTCCCACGGATGCCGCATTTCGCTCAAGAACGAGATGAAGAGCATGGCTCCACCGTACGAGTACACGGCTTGGTTTAGGCCGTTGAGCGAGCCCGTGAAGCCATTCCCACCTGTTGCGGCGCCGTTAGGTGGTGTGCCTGCATATCTGTGAATAGGGCCTGGGGCGAAGAGCGTGCCATCATCTCCGCCGTACGAGGCAGTGATAGCTTTGAAGTTTGGGGCCGAGTTGGCTGCTACGCCCATGCATATGAAGATGATGAGGACGTTGATCCAGACGGCGAAGTTGGCTAGCCAGCCGAAGCGCTGAAGGGTTCGAATTTGGCCGATGATCATACCGGCAGCCATGAAGATTACAAGGCAGGCGATGAAGCAGAGGTTTCCCTTCGAAACCTGGGAAATCGATTGGCCGTTGCTGAGAATGAGGATTGAGACGGTGAAGAGAAGTTGAATAGCCTGGAGGATGTTGATTCCGTGACGGGCCCACCTGCCGTAGACTCTGAAAAAGGTATCGGCGTAAGACTTCATAGGATATCTATCCGAGTCGAGGAACATGAACACTTTCCAGAGTTGTAATCCAGAGCTATAGTCGTTAGTTGCCGGTTAAATTGAAGTGTCTGATGTCACTTACTACAAGGCAAGACCGCCAAAGACGGTATAGAGAGCAATTCCTGGACCATAACCCATTTGAGCAAAGGCCCATCTGGATGTAAGTTAGTATAATGGCGACGAAAGCAGGTAGAAGCTCAAGACGTACGGAACACTGAAAGGACCCAGGATATCCGTGGTAATCAGGTAGAACACACTGCTCCATCCGGCAGTTCGAACAGCACGGCTTGCGTTCTTCCATTCGCTGTCAGTAACATTACCGAGGTTTCTGTCTGGGCTCGTGGTTTTTTCATCGAGCCCATTCTTCTCTCCAGTAGAGAGGCTCTCAGATGGCGTGTTTGTAGGCTCTTGCGTGCCCTTGGAGAATCTACTCATGATGACACTCTTGATAGTCTTGGGTCCCGCGGCGGCGACATGTCTCTCATTGGCCTCCTTCTCTTCAGCCCGAGTAAAGGCAGCATAGTAGGCATACTCTTCAAACGTAACGGTGTGGTCGTGACTCGCTTTGAGCAATTCGGTTTCAATTGGATGTTTGCCGGTCGCAACCACAGGATGGTCGGAGTTTCGAGGGTCAGCCTCGAGGGCAAGGGAAGAAAGGTTGGTAGTCATAAGGAGGTATTGGAACTTTCACTAGTTCCAATCGAAGTGCAGGAAGCAGAAGCAGGAAGACTGAAACAAAAAATGCCAAGAGATGGGGGGGGGAGGAGGGGGGAGGAAGCTGATATAGCTGTTCGTTCCTGGCTGGGACAAGGGGAGAGACAAGTGCTTCGTCCGCGGATGGGACTCCATTGGTGGCCCATGACCATGAAAATTACAATATGGATAAGGTGATTGATTTACAGGCATGTATAGATAGAGATAAACGGAAGCAGAAGCATGATTGGAGCAAACGGCTAAAATCTACAGACCGAAAGATCTGCATGCATCGTAAATCTGCGCCTATCTACGAAGTAGTTACCATACCTTGGGTATTTCGATTCATGTAATGTACCCTTGTGGCGCCACCCCAGTCGGTGGCGTTTCTGCGAGTTTGAGCAGAAGCTGTGATTGGTCAGATATAGGACAAGCGATGGTCTGGTGTGTGGGGACCTGCCTATATGGGAAAAGCCCCGCATCTGCTAGTCGTCTTCTCCATATCTCAAAGCTTCTTTCAAGCTTCTGGAAGCTATGACTACGCCACAGGAAAAGCTTCTTTCGCATTCCGAGCGACGGAATAGGACTGGCGGGGGAGACATATGGATACATGCGGATGTCCACCAATAGTAGTGTCGTCACCGGTTCCTTCAGTTGTTGAAATTGGGAAGCTATTACTATCTCTCCCGTACTTTGTTCGTAGCTACTGTATCGTCTCTAGCTGCCTTATGGAGGCTTTCAATCGCCACATGACCTTCCTATCGTAGTCGATTAACTAGACTCTCAATAGACGGGTGGTGTGACTGACGGGATATCATCCTCGGATCTTTTGCGAACGGGAATAAGAAGATAAAAGCAGGTAGGTAGGGACAGGGCCACCGCCCAGCTTGTTTGTGATTTGACAGTGTTTCCGAGATCCGAGCAAGGCTGCGTCGTGAGATGTGAGAAGGTTGCCGCTTGCCATCCTAAAAAGGGTTTGCGGTGTCTTTTAGTCATGCGTGGTAACATGCGGTCTAAAGAGTGATCAAACATGTTAGACAGGGCGGATGCTGCCGTACCCATAGTGTTACATGTTCGACAGGTAAGGTTATATATATATGTTAAGAATACTGGTAACATATACATGATATGTCACGTGGCAGTTACCCTAGCAACCGCTGTGATGCACCATGTGTATTAGGACACTTTGCAGTAGAGTTGCAACTTAGTTCTGTAGTCTACTGAATCCGATTCTATCACCACCTAGTTTCCCACCAGTCTAGTACAATCTAGCAGTCAATTCTCTAGTGCACTTAGGACATCTTTTTAATAATATATATATGTTGGAAATACAGCCCTCGCGGTATCAGGTGATGCGGCCGCTAATGGGCGCGTACGAGCATAAGAGGTCCTCGTCTTCACCTAGATAATAACTTACTTCCTTCCTTGAGTTAATATAGCCCCTTCAACCCACTCCCTCTGCGACGTCCCATCTGGTCTACGTGTTCTTCAAGAGTTCATGCTCCTAGGAGGCACCTAGTTCCGATACAGTTATTGATTGCATAGTCGTAGAGGCAGTAGAGTAGTTATTATACTAGAAGCAATAGTATTAATATTAGTAAGGATATTAAACCTATTGTTGGTATCACAGGATACCGCGGTAAATCACTTCGTACTACTAGCTAGTAAAAGGTGGTCTCGTTGGTTGATGTTCTTGATGTCTATCTAGAAGTGGAAGTGGGAGACGCGAAGAGGTGATGACCTCTTCGCTGACCAAGCTACGCTAAATCACATGACTGGGAAGATCGGGATCGGGATACAGCCCTTATCCCAATACTTATCATTATCATTTTTAACTTAATCTTAGCTCTACTGTAGAATTGTATTGCAATATGGTAAAAGCGACCGAAAACGCTATTACCAGCTACTGAATTCCCAGGAAAAGCATAGCTAATCCATAGGTTCGTAGGGGACACCACGTACAGGTGTTGAGTCTTCGTCCCCCAGTGTTATATGTTCGAATACCTAATCAATTAAGATGTCATGCAGAAGGTTCAAGGTTGGTAGAACGTGATACCAAGTGTCGAACCCCTTTTCGGATGAGAGCAATTAATTCTCGTGATACAGTCAGTACAAAGCACAACAGTGACAACGTGTTCATATAGGTACAAGGCGGGAATGCGGACGGCATACGTTGTGGAAGGCTTGGATGAATGTTTTAATGTGCTGTGCGAGTCAAAGACTATGTTGTGTTACCGCATTGTACAGTAAGACCTTGAGTTGTGACTGTTTATAGTCAGGTACGACATGAAATAAAAGTAGTTTTATTCAACGTGCATCAGTTCTAGGGATTTGTTGTGGATGGTTCCACAATGCATGTACAAGTAGTAGGTAGGTTTCCAGGTGAGAAGGTAGTAGTTGGGGATTAGGGGGGGTAAGGTAGTATCGCAGAAAGCCATGGGAATATATCCTCTTGGAGTCTCAACCCCGCATCAGACCATCCTTCAGCCTCGTTATCAATGGCATGGCATCTAGGATGGTACAGAAGGCTGTTTCAGGCGTGACTTCATCTTCTCTCTCACACTCTCGGGTAGGAATCAGCGATAACGACGCGCTTTAGCATTAACGGCTCGAAGATGATAGGTAACATTACCTATGATATAAGGAGAATATCCTCATGCTACGAGCAAACAAAATGCCCTGCACTTTGCCATATTCTTAATACGAGACATGCACGCGGTACTCGCGACTCGCGACGCGGTGTCTCAATCTCTACAAGATCTACTATCCTCTACAGACTGCAATATCAAATTCTATTCCTCATTGGGCGACATGGTTGATAAGTGTGATATTGATATTGAGCGGCGTAGATAACATGAGACAATCGAGACCTTGAAGCCTTTGATGGCCCGTTTGATTGGTACTTGGCAGCGTAGACGGGCGTAGGTACTAATGAGGCGGCCCCAGGATACTGATTGCTGGTGAGGTGCAATTTCTGCTATCAGTCTGCACGCATGCTGTACTGTATTGAGGCAGTTGTGCTCTGATGATCGGTATGTTTGCCCATCTGTTATGCTGTACCGTCTGTTTGCTGCAGTGGCTGGGATTCAATCACTCACCCAGCCAATCCATTCCATTCCATTCACGAGTATTTATTTGGGAAGATATGGCAATGATAGTCGGGGCTGTACAGTACCTACCAATAGCAAGACGCGTAAAAACAGGGGATGCTATACTTCCCTTATTATTGGGGCCGCCCCTACGTATTAAGTCTGGACTTGACCTAGAGTCAGACGGTGAGGCACGATACCATACGATGCGGTGTAGTTCTAGTACTCGAGGTGAGGATGAAACGGTGAATCCTTGGTGTTGATATCTATCTATACCTTAGAAAAAGGAATACCGCCCCTGTCTGTACTGGACCTCGCTCTCACTCCTTGTCCTTTTTCCAAAACAAAAACAACAACACCACCAGCACTGCTACCACTACTACCACCACCAGCATCACCAACCACCTTTTTCTTACAGCTGCTGGATGTATGCCCATACCCATACTCACCATGGCGTACAACGCTGTAGAACAGATCGATCACGACGACCATAGTGACAGCGACCATGACTCGGGCCCCGTGCTTGCCTCTGCTTACCCGTCGAGTTCGCTTGCTTCACCAGTCTTTGCGCCACCTCTATCTGCATCATTGGGGCTATTTTTGGACGATCCGCAGGATACGAGCAGCCAAAACATTTCGTCCACCACAGGCACAACCACGTCAGCAAATGGCCTCGCCCATATGGTCCAATCAATTACTTCCAGAAGCACCAAAACAAGTGCCAGCTATGAGATGGTCGAGGGAGACGACTTTGCAGACGATGCCCGCAGTTCTCCCTTGTTCACCTCATACGAGAAGGGAGATTTCAATTCTGGAGGCCTAAACAAAACTACGCATACAGCACCACCATCAGCAACATCACCAAACGAAGGTGGTGCCAGTCCTCCAGTTGTTCCCTTGCACGTTCCACAACCCAGGAGACGCCTCAGTTCAGCCACAGGAACAATACCCGATACTGTTGCCAGAAAAACATCAGTGCGGAAAGGGGCATTGCAACACCCAACTCCGGATCTGCAGGTTCTGCAAGGAGCATACACGGGCAATATTGAGCATCTCGAGAGGACTGCAGAGCGACTGAGTATGACCTCCTCCATCCAAGACGCAATAAAAGACCTCCACGATGAACAAAAGCGCTCCGATAGCCGAAAATCTTCACTCCTCTCGAATCAGGGCATGGCGGCGATAACACGGCAGGTGTCAAATCATTCCTCCATTATCGAAGTCAATTCGGCTGCACGTTCAGGCGGATACTCACCTGCGGGTTTCATGATGTCTCCCGGAGGATCTTTTACAACGGGTGGAGGAGTAAAGCGGTCTGCCTCGAAGAGCTCGAGGTACGGTTCCCGTCCTGAACCGGAGATGGAAGGAAGACCACTCGATTCATTTGTCAATCTACCTTCAATTCCCACAAATTCGCCCATGATGTCGATATCTGCCTCCATTAACGAACAAGACGAAGGCTCTGCCACACTCACGCGACCGGTTGTCAACCTACTCGAGCGATACAATGGGGCAAGAGAAAGATCGGCTACCTCTGCTTCTACGAATACCTACGAACGGGGAGAGAAGATGTTTGCGGATTTTGATGGTGTTCACAATTACGAAGTGGATCCTAGTGAGCACCCAGAAACGCCGGAGCATCAACAACGGAGAGCATCAGGGCATGATCTGAATAGTCTGGAGAATGCACAGCAGAGAGTATCGGGGTACGAGTTGGATAATCCAGACAATATACAAAGATTATCGTCTGGGACCGAGTTGGATACGGCCCATCGAAGTGTGTCGTTTGCGAATGAGCTGGACATTGCACAGCGGAGGTTATCAGCTGGTAATCGACTGACAGAGGCATCTATGGCGAGACCGCAATCATATGCAGATCCGGATTCTGGCCAACAAATGGTATACTACCCTGCACCAGTGCCAATGATGCTCAATCTTCCTCAAAAACTATCCAAAGCTCCAAGCTCAATGGCGAGGAACAAGAGAAGGTCTCAGGTCATGAGCAATATCCCACCGGCAGCTCGACAATCGGCCATATGGCTACCAGATGTGTTGGAAGATGAGCAAGACTTTGCAGAAGATGTGGGCATTCATGACATGGAATACGTGCCGCAGCACCAGAGAATGACAATGGGGGGAAGACGGAGTACTCAAGATTTATCGAAATTACCTCCACAGCTACGCGCTAGTACATTCTTCGACCTCCCTGGCCCCGAGCAAAAGGTGGAGATGAAGGAACAATCCGCAGTGGCTACACTGGATAGTATCCTAGACGCGTCTGCTCATGCACCTGTGAGCGCTTTTACTGATCACGCATATGCTGGGCATCTCGGGGCCGAAGTCTACGGGCAACCAGAGCTCAGAAGAAACAGCCGGAGCAGTACACAACTACTTCAACCGACAAGCATTCCTAAGAAGCGCACAAGCTCATTCAACCTGCTTCGTGGGCGAAGGGCGAGCAGCAATGATTTACTGGAAACAAACAAGTTGAAGAAACGAGCGTCTACAATGTCTGGGGGATTGGATGAAGCAGGAGCTGTCACTCGTGATGAAGATGAGAGCAAGGACACCACTCCAATGACTGATTCAGAGAACGATCCACACTCGCGCGTAACAAGTAGTTCTGCTCTGAAGGGAGAGGATCCCGAAGAATCGTCAGAGGATGAAGGACAACGAGACGATGAAGAATATCACGGCGCCCCAACCACCCTTCTCGCCGAATTGCAATTACGAAAACAGCAGCAGAAGAAGCGAATCAAACCACTAGCCTCTGCTTATCCCAACGGTATGCATTCCACCCTTCTCCAACTCGACGCAGTCGCCCAAGTCGAGCAGCGTTCCCGAAAACAAAAACGCGTCAACCTAGCCTGGGAAGACCCCTCAGTTCAAGAACCAATGGACGAAGCAGATGATGAAGATGTACCTCTCGCGATGCTCTACTCTAAGAAAGACGCAGAGATAAATAGACCAATAGGCCTAATGGAGCGCCGCGACATGGAAGACAACGAGCCCCTTAGCCGTCGTCGAGACAGGCTTCAAGGTCGTCCACCAGGCGCCGGCCGCGCCTCTACAATGATGAACCTAGCTATCTCCCCTGCCGAACCAGAAGAAGAAGGCGAGACGTTGGCGCAGCGCATACGTCGACTGAAAGAAGGCGGGACCGCAAACAATCTTCCTGCCGCTCGCCCAGTATCCGGGGATTTTGCCTCGGAGATGTTGAGTCAGTTTGGGGATCTGAATGTTGAACCCGCGGGCAAGGGCAAGGAGAAGGAAACTGTAGTGCCAGAAGATGAGACGCTCGGTCAACGCCGTACAAGATTGCAAGCTGAGCGCGATGCGCGAGCAAAGGAAGTCGGATCGCTTAACAAACGCCGCAGTATGGCTGATATCCTGCAAGCTCATCCGTCGGCGGGCGCTGGTCAGCGCACAACGAGTTATGAGAAGCCAGTCGGTGGGTTACTCGGTATGCACGAGAAGGCACAGGGGCAGCGGGCGAGTACTATGCTTAACTTGGAAGCTTCGCATGCTTTCCCATCGCGAGTGCCGGCTGGTGGACACAAAAACGGGTTTATCAATCCTGGACACGGTGGTGGCATTCCTCAGCAACAGATTTACAACCCGAATGCCTACGGAGGACAATTCCCACAACCGAGCTTGGGGTTTAATCATCCGCAGCAAAACATGATGCCTTTTGCCAATCCGTACGCTGCAATGGCATACAACCCCAATGCGATGGTCATGAACATGACTTGGAACCCGATGATGGGCGCCGCCCCGCTTAACCAGGGGCAGATTGATATGGTGGAGAGGTGGAGACAGAGTGTGATGCAGTAATTTGTGCATGGTGAAGGGAAAGATTAGATTTGATAGTGAGCGAGTGATATGGGCGTTGAACTTGGACTTGGAATTGGGATGCATATTTAGCGGCATTGCATTGCATGGTGCTGGAAAGAATTGTTTGTCTATCTACTTTAATTGTATATATAGTAGAATGGTGGGATGAACTTGGACGATATTAGATTATAATAATGCTTTTGATCTGTTTGTCTGTTTGCATGTAAATGTGAGGAGAGGGGAGGGGGGTGGGTGAATAGGGGGTTTAGCATCAAGTGTAGGTTGCGAGTTGCTAGAAATGCGTAAATGGGGAAATAGAGGATTTATGCATGTAAGATAATAGTAGTAGATGAAGTAGCAAAGTAGGTAGAAAAGCAAGCTGGAACGCATGAGTCATGTTATAAGGTTCCTTGAGAGGAGTTGTGATAAGATTCCGGGAGATATACAAGATGACGTGTTTAGGCACATGGTAGTCTGTTCTAGAGATAATATGTTTATTTGGTCCTTCGTTTAGATACCGAAGCTACTTACTTATCTCTAAAAGCGTATTCGCTTTCCACTCGTCCGACTCGTACTCGGCTTTCGAGTCTAAATCTCATCCCGCGATGCCTGCTAAAGCGATTTTACTCTAATAGGAAACTGTTTTACTACAAAAGCTTCCCCTGAGACTTGATACGCTGTACTATACCCATGGATCCCATTATGCGTCTTGACGTAATATAGTGATTAAATTGGTAGATATGAATAGCTTAGGACTATTTACAATGTCCTGGGTCTATCCTACACACGACGGTATTGTGATAATGTGAAGTGTACCCGAGCTGCAAAAGCTGAAGGTCATATATACACTTTATTTCAAAGGAGGTCGTGTAGAAGTAGTTCTAATCCTGAATCTAAAGTATTGCACTGTTCGGAATATACTAGTAGGTGCTCATATCACCCGCTATTAGAAATTGCAAAGCGCTGTCTATGACGGCCCTCTATAAGTAAGGTCCCATCGACCCAAGTTTGACTTTGCTCTAAAGGCAATAGCAGTAGAATGACGGTAAGTTTTTATTTGATTCCAGGGAAAGAATGAAGCAATTGGGGTAGTGCTATTGTCGCCTCTCCATGCGCTGCACCACAAGCCTCGCCTGTACTATGCGAAAGTTTGGCAGGGTTAAAGTATAATAGACAAGTCAGGCTGCTGAGATGGAAATAACAGAGCTATAGAATAGAATTCTTGAGATGAATCTTGAGTTCTGCATTGTAAAGTAAGAAGGGACTTTAGATGTTGCAAGGGATCTGCAAGTCGGGAGAGAAATTACATTTGACAAAGACAGGGAAAGAAGTAAAAACAAGTATTTAGGAAAGTCGTGTGTTGGGCTCTTTTGGTATTTCAGATCCAAGCACTTCTCTCGCATTCTACCCGCCAGGAAGCAAACTGATTTAAGATCTCGTGAAAAGCAGGGTCACTTTTTAGGACATCATCCTGCTCGGCTTTATGATTTGAAGTCAGGTTGGAAGCAATTCATTCATGCCCCTTTTTTGCGGGTAAGGAGTGACCAATGAAGTACGCACGCTCGCGGGTGGGTGAAGTCTTACCCGTCCCGGCAAAGTTTTTCTCCTGAGCTTTAATAACGATTTGCAACAAAACTTGCAGATGGCCTAAAAGGGGCTCTTGGCAATAAACAGCCAATAAAATCTCTCAATCTAACCCTAACCCTTTTTACGAAGTGCAACAAAGGAGCAGCAGCTCAGGGGGAATCATGATGGATAGAATGAAATGGAATAAGAGAGTTTGGTTCGGAATCTTGAACAACAAGAGACAAGTCAATTAGCAGGTGGAACTTTCCAAGACTTTAATAAGTTGCCTCCCGAAGAATATGAACACCTTTCCGTCTTGTTACACGTAAAGGTAAAGGGTTCTTTTATAGGTCTTACTCCAATTCCATCGTCCTACAAAAGACAAGACAGACCCATCTCCACTCCCACGTGGTGCAAGTACAACCTCCCGAAACAAAAGACGAACATATCCTCGGGTCACCGCATAGATTGGCTCTGGAACCAGATCCTTAAACTCTCTCAGAAAATCTCTACCCTATAAAGTAAGATGCAATTCCGACACGTCACGCCTTGTAGAATCCCAGCCTCATGCATATACCCTTCTGCTGTACCAGGTACGAAGTAAAACCCACAAAGACATCTTCCTTGAGATTTTTCTTCTGGAATCTGGTGGGATAAAGTGGGCATACACCGAAGTAAGATTTCCAAGTCATGCCGTTGAGGCAGATCATATACAGACAGGACCAAACACCGAGGAAGAATTCTACGTTGATCGACCTCCAGGACTCGTCCCCAATTAAAGAAGTTTAGTGTTACCAGGGAGACCCGTCTGTCTGGTAAGTTCCACTTGTGGATTTGTGGATGCGGAAATTGCATGGCTGTCCAGTCGCTTGGAACTGGAGCCGTTGAGGGATGACTTTGACCTTGACCTTGACTCAAGCTTCTGACCCTGTAAACCCGTATTATTAACGAACCCGAGGAATGAAAACTGGGTTTAAATAATCCATGTAACGTTGATAGTTTACTTGCAGTTTACATGTGGAAACTAATGTATGGGAGTAAAAATGCTAAGTAGAATCAAGCATATAAATTCGGTCAGCTTGATTGTACTTATACAGCCTTAAGGGTTGAAAACATAATACCGGTATGGGTTTTGCCCATTGCCTGGCTTTAATAATAAATATGCATTTATCCTAGCTTGAGGCTATTTAGATCAACTAATGATTTCCGCATTTAGATACTACCATGCCCTGAGTGGATCCAAAGAGGCGTTGCTGGGTCGTGGGGAGACATTTTAAAACCAAGTTTAGTACGTACGGAAGCATGCTAGAAGGTTTCTGGAAGTCCCGGTAGAACACATGTCTTTGCGGGTGGCTGGGAGACGGCAGGTCGCAAGGTTGATATGAGTGGTTGAAGCTGACGCGGATGATGAACCGGGACTGGGTGAACAGGGGATAAAAGTAAAAGTCTTGAGATGAAGGCACTAAGGCACCCTGCATACATGGAAGAGCATGCCCCGGGCCGTTTCCAGCTTACATCCAGTGTTTCCACTTGTTCCACAGTATCCTTGTCTTGGACTGCTCCATTTGCTGCAATCCGCTTGCGCTTTGGACATCGACAAGAGTCAGACGCTTGAGACTTCGGATGAGCATCGCATCTTTGGGAGCCTTGACCCTCCACTTCCACGCGACCGTCAGGGTTGAGAAATGCATGCAGGGTGCACGGCAGAGGAAGGGGGCACACAGTAAAAGGGGGCATGGAAGGAAGCATAGAAGCCTGTAGGTACTGTACGTAGGCACGCGACATCCCTTCCTCTACGTCGTGTTGCCCAGTCTAGTAATCGCATGTGGTGGTTGACCAGATTCGGATTATTGAAGAAGTAGGTTGATAGCTAGATAATCAGATCAGCAGATAGCTGATCATTGCGGCTATTATCAGCTGTTCTCGCAAAGAACGATTTTAGGAAGGCGATGACAGAAGAAGGGGACTCGTGATGAATCTGATGATGCGGTCGTGTTTGAATTATCCGGAGTATACCTCTGGAGTAGGACCGATGATTCTGGGGTAAATTGAACTCCGTACGTCTACCTGTAAAACTAGGTAAGAAGTCCAAGCAAACATCTACGGCCGAGGAAGATTGAAGTTCAGCAGTGAAAGAAGAAATGTACGAATTGCCAAGGTAAATTGTGTTCTTTCAGTCTACGGAGTATGGTCAGGAAAGAGGCATGAAAAAACATACAAACACATTCTGTAAATAGGGCCTCTTAATAGTGACTTCTCCTGAAGCTTGGAAATGGGTTGTCATGGTTATTTTTCGATGTTTGAACCTTAGATTACTCACTCGTGCTAATTTTTCTAAGGGGCTTGCTTGGGAGCTCAATATACAAAGATATGGTAAAGTATGTGTAAGGTTGGTCGGCATCAAAAACTCAATCGGCCGTCAAGAACCCGCTCATTCCAGCACCTCGCCGTCGGGTCTTGAACAACATAGGCGGGTATTCAAGAAAAAGGAAAGGTGCCCGAAACATCAAGATTTCACAAACGATCAGCGCACAGTATGAGTAGAGTAGAGATGCCGGGTACGCTAATGCCAGGTACGAAGCATCAAATCTCTGCAAGCCCCAGGGGTCATTCAACTTCACTCCTCCCCTAGCACCGGCACCGGCTATCCTTTACTGGAGCCGGAGCCGTACAATTAAGGGCGAACGGCGTACGGAGTATATCAAACAGGGTGTCGGGAGTTCGGGATGCCTGCTGAGTGTGATATTGGAGCCCCATCGGGTAGCAGATCACCACCATATATCTCTTAGCCCAGTGGCCTCGAATGCCCTGGAACTTATCTTATCACGATACCGTACAGTATGCTATCAACTGAGGCTCTACTTTTGCGTTAAATTACACATTTTGTCTTCTCAGGCTCAAGCGAGTGCCCTATTTCATGTCATCCACCAATTCTGACGGTAGTTTGTAGATCAGTCATTTGATCACAGTCATGATATAAAGTTACTGGTACCAAATGCCGGCGCCTGAACTAGATCTCTTCCCCACTGCATCGAGCAATAATGAAACTGATACAGGACAGGGTACTCGCGTGGAAGTCGGACTCGTTCTTCAAGCACTCCGACCCACCAATCATCATGAGGGGACAAAATAGATCCAGATGTAAAGCCACTCGTCTCAAACGACATGTGAGGCGTCACCTCGCAATGTAGAGTGGACCCCCACACTCAAATATTCTCCCGTATAGCTCTCTTCTAATGAATCGACAAATCCAACTGATTCAGTCTCTCCTGTAGAGTCTTGGTGACTCAGACCTACTTCTAAGTCTAAGTCTGTTGCTCAACTCGTCGTTGCTACGAGGAACCTAGCCTCCAAACATTAGATGTGGTTTATAGCCTCCACAACGCCCCGATTCCAGCTGTCCGTTCACACCCTGGTACAGCATGCCCAACCTAACTGTATATGGGTTTATATGGGCCCCGGAGACAACTAGAGTATATTAGGATTAGAATATGCTAGGAAGCCTCATCCCTGGCTTCCATAAGCCACTGAACCTTCGACGCTATGCTGAATATCCCCTGGTGAAGCGACCGGGTTCAGGTTCCCGCCCAACTGTGCTTGCCTATCTAGGCAACTCTCGTTGGCTGACCCTGGCGGTTGTGTGTTACATGTTTAGGGGCATGCGCATGTTAGGGCTGCTGGTGGTTGCCGCTGAGATGGAGATGGTTTGGCTTTCTTTTGCCTTGAATTTGGTCGTGGGACAGACAAATTATGCTCATTTCCACCCCTTTCCTTATTTTGGAAGCCTGGCTTTGCTATGACTGCGCTGCGTCAGAGGGTGAAGATGATTCTATACTTCATCCATGACTCGTACTGTAGCTGTGCAGCACTCAGTCTTCAGTGCGACTCTTGCTGACCCATCTGAGTAATAAAGCCTCTATTTGGGTGCATCCAGTGCTGCACTGCACTGCGCCGACTTGATCCGGTACTACGTAACAATGCATCCTATCTGGCTACCGCACCAGTAGGCAGGCGTACCTCGTGGTCGTCGTGGTCGTGCGCTCAGGGGCATCCAAAAGACTGGTAGCAATCTGCGTCAGGGACTCTCCCACCGAGATGATTTGGAGAAGCCGTACGGTAAATTTAAATTTATCTGCTAGCTGCAGACAGACAGAGTTCGCGCCGCGGTGATGCCCAATACCCCCCGTTTCGTGTCTCTCTTCTCCCGCCGCTCCTTTCCAAATCTCCTCTCGCTGGTCCTTGGCGTGGCATTTCAGAAGATCTCTCACTGGCTGAATCACCCCTTTCTCCCTGTTCCTGGTCGGGATCTCCAATTATATTACTTTTACTCGTCTAAAAATATTACCCGTTCAGCACTACGCCAACCGGACCCCGTTACTACTGTTACTGTACTCCGTACTACTAGACTCGCTCATGAAATGAAATAAATTATAATTATATAATTCCATGGCCCATGCTGAGCAGCTCATTTCGATATGTCTTTTTTCTTCCGCCTTCCCCTAGTCCCGCCAGGTCGTCAAGCATCATCATCCCTGAACCTTCCTAACTCCTGGCTCCCCGTCCCTGGGCCTCCGAGAAACCCAAGAAGGAGATCTGCTCCCTTGTCTGGCATGCAATCACTGCTCGTATAAGACACTTGGAGCCCCCTTCGCACACAAAATTAATCTTTTGACTCTTGCATGTAAAATCCTCCCTTCGCCTCTATCTCTCCTGTCTCCTCTCAACTCAGGATTTGGTTTCCTGCTGTAGCTGCATATACTCTTATTTCCGACCAACGATTCCAGCTATCCCTCGCCCACCTGCACTGCAACCTGCAACCAGCGTACCTGCATACCCTCAACAGCTATTCTCGGCCTCTAAAACCCTCCTCCGTCTTACCGGCAGCAGTTCACGCAATATCCCTACAAAGCATCTATATCGGCTACCTACACTACTCGCGCACTACGAGCACTGCATTAAGGTCACAGCTCCCGCCTATATCCTCGCGCCGTCGCAGAGAGTCTCGGATTATCAACAAGCCACCAGGATCTTTTACGAAAGTAATCAGAAATCGTACTCGGGCCATTTGAACTTTTTCATAAAACACCCCGAAGTTCCCCTTTCAGTTTTGCCGCAACATCAAAACCGCCTTGCGATAACGTTTTGATTGGAAGTTCTCCGGCTTCACCAGCTCTTGTTTTTTTCAGCAGGCAACCAGTCTTGCGCAACAACGCAGGCCACGAAAAACAACGTGAGTCCAACCCTCCCAACTTCCCAATCCTTGCATTTTCCGCCCAAACACCTGGTGTTATGCACGGAGCGGCAATGGCTACTGCAAATTGCAATTTCTCCTGCACAGTATGTATAGAGTATCGCTGACTCGATATGTCTTTTATAGTCATACAAAATGATGATCACCAGAGAAACCCAGGCCTTCAACATGGGACGAGGCGCCTATGATACAACCGGTGTGCCCAAACCACCTCCACCGAAGCCCAAGTAATATCAGCAATCGAAGCTTCAACCATCGAAACCACAACTTGAGGTCCACGAGATCGTAGGAAACATCCAGTTCGCCTCGACCAACGACATATTTCGAATTCAGCACTTCCCATTCTCTACATAAAGACATTTCTGCGAAGAAGACTTTCTAATACCCACCGAGTCGACAATTTTGACTTCTTGTACATTAAACGATTTGTAACGATTCTCATTCCTGCCATTAATACATTCCAACACATCGATCTCCTCATCCAGCTCGAGCTCCACTAATACTACACATCGCAAATCTCAACCCTTGCTTCTTTCCACCAGCGAGTCTCGAATCACCACCCGAACAGCTCACACCTGCTGATCACGCACCGCCTTCAATATGAATCCGCTCGCTATAAAAATGGGTCATCTCACGGGCGAAAACATCTACGGCGTTCATCTCATCAGGACTCATGGGATACAGCATCTGGGCATTTTCCTTGGCATCTCGGCTCTCTTTTCATTTGTTTCGGTGTTCGACATTGTGGTTCCCACTTGTATCATGTTTCTTTTTTCATTATCGGGGTAAACAAAATGGGATCTGTGGGGTGTTCAAAAATTTGGGCTGGGAAAATTTGTCTGCGCATATAGAATTTTGCTTTTGTTTACACTGTTAAATCTCGGTTGGAGCTTGCCAGATCGACCCTCACGGGTTGACGGCTTGCATTTGTTTGTATAGGATATTGTAAGAAAGAAGGATACGTCGGCTGTTTTGACTACATTTTTGCTCTGCTTTGCCCATTGAAACCCCTTTGCTATTGTACAGTATTCTACTTTTTGTTTCTTGCAGGGTCCGGGCTTCTGCGGGTACCTGCTTCAATGTCTCTCGGGCTGGATCCCTGATGCGAATTGAGGGTGAGGTTGGCTGCAGAGGATGAAATTAGATACCCATCATAGACTTGTATGAATGCTTCTGCAGAGAAGAGCGAGCGAGCGAGTACTTTGGAAGGACCTTGTATCGTGTGGGCGATAAAATTTTAGATAATAAGAAACTAATAATCATATCATATTTTATCATAAAAGCCTCATAGCAAACAAGCAAACCTCGTGTACCATGGCCGAAGCAACACCACCTGTCATATTCCGTGGACAACAAGCCGTCTTCACCGCGGGTCGGTCGTCCCGGACTGGCAAACAAATATCTCGCAGCAATCAAACGAATTCCTTGCAGATACACCAAAAGCAAAGTGAAGCACACCACCGGCACTCGCCATTTCCTTACGTATGAGATACATAGGTAACGCCTGCCATATCAAAGTCGCTTTATTAAAACAACCCCACGCATCTTGCCTACTTATCCACGGATACGGTACGTAGTATCTATCTGCAAGAACCCCCAAGTATGCAACGATAAGCCACATGCAGATAACTCAGATGGTCATACTGGAACCGTACCCGCCTCCACATGGCATGGCATGGAGATCATGTACGCTGCACCTGCAACGCTCCCGTTTTCCATGCATGATGGGTGCGTCCGTTATCCACATCCTTCTAGAAGAAACCGCTCACTCGGTGCCAGCCCACCGCCACTGAGCGACTACTGTAGACTGGATGCTCGTTTAGGAAAGAGTTCTAGTGGGTTGTCTATTTTTATGCAGCCGCGGCGTGTTTGGGGTGGGTGGATCGAGATTGATTGGGAAGGACGGTGGGTGATGCGTGGGGGTGGTGAGAGTGAGATGGGGGTATGTATATGGGGTGGTGTGACGAGTAAAGAGGGGAGTGGGTGGAGTGGAGCGGAATGTGCCGAGATGGCCAGAGGTGGTAGCCGTAGCACTCGCGTTAAGGTAGTGGGATACTTGCAGGCGAGGCGAGGCTCAAGCTCCAAGTGAGGATAAACAACTCTACGACAACAACACCGAAGGAAGAGTTCCGTTCTAAGACAAGTGAGAGAGGAGATAGCAACAAGGGCTCAGCAAGCATCACCAAAAACCTCATCGACGATCTACTCCGCAAACACTGCCTCGACCTCGACATCAACCCCACCATCAAGCCTCTACTCTACCCCTCTACAATCTCACCACGCCCCGAATCCCTCGAACCCCTTGACAACCGCCAAAATGTCTATAATCCAGCAAATCTCTACTGCTTCCCTCTCCGACAACTGGCGTACAATCAACATTGATGCCCTCGATCCGGAATCCTCCTCCAACTTCGACACCACCACCCTCCACCCGGCATTCGCTCCGGTCTCAGACGCCGAGATTCGCAATGTGGGACAGCAGGTTAAGCAGTTATTAAGAGGTGGAGATGCAGAGGGGGCGCTGAGAGGCGCCTTGGAAAGTGCGCCCTATGGAGGAGATGCTGGGGTAAAGGTATGTGGTAGTCATCTACTTGAAGGTTTAGGTGGGATATAAAGGATACATTGGACAAAGAAGTGCAATTGGAGAAGAGCTAGCGGATGAGGCACAAACGGAGGGCTGAGGAAGAGGATTTGGGAAATATCTGGATGATCAGGAGTGCTGATACGTGATACAGGAAGTGCATCTGCAGACTGTGACTGAAGTCTTGCAGTCGATTAAGGCGTCAGATATGACTCCTATGCTGCAGCGAATCTTCAAGACCGAGGGTGGCAGCGACGCTCTGGATGTTTTGATGAAGTACTTGTACGTCTCCCTGGCCGTGTCTTTGGAAGAGCAGAGATTGTCTATCAATTGGTTTTGAGATTGCGAATCTCTACACAAGAAATCATACTGATAGTGAGTATTTCAATAGATACAAAGGAATGGGCGCCTCCTCAGCTCGCGGTCTCTCTCGAGGTTCAACCCTCACACCGCAAAGCACCGGTGCCGGATTTTCACAAATGGGCGGCCGACCACCTGCAAACGAGAGCAGCGGTTCGGCAATGAGCGTCCTACTGTCGTGGCATGAGAAGGTTGTGGACGTTGCTGGTTTGGGATGTGTTGGACGATGCATGACGGATTGGAGAAAAGTCTAGGACAAATGAGCATTGCAGAGACTATCCTTGGAGCCAACGCACTGAAGAGCGGTATAGATACATCAAAAACTTTGCCTATTAAAGTTCGGACGCAGCATATAATTGACGGCCTTCATGAAGAACCCTGGTTTATAATTGACCCATCCAAGTGCTACATCAACTTCTTAGCCAACTGGGCTGCTCTTTTCACATGTTTGTCAGTAAGTCCTCCGATGTCGCTATGTATAGTATATTAATTGCTGCAACAATTAGGAACCATCGGTCTACCTTCCGTGAGACTTCATTCGCTTGATCTCTTACCCGCAGCGGGCCATTCGAGCTAAAACACCTTCAAATGCCGCCGCCCACTAATCCCTTGTTCCTCTTTGGTTATATTTTGACACTTCATGACCTCGTATTCCAGATTCAGCTAGACTCCACTGTCGCTGGCTGCTTACATGATGCATCAGTTGCAAGTGCAGAAGTCGCCGTCTATTTGAATAGCACGTAACCCTTAATGACAATGTCTTGTATAGTCTCCCACTATATGAAAATTTCGGGCGAAATTGTCTAAATACTCTGCTCTACTTTGCATTGCTATACCCTTCAGTTGTATTTCAATTAACATAGTTGCGTCCAGCACTTCAATGAATATCATTTCGGAACCTCAACCCCACTCTTCACTCGTTACTTTTCATCATGGGCCTCAGTCGAGCTGCAGAAGACCGTCCTACTCCTTCGGAAGTTTACAATTATCGAATCTACCTCCTCACAATCCTTGCCTGCCTAGGTAGCTGGATGTTTGGTTACAACAATGGTGTAAGCAACTTGAAACATTTTGTTCCTTCATTCGGACGAGTTGTGAAGCTCTGCTCCCCGTTGATGTCTCGAGAGTTGTGGACTTGAATGTCATAGACTCTAAAATCCTTCTCCATTACACAATGCTGATATAAAAAATAGGTCATCTCCGGTGTCCTCGTTTTACCCTCGTTCTTTCGTGACTTCCATCTCCCTCCTGTTGGATCCCATGCATATAATAATGTGACAGCAAATATTGTTTCATTGTTCCAGATTGGTGGATTGATTGGAAGCGTGTCAACTTTTCCTTGTATGAAGTACTGGGGACGAAAGGTTGCATTGATGTGTGCTGCAGTCGTGTACACCTTTGGTGCTGCTTTGCAAGTTCGTCGCCCTACAAAACCATTGGACGTAGCTGACAAGTTTCAGGCATTCTGTTACGGTAGACTGGGCATGATGTACGCCGGCCGACTGATAACAGGTCTCGGAACCGGAAGCGTCACTGTCATTGTCCCCTTGGTTCGCATTTAATCCCTTTGATAGTCATCACCGTACCCCCTAGCCCGCTAATGTCCCTCCAGTATATAGCTGAACTCAGCCCACCTGCAATCCGTGGCTCCCTAGTCGGCATCTACGAGATCAACAATCAGCTCTCATCTCTGCTGGGATACTGGTGCAACTACATTGTCAATGAATACATCCCACCCACCGAGACAAGACAATGGCAAATCTCCCTCGCCGTGCAAATCATTCCCTCAACGCTCCTTTTCTTCGCAGCACTCTTCATCCTCCCCGAAAGCCCACGGTTCTTGGTCATGAAGGGTAAGGCATTGGAAGCCCGCAAAGTTCTAGCTTTTGTTCGGCACCTCTCCGTCGAACACGAATACATCAATACCGAAATGGACGAGATTCAAGAAGCTATTCAAAGACAATCTAAACCTCTCACTTCACACCCTCCCTCCAAATTGGGGATTTTCAGAGAGCTATGGTGGAAAGGCAACCGAAATCGCATGTTCATTGGACTAGGTCTTATGGCCGGCCAGAACTTGACTGGTATCAATGGTGTCAACTTCTATACGCCCACGATTTTCAAGAGTATTGGGTTTAGTGGGACGAAAGTTGTGTTGCTTGCTTCTGGTCCGATTTCCATCCCAAGAAACGCCCATGCAAATGCTGACAGATGAACAGGCATGTACGCCGTCGTGAAAAGTATTGCCACAATCTTCTCCCTTGTTCTCTTCATTGACCGCGCAGGCCGCCGGAAGCTCCTAATTACCAGCTCCGTTGGCACAAGCCTCGCGCTCTGGTATATAGGCGGGTTTGTCACCGCACGGCACGTGGACTTGACCCGTCCGCAGGAGAAGAGTGTTGCGGGGTGGGTTGCTATTGTTTGTATCTACATCTATGCGGTTTGTCTTTCGCCCTCACCCAATCCGAGTGATCTGGGCTAACAAGAACAGGCATTCTTCTCATTCGCCTGGAATGGTGTCGTTTGGGTTTATTGCTCCGAAATCTTCCCTACTCGCATCAAGGAGCTGGCAGTCTGTCTAGCCACTGCCTGCCAATGGCTCTTTCAATTCGCTGTTGCCCGTGCTTCTCCTTACATGCTGTCTGCCCTCAAAGGAGGCTTCTTTTTCTTCTTCGCCGCTTGTATTACTATCATGGGTGTGCTTGTGTGGTGGTTAGTGCCGGAGACAAAGGGGCGGAGCTTGGAGGGTATGGATGATATTTTTGGCACTCCGTATGGAGCTGTTGATAGGGTGGGGTTGGAGTTGAAGAGCTTTAGACGGGAGAGGGGCTTGGGGAAAGATGGGGAAGAGGGTGATGTGAAGGGGAAGGGCGGGGTAAGAGCTGGTGAGGAGCAGATTGTGAAGGCTGAAGAAGTTTAGTTCGATACCGGGGAAGTGGCCATCTTCAGTTGGAAGACCAAAGTTTGGTGAGGAGGGAGTCGGGGCGAGTTTAATGATGTTGCGGGGAAGTTAGAAAGAGAGACAGGTGCGAATTTCTTGAAGAAACTAAAATGCTAACTTAACAGTCAAATCAGTCATAGCTGAATCAATTACATTTTGGATAGTAATGAGGACTGTAGTGGTTGATAGATTACCACAGATCCAATATCATATTATTATCACGTGGTGATCTTGTTTACTTAGCTGAGGATTCCTAGACGTTCACAAACCTCCATCAAGCTGTGATTAAGCAGGTGCTTTGGATGTAGTCCATGACCCAGTATCAGACCTGGCTAGATTTCTTTTTCTGAGTAGTTGATAGCTGATATTTCACTATTCAAATTTGGTAGTCGCCGCCATCTCTCGAGTGAATCAGCATCGCACCTTCCTCGAGAACAGCAAAACCATTTGCCTTTCTACACCTCTGCCAACCCCAACTTCCACTCCCCCAACCGCAAGCATACCAGCTTGTTGAGACTATAAAAACCGACCTTGGGTAAGTGCTTCTTAGCCCCGACTATTAGATGAATCACCCTTGCTAATGCAGATATCACAGTGCTGGTGGGGAGTTGGAGACCAAACGCATCCTGACCATGTTCCCGGAGTTTGGTGAATAAATTCGGCTTGTCCGCAACACCAAACAGCCACCACGTCGAAGAAGACTTTATCCGCGGAGCTGTACATTTCTGCTTCAGCATTATCGCCTGCCTCGCCACTGATCCTGGAAAAAGGACGGCATTCACCACTCTGAAAGTTCTTACCGATGACTCTCCATACCCTCGCGGCACCATAGACGCGAATGCGTCAATCGCAGAGCAGGACTGGCGCTTCCAGTATCACGGCGAAATATTGATTAGCATGCTCAATGCCACACTGAAGCAGAAGGCCATACTTGCTAGGGTCTCTCCGTCGAGTACACAAGAATGGGTCTGGCACTGTGACGAGGGACTTGAATACGATGCCGAGGACTGCTTGAACCTCGACCTGCATACTTGTTTGACAACCGCGCCAATTGCCCGGAAGATGTTCAAGCTGGTTATGGCAATAATAAACACTAGGCAGAAGTCGACACTTGCGCTTCAGATCACATGGCCAGACTCAATTGCAGCAGAACTTGGGACCTTTGCATGTCTCCCACATTCGGGTTGCTTTGCGTATTAGCTATGTCCCGCTCTTTATGCTCTACTGTGCATCCTCATGAACGTGAGTAGTAAGAGGATTCGAAGAGCGAAAGATATCGGAACCTCACCTCACTGAGAGTGTCACAGTAGCCGGTTTCGGGAACTTCCTGCTAGCCCGAGAAAACGAAATCACGTCTTGCACCACCTTGGACAGAAGTATCAGTCGCTCGAAATGACTCCGTTGAAATGCAACTATGTACTAATCTCATTATCCGACCCTAAAGTTCCAACCAGAATGATTCTATCTCCCTCTCACGTCACAAGTATATTCTCAAAAACATTCGAAATGTCCCTATGAGAAGGTTGCTCCATCGTCTCCGGGTACGCCGAGATCCCAACCGCTAATCTCTCCTCCATAGTCTTGATTATAATCGGCGGGACACTATCATCTGTCGCTCGAATCGTGAGACGCACCATCTGTTCGAGTCAGTACCATCCACTTTCAACGAGGGGCAAGCTTACCTGTGTCCCATAATTGGGCTCAAGTCGCAATAAACATCCAAACTTCCCTCCGCCCCCGGTATGTAGCACACTTGCACCAACAAAGTTCTTCCTATTCGGATCAACACCATCGAGGACTCCCCACCGGAAACCTTCAACGGTCCTCCGTATAAAGGACTCATTGATTTCTCGATCACCATCTCTACCACCCTTAACACCAAATACACGTTGAGCTTCACGTGGCGCTCCACCAATCTGCTTCCATCGTTTGAAGAAATCGTCAGCGGTAAGTTCAGCCGGGTCCATAAATTTGTGGATATTAACCGGAAGCTTCAATGTGAGGGCTTGAAGTGCTCCAGCAATATAACTAATTCTGATCGTCGGACTCTTGTCAAAGACCTTCTTGGCTTCGAACATGATCATCTGTTGACTTTGTGCGCCTTGGTGGATGGTACTCTCCGGTAAGCCCTTGACCTCCCAGCTGAGGTTTTCCTTCTCAGCCGGTTCGAGATCCAAAGTCGTGGTAAAAGAGGTCACGGCAGTTGGAGCTTTGTTAGAGAAGTAGAGAATGACACAAGCCATTTGACCTCTATATTCTGACCGTACACCAATCTGGATCTGACCATCCTCATAGAGTATACCCTCTGCTTTCGTGAGCAACTTGTTGTAGCCAATCTCCCAATCTGGCGAGAGATGAGCTGCGCTTGCCAAGTTTGGAGCTTTAAGCGTCTTGGGTTCCGAAGGTCCCGTATCCAGCATATCCAAGCCAGCGAGGTCATTAGCACCCTTGGCGTGTCCATTCGTGCCATTCGTGGTCCCGTTTGTCCCGTTCATTTGTGGGCCCCCGTTGGAACTCTGTGCACGTTTGAGACCTGGGTTCTTCTCGATTATATTAGCATCTTTCCCACCAACAACCCAAGTCCGCTTGTCACTTGTGTTGCCATGCTTTTGATGCAGTCGTGAGAGAAGAGCTGACTGGCGCTCTGGGAATGGAGGCATCTCATCGCAAACGGTGCGAAGTAGATCGTCGGTTGGTAGACTTGCTAGGGCGAGATATTCGCATGCTCTTTGCTGGAGCTCCGAGTCCAAAGTATGGCTGTACGCTTGGAAAACGTACATGAGTCGAGGTTTGATTTCAGGAAAGAGGTTGACGAATTTGATGAAGCATGAGAGAATAATAGCCCTTGTACTTGACGAACACCCTTGAAGCTTTCCTTGAAGAGCCAGGAACTGCTCGATGGGACTACATCCCTTGTCTTCTGCAATCAGATGACCGAACTCGCCTAGGATGTAACCTCCGATCTTGACCAAAGTCTCGTGACAATGGTCCGCCTTGACGTATTGCAAGATGTTTTGCGCAGCGTACACTTGGAGCTCTTCGTTGTTCGTGACGATTTGAATGACTCGATGCCATACTTCATCACTGACATGATCGCCTGCCATTGCGATTAGGCGCAGGGAAATGTCCACATACCACTGAATGTCCGTGGCGTACTTTTCTGTCAAGATAGCAATTTTTAGTACCATCTCTTCTCGGATGGCAAAGTCGGCGTTTTGAAGATATTGGAGAAGTTCTCCGACGATTGGCTGAGCATTAGTCTGGTCACACATGCTGTACAAGAGATCTAGACCTTTCCTCCGTACACTGATATCCCTGTCTTTCAGAGACCCAATGATTATTGACTGGTGCTGCTTGATGGGATCCAAAGTTTCGGCTCGTGCAGCCAAATGTGTCATGGCTTCCAATCCAAGATATCGTACATTCGTCTCGCGTGACTGGATGAATTTACCTAGTCTCGATGAAATCTGCTTCATCAGGGCTTGTTCGGTATCGAGATGAATGATCAGGTTGATGGCTTCAAAGAGAACAGCATTCTGGGCGTTGTTTTGTTGTACGTTCTTTGGCATCTCCAACGCCAGGTTTAGAATCTTTTGTAGGGATTCTCGGATCAATTCTCGGACATGAGTATCCTCTGTCATCTGTTAGAGTGAACGTAGCCATACTGCACCAAAACGTACCTGACGGCGGAAAGTATTGCAATAACCTCAGCATCTTCACTTGTATCCATGGACATGGCACTTTGTAGTAGAGGTAATCCTGCGCATATTCCTGGTCCACCAATATCCTCTTCATCCGTGAAGCTGCTTTGACATAGCTGCCTTTGTACTGCTCTGGGTTGTTTTGCGTAAGGGCCATGACTAGAGAAGTTACAGAAAGAGCAACACCCATATCAGCATCATCCATCAGAGATATTATCCGTTCGGCCCATTGCGGTTGGACGATATCTGGGGACTTTCGGTAGAGTCGGAGAAGAGTAAGTGCCGCCTTTTTCTTGACGAAAGCTTTCGAAGTACTTGAACATCATTAGCAGTTGAAAGCCATGGGGATTACAATCTTACGGTGAAATCAGGAGCCGGTGAACCTCCCCACTCAACGCCTCACCCATTTCTCTGGAACCAACATTGGCAATGGCATGCAACGCCAAGCAGTTGAATAGTTCATTATGATCCGTCAAATCTTTTCGTATACTGTTAACCACTAGATGTAATAATTCGTGCTGCTCGTGTAGGAAAAGGGTCATGGCAAGATATCCGATCTGCTTCTCCGAATATTTGTTCGCCGAGATGAGATTCACAGCCTCGAGGTGTCCGAAGTCAACGTTCCATCCTAGAATGTATATATAGAGAAGCTGCAAGAGTCAGATGCAGGTCTGTGGCCAGGGCTGCTGGGGCGCATTACCTTGCAGACATATTTCTTTTTGTGGTATCCACTGAGGCTTCCATCTATATTATATTAGTAACTTGCCCTCCCCCGCAGATGGCATGCGGATATACCTTTGAATTTCTGCCTATGATAGAATAACTGGTCAGCCTCACTCCCTCCCCTGCAAAGCCAGAAACGCAGCCACAAACCTTATATTCGCCAGTTCCTTATTGATTCTCTTCTCCTCCAACTCTCGTGCCCTGGCATTCCTTAGATCTGCAATGAACTGTACCAAGCCACGCATATTCGAATTGTTCCCCGAGGACCCGCGGCTGAGGAAGCCCGCTGCGGCCGAGGAAGCCATGATGGGGTATTGGGGCGTTGGTCTTCTGCTTTTCCCTCTGAATCTACGATACACCCAGCTCGAAAATATATCCGATCGATACGTGAAGACCCTCGACGACAATACAAGGTGGTGTAGGTCTCGAAAACCGTAGGATTCGCGGATGGCGTGGAAGCGGGATAGCAAAGGCTTCGTTCTTAGCCCTGCGCGGGGATCTCCATTCGCAACGTGCTTGCGGCGCGATAGCCAGCTGTTCTTATTTTCTGTGATGAGATGTCGCTATTGATGTGCTGAATAATTGGGCGAAATAGTAAGTCTGAGCTTCTGGGTGTGGTGTTGACGGTCCCCTCTTGGATTTGACTTGACAACAGTAGTGCCCGTGCCCGCGCATTTCTCAGCAGGGTTAGCTTGCATAGAGCCTTGTCTAAATGTTGAACGTCACCATCAGCCTTCTCTCGTATTTTATATTCAACCTCAATTATGAAGCCAACAACGTTACGATCTTTTCTACCGCGACCTGCAATTAATCAGAGAATTTGTATATCTCGAGTATCTCGGGGTTATGCGGTCCAAGCTCCAGGAAACCCGACTCTACAAGTCTTCAATCGAAATACAAAATACCTGCAGAAAGAACGAGCAGCTTCAAATGTAGAAAGAAGTCGGCAGGCGGACTATCTGAAGGATGAAGTGGCTATGCGGTTATCGGAGAGGTTACTAGTAGGATATTACTCTTCAATTGGCTTCTGAATGCTAATAGTTCTAGGATATAAATCGACATTTTAACCATGTCCTCGACCTGGGGGCAAACTCATGCAACATAGCGCGGGCGCTTACTCTTCCCGATCCTGATATTGACCCTTCAAAGACAACCTCTCCTCCTCTTTCCACCCGAATATCACACCTCACAGCTGCAGATTCCTCCCGTACACTGCTGTATAGAGATGTCGACCTTCCATTCAATCAAGAGATAAACCTCACACGCCAAGTGCTGGACGATGAGGAACGATTGCCGTTTGAAGCCGAAACATTTGATGCTGTATTGAGCTCTCTAAGCATGCATTGGATCAATGACCTTCCTTCTCAACTAGCTCAAATAAACCATGTTCTTAAACCTGACTCGCCGTTCATTGCAGCCATGTTTGGAGGAGATACTCTGTACGAATTGCGAACATCACTACAACTTTCAGATCAAGAACGGCGAGGTGGAGTCGCAACACATGTTTCTCCATTAGCAGATGTTCGAGACATGGGCGGGCTACTACAAAAAGCCGGATTCAAAATGTTGACTGTTGACGTAGACGACATCATCGTTGACTTTCCCGACACTTTTTCATTAATGCGAGATCTCCAAGCAATGGGAGAGAGTAATGCTGTTCTGGGGAGAGAACCAGGAGGTATACAGAAAGATGTACTTCTTGCGAACGAAGGCATTTATCGGGAGCTGCATGGGAATGAGGATGGGACATTACCAGCAACGTTTAGAATGATTTATATGATTGGTTGGAAGGAAGGCCCAAATCAGGCCAAGCCGCTGCCGAGAGGAAGTGGGCAGATTAATATCAAGGATATTTTGGGGGGTGGAGAGGTCAAGTGAGCGATCTATATCTGTAAAAATGTCATGTATCAGATGAGGTATAATTGAGCTTCTGACAGCCCGGGTGTCTTCCCCGGTGCTAGGTTTGCGCCAAACAATGCCATATGGCGCTCTGGAAAGTTTGATCTAAGAAGTCAGTGCAAGGTTGATCTCCTATACCTATTCGTGTGTTCCATTCAAAAAGGGTATCTCTGCAAGTATTATAACAAGAAGTAATCTACCCTGAACTCCTCCAAGCGTGACCTTGTGACTGTCAACTCTGCCACATTTCAACGCTACCCATCCCAAAACACATGCTCTCATATAAACACCCATAGCCCAATATACCTCAACTCAACCAAGCCCAACTCCCCACAACTCTTCCTTCACTCTCCTCGGCCAGATCCGTAAAAACGCTCAAACTCAAATCCAAATCGTCTGGCTGACACCCCGTACACCGATCCACCACCATGACATCCACACTGCTATTCCCCGCTTTCGTCGCATCATACCTATCGATCCGTATCTTCTTCCCACACAAAGGATTCGCATTCGGATTACTGCTGGTACTCACAGCATCCCACACAATATGCGAGACTGCACAGATGGAGTCTTTGGAGGTATTCTCGTATCCGCAAGCGCCGTAGCCCGGACCGGGAGAATAGTATGTTAGGTCGCCTGTGAAAGTTGCCGTGTTGGTGGGGAGAGGGAGGTTCTTGTGTTTTTTGCTGAGGAGTATGAGCTGTATGTTTATAGGATTGCAATTTGCTAATTTCCAAAAAGAATGATTGACCAAGGAAGGAATAAGGAGAGAAAGAAGAAGGGGAAATTCCAGAGTTTCAGATTAGAGTGGAAGCTCAAATCGGAGTCCCTGTCCCTGGATGGAAAGTGTTCAAATTAACCCACCCCTTATGTAGACCCAGCCCAATTCCCAATCCGAGTGCTAGAATCAGTACCAGTACAAAGAGCGCTGCGAGCGCGTAGCAACATGTCTTGCGGCTGATCCAGGTGGGGATGAAGCGGTCGGAACGATGTCCTGGGGCGTTTCGTTCTGCAGCGGGACCCTCTTCCTTGGTGACTGCAAACTGTGGCTTTGAGGATGTATTGAAGGTGTTATATTTGCTTAAGATGCCGGGTTTCTTGGAGGTAGAAGGCGTCTCCCACTCGAGCGCTTCGTGGGTTGGATTGGCGATTGGAGTTGCGTCTGCCATTGATTGATATGGTTCGAGGTGGAGAACAGAAGGTAGGATAGAATTGTAAAGGTATCAAGAGAGCATTGCAGGGTATGAACGAGAGTAATTGCAATGTTGTAGGGAATATGGTAGGATAAGGTTAAATTTAAGAAAGCGGAGGCTCGGGAGGGCCCTGAAGCTCCACTTTCTGGGGCTGATTAGCGCCGAGCACAGATCCAATCTGGTGTAGGCCCGCCATTACCATCAAAGCTTATTCTCAGGGCCCAGGGTTTATGTTTCATTTCACTTCCACGATGCTATGGACATGCGACTTCATCGGCTTTGATACCATTACTCCCTTGATCTCATTGCATTTGATTTACTTTCAGATAGACAAAGTCAAAAGGAACGGTGGAGAGACAGACTGGACTTGGCGATGACAACATTGAAGGCGACGAGGTGCTATAACTATCTGAAGACAGTAGGTGGATTGACTCATTATGAAATTGCTGAAAGCCCAACATGGCAAATCCAATAGGTAGATATTCAAACAGCTGAGAACAGCAAAGAAGCGCTGATGTCTACAGCTCTCAAATCAACACTCTATGATGCTAGTAACACGATAAAATACATTTGGTTGACAAAGAAGAAGACAAAGAATTACAAATACACCCAACAGACCTATCATACACCTTCACCACCTCATGCAAAGATATCAAACGTTTGACTCGCATTGCCCGTACAAGCCTGCTGATCCAACTTCGCCCCATTCGCAAACAGACAAGTGGCACCAGCACCATTCTTCGGTGCTAATTCAATGCTATTACCACCACCAAAAGGGAACAGCTGGCTATCCGTAACAGCACCTCCTCCATCAGCTCGTCCTCCACACGAAAACATGATCACTTGATCTCCAGCTGCTCTCCTGTCATCAAAGTTTAGACATCCCTCTGTTAAACTACTGACAACGAGTGTCGAGTTTGCCTCATTGTTATGAGCACCTGCTGTGATGATGTCGAATTTCTCGCCTGCTGCTCCCGTGCAATCTTGGACTGCGATTGGAATCAAGTTTTGACGGAAATCACCGGCGGTAGAGTCGATGAAGAGGCATTGACCGGAAGAGGTTTTGATGGAGGCAGAGGAAAAGGCTAGTGTTGCAGTGGTGTCTTTCGGGTTCGCTTCTGCAGCAGCTGATGGTTGAAGAACTCCACCGGCGCGGGAAACGGGGACTGCTGATGCGCTTTGGGCTGCGGAGCCTATGGCGGTTGAAACGGAAGGTCCAGATGGGGCAGAGGCACTGGAGGCTGTAACTGGGACTTTGGTATTCGTAGCTAGTGTTATTGAAGCACTGCTTGCTAATGCAGAAGTCGGAGTAGGAGTTGCCCCAGCCACTGGCGATGTTGGACCCCCAGCTACAGAAGTAGTTGCACCTGCACCAGGCGCTTCACCCCCAAAAGAGAATGACTGCGTTGCATTTCCAGCAGCACAAGGAGCTTGGTCTAGCACGTTTGCAGCCGTGACAGCCAGACATACATTAGCTCCACTCTGGGGCTGAAAGGCCAAAGGACCAGCGCCACTAGTGAAGTTGAACAGTTGAGAAGGTGTAACAGTACCACCTAAGACAGTCAGAGATGTAAATCCATAGTAGGGGATTGCATACCTCCATCTGCTCTTCCGCCACAAGAAAACATGATGACTTGATTCCCAGCAGCTCGTCGATCATCAAAATTCATACAAGCTTGAGTCTGCAAAGTCAGAATGAACAACAAGACACGAGAAGTCTTCATACCAAAGTGCTGACAAGTAGCATTGTTCCAGCTACGTTGTCATGAGCTCCAGCTGTAACAACATCCCATGATTGACCAGCGCTTCCATCACAAGCTGCAACTTGGATAGGGTTTAAGTTGGCGCGAAAGTCACCCGATAACTCATCAATAAAAAGGCACCGTCCATCGCCAGTCTACCATGATCAGCGTCAGCCCGAACTTCTCATACGGATGCATGGCATACCTTGATTGAAGTTCCCGAGAACGCACGTGTAGCCGTGTTATCTTTCTGCTGAGCCTCATCGAATGCAGCTGTGTTAAGTGCAGCGACTGTCCGTCTTTCGAAAGGAGATGCTGATGCGATGGCGATGATGCCGAACAGGAGGGGTAACGAGGAGTGCATTTTGAAGAATGAATAAGCTTAATTAAAAGGTGATGTTTGATTTGATTGGCAAATAAATGAACGTAATGCTGACCAGCAGGAATGAATGAAAGAGGAAGAGAAAAGAATTGATCTCGAACATCCCTACACACGAATTCTGCATCGACCTTCACTCATATAGCCTTTCTCTCACCTGCTCACCTGCACAGGTAAATTAACGGCAAAGGGGGATTCAACAACATGTTTTCAAAAAGGTTTCACGGCCATTTCCAAGACCTGCCATTGTTAAGCTTTTGATCTCCAATCACTAATAATAAAGATGCTGAAAAGGCTGATGTTGAAACCCAGATCGTGAGAGATCCCGTCTGACGTTCGTCTGATGTACGGATGCCCGCCATGGATAAGCGGTTAGCTGTGCTCGTGCATCTAACACCCTCACTCCCTATTGGTCGCCCCTGAGACTCGCGATCAGAACCCTGTATTCCTTAATAAGTGGGCGCGCTGAGGGTGCGGAGACATGATCGGGACGTTTAAAATAACATGTCTGGACACTGCATCTATAAAACACTTCAAGGGAATCAGAACCATGAGCACACATTTGATCCTGTACACCAGGAGGTACCTGGCCTGGTTTCGTGGGCCAGTGGACTGAGAAGCCAGAACAAACCCGATGAACGACACTCAACACATTATTTCAGACTCGGCTTCAAGATGACTCTGGTATTCAGCTACTTTTCTAAATCTACACACCAGGTATCCGCTTAACCAGTCCTATCGCATGGCGCCCATACCAACGCATTTATAATACACCCAAAGCTTTGAAGCTGCCAGTCTTTTGTTATAATACACCCTATCCGTCGATGAAATACCAAACGACGCTTTTGTTTTGTTCCCAGAGACCCGCCCTATAAAACTCGCCAAACGCCAGCCTCAAATCGAGGTCAGATCAACTCAACTGCGCCGTAAAGAATTAGTCCTCCCCATCCCAAACCATTTCTTACCTCCGACCCCCAACGACTTCCCCACATCGCCATCAATCTCATCCGCCGCGGCATCATATCCAGAAACCCCTGGCCCACTCGCAGAGCTTGGTCTAGGAATTTGTGCCTGTGTACGATTCCTCCTAATCGGTGGCGGCGTAGCCCTTGCTTCCTCCTCTGCAACGTAACTCTGACTCCTCACCATCGGTGGTTTCTCCGGTCTTATAAAGAAGCGTGTCGAGAATCGCGATCTCCTGTTGGCAGTGTCTTTCTCCGGCGAAGGGAGCGGCGAATTTGTAGCTGTTACCGTTGAAGGATTGTTTGCCGGTGCTGCTTTGCGCAGTTTGGTAGTGGCAGCCAGCGAAGATCGACGGTCGGGTGGGTATGGTTGGGATGGCGAGTTGAGAGGATGTTGTACCTCTGGATGTCCATCGCCCGTGAATTGACCCTGGTACGCAACTACCGTATCATCACTCTGCGGGTGATTGGCCATGCTAGAGCGACGAATGTTTTCATAGCGATGAGCGGGGTGTGGTGGGACGCGTGAGGAATCGTTGAACCTCACATCACGACCCCAGGCGTCACCACCACCCCCGAATGAAAATAGATCTGGCGGTGTCCTGGCTCGTGTCGGGCGTTGATATGATGATGTGCCGTTATACGTGCTATTGGTGCTGGAGATACTACCCGTCTCTGTAAATTCCTCCTGAGTCTCGGTATCCCAACCGTGCCCTTCGCGTCTACTAGTGATCGTCTCTCCTGCACTACGTGGCCGAAGTGACATATCAGATTGATACTGGCGCGTTGTGGGGAAAGTAGAAGTGCTGTTGAGGAATGTCCCGCTCGCTTTTCGATGCTGTAGCATTGCATCATTCGAGTTCTTGAAGTGGCGCAGTGTATCGGTGCTGATGGTGTCTGGAGTTGGAGGGAGGGTATGCTGACGGTCAAAGCTATTCGTGTCGGTCGATAGAAGGCGAGGCATACTAGCTTTTCGTTTTCCCTTGCTGCTTGGTGCTTGTGTGGATACAAGGCTACCATTGGCTTTCTCGAGTGTATGCTTCAACTTCTCCAGTCGCTGCAATGGTGATTCCAGTACATTGTTGATGGAGAGATACTCTTTCCTCTGTAGCGTGAGGTTGCGTGTTGATGGTTTTACGGGAGTTACATCAGGGACAGGCCGTTCATCAATCCAGTCTTCCACCGATGTAGATCTTCGATGTCTTCGTGGGAGTTCCACCTCATCTTCTGGGACATCCAACTGAAACTTTTTCTCCCCGTAGACACTGACGAACGAACTCTCGCTCAAAAGACTGAGTCGAGGACTACCTATATGATCTGGTGAACCATCAAGTGAATCCTCCGTTAGATTTGGCAGTGTGGACTCGCTATACGGGAGATACAGGCTCCTCAAAGCTTCGACACCCTGACTCGGCTCGGACAAGAACGAAGGCATGCGAGGGACAGATTTCTGCGGTCGCAACTGGTCGTCGAATCGTGGAGGGGAGCTTGGCAGCCCATCGTCGTGACTAGGACGGAAGTATGTGGATTCGTAGTCTGCCTCGAAAGATCTAACACCCTCTCGCTCCTTCATCAGCCTATCCACCTTTTCCTCCAGTGTGACAATGATGTTGACAGCCTCCTCGACAGCCTGATCCCTCTTCTCCAATTCCGACAACAGCTCCTCATTCACTTCTTGTAATTCGGCCTGCTCTTCGATTTGTTTCTCGGCTTCTTGCAGCTTGTGCTCGAGGGTTTCTTGTCGCTGACGGCGGTGGAAAAGCTCAAGCTTGAGATCGAAGTTCTGTTTGTGCAGAGTAGAAACTTGCTGAAACTCAATTAGCTAGTGCCCAGTATTCACATGGAGAACACATACCTCTTCCATCTGCTTGATTCCCATCCCCCCCTTCCCAGCTGTAACCCCACCCACGCTCGACCTGCGCTCCTCTCCTCTCCCACCACTCCCTTTTACCGGCGAGCTCTGCACACCCTTCTCGCCATTGCTCAAATCGATACTCCGTCTGCGACTCTGCCTCGCGCTTTCGACTTTGCGCTCCCTCAAACGTTCCTGCAGCAAGCTTGCGCCGCCGGAAGTAGGTGCCCTAGCCCCATTTGTACCCGCACTGCGCGCCGGTAGATGGGCCGAAGAACTGTTGCTGGATGTTGGTGTCATTCTTGTGTTTGCAGAATTGCTGGATTCGGGGCGCGATCTTTGACTTTGATCCTCCATTTTCTCTTCCTTTCTCACTGCCACCATTAAGATTCCATTGGCATTGGTTGTTGTGTTGGGTTGTCAAATAACTGGGGGTTGGGTTGGGTTGGGTTGGGTTGGGCGCAACCTGGGATGTACCTTGTATTATAGATGGTGGATGTCTACTATGAATTTTTGAGTCTTGCACAGTACAAGCACAAGACGGCGGTGAGGCTGGAGTAGTGGGATACACATCAATTGAATGCGAACAAGCGGTGACCTTGAAAATGGCAACTGGAGGATATCGCGGGGAAACTACGATGTGTCTGTTGCGCTGAAATGTTTTCGGTCCTTTGTCTTTGTTTGTGTTTGCTTTTTACATCGTGTGGTTTGTAGTTGATAGTTCGTATGCGGAGGTGGGTGAGATGAAACTGTTTAAAGCCAGTAGAGGAAGAGGAATTGGAAGGGAGGAAAGGAAAGGGAAGTCGCAGTCGCAGTCGGAATCGGTACAGGGCGACACAGACACAGCTTTAAGGGAGGGATGTAAAGTAGATCAGGCAGTTGAGTTGCACAGCTTGATGTTGGTGAGACAACAATCAGCAACAATCAGTGAGAAAGAAGTAAAAGGTCTGTGTGGGTGGAAATGAATCCGGTTATATTCTCGGGAGCAAAGAAAGGAAGGAGGAATATAATGAATAGGATGGGAGTAGGAAAAGAAGCATCCATGTCCCTCTCCTCATTTCCCCTTTCTCCAAGATATTGACCATCCATCACATTCGATTGAGCGCCAAGCTGTTGCCAATCCAATGATCCGGCATCCGTGCAAAGGTAATGCAAGCATTACAACTATTAACAACTTATCCCACGTAGGATTTAGCAAGTCAGAACTATTCACATAGATTAATTACCGTATCACCCCAATCATCGTCTTCCATCGTTTGGAAAAGGAGCATACGAAGTATCACATATTTTTCACAAAAAGTGATAGACCTCCTAATTGGCCGCACGGATCGCCTGAGCTTCAGGGATTTCGTGATCCCCGGATATCCTAGGCCTATAGCAGTTACTCTTTCACTCTGCCGAGCCGTGGTCCTGGCTCACGGGAAAGGGGAAACCTTGCATTACGGTGGGGTGGGCACGTGAAGAGAGCGGCAGATAGGGAGAAAGCATGGGTCATGTGTTTGTTGAGATAGATAATTATATTTGTGTTGTAGTGATAATGGATAGAGAGAGAAATGAAGTTGCGGAAGTGGAGAATTCAGCAGTAGGACACGTGGGTAACGAGGAAAGGAAGAAGATCATTGAGGTAGCTAGAACGTTGGGAATAGCTTCATTATTCGATACCATGAGCTTAAAGTCAAGAGTAAATCACTGGAAGTATGAATAATACTCGCCTCGGTTCCCATTATCCATTTACTAGAGGCAACAAATCCTTGGCTTTAGAGGTCACGTTCATTCAAGTGGAATTCCACCACTATTTTCTGTTGAATGCTGGCTTCCTAATCCATAACATACCAATATACACAAGTGTCAACCTACAGTACCCCACGTCTCATACCCCCTCCTATCATCTTTCAACCCCCCAAAATACTATTCTTCTTCACAGCCTTTGTGACCTTTTGAACAACCAACGGCTTCCCATCCTCATCATAATCAATCTCTATACCCGGACCTGCAATCAGCGGAACACCATCTTCATCTACTGGCACCCTCTTCAACCCACCCATAGCCTCCCAACTAGCCTGCATCAGCCTGCCAGCAGTCCGCGTAATATCATTATCCACACTGCCATCCTCATTTGCCCATACTGAAGAGTGGGTCGGGTACAATGAACTCGCATTGTTGCGGTGCTTTTTCAGCATTTCTCGGTATCGGCGGTGGTCGGCGAGTGCATGCGAGGATATAGTTGGTCCCCTGCGTTTATTTCGGGAAGATTCAGTCTTGGGCCTGCGACGAGTTACTCCTGTGGTGGCATTTTGAGAGCTTTTGCCGTCTTTGAAGGAATTGGCTTCGAGGTTGCTACTAGATGTCTGGTCTTCGAGGAGCGGATGATCGAGGAGGTATCGAAGGAGCCGGGCCACGTTCGGACAAGCGCCTTGACCTTCGTGGATGAAGTTCAGAAGCAATGCTGGCATCCGCCATCTCATTAGGCATTGCTTCGTCCTCGCCGCTCTCAATGGTCTGCTGTGTGGTTTCGGTGGAATTTAATTCTGCCAAGGTTCTTGAAACTGCTTCCCGCGCTGGAGCTTGCGTTTGGGGCAGCCTGAGTGGAGGAGCCATGACTGTTCAGCCCGAGAAGAGTGTAATGTGGTTGTGAGAAGATATTGTGAGAGGTAAGCGCAATTGCACTGAAGGCAGATGCGGAAAGAGCGTTCAAGTCCTCTTGTCCCCAAATAAATCACTCCAAAACTCCTTAAAACCATACAACGGCTTCTGGTTATCATAAATCTTCACCGTATCCCTTCCAAATCTTTCCATCACGCTCCCAGGTCTATGCCCAATCTTTTCAACCAGATCCCTTGCTGGCCTTGCTGCACGCTCTTTAATGTCTTGTGCCAAATTAGGAGCCACATCTGCATAGCATGCTTTGAGCTCGCGTTCCAACGAGAAGTAAGGCTTCTTGGCAAGATCTGGTGCCATGAGGTTGTAGGATCGAGTGAGGTTGTTGAGATTGGTTACGGCGAGCTGAAGGTAGGAAGCTTCGGCTGCTTCCCATGATGGAATACGGAATGGCGCTGGGAGGGGAGTCTTCGCAGTACGCATTGAAAGCTTTGGAGCCTCTGCATCATTGGCTCTTAATAGCTGGCCAGGTGCTTGAGAGGCTTCAAACAGAGGTTCTGGGGACGCTGAGTTCGAGACGGTGACTTCAACATCTTTGTTTTCCATTGAAACTTGGATCGAGGCAGCTTGGCTAGGTGCTACCGGTTGTTGGATGATATTCACCATCACTGGGTCGTCTGTGACATTTGCTGGTACAGATATTTGCTCGACAGCCCTTTTCTTGGGGTTGTGTACGCGCTCTGCTTCTGCGTAAAGCTCTGCAGTTCGCATTTGTTCCTGCAAGCTTCCTCCGCGACTTGCAATCGTTCTTGCAGCATGCCTTTTCCAGTCATTTCGCAGCCGGCCCCGGAAAATAGTTGCTGTCTTGACTAATTCTTGCTGCTTCTCAATCCATGGAGGAACGATATCCTGGCGTTGTATCATTTTGTTCATGATGTATTCGGTAGTGTCCACGAATGGGTTGTCTGCTCTTGCATCTCTTTCAATGGCTTTTCCTCGGGGTATATTCTGACAGCATTAGTATTGAACACTATCAAGACGTCTACACTCACCTTGAATTGGCCTCTGGCAATGGCATCCTCAATCCTCTCGTTTGCAAGTGCAGCCAAACCTCGAATGGAGTTGGGCATTGCTCTGGCAGCAGGTGTGAATCTCTCCTTCAACTCTTTCTTCATATCAGCCCTCTCCTTGTCCGACATTTGACTATCCTTTGAGATTACATAGAGAGACGTCTTGTCTCTGGCATTCGCGAGCCGTTCTCCTGGCCTTTGCTTCGGCACCCGCTTCAATCGTAAATCGATGATTGGACTTGGGATTTTCGAAGGGCCTCGTAGGCCAGGTTTCAACGGCTTGCGTGCATCGTCAAGCATTCGAAGCATCGTATCCTCGGCTCCTTCTTCGCCTGTCCATGCCTGTGCAGAGGCAATCTCCTGCGAGCCTTTACCAACGTTTGATGATAGTCCAGCATGTGCAAATGCCGATGCATTCTCTGAACGGAACTTGTGTGCCTCGACTTTTTCTAGGAGCTTCTGCTTCAGATCTTCCGAGAATCCGGCCTCCTCCACTGCTCTCCTGCCAGCCCGGCCACCTTCCAGAAGGGCATCCTCTGTAGCTTCTGCGAGCCGTCTCGACATAGCTCCTTGCTCTTTCTCTCCATTTTGAGATGATTTCTCAAGTATTTGAGCCTCGATTTGTGAAACGTCTTCGTTCACCTTCGCTTTAATGGGCGAGTTTCGAAGTGGCGAGAGGTAGGAGAAGGATCTGGGTTTGGATCCAGTCGAGACGGCATTATGTTGTGATGAAGCTCGAAAGCATCGAGCGCATGTATATGGCAATGAATACCTTGTTGCATGCATAGAAAGAGATAACAATTGTTCACGATGGATGTGAGGGATGATAGATGATTAGGAATATTTGGAGAGTGATAATCCTTGTATGACTTCTACTGATAGCGATAGCGGATTTAACGGATTTAACCTGAACCCTTTTTGCGAGTTGAGAACATCGTCTTTCATTTCATGTGGTGCAAATCTGGAGAGGATGGGATTCATTACATATTTTAAATCATAGATGTGTCATTCAGCATAAATCCCTTGCTTCCCTTAAAGCAACGCCCACTCCCAAACCTGGACCGAGTTGGACACTCCTAAACACCTAGAAAAAGATTCTACCACTCCTACCTCTATTTACTATCAACAGAAAATTCCTTCAACCCATCAACTCCTAAAACTTGCTCTATCGGCCACCTCGTCCATCGTTCCCATCCATCTCCCAGAACATCAACAACCGTCTTCAATAGATTCCCCGCCTTTCCCGTAAGCCAAAAGACATGACCCATCTGTTGCAACGCCACGCAATAATACGACACAATTAACAGCGCTTCTGGGACCTTGTTCTCCAGCATCACTAGAAATCGAGTCGGGATCCACGAAAACCAGGCCATGACAATATGTAAGTTCCCAATGTGTGGAACGAAAGACATCATGCTGAAAACACGACGCAGAAGTCCAAGAGTCTTGAAGAGAACTTCCTTTTCAGACGCTGTCGTTGATCCAGAGATCCAAGCTTCGGCCAGATTGTCAAGATGCGGCTGTACCGAATCTTCGACGGGATCTTCACGATGTGGGTCAAGACCAGCCCAATTATCAAACAATACTCGCAATGGGCCGTGTTCAAGAACGGACCAGAAGTCTGTTATTAGTTGCATGGCGCCTCGGTGCAATTTCACCCATTGGATAGTAATCGTTTCCGAGTCTGTCATTTGGCTAGGCGCGAAGAATATTGTCGACGGCTTAGTGACGTCCTGATTAGCCCATGCTAGCAAAAAGAGATGCGTTGAAAAGGCAAAACATGCGTGGCAATTTTCCACGTCCATGTTACCGATTTGAGGCTGGAACAGTGTAATTCCAATTGCTGCATGGTTATCAGATGCGTGTTCATAGAGAGACGCCTTTTGCGGATTGACGTGTGCGAGGTAGAGAGCGCCGAGAGAGAGAATCTGGTGCATGAGGAATGGGTATTGGAAAGCGATTTGAATGGCCGTGGTCGTGAAGACATGGACATCAGATTCTCGATAGTCCAAGAAGGTTGCAGCACCATTGGTCATCCAAGCATGCAATAACTCGAGGTCAAGCATTGTGAAGTTTTCTATGGGAAGAGAGTGTAGAAGGGCGGGGGATGGACTGAGTGTTTCAGTTGAGAAAGTCGGTGCTGAGCTTGGTGTATTTGGAATTGAAGACCCGGGAGTCGGGCCTGATAGCATGGACTGGACAATTGGAGCGTCCCTCTTCAGAGGGTGAGTCTGAAGAAAGGAACATTCTGTTTTGTAACCTTTGCATCTTGAACATATTGGTTTTTGCTCATCACACTTTAGATTCGTCAGTAAGTTAGGGGTAGTCAATTACTACAGACAGCAGCGAGAGAAATGGGAATCCCTAGGATTTGACTGGTATATTATAATGAGGATTTATATCTGGACTCGACTTTGAAAGCATTGGGAGAATGAGGACTTCATTACTCGCTCAGGAGCCTCAGCTAAGCCTTCTCGACTTCGGAGCCTTCTATCGCCCGTTCGGCGTTCGGTCATTCGCTTGTCAAAAATTCTTGATTATTCGGCATTGAAGACAGGATTAAGCAGAGCGAAAACCTTTAAAATTCGCGAAGTCCAGAGACAGAATGAAGCAGGCAGAGTACTTGTAAAGACCGCGAAGTCCGCGGATAGAATAAAGGACAACAAATACATCTAGACGCCACGAGACTGTACGTGAAAGGTATACGAAACGCCCTTTCACTCTATCCCTGATGAAAGCACTGCATTGCATACCTTGACCTTTCTGACTTTACATTGAACGCACCCCGTTCGGCTTTTATGGTGAGGCCTCCTTGCCTTTATCAATCGAGGCTCTTTCGTCATTCTACCAGCAGCCGTCTGGACGTGGAGCAGAAACAAATATCCTCAAGCCTCAGGACTGTAACCGTATAGAAAAGATCAGGATCGAATCGGACGTCGTTCTATACGTTGGGTATGGCAGCCTCGTGTTATTAAGGACACGCAAGGTGGCGCAGCAACTACATCCTTACCAATCTTCCTTCGGACAGAGCTGTCTTTGATTGGCTTAGAGGCGAAGTGCAATAAGCGAGGCCACGCCGCGCCCCTTCTGTCGCGTCCCCCTTTTTCACTTCTCGCGGCCTGAGTCTTTCTCTCGTATTACTAGAAACAGAGTACCAGATTCATATGATCCTGCTTTAGTGTACCATGCAGGTACAGCATTGTGCTCTGGCCGTAACCTGTGCCTCTTTTGAGTCTCTGCCGTGACTACATATTCAAGATGACCCTCCGATTTAAGTAGGTAGTTCAAGTTCAGATTTCTATCCATTCTCTCTAGTTGTCGAGTTTTCTAGTAGTTTTCTATTGTATATTCTCCAGCACTCCAACCCTCCATCATGACATCCTCTGACCCCAATGCTTTCGTTTTCTACAGGTAAGAAAGAGACGAAGCGCCTATTCATTACCGCCTGATTGCAACTGACCATTTTAGATATCATCCTTCTCTCATAGCTGCAGCTATATTCGTTGCCTGCTTTGCTATTACCACACTTCTCCATATCTCCCAAGCTGCGAGGGCTCGAACATACTACTTCATTCCATTGATCATCGGAGGCTTGCGTTAGTCACTTCCCTTGTACATTTGAATGTTGCTGATTTTGGCAGTTGAATGCATAGGATATGTCGGGCGAGCACTTGCTCACAACGATGAAACCGACATGTCCATATTTATCATGCAAACATTGACGATCCTTGTCGCACCAGCCCTCTTCGCGGCATCCATATACATGATTCTAGGTCGTATTGTCCTTGCGACACGAGGCGAAAGTGTAGCTCCCATTCGAGCTAGCAGGTTGACCAAGATTTTTGTCTGCGGTGACGTGGTTGCATTTCTTGTGCAAGCAGGAGGTATGTATCTTTTTCCGTCGGGATTGGCAAGCTGACGATAAATAGGGGGAGGATTGATGGCTCAACAGAAGACCCAAAACAGCGGAAAGTTCATTGTCCTCGGCGGTCTCTTCATTCAAATTATCTTCTTCGGAATATTTGTCATAACAAGCAGCATCTTCCACAAACGACTCGCTGGATCGCCGACGCAAGAGTCTCTGGCTGTCCCTTGGCAGAAATATATGTTTGCTCTGTACTCTGCAAGCCTTTTGATCTTGATCAGATCCGTGTTTCGTGTGATCGAGTTTGCGGGAGGGAATACGGGGCCATTGGAATCTAGTGAGGTCTACTTGTACGTTTTCGACGCCATACTTATGCTTGGGGTCATGGTTGGTTTTAATATTGTTCATCCTGGGGCTATCATTGGAAGGAAGGCTCAGAAAGACAATATTTTGTTGAGTGATAGGGAAAGTGGAAGAGGCGGACCAAACTACTAGGAGGTAGACATGGTAGGGGCTGGTAATGATTTGGGTAGCGTTGGTAATAAGGGTTGATGGGTTGGAGCAATCTAGATGGGCATTGTGGGATTTCATTGCGTGGGTTATTGCTGTTAGAAGGGTATAAGGTCTGCTCGCTAATGCTGAACATTATAGCCAGAACGAGCGTTAAAGTTATATAGTTAGGTCTTCAATTTATTGGTTTATTATTTGACGAACCCCCATACTCAACCTTGATAGCCTCAAATCTGTCCATTTGCAAATAAAGTCCGTCCTCCATCAATTGCAATACTTCTACCGTCGACATACGCGCCTGCTTTACTTACAAGGAACAACACCACTCCAGCCAGATCATCCATCGATCCAGCTCGTTTAGCAGGGACCTTTTGAACGAGATCACCAAAAATATCTGCACCGGCACCTGTTCCCATTGGATTCATATTGCTTGGGACGACTAGAAATGTCAGAAACGCCAGCAACGTGGCAGAAAACTTACATCCAGGATTGATACCACACACTCTCACATACCACCTAGCAAACTTGCTTGCTAACAATGCAACAAGATGATCAGTAGCAGCCTTTGTTGTAGCATAGCTCATCATATCAACATTTGTGGCATTATGCAGACTAGCAATCGAACTCGTCACAACGACGACTCCTCTTCCATGATCCTTCCCTTTTGTACCATCCGGCATTATTGCATCTCCTACCGCTGCGAGCAGATCAACAAGTGCAACGGACAGGAAGTAATGAGCCATTGTATTGACTTGAAAAGATAGGTTCCAATCCGAATATGAAGATGACCAGAGAGAAGCTTGCAGTTCGGCCAGGGGAGCTGTGAGCACGTCACATGATTGTGGGGGATCGCGACGGATGCCAGCGTTGGATATGAGGATATCCAGATGAGACTCTTGAGTACGGAGGAAGAGAGAGATAGCTTCGACGCCATGTTTCGATGTCAAATCACATGGAAATCTGTGCCTCATTAGTTGATGCATGCAAAAACAATAAAGTTCGTACCCCACTGCTGTACCACCAGAAGCTTTTCCATGATCATTTAATGTTGCTTCAACTTCTTTGATTGGATCGGATTCTAGACCGCAAACGTAGACTTTCGCTCCGTTTGCTACCAGTCCCTGGATTGTTGAGTTGACGTTCTTCAAGAGTAGAGAGGATATACCTTTGCAATCATAAGTCCAATTCCACTCGTTCCTCCAGTAACGAGGGCTACTCGTCCCTTGACTGAGAAGAGATTGCCGACTTCGGTTGATGCCATTTTGCTGGGGTTTGGCCTGCGCTTTATAATACTACCTGCTGGGTTAAAGGGAGGTGAGCTGTATCAGCTAATACAGTTGCAATCATGAAGTAAATCAATCTGATTTGATAGAAGGAAATTTTATACTGGAAGAATAAAGTGGGGGTGGCGTGAAGGTGGGGACAGATACAGATCATATAGTATCTCTAAGTTAAAAATGTTAGAAACATAAAATAAGATAATAGAAAGCTATATTGAGTCCTGTTTGGAAGTATAGTAAATAGTTATAGATTAATCATGATTATATTGAAATAAAAGAATGGTAGAATGGTAGGAAAAGGGGCGTCGCGAAATGCGCTAGATAATCGCAGCAGTCATTGGAATGATAAATACAAGGGAATAGGAAAAGGGTTTCTTCTTGAACTTTAGGGACATATCTATAGTGTATGCTCCATTGTCTGTCACGAGAAATTAATCAATAAGGAACGGAAATCTTGCTCTACTTACCTCCTGACTGTTGCCAAGCCGCAGTCCCCATAACCTCATCGAGTACCGTCGCCATGATCCCTCCATGGCATGTTTGTGCAAAGCTATTGATGCCGCTGCCTAGATCGAGCAAGGTGTTGATTTCTATAAATGGGTTCTTTTTCTCTTCACCCGGTCTCAGACCCTCGGTCCTCTTAGGCAAACAGAAAGAGGTGATGCAAGCACGAACAGTTGATTTGGAGTTGAGTGTCTCTTTTACGAGTGTGTATTCGCTGTTAAGCTTCGGTCTGCGATCTGGAATAGCGACATGGATAATGGATTTGTTGGAGAGTAGTTTTGCACACCAGGGGGTATTTTTGAAGTGTGTGATGGGGTCGCTAGTGTATTGGGCGTGAGATGATGAGGGTTGGATAGGCATGTTTTTGTATTATTATTCTCACAATAAAGATATATAGTAAAATAATTGCTTAGTTATATGTTATGCTTATGATGAGAAGTAATGTGTGGGGTAGTATCCAATCCCTAGCTAGAGGCAAGTTGTCAGGAACTTATGCAGGACAGGGACCCATAACTTCAATATCGATACTGGAGGACGTTCCCAAATAGTAGATTAAGATCTGCCTGACTAGGATTATGACCAAGTTTCAACGCTGCACGAACACGTAGAGCAGATTAGGTGACGCCCCGCTCGGCTTCCGGGGGCCACGGCTGTGAGATCGAGTATCGTTAGGAAGAAGAAGTATAAGAGAAAACTGGATCCCAGCGGGAAGAATACCCCCTTTGCGCCCTTTGCGCGAGGTATCTTATCACATATTATTTTAACGAATTAGAAGCCGGGAATGCTGTGCTAGACATTCTGTCCGGTCTTCCACGCCCATATACTGCCTACGAAGCAAGCTGCTATAAAAGTACAAAACGCGGATATTCATCATTGAATCTGATGCTAGAAGTTTAGCTAAAGAAATGATCGTCGATTAGGTCTCATCTATAGATCGTTAAAGGTCGATGAATTTTTGGAACTATTCCGTAATAGACCCGCTTAAAACTAGCATTCCTAGATAGTTGGACGTTGAAGAAAGCAGATGAGCACGGCCGATTACGTGCCGTTTATTCAAGGCCCTTGCCGGATTCAAGTTAAGTTAGGTTATTGCAGGGAACATGGATTAGGGCAGGGCACATGTGGAGCCCTGCATTAACCTTCGTCGATCATAGACAGAAAAAGCTTAATTAAACTACTAGATAGTTGAATGTGTAGTATTGTGGGAAGCGCTAGGTAATTGAATTCTCTTTTGAGATACTGCATCATAGAGCTTGCCTTACTTTATTGTTAATTAGTCTGCATATTCTTACCGTTCTAGAATATGGACTAGGTGAAAAGCCAATTATATTTGCAGAGCCTGCATTTCAGCCTCCGTCATTTTAAGCTAAACAGTCTGCAGTATCAGACATTAGGAAACGAATAGCAGCAAGGCTCTAGTAATAAGTTAGGCAATTATTATAGGGTATCTTTTATATCTCAATTCATCCTCCAACATTAGGCCCAAGTTGGGTATCAGGAACTAAGGTTTCACCCCGAGAATACCGAGGCTAGATAACAGTATTCTCGAACACGTATCCATTTGCAGATCTATTTCCACGCTTTTAACCTCTATCTTCCTGCCAAGGTGTTGGCCTCTACCTACCACATGAGTCATTTACCAACTTTCCCCATTCCACGTAAACACCTGCCAGTAGCAGTTAAATCCTCCCGGCTACTTACTGTGGAGAACTTTGATATTTGCGACCCATACAACGTGCTGCTTATTTTATTTTCTGGCAACTTGTCATTCATCAGACTTTCCATCCATCCATCCATATTATGTCCATCGAAACGTCTCTATTTGAAGCCAGCGCCACTGCACAGCTGACATTTGGTGCTGAACAGCTCTATGAAGTATCTCTCACTTCTTTCGTGACCTCTGGTTCAACGATTATCGATGCGTTTTGGACGACTATGCATTATAGTGCTCTGTAATAGATGTGGAATAAAAGCCATAAAATGGGATCATGCTTTGGGAGTTTAGAACTTGGTTGCTCATATCGCTGTAAATCTAATTGGCAAATGAAATTTTTATTACTTGATCCATATCTAAAGCATGCCGAGACCCCTTTCTCGCTAGAGATATAAGCAAGGAGACTTCAGTCTAGTCACATCCGAAACCCCTAGATGATCTAAATTGACAAAGCAATAGTATCCTGAAATCTGTCCCCTGTTTTCCTTACGCCTTATGTGTCCGCCTCGTGTAACCTGACCTGCACGCCTGTGCCACTCCTATTTGAAAATATGTACTGAAAGAACGGCGGACCAGGCTCTTCACTGTTCTCGATCTTATCGAACCGTTGGAGGAACCGTATAATTACATACGCCGTTTCTGTAAGAGCGAATTGTTCTGCTGCAAGCATTAGTGTTAGACTTTGGGAAATGAGTTTCCATGACTTACGACCAATGCATTTCCTTGGTCCGGCAGCAAAAGGTACAAACTCAAATCCAGCTATCCTCTTTTCCCACCTCTCCGGCTTGAACTCATCAACATCTGGACCCCACAGATCAGAGCGATGTTGCATGGCGTGATTCACAATTAACACTCTCTGTCCTTTGCGCAAAAACACCGGTTGCAGCTTGTCTTCACCTCCACCACGCGGAAGAGTTGTATCGCTAGTACACACGCGTTCATTGATAGGAACTACACTTGCCACCCTTAATGTCTCTTGGATACAGTGGTTTAGATATTGGCATTGTTTGAGCTTCTCGAATATGATTTCGCCAGTACGATCCCGGCCAAAGTCTGTAAGGATGATTCCACGCAATTTGTCAAAAACGCGATTGTTGCGGACGAGAAAGTAAAATACCCAGCCCAATAATGCGCCTGTAGTGTCCCGTCCAGCGTTCAGAATCTGCAATGTCTCGTTTCGTAATTCCAAAGGATTTTGTGTAGATTTCGCAAGTTCATTGAGAAGGCAGAAGCGATCAGAATCCGCGTTTAATTTGGCAGGTTGGTTCAACTTCCCTACGACCAACTCGTCTACGAAGCGGTGGACTTCTTTGCAGTGCTTTGTGAGTTGTGGAGAATATACAAGGCGATTCCAACGCCCAAAGAGTCCTTTTGTGTAGAGCCAGGATTTACCAGCGTCAAGGTGATAGGAGAATCCAGAGTCGAGTTCGATACCTTTATTTATGTCTGGGTTGTGCGCACTTTGAGAGTTGACTGATCGTCCGTAGAGAAACTCTGTGGCTACATCCAAGGTGAAATTTAGGAACAATGGTGCTAGATCGATATGTTGGGTCCAGCCTTGTTCTCCGGATTTCAGTACTTCTAGATTCAGAAGTGATTGAATATGCTGCTCTTCGAGATCTAAATCCGAAATTTGGTTGCGTGAAAACTGAAGATAGACCAATTTAGCCATTTGTTACTGCAAATTTGCAAAGCCAAATTGTTTACTTACTTGGGGCCTTAACAGCTGACGTGAGTGCTTCCATTGCTCTCCTTGCGCTGTAAAGATACCATCACCTAACAGGGGACTCCAGATATCTCTCCTGTGAGGACTGATCTCAAAGTTTCTGGACTGTGTAGAGAACATAGCTTTTGCATTCTCCGGATCGCGAGTAACGATTAACTCGTAGTCCAACGCTGATGCTTTGAATGTATGGACATCCTTTCCTATTTCATCAAACTTCTCTATGAACCATTGTGGACTCCTTCCTTCCTTGTTTGCCTTTGAAATTTCAGACAGTCTTCCTAACCCTAGGAAGCCTTTTCTGGGTAGGATGGGAAGGCTCGCGCATCCTCGTGCTGATGCTTCAGCAGAGATTTTCCTTTTCTTAAAAGCATCAGAAAGAAGTTTGAATAGAATGGCGGCGAGAAGAAATATCAAAAGTAATACTGGAGAGAACATTGTCGGTATAATAAACAGCTGGTGAGTATAATCGAAAAGAGTGATATGATATAGAGAGCATAAGGAAGCGAGAACAGTTGCGTAAGAGTAGCGTTAGCAATCGTCCAAGCTTTCAATATGACGATTGACCTGTTTAAGAAAAGCTATGTCAATCTATGCCGAGATTAGGATTCTACATACAAGGAGTTTCGGCTTCCGTTGTGCGAAGCCTAGTAGACGCACTGCAGGGGCAAGTACATGGAAGATGACTATTGGGCCGAGACTCTATAGAGTAATGTGGAGCATACAGGGGTGTGCATTGTTTCTAAGTGCAGAATAACGGATTATGGTATGGCTATATATATCAGAAAATAAGTAGTTATAAAGTATCATTTAGGACATGCGCACTTCCTACTACGCATAGCCTAAAGCGCCTTTCTATCGTATCTTGCTAGCAAAAGACACAAGTTGGAAGAAACTTTCAATGCATTTTTGGCACAAGGTTTAGGTAGAAGTAAATGTACATTAAGATCTACCTATTATACTCATCTAACTCACTAGCTGAAGATCGACATATTAGTAGATATAGACATGCTATAGTAGATCAATTGCTGCGTAATTATGATAATACCCGAGATGCTTAGAAATACAGGCTTTCATTAGCTACGTTGGTGATTTTCTCAAGGGTTTAAAAGGAACTATGGATTCAAAAGCGTCAATTTTCTATCGGCACCAATTGTATTGCTCCGATTAGAGTCCGTTCCACACCTCGGCGACATGAGTATGTCCGAGGAGCTTCAAACGTTATATTTACCAAGTAATGCACTAGTACCGCCTAATAGGTACTGGCGGCGTACGAATTACTAACATTTGATAGACTGATCAGCATAAGCATACGCTACTGCGGAGTTAGTCGAAGCCTCAGCTTCTAAGATTCGGGAGTGGCGTAAGGGTCCCAATAGCGCATACTGATCAAAGCTATCCCTGGAATAAACTAAAATGACACTACCGATTGGACTACTTGGCAAACATTCAGTATTTTTAAGAGCTGTGGAGAGATATTAAAGACTTTACTTTGAACTTTGATATAAATCGTGAGTCGGATTTTATAACCTCGCCATACTACATAGAAGACTTAATAATTCTATGCAGACACACGTGGCTTAATCGACAGTTCGCATAAATGGATTCCGCAAATGGACATGGCAAATGTTTCGTCCACCAACTCGCTCCCATCGACCACCTATCACCACGGATTCATACTGCTAAACTTATATACTTTTGCACAAACGAGAACCCCGAGAAAATCCTTACCACCCTTCGCGATGCATTGGCGAAATCCATTTCTGCTTTTCCTATCATTGGAGGAAGTGTAGGATTGATGAAACAAGCTCCTCAGATAGGAACACTAGCAGTACAGTCTCCATTCTTTACGGCAGAAGAGATCCTTACTAGGAGAGATTTGAGAGAGACATATGATTACGAGACCATTCGAAAGGAAGACTTTCCTCCAGATGCGGTGGAATTCAAACTCGTTATCCCCGAATTGGGTGCAAACCATTCGAGGGTATTATTGGTACAGGCAAACTTTATACACGGCGGTCTGATCCTTACTGTAGCCGTTCACCACAATGTTGTTGATGAAGCAGGCATTTTCATGATCATGAAACTATTAGCATCGTACTGCCGTGGCGACGATGGCTCACTTCTCATCAAGCCCGAATGGACCGACACAACGCCACTTCTGAACGGGAAAGGAAATGGTTGCTTGGAGGATCATCCTGAATACAAACTCAGATCCGCAGAAGAGTCTGCCACACAGGTCGCAACATACCAAGAGTATATTGCTGGATCAGGCACTGCATCAGCAATACTATTTTTCCCAGACGAAGCTTTGGAGCGATTGAAAAAGGCAGCAATGAGAGTCGAAGCAATGCGATGGATCTCAACGAACGATGCTCTTTGCGCCTTAGTCTGGAGTAGTGCCACCGCCGCGCGAAAGCTAGGTAAAGATGTGCCGTATTCGATGTTTAATATGGTAGTAGACGGACGTGCGAGAATGGATCCGCCTATGTCATCTGAATACATTGGGAACGTTGTTTTTGTAACAACACGCTCAATACTCCCTATTCCATCATTGGACGTTGCCAATCTCGCAGATACCGCACTTAATATCCGTGAATCGGTTCTCGCCATTAACAACGAATTAATAAAAGACAAGATAGCAGCGGTGATAGGGGTAGATGATATTGGACGTCTGGCACCTAGGGGGTATTCGAGCCAGGGTCGTCATCTTGCTTGTACGTCATGGGCCGGCCAGTTGTATTATACGCTGGATTGGGGTAAGGAGTTAGGCAGGGTGAAGAGATTGAGGTTTCCGAAGAGATTGAGTGATGGAATATTTGTTATTTTCCCTCGTATTCCTGCCAATGATGACGTGGGGCTGGGAGAGGGAGGAATTGAGATTCAGATTGGGTTGGACGAGGAGGGTTTGGAAAGGTTAAGGGAGGACAAAGACTTGAACCAGTATGTGCAATGGCGATGAGTATGAATATTCGTTCGAAAACGTTCATTGCTTGACGAACTACATAGAATCATATGATTCTAAGAACCTCATTTAAAGAGATAAAGGGGAGGATCATATAATCTAATCTAGCATTTCACCCGCCTGTGACATAATTTTCGAAAAGCTCCGCATACCATTTCTTCCCGACATCTTTGTGGCTTACAATACGATTCCGCAACTGAGCCTCGCCAAACTAGATGACGGTTCAGAATTAGCACTATGCAAACAAATAGAGTATGGTTCAACGATATGAATCAGTTCGTAGAAAAATCAAAATAATCACTCACACGATAAAATTCATCTGACATGAACTCACTTGGCACATCTACCTCCTTCTTTAAATTATTATCTACAACAGGGACCCTGGCTATGATATCTTTCGCCGAGCTCTTCAAGTCTTCCATTGTGAGATCTAGATCGACGCCAAGGAAGAACGGAAGGCTGTACCGCGTCTTGTGTTTTGGTGCCTGCATTTTGGACATTAGTACAAATCTATATTCCTTGTCCAAATGGCATTGGGTATGCATTAGATAGAAACAATTTAGCCAGGGAGGGGGAGGGGGAGGTATAAGCTCTCACCAACACACGGTGTGTAGTTGCACTACACAGTCCTCCCGTGATCGCCTCAAAGCCTTGCTGGATGTTGACGACGAAGCTGCTGGGGATGGGCGGTGCATCAACCCATTTGCCTGATTTGAGCAGGACCTGCAGGCCACCGATGGAGTCTTGGGAGAGGAAGGTGAAGAGCCCGGTAGAGTCTTTATGAGGTCCCACGCCAAATGAGGAGGGTGCTGTAGTAGTCGCACTTATGGCGGGGTACTTGACAAGCTTGAAACGGTCCATGCCGCCGAGGAAGCGGTGGAATGTAGTGGGAGGGAGGGAGAGGCATTCGCCGACGAGAGAGAGGAACGCATGAGAGAGGTGTGTCATGTTCTGGGTGTAAGTCTCTAGTTTTGATGCGAGCCCAGGAAGTGCTGGGATCTGAGTAATGTGTAAGTTGGTAGCCAGAGACAGACATAAAAATAAGGAGCCTTCCTATTTTTGAGGCCATCGAATCAGTCAAAGGAGAGTACCAACCTGGCTATTCCCTTCTAATCTTTTATATAGGGGATCTCCTTCTACCCACTGCTTTTTCGGCACAGTTCCGAAATCGAATTGCTACAATGCCATTTTATCAAATCCCGAATTATTGTTCTAGCATATAATATATCTTCAACATACCTCTCGCATATCAGTTGCCTTTGCAGTTGACTCAGCCCCTAACTTCGTATAGCCTAGGAATGATGGCGAGTTTAGCATGCTGCACAGTTCCTTCTCTTTGTCGGAAAGCGCGAAGAGACCTGGTAGGAGCGCATAGATGTCATCGACAGAGGACTAGAAAATATATTATTATAAGCCTCGGGATAACACGACGAACTTGAAATAAACAAATAAAAGGGCGACGCTTTGAATACAACTAATTTGCGAAAGCCATAGTATCTATACCTCGATACCAGTATTAATGAGGTATAAGAACCCAATCTTGAAAATCGCCTCTTTTAACTTCTCCAGTTCTTGTTCTTTGGAATTTGGGTCCGCGAAATTGGAGTAGTCTATAATTGGTATAGTATCGAATGATGACATACTGAGAAGATCAGACAAAAAAGCAGATTGGCTTAATCCCAGGTGAAATTAAATCCCCCGTGATTTTCAAATTTGCGAAAATGCATCGTGTAAATTCAAGTTAGAAGCTCCCTGGTAGGAAAAGTGTTGATGACTAAGCTCCTCTAGTAGGACCACCAGACCACTCCACTATACCTTAGCCTTGCTATAGCAGGCTATGACAGAAACAGGCTAGATGGAACCAGAAGACTCCTGCAATCATATTATAGTACACTTTACACTGCAGAACAGTATCCTTACACATGCTCACAAGCTAGAACTGCTAGAAAGGCCAAAATATACTCGTACACCCAGTAAAAAAGCCCGCAGAAAAGACCAATTTGTTACCATCGGTTAGCCTCGACAATGGTGTGCACGTCTTCATATATTGCGTGACGGTGGTCACGGACCCATGCTGTCAAGACGCGCGATAACGTCCGTCACTATAAATCACTGTCATCCGTCAAAAGTGGGATGAAGAAGGCATGTACGGTATATACCAGGGCTTTTTGGGCATTCTGAGCTTTACTTAATTACTAAACGGTTGTCTTCAATAAGTTGAAATCTCTTCTAATAACGGAACTACCTGGATTGTTCTGTACTGTAGGTACGCTCCTACATCGCTCCCAGCCTCTCATGGCCCTCCCACAAGCTCACAAGCAGAGACCTTTTCCCTACCCACGGCGTCCGCGCATGTTGTACAGTCTGGTTATCAATCAACGCTACATCCCCCGGCTGCCAGGGTGTCAAGAATCCAATCTCGTCCTGGATTTCTAGCAGACGCTCTAGGTATTCAACAGGAATTTCGCTCCCATCTCCATACGTAGTCGGGAGATGAACCCCTCCATCTACCCCACGGTACGGCGGCTCCAGCGCCCCATTATCGCGCCCCCTACCATACACGCCCGCAAAGCCGTTGAAGAACGTAGGCTTATTCGTGCTCTTCACGCGGCGGATTGCGGGCAGTGTCTGGAGGACGTGCAGCGCGCCGTTGGATTGCCATTCCGCCTTTGCTTGCAGCTTCGAGGCAAGCACGCTGGCGACTTTGGAGTGTTGGACGTTGAGGGAGTCGTTGGGTTGGATATCAAAGCCATACGAGTCCTTCCAGTTCCAACCGATGGTCTTGGCCTCATCGGTGTTGGGCGCTGGGAAGTATTGCCGGCCGATGATGCCTTTGGTTGTGAGGTCATGGTAGAACTGGGGCAGGTCTTTCTCGAGTCGGTCGCAAAGCTCTATTGAGGACAGTATTGGAGTTTGTCCGCCTTTTTTGATGTTATATCAGTCCCTACTTCTGCATGCTGAGAACGAGGAGCGCAAACCTTGTTCCGGAACGATCTCCGAATAGAAGAAGAGAATATCTGGGTAATCCGCACTGCGGCCGTATTCGGTGTGGTAATAGAACTTCACATCAGGTGGCTCCTCGTTAGCAGTCTTGACATTTCCAGCCACGATGGATCTCTTTCCCGCGAGGCCAATTTCTTGATAGTGTTTTGGAAACTTGAATGATTCAGTAAAGGCGGAAAAGGCTGCGGCATCAGTAACGGAAAGGCCACGGAAAAGTATCACGCCGTCTAGTCGCTTGTCAGGTTCTCAAATCAGTAATACATTTCAAGTCAAGCTTACGTTTAGTTAGCAGGCTCTGGATTATTCCCTGATCTGCCAGCTCTCTGATGTGAGCTGTCACGTCTTCGATAGAAGGATTTTCTGTCGACACGGTTGGGCGCAGACCGAGAGGGAAGGCATTGCCGTGGACATTTCGTGAAGATGGGATATCAAAGGCTTCTAGCTGGAGAAGGGAATTGGAGGTGTTATCTGCTGCGAAATTCTTCGCGGTCGCCGAAGCGGTCGAGGCAGACGACATAAGGCGACAGTTGAAGCGTTGTCTTATAGGGTTGATAGTATAAAAGAACTCGAAATCTAGAATTTCAACTGAACTTGTTCTAAAAGGTTGAGTCAGGTAATATTAGCGCGCAAAGCCATTTAAGAACTGAGGACAGTGGTAGAGAAACGCCTGAAACCGGACAATAGCTATTAAATGAATGGTGCAATAGTGGAAAAACTGGTGCCATAACATTCTGTCATAATTTGTTTACGTGAAGCATTAATATGAAAGCTAGCAAGAATGGGCCTTGTCCAGTTCGCCGAGCAAGCAGCCTCCAATGAAAAGGCTACTTATGGATCGGTCACTAATTCGATCTGCTGAGAGATCCACCACTTTCAAAAATACGTGATTCTAGTCTTGATGCCGTGCTAGCTGTCAATTCCAGAGCGTAACGGAGCTGGAGTGAAGTTAGCTTAACAAAGCGACAGGTTTGTATTTATATCAGAACGACAATTCTGGAAATCCTTATTACATCGTTTGCTTTTCGTTTTGGGATCGTTAGCGTAATTGCTCCTAACTTGTCTGAAGTGAAAACCTAGCTATAGCTGTGGAGTACTATGAGTCAACCAAAATTGCAAGACAACGTCGAGCGGAAAGATATTAGACATGCAAAACCAGCTGGGGTCGAGAATGGGGTCGACGTATCGTTTCGGGAGCGAACCTGGAGGAGTTACTTTTGGGATACGTGGGATAAGTCGCCAGAGGTATGCAACACCCGCAGTCATGTTACCTGGTATATGTTACTAATATCGATATCAGGAGCGCCATTTGCTATTCAAAGTGCGTCCTGAGAGTTCTTAGTCATTGGATATTGATTGACTTTCATGGTAGTTGGACCTGACCCTTATGACCTTTGGGTGTCTCGGGACATTTATCAAGTATATTGACCGGTAAGAAAGTTGATTTTTTCGTATCAATTCGATTGCTGATGAGTCTAGCTCTAATCTGAATACTGCTTTCGTGTCGGGGATGAAAGAAGATCTCAGTCTGTATGGGAACCAACTTAACTACGCAAGCGTGAGAATTCATCCCAAGGCGACGAGTCCTACTATTTCACTAACTACATTTCACTTGGTAGACCGCTTACAGCGTTGCTAATATCCTTGGACTTTGGCCTTGTAATCTCTTGCTCACGAGAGTCAATCCAAGATGGTTTATACCGTAAGTTTTGGAACAACAGGTAAAGCAATTTTTCTTTCGTGGACTAATCTTTCCGTGAAGAGCCATGGAACTAGGATGGACTATCTGGTAAATATCTTCAAACATTACTGCTCATGCCATTGCTAATACTCAGCAAGCACTTTCGCCCAGGCCAGCATGAAAACACCTCTCCATATGTATGTTCTGAGATTCTTGGTTGGAATATTTGAAACGTAAGAATCCCTTCTCTGAGTTCTGTTCTTGTGGTCAGCTAACATATGATCTAGTGGCCATTACTCCGCAAGTGAGTAGAGAAACGACCAATCAAAGTCATCATTAGCCTCTTCTCCTGACACCTGCCTTAGTTGTCTATATGTGTGGAGGATGGTACCAGAAGGCAGAACTTGCAAGGGTACGCTCAGATGATCTTGGCACATTATCTTCACACGCATTCTGACCCATAACAGCGTCTCGCAATCATTAACTGTGCAACAGCAATTGGTCCCATGTTCAGTTCCTATCTACAGTGTAAGAGCACTTAGCCTTTTTAGCTTGCAAAACTGACAGCTGAAGCTGGTGTTTATATTGGATTAAATGGTAAGAATGGACTTGCTGGGTGGCGATGGGTACGTATAATGCTTCTTATACAGACACAAATATATCATGCTAACCGCATGGAGCTTTTCATTATCGATGGTATCATTTCAGTCGGGATTATCATCCCTCAAGTGTTTCTATTCCCCGACGTCCCAGCTAGACAGAAGCCAGGATTTGTTTTCAGTGAAGCGGCAAGTCTCCTTGGTATTTCGATAAGATACCCATAGACTGACTCTTGTTTAGGAGATTGAACTAGCCAGAGATCGTAATCCTCAAGAAGGACGCGTCAAGCAGGGTGCTTTCACAAAGGCGCAGGTCAAGCGATGGTTGCTCACACCAGAGATCTGGTTGCTTTGGACCATTTCCATGTGAGGAAAGATAAGCTATAGAGAAAATGAGGTGCTAATGAATGTGAAGTTGCAACTCTATTGGCAACCAGCCATCTAATTCTATGGCTTTCTGGTTAAAGGCTTGGAACAAAAAGAAGCCCAATTCTTTCACTATTCCCCAGATCAGTATGTGGCATCAGAATTCATAATCACTGCTATAGATTAACTCCTAACGCACTGCACAGATAATTATACTACTCCTATTCAGGCTGTCGTAGTAGCTGTAACGCTATTCATGGCTTGGTCTAGTACGTTAACTTTTTGAAAGCTACTAAACGAGTACGCAAACCAAAGCATACTGACAAGTCCCCTTAGGTGATACCTGGCTTGGTGGTCGCCGCTGGCCCATGCTAGTCGTCGGAGGAGTTGTCAATGGTGCCGTATGCATCCTCCTGGCCGCAACTCCAGTCTTCCCGAAGAATCGTGCCTTCCGCTGGTTTCTGTACTACCAGACTGGCTGGGCGCAAGCTAGCAACAGCATGTTCTGGGCATGGACACAAGATATTCTGTAAGACTACCGCATCGCTCTTCAGAACTTCCACAGGCTAGAGATCTTCACGACTAATATATGTATCAAATAGTGCCGGAGACCCAGGAACACGTGCCTTCGCCTCAGCAGGTCTTAACGTCTGGGCTTGGGTTTTCATCGCCACGGTGCCGCTGGCTGTCTTTAAGACGACGGACCAGCCTGCTGTTGTAACGGGTAACTATTTGGCAGGCGCTTTCTGCTTCTTACTCGCTATCACGGCCGTCTTGCTTGCAGGGCTAGAGAAGTCGAAGAAGGGGAAGGCAGTAGACGGAGAAAACTTCACTTCGGTAGCAGAGCATTTTACATCGGCCGGGGAAGAGAGCGACGAGATCAGTAGGGGCAGTGCTGAGGATGCGGGAGGCAAGGTCGTGAAAATTAAATCGAGGGAGGTGAAGTCTTCAGAATAGAGAGATGCTTCATGAGGCTTGATGAAAGGCCGGTCTGGCTACTTTTGAGATTGGCTGGGCCTGGATAGAAAGAACGGCACTGATTTGTAAGATTTCAAGCCAAACTGGAGACTTATATTTGGAATGATAATTGCCGATTTTTGTGTCTACCTAGAAATAAAGCTCGATTTGCTCCAACCAGGGGGTGAGGTGAACTTTCATGGCCTGGTGGGGTAATGGATTTTGGCCTGAAACCCAGGCAACATGGTTCATGTGACACTGGAGGTGTTATCGTAGAGATCAAGCAATCTACTATACAGGAAAATACAATCCAGGAAGACTGTTAGAAACTATATCTGTCATAGATTCAACAAGTCAAACCACGTGAAAATTAAGCTAGAAGGTTTCATCCCCTACAGTCCTACTTCTTTCTGATGTTGACGAATATCCATCTTTGGATGGACAAATATAGGCAGAGAAGTTGAAGGCACAATTAAGGTGTCAAGCACGCAATATATCAACCCGCGAGTCTGGCAGGCTTGGACTCGTTGTACGTATAAGAGTGGGGGATTTGCTAGTCATGATGATGTGCTCACGCGCTATACATCAAGTGGACTTATCCTAAATATATAAATGAACACTGATTTCTCTTCTGTCTATTTATAAAAAGGCAAGAGTTTTTGAAGATGTCTGTATCGAAGATGGAATACCGCTTCCTCGGACGCACGGGGTTGAAAGTATCTGCAATATCTCTCGGCGGCTGGATTACCCACGGAGGACATGTTACCGATGGTACGTATAGTTTCCTATGGAGTGGACATTTAGATAGCTCAAGAACTCAAGACTGATCGATTTAGATGATGCTTTTGCTTCCATAAAGGCTGCGCATGATGCTGGGGTGAATTTCTTCGACACAGCCGAGAACTATAATGCAGGTAAGGCTGAAATCGTCCTTGGTTCTGCGATCAAGAAGTTTGGTTGGAAGCAGAATGACCTCGTGGTCTCGACAAAGGTGATTCTAAAAGCATATTTTAGTAAACAGTAGTATTAACTCTCACAGATCTACTTCGGTCTTAATAACTCTGCCGACCCCTCTAACCCTATCAATAATGTCGGCCTCTCCCGCAAGCATATCATCGAAGGCCTGAACCTCTCGCTCGAGCGCCTCGGTCTCCCCTATGTCGATATCGTCTATGCCCATCGTCCTGACCGTAATACCCCAATCGAAGAAGTGGTCCGCGCCTTTAACCACCTAATCAATACCGACAAGGCCTTCTATTGGGGCACTTCAGAATGGAGCGCTTCTGAGATCGCTGACGCCTGGCGTGCTGCTGACAGACTCAACCTCATCGGTCCCGCCGTCGAACAGCCCCAATACAACCTGCTCACCCGTACCAAAGTCGAGGACGACTTTCGCTGGCTGTACGGCAAGTTCGGCACCGGTCTCACCGTTTTTTCGCCCTTGAAACAGGGCATACTGACTGGGAAGTACAATGGCGTCGAGACGCCGCCGCCGGGCAGCCGCTTGGCTGAGGCGACAGATAAGTACACGAAGTCATTCGCTGCGACATTCGGCAACGAGACGTGGCAACGGGAGCTGAAGCAGGTTGAGGCACTGAAACCAATTGCTGAGGAGATTGGGGCAACGCTGTCGCAGCTAGCACTGGCCTGGGTGCTAAGCAATCCGAATGTATCGTCGCTGATTACAGGGGCATCGAGGGTAGAGCAGGTGCATCAGAATATTCAGGCGCTGGGCTTTGTAGAGAAGCTGACCGCGGAAGTTTTAGAGAAGATTGATAAAGCGCTGGGAAATAAGCCTGTAGTTCCGCCATTGAGATTTTAGACATTTTACCTAGTGTTGAGAAGATTGCTTGAAATGTGGTAAATGGAATTACCGGTTACTATACTTGAAATAAGACAATTGTATATAGGATTACCAGCTTTGAAGTGAAGCTTCTATGAAATGTGGATTTTGAATTCAGAATATAATATAAGGATTGTAATATAATATAAATGTCACATATTAGCGCTGGCACAAACACTCAAAACTGCAATTGCCATAACAAGTTTCATTTCAACTATAAACTACAAACGCGACATGCTGCATATCTCCAAACTAATCTTGCACTTAATTAGGCTATGACTGCGCTATATAGCAACAAGTCAACAAGAGGAAATCTCAATAGAGAATGATGTATAGCACATCAAGGTAATCTCAAATGAGAATGATGCATAGCACATCAAGGTAATCTCAAATTAGAATGATGCATAGCACATCAAGGTAATCTCAAATGAGAAAAGTTCATCAACCACGTCCATGTCCACCACCTCAACCATCTCGACCACGCCCACCACGTGTCATTTCCATCACCTCGACCACCTCGACCACGCCCACCACGTCCTCTACTTCCTGGATGGTCCATGGCATCTGGCCCATTGTTCCATACACTTTCTGACAAGCCAGCAGGGGCCCGTCGAGGTACGGGCACCTCGAGGTTGAGTACACTTGGGGCGGTACCTGATTCCTGGGATCTCGGAGCCTGGGTGGCGCGGCCGGGTTGAGAGGGATTGCCCAATTGTCGACTGGCACTGGTGAAAGCACCAAGCGTAGACGGTGCTACTTGGGGATTGCCCGTTTGTCGACTGGCACTGGTGAAAGCACCAAGCGTAGACGGTGCAACTTGGGGATTGCCCGTTTGTCGACTGGCACTGGTGAAAGCACCAAGCGTAGACAGTGCCACCTGGGGATTGCCTGGTTCAACATCGACATCGAGGTCGATATCCTCACCCTGGTCATTGTTATCCAACTCATCAGCTTCCTCTGTAGCTTGCCTAGCAGCAGCACGCTCAAACTCGTCCATCTCTTCTGGTAGAACTTCCTTGTCCATACCCTTCCAAGAGTATTGGAATTGACCAGGAATTGGTGGTGACTGGTAATTTCCCTGGGATGCATGATTGAAGTTGGCACTCATGGTACCGCGTTGGACAGCAGCATCTTCGTTTCTCTTTTCAAGAGAAGCGACTCTCTCGGCCATATGGTCCAATTTACCTAACAGGTATGCTTTCTCGGCCGCATACTCCGATTGACCTAACTGGTAGGCTGTGGCGATCCAAAGGTCGATATCGGAACCTTGATAGTACGCATTTGGGTGCTCGATCTCCACGACATCCCTGGGGAAGCCGGGCCTAGGCGGTGCGTAAGACTGCTTGCGTCGGGTATTTTCCGGGTTCACAGGTGCAGGGGCTGCTTCCTTTGCCATATTGAAGTATGAGGCATAGTCGAAGTTATCGAACTCCTCCTTTCGAAGGAGTGCCTCGGCGCCTGTGAGAGGTTGACCGTTGCTGCGATCGAATTCCTGGTCTTGCTCCCAAAAGTAGGATGAGCGCATGGAGGGAGCACCAATCCTGGTTATGGCACAAAACCGAAGCAGGAGAGGTCCTTGCTTGTCCTCTGGGGTCTGCAAATAGATCGAGCAGTCCTCAATTGGATGGTCCTCTGTACGAATCAGTATATAGGCAGTGAATGATGGTGTAGTTTCTCATACGGTCACAGATCGGACATGCTCCAATCTTTCCATCATCTCCAATACGGTGACATTTCCTGGTGATGTGAGATTTGTCGGTGATCCCAAAGTTATGTCTGCAGTTGCCGCATCCAGCAGCGAGCTGTGCCTGGGTTGCGCGTGTGGCAGACGACGGGGGCGGATTGTCATTTCCACGTCGACGCTTGGTGGGCCCTACATATAGGTTAGTGATGATTGTAGAGATGCGCCAGTATCGACTTACGATATTCCTGGTGGAGAGGTCTCTTCGCATTCATCCTTGATTGCATCTTGAGGATTCGTCTTCTTCAGTTTGGCTTAGGATGCGTTGAAGGAAGTGCCTTGGTATGCGTGTTGAAGGAAACGTGTTGAAGGAAAATCCCCTTTGCCTGATATCTTTTGTTTACATTGAATGTGAGTGTGTGGGGGCCTAACCGTTTCGGGAAGGGGGGGCTTAGCTCGATCTCGCTTGACGACATACACAATATAAAACATTGTGAATACTCGATCTTTGATCTTTACGTACCATCCACCGCAAACATGGCCGCAAAGATTGTGCAAGATGGCGATGAATACGCCACTCGCTGGCTGCGGATCATGGAGTACGCTGGGTCACATCCTCGGACCACACCAGGCATATCGAGCACCATTGGTGATATGCTGACCAGGAAGGAGATGACGGACTACTGGGCCAGCGTGAAGCAGTTCTGTGAGTCGAGTGACGATGCCTTATACCAGAAGTCAAATGGTCCTTGGCGAGAATGGATGGCTGAGGAGGAATTCATTGGCCATTACTGTAAGTTTCCCCATTCCATCTATTGAGCCGGGCTAATATTGGATAGGGGGACTGCAAGGGAGACTCGATCTCCAGGGAAAACCCACCAAGGTTCCAGCCAACACAACAGGCAATGAACCACCAGGAAAGGCACTGATCCCGACATACGCCGGCCATGCAATCGACGGCCTTGTCAACCAAACTGCCGGCATGATCTTCGACGTTCGACATCTGCCTCCAAACCTTCAAGCCCAGGCAGGCTCTAGTCAATTGACTCCGTACCAGGCAACTCATCAGGCAACTCCCGGCTCTTTTGGAAGACCAGCTGGTCTCGCACCTGACGCCACATTCCGACGCGTTACGGTGACGATGGGCCATCCTCAGGAAGCTGGAACAATGTCACTGGTCTCCCAGTTGGCGCAGTAGGTGAAGCCGAAGCTTCCAGGCAATGGATGAAGCAATGGGCTGGCGACCAGGAAGAGTGGGATAGATGGCTTGCCTCTACCGGCCAGGAAAATCTTGCAAGCCATTTAGATTCAATTCAAGAGTTCGACAGGATCAAAAACAACGCACCACTCTACCAAACTCAGGCTGCGCACCAGGAATTGCTAGCCAAAAATGCCAAGGACGTGGCGCAATTCAACAGAGACCAGGAAATGGACAAAAACGCCGAGACAGCTCGTGCGACTGTGGAGGCCTACTTCAAATACAAGCTCCCCTTCCAGCCAGCATTCAGACTTGTATGCCCAATATCTTGGAAGATCCAATCCAACCCAGGCACAAACGGCCCCAAGGAATGGCTTTGGCTTGAGGCTATTCCAGGCTTTACCAATCGACCTAGGGAAAAGTACTGCTCTCAACTCATGAGAGTCTACCAGGTCATTACTCAATCCAAGTCGATGGCGACCCCTCTGGAGTTTGCTACGATCTATGGCATCATACGACACGATGTGTTGCGAGATTGGCACCAGTACCCACCAGTTGTTCAGCAATATATGGTGGAGGAAAATACCTGGCGATACTACTGGAGGAAGAGTTCACCACCACCACCATTCCCAGACGCATTGACAGCCGCTGGCCATCATCCTTTGATGGAGATGGAATGCCACAACTGTACCTCCACTCATCACTGGTTCTGGGAGTGTACAAGGGAATGTTCAAACTGCCGTCAACAGGGTCATTGGAGACCAAACTGCGAGGTGGGATGGTATGTTCCTCCACAGAGTCACTGGTGAGAGCTCCTTTCCATCTGGAATCAACTTATTTGAGTACCAGCTTGAAATGAGCTTTCAAAGCTATATGGGTTTTCTACAGTCAAATACTTTTTGTTCTGAACTGGACTTTTAGACCTCTAAATTGGAGGTCTTGCTTGAAATGAGCTTTCAAACCTACATGGGTTTTGTATAGTTGAATGCTGTTTGTTCTGAAATGGAGGTCCAGCTTTGTAGATTAGTCAATGAACAGTTTTCGCGATATCCTTTTACTACTATGATTTTGTGAAGTGTGACGTTGCCTTGATTCTACATCCATCACGTTGCATCGCAGTTATGGTAAATCAGATTAAATCCTCATTCAAGATATTTTACTTAGGACAGGTCTCATATCGAGAAGAAACCTCATTTTAAGAAGTAGCCTCGTTTGAAGGAGTAGCCTCATTTGAGGTCTTATGCACAAATCTCCCATTGTCCCACTTAAACCCAGCAGGAACTGTCCATGGCTCCGATTGCAGAGAGTAAGACTTTCCACTCGACCATTGAGCAATAACATCGTCCGTGCTCATATCCTGGGCCTGATCTGTCCATGTATCATCATCCTAGACGTCTCCATCTTCCAATTCATCTTGGGTTAGAGTACATTTCATAGCACCCATGCCTACTCCAATACAACGTTCAATGTCAATAGTAGAGACACTTTGAGCCCCACTCACATCATCCCCAAAGTTATCCTCCCTGAAGGATGTTTTGACTCGCCACCTGGTCCTCCAATCCTCGTCCTCATTGGAAGATGGAACTGTTGCTTCGGAACTGGTAGATCGCTGGGGATGGTCTCGGTCTTGGCTGCGACGTGCTATATTTACAAAACATAAAAGTCGGTCTTTGTCATCGTGGTTGGAAAGTGCCGGTCCGGATGATGAACCTCAAAGGCCGATAGGTTGAGACGATTCAAAGTCGTCCTATGTTCACCAGCGAGGTTCTCTAGGGTATCAATGGTATAATAGGCCATCTTCATGAAAAGAGGGTGGCCTGGAGCGGCGGCGATGGTCCACTGGCAAAATTGCAGCTTGTGCGGTATGTCTGCCCATGTCCTACTGTCCAGCTAGTCCTAATCGATACCAATAACGACCTTGGCCTGGTCGCGGTATTTCTTAGGCACCTACACGTCGATCGGCTTCAAAGCCTCGGTATCTATATCGGTGTAAACGCCACCCTCGATATAAAGCATAAGGTACCGAAGGAGATCCGAATCTACGCCCGGGTTCTTTAAGGCTCGCCACGCCCTCAGAACTTTTGCGTCAGCAGAGAAGTG